GTGGGGTGAGCGTGGACACGGTCGTCGAACCCGTCGGCTTTCTTGGCTTCAAGCCCGACGTCCTCAACTCCTTCCTCGGATCGAGCCGCGCCTCCCTCAAGACCGAACCCAGCGCCGGTTCCTCGCCGCCCGCCTCCTCTGGCGATGACGACGAGCGGCAGCGTGTGGACGAGATGGACTTCTTCTCCGGCGAGAAGAAGAGGAAGGTCGAATTCTCCCCTTCCCGCGCGGAGAACGTCGAGCTGAAGGCCCCCTCGACGGGTACCGTGAAGAAGGATCTCTCCGTCGAGCCCATCAACGTGAGCCACTGATCCATCAGAGCATGGTTGGTCTTTACGAACCATTCATTCTCTTATGCCTGAAGAGCTCTCTTGCCATGGCAGACGCGATTGCACCTGCTGACCGCCAACACCGGCAGCGACCAGTCGACGTTGGACGACAGCATGTCGGCCAACGAGGACGAGAAGGAGGACAAGAGTGAAGTAAGTGACCCCGCTCACCCCCTTAAAATGAATGATTATCCCGACGGCGACGACCGAGTTCACGGTGCTGACCAGATTGTCCCGTGCTCAGCTGGCGGCTATGCAGGCGGCACTGGCGAGGATGAAAGAGGAGAACCTGAAGCTGAGAGGAACCCTGAACAATGTATCGGCCGGCTACAACGCGCTGCAGATGCACCTCATCCAGCTGATGCAGCAGCGGAGCCAGATTAACGGCAACGCCGACAACCATGAGGTGGGCAGCCATCTGTGTTGATTATATTGATCGGCCAATCTCTGATGGATGTTCCTCAATCCTGGGTTCGTAAAATGTAGATCTATCTAGATTTAGGCTGACGTCTGATGACGCCTGATCTCAGGGCGTGGACGAGAAGATCGAAAACATCAAGAAGCACCACAGCTCGGTTCCGAGCATCGTTCCAAGGCAGTTCATGGATCTCGGCCTGGCGTCGGTGGCCGACGAGGCATCGAATTCCTCGACGGAGGAGGGGAGCCCAGGGCGCTGCGACTCGCCGCCCAGCAATGCGGATGTGGCTTCCACGGACTACCGCCTGCAGATGACCGGCGTCAAGGCCGGCGACGGAGATGCCGCCGCCTTCGATCACGACAAGCCCGGCGACGCCGACGACGGCGGGGAGGACAGCACAGGCAGAGAAGAATCCCATGGCTGGGCCTCCAACAAGGTGCCCAAGATTAACCCCACGGCCACGGCTGCCTCCGAACCGCCGCAGGAGGCCATCATGAGGAAGGCGCGCGTCTCAGTCCGAGCCCGCTCAGAAGCCCCCATGGTACTATTGGTGTTATTACCCAGCTTCTCTCATCAGGTTTTTTTTTCTTCTATTATTCTCTCGGCGGTATCATTGACCCTTGTGAATTGGCGCCTGTAGATAACCGACGGATGCCAATGGAGGAAGTACGGTCAGAAGATGGCCAAGGGCAATCCCTGCCCGCGGGCTTACTACCGCTGCACCATGGCGGCAGGTTGCCCCGTCCGCAAGCAAGTAAGAATCTTTCTTTCCCTCAATTACGCCGCTTCAGACGATGGAGCCTATTGATGTTTTTGACCAGGTGAGCTGATCTGGCCCGTGATCCCCGTATGAACAGGTTCAGAGGTGCGCTGAAGACCGGTCGATCTTGATAACCACGTACGAGGGGACCCACAACCATCCGCTGCCCCCGGCGGCGATGGCGATGGCGTCGACGACGTCGGCGGCGGCTTCCATGTTGTTGTCTGGGTCCATGCCGAGCGCTGATGGGATGGTGAGCTCCAACGGAGTGATGAGCTCCAACTTTCTAGCGCGGACGCTTCTGCCGTGCTCCTCGAGCATGGCCACCATCTCCGCCTCCGCCCCCTTCCCCACTGTTACCCTCGATCTCACCCACCCACCCGCTCCGCTCCAGTTCCAGAGGCCGCAGCAGCAGCAGCCGCCGCCTCAACCGCCGGTCATGGCGGCGCCTCCTGCGGGGATGCCGCAGATCTTCGGCCAGGCGCTTTACAGCCAGTCGAAGTTCTCTGGTTCGCAAATGTCGAAGGACACCGCCGAGCAGCCGCATTTCGCCCACTCGATGGCGGCGCCTGTGCAGCAGCTGCCGCCATCGTTGGCCGACACGGTGAGCGCTGCGACGGCCGCCATCACGTCGGATCCCAACTTCAAGGCGGTGCTCGCAGCCGCCATATCCTCCATCATTGGCGGCGCCGGCAATCAAGGAAACAGCGCCAACACGCTTAACATCCTTAACGCCCTCAACGTCAACCCCGCCACCACCGTCACGAGCAACGCCTGTGAGGGCGGTGGCAAGAAGCACGGCGTGTAGCTGAACATCTTTTTTTTTTTTTTGGGGGGCATTTTTGACATCATCTTCCATTCTTTTAATCCGTCTTCGCGCAGAAATCACTTCCTCATTCCTCCTTGAACGTGAAGGCTTGTTTCTTTTTGGTCTTCTCTCTTCTCTGTCTTCCTGAAAGGGTTAGCGGAAGGGCTTATGAGACAAGGGCTTCACTGTCTCTCTCTCATCAGCTAACTGTTCTTGCTTTCTTCTCGTTCAAACCTTTCAATACAAATGAAAAATAGAAAGAACAGAGTTTGACAACAGAGTTTGACCTGTGATTCTCACCGCAAACAGATGAACATCCTCGTGGTCGTCGACGTCATCGTCTCTCTGGTAAGGTTGAAAGGGCTGGGGGAGGGAGGTGTGAACGGGGGAGTGAAGCAGATGACCCCTCCGCGCTAAAAACTGCGGGGTCAGCAGCTTTGAACAGGTCGCCGGGAGATTCGTCATCTGGCGCCGGCCGGTGGGTCTGCCGCAGAAGACTCGGTCAAAGAACTCGTCCTCCAGGAGCTGCACGCGGAAGGAAGACATGCGAGGGCGGGCGAGACAGAGACCCTCGTTCCGTCGTCAAAGTAGCAGCGAAAACGACTCCGGGAGATGAGGGAGACGGATGCATCTTCGTACATGTCCGTGAGAGATGATCCTACAGGCAGGAAAGGTCAACCTACCCAGCCGCCAGGTTTGAGAATAAGGGTGGGATCCCCGAGCCAGAGAGAGCAACGGGGAGGGAGAAGACCAATTAGACACGGCAACGGCAGATGGAGACGGCGGGGGAATCCGCGACCGTGGCGACGGCGTTTCGTGGAGGCGCCGCCGCCGTCTCGCGGATTAACTAGCAGTGTGGGTCTACTTTCTGACCGGTGAGGTACGAGACAAGGCTACGTGGGGCGCTTGCCAGCCAACGGTTGCTGACAAGGTCAACCTTCCTCTTCCGGTTTCTAGCAAACCCGTCAAAACCTTATCCATCCGGTCCCCGGACGCCAGTTCCATTAAACAGACACGTATAAACTATCAAAATCTCGTATTATCCGGCTTAGTATCTGCCATTATTTGAGAAAATAACGGACGAAACTCGGAGGCAGATTCCGATCAGCAAAAGTCAACGGCCATCCGGGCGAGACTTGGGGGAGGTGAGGTGGGGTGGGATTTGCATGGCGGAGCAGTCTGAGGGTGGTAATGAGCCATAAATGGCGATGTCAGAGCGGTGCCCATGATACATACATATATCTATATATGTATATATGCATATACATATGTTAAAGCCGAGACATTAAGCAGAGAGCGACCGAGGTCCACGAGAGTGAAAGGGTTCAGTTCATGCTGCTTCGGCGAAACCGACGCGCAGGTTGCCATAATCGAACACCGTGTGGTAGACTCCCATGAAGACATCGCCCAAGATCCTTGGAACACGAAGAAACAGGCAGCAGAAAAAAAGAAGAGAAAAAAGGAACTGGGTCAGGAGTTGTTCGAGCATATGATGCAGCTGGTGGAAACCCAGTTGGAAGATGCGGAAGAATTGGGCGGAGAGATGAGCGGATTGGGCAAGTACCAGAGAGGGCCACGAGGGGGAGCAACATCCAGGGCAGTAAATCCGCTGATGCACTGTGCGGCAGGCCCATCGCCGACCTTGAGAATATACTGTTCCACCAGGAAGAAGAAGAAGATTAGTGATTAGAGAGAGAGAGAGGAAGGAAGGAGAGAAGGAAACAGACGAGGTGGTTAATAATTTTTTATATTTTTGTGCATTCAAGAACTAACCCTGATCAAATATTATTCTGCTTTTGAATAACGCGTAAGCTTGATAAAGAACATAGATAGAAGAAAACGAAATTAAGTGATGGATGCAGCATAAGACCTGCTCTGGTGTGAGAGAGAACTCCTTGCCCCCAATGGTGAAGGAAACACTGGGCATAGACTCGAGACTTGCACAGTCGACAGATGATTCTCCCATGGGACTAGGGAGCTTTTCGCATAGCTGCACGAAGCCCCAGGAATTAGGATGGGTTGTAAACGAGCGAGGAGATGTCAACCTGACGATGGAAACCATAAACAACAGATTATTTCACCTGATTGGCATAGTCCAAGATCCGCTCCTGAGTTAGGTTCTGTCTGAGTTGATTCTGCATCCAAACAACAGCCATCTCACATGCGGAGCACATGCCATCTCCCAAGCTCCCAGAAGACTTCTCCTCTTTAGCGTCGACCACGCTCTTGATGTCCATGCTGCAGAGAGGAAAGGCCCGGCAAGATCCTCCATCAGGACTAGATCTCCCCCCCCCCCTCCCCCCCCAGAGAGGAAGATGATGAGAGGCGAAGGTCAACGGACAAACCTGACGCCCCTGGCTCCGTCAAAGGTACAGAGACCAATCTGAGAGCATATTTTCTTTGGCTGCGTCTGCATATGAATCCAGGGTCAACCAGTTATCATCCCACGAGGGCAGCTTCAAGAACATTGGATTAAACAAGGGAAGTACCTCCGCTAGTAACAAGGCCAATATCGTTTGGCCATACTGCTGAACAACAGTCTTGCACTCCTGACTAACTACTCCACTGGCCCCGATGGCGTGATTGATCTCGGTTATTGTTGCCTGCATGAATAATCATTCAGATAAGAGACCCTACGGAAGCACGCAGAAGATGTCAACAGACCATGCTGGAGGCCCAGTTTTGTAGACAATCAGATGAAGAGAATTGGAGCAAATCAGAAGAGATCCGACTCGATCTCTACGAATTATAAGAAAAAAAAACGATGAGAGCTATCTGCCCAGGACTGGCATTCCTTAACCGGCAGATCATCCCCAACCAAACACAAACCGAAGTTATTAGTCTTCCGCTGCAAGATGCAAGATAAACATGATACACATACCGTTGGACCCGCGATTAAGGACGTTCCAGAATCAGCAATGGCTGCACAGCCGTCAGAGCAGACCCCTGAGATCAAAAAGATCAAAAGATATCAAATCAGTACGACAGTAGATCCAACAAAGAGGAAATCATAAAGGAATGAAGGAATCATCATTTGATATACCTGTAGATTGCCCACCGACCAGGACATTACCCATGTCAAACTGCAAGAAGTAAAATGGGCAAAATTAAAATAACTAAAATATCCAGTCAGACGAGGTAATGATCGCATATGTTTCTGAAACTTCACCTGCCAATAGCCTTTCAGAGTGACTGGCACGTACGTGTGATTTCCCTTGTAATGACTGGGGTCTGCACCACCGAATACCAGTTCTCCACCCTCATCTTCCACAGCATTTCGATTAAACCAGAATGAAAAAACAGGTTCCTTCACAAGACCTTGTTCAACCATGTTGTACCTGAAAAAAAAGGGGGCATTAGCTTCTACACTCAAATGGAGATATTTCTAGATGAAGATAAGACTTAAGGAAGCTCCGAAATGAAATTGAATAAAAAAAGTTGATTATTCAACTTCACGGAAGCATGCCAAGCAGAGGAACGCGAGGTAGCATTCGGGAGACACAAAGAAAATAGGTGTCATGTTATGTGCCTGGCAGCCATTAGTAGGTTACATTCTGCTCCATCAAAGTAAATTACTAATCTTGAGAAGGTCAGATATTATAAAACAAACACTAATAGAACACAGTTGGATAATAAAAATCGAATAACACAATCAGATAGAAATTGAGAGCAAGGAACGCACCATAGAGGGACCACATTCCCCACAGAAATTTCTTGGAAACCAAGTCCCAATATTCCATCAAATTTTGCCACCAAGAATGTCAAGCTGGATTCCTTGGTAGCCTCAATAAAAACCTGCAACAAATGTCATGAGGTGAAAACAAAGCCGTACAGCTTATAGTGATGATTAGCAACTGGCAAACATGAAACATTAATATAATACTTCCTTACCTGGTTTTTAACGACAAGATCACCAACTGTAGTGTAGTCTTCACTGAAGAAACCAGATATTGCACCGGTTCCATAACGAATTTCCGCAGACTTACCTGCACAGCAGATTAAGCCAATGTTATTAAATATGCTCTCTTGAAGAATAATGAAAATATGCAAAAAGCCGGAAACTATTATCGACATTTTCCCAGAATGATACTTTACAGGAACATAATTTCAGATAATTTTGATGAGACAGTAGAATAAATTCCTCAGAAAAGAAGAAAAAAAATAATCTATCATGGTAAAACCACGGAGAATAAAAACGAAAATTCATTACTCGACAACAAATGACAAGTTCAACTTTAAAACATAATCTAAACAACCAGAAACCCTGGAAATGTGATCATAGAAATAGGAAGCGAGATCGAACCATTTTTCTGGTAAGTCCTTGACTGGCCTGCCTTGTATTTGGAGTGGAAGTAGCATGCGACCTGTGGTCACGACGAAATATTGTAAGAAATCGATAGGCAAAAGCAACAGAAGAGAAAACATTGGCCCAACATATTTTTACGGCGCGCAGAAGTGAATAATCTTGATTTATCATCATTGAAACGAAAGCAGCTGCACAGCAATACGAATGCACATCATTCAGGCTTTTAACTCACCGAGAAGTAGCACTTGGAAGAGGGAACCCACAAGTTGGAACTACCAGTGTCGAAAATGACGGTGAACTTCTGCGGCGGCGTGCCGATGCCGATCTCCCCGAAGTACTGCGCGTCCATGTAGTTCTTCAGGGGTATGATATCGGTTTCTGACACATCTGCGATGCTGTTACGGAATCTGAACTTTCGCAAAGAAGCTCTGCCAGACTCACTATCTTCAGAGGCCATCCGAAGAGCGATCCGGCTGTCCCGGTCCAGCTGCCTCTTCTTCAGATTAATCCTGAAGATGCCATCCGTGGCAGAAACCGGAAGGGACAGTTGGACCACGACGAGCGACAGTAACAGGAAGGCCCAGAGTGATCTGCACATAATCCCCATCGCGGGCCAAGCTACAAAAACCAAGTCTCCAAAATCACTTACAGATCGGTAATATAAAGCCCAGGGAAATCACTGTAAGAATATTAAATGGATTGCAACAGATTGATGAATAGGGGGATATGGATCACGCTTCCACTTCCCAAACCAGCAATGAACACAACTGATTCAACAAACAAAAAGAATTCTAAGAAAAAAAATGAAATCACGACGGAGGAACGTCTGGTGATTTTCATGAAAGACAAAAATGGGGAATCACTCGGAGCGCTGTAAAGTGAAGGATCAAAAAAAATGCTCAGAGTACATAAATAATATCTTAGAGGCACCTTAACAGGATCTAGAAGATCAGGATGGATAGAAATTTCAGAAACCTAACTCCCAAAGGGGAGAAGACAGAGCTCACTTAAAACGATATTTTTTTTTCAAAAAACCCGTCCAATCACGGACGTTGATCCATTTTGCAGAAGAGAAAAAAAGGAAGAAGATCTAAACCGGAATGAGCCACCGATCGATCAACCAGGGGTTCCGAGCAGCAGCTCGCCGATAGACAACGGGGGAGACGGTCGGTGGGAATATCGGTTTCACCATATCTTAAAAAAGGATGTCTTTGTTTTATCAGCCCTCTTTAAGTTTTTAAATATATATTTTACCCAATATTTAGTTTTATTTATCTTTATAATCCCATTGGGACCAGTTTTACTCAATCTTCTCAACCTGATACAAAGAAAGCTTCATAAAATGGGGAAAACTTTGGGCACGGATGTAGTAAACTACTTATGTCAGGGTTTTTATACAAATATTCGAGAAAAAGCCGGCGCACCAGTTCCCCCCACTACTCTCGTCCCCAGTGTTTAGCAACAACGTATAGAATTCTTTATTTTTTTAAAAAATGATATTAATCCACGTGCCGTCACCGGGATATATTTTTGCGTAAATAAATTGAAATATTTGAGAATATGTAATTACGAAAAGTAAATAAATTATTTTTAAGGGCTTTGGTGCGTGATAAATGACGTCATCGTAGAAACGCTGCCGTGCGAGACTATCCTCCCGGCGTCGCCGTGCGGGCGAAGCGATGCGTGACGTCGTGGGGAAACGTTCCCTGTGGGCCCCACATCCAACTTCCGGTCACGAACGACTGGCGGTTGTCGCGCCCCAACCCACGTGACGGCGTGCGCACATCCTCTAACGTATCCTCTTCGCTCTCACTCTCTCTCGTTCCTCCCATATCGATCTGTTTCTCACTCATCCTCGGTATCCATGCTCCCCACGCGGACCGCGTCTTGTGATCAGAGAGAGAAAGAGAGAGAGAGGGGTGTAATGTGTGAGAGGGGAGATCGCAGGCGAAACCCAGATGAGATGAGAGAGAGAGAGATCTAAAGGAAGGGTGGTTGACTTTTTCTTCAGGATCTGGTGGACCCATCCATCGGAAGCAGCGAGAGGTTGGGGATGGAAGGAGAGATGGAAAGGCCCGGCCTTCGTTAGCTTTGTTTAAATGAAAAGAGTTACAGGAGGAAAAATCTGGAAAAGACCCACTGAAGCAAACCCACAAATCAGCCAAGAGTTTCTCTCCCCTACACCACCACGATCTCCCAAGCAGAGGAGACGGCCGGCGGCGACCAACCCCCACCGCCGGTGGTATATACATACAACACACACACACACACACTCTCTCTCTCTCGCTCTCTCTCTCATCGGCGATCGATCAGCACGGCTACCGGTCAGTAGTTGTGCTGCCACATCTGGTGGGCCGCGGCGGGCGGCGCCGCCGGCCCCTGGGAGCCGCTCAGCCGCGCGTCGCCGGGGCTCTGGAGGTGCTCCTGCTGGCCTGTGGCGGACCCTTGGGAAAGGTAGAAGTTGGGGTACCCGGCGGCGCCGCCGTAGGGGGACGGCTGCTGGCTCTGCCGGAAACCGCCGTGCTGGTTCGGACCCTGGTGGAGGTTGTAGTAGGCGGCGCCACCTGACAGCCCCGACACCGCCGCCCTCGAGCCTCCCCCGTGCAGCCACATCGAGCTCTCGTTCTGGAGCTTCATTAAGAAAAGAAGTCCACAAGCAAGCAACGGTTAATTACAGGCTGCAGTTGACTTTTGAGCCCAAAAAGTCAACAGGGAATGCAGAAGATAAAGAAGAAGCCAAAACTGGAAGCCCAATCACCTTGGGATTGAGCGGTGAAAAGGAGAATGCTAAAAGACGCCCCGAGAGCTCACCTGCTGGGGAGGGGCGTATTGGCTCTGCTCCTTGTACTGAGCGTTCAAGATGTCGTCGTACGCCGCCACCGAGCCGACCGACGCACCGGAAGGGTTCAACAGGAGGTTCCCCGGCATGCTGGGGGAGCCGCCGAAGCCCGCCAAGCCGGAGGGCACGGCGGCCGACAGGGGCAGGTTGCCGACGGCGGTGCTGTTCTTGTACTGCGGCAGCGTGTACTTCAAGCCTGCTGCGTGGAGCGCCGCCACCGGAGATTGATGGTAGGTGGTGCTGCCGGCGAGCGCCTGCTGGAAGGCAGCGGCGGCGGCGGAGGGCATGTAGGTGTAGCTCGGAGGGAGGTACGGTGGGTAGCTTATCATGTTGGCGAAGTGCCCCAGAGGAAGAGTGGGCTGAGAGTACTGGGGAACTGGCGGCAGGTGCTGGGGAACAGCCGGTCCGGCCGGAATGCTGGTGGCGGCTAAGCTCTGCAGGGCCGGCGGAGCTGCACTAAAGCCGCCGCCTGGCTTCACAGTCTGCAACCAACAGAGAGACGGCAGCAGCAGAGGAGGGGATTCAGTGACGTTTATGGATCATACCAAAAGAAATTTGTAGAAAAGAAAAGAAAGAAAACCAATTCCAACAACTTGATTTCACAGGTTCCCGACAAGTCAACCCGAGGCAAGTAAGAATAAAGATAAGGGTATAACAATCTGGTCAACGGACGATCCCAGGATAAAGGGAGGGCGGCACTCGTCGGAGTTTGAGCGAGTACCTCTGGCATGGAGACGGTGGGCCCACTGATTGAAGACATCGCAGTGCTGTATTTTGTGGGCATCGACTGTGTTGCAAGCAGGGACGAGTGAGGCAGATCGTATTCTTGCGGTGGGACGACTGACGCCAGCAAGTTGCCGGGTAAGGAACTGGGGTAGGCCTGCTGCATAAGATGAAGAAAGGGAGAAAGAGGCAGAGGGGGAGAAGTCAACATAGAAGTCAGACGTCGGTAATTAGATGGTAACATAAACTTTTAAAATATATAGCTCAAAAGATGATGAAAACACTAAAAATCCAGCAAAGCACTGAAGAACATAGTGCGATTTGCTATATAGGGGCTGGTCAGAAGAGGTCCGGCCCCATTTCATAGTTCACCCTAAGCAAGTCAACGTATTTCAGAGCATAACTGCTAGGATGACGCAGTGGCAGCGGAGAGCTTAATAAATGAGAGAGCTGCACCATGGTGAAGCGTACTTCTGCCAAAGGATCTATTGAAAATAATTATCCAAGAGCACGTTTGTTATGTACTATGACCAACTTTATTTCATGAATGATATCACAGACGACTTTTTCTCGAAAAAAAATAAAAACAAAACAAATAAATCTAACAGTGAAGCAATAGCAACCAATTCAACAGTAACTCTCGCCTAGAAATAGTCAGACTAACACAAACGGTCCAAGGACTGATCTCTGGGTCATCATCTGGCCCCACGATTTGGGGATATCAGTGATCAGCTGGTACAATTCAAATGGATCCCATCCGCACTCTGAAGAACATGGGCAAACCCTAAACTACTAATGGGTCCATCTTCTGGGGAGAAGAGGTCCCAAGAGATCAAATTTCTCCACTGAAAAATAAAACCTAGACAGATTCCCTCCAGAGTCAGAGGACAGTCATCACAGCAAAAGAAGAGAAATTAATCTCTCCTATCACTTTAAAGGACTATATGAATCTGCGGTGGTCAAAACTATGGCCCACCCACCTGAATGCCCCAGAGATCCATCTGAGGCAACGGTAGCACAGCCCACCCACATCAAATGCCAACCCACAATAAGGCATTCAGTATACCTGTTCCAGAGACCAATGGAATGATCTGTCCAAAGACGCCTGCTTCTTCCCAAAGATCCCACCTTGAACTATGTTACTGAAAGCATACCACCCCTAGAACCAATTCACAAGAGGGCTGGCTCGCAGCCTACCCGTTTAGAGACAACTGTGATAGATTAGAGGACAGAGCATCTAGACTTCCTCTCTTACTACCTCGAGTGCCCTCCCCCTCTCCTAATTTTCCACTAGTCATACACTGGACAAGGTCATTTATTTTAGCTCAAGTACGAGAAATCTAACCGAGAATTGGGGGGGAAGGGGGGGTATAGGATTACCATTACACTTGAGAAAGGAGCAGGGCTCTGCATGTGTGAATTTCCTTGCACAGAGGCATATGATGGAGCAGCAGTCGGTTCCCCCGTGTTAGAGAAGGTATAACCAGGTATTGAGGACTGTAGTCGATATTGAAGCCCATCCATGGCATCAGTGTTTTCTGATCTGACAACATCGGGCTGTGAGGATGAAGGTGCCTCGTAGCTTTCAACATTTGGACTTGATCTATTCTCTGCATTCTCATTTAAGGTAACTCCCAGATGTTCATTACTGAAGTATTCGGAATTTCTGCACCCATTGAAGTAGAAAATAAAACAAAATAAAATAAAACAAAATAAAATAAAATAAAATAAAATAAAATAAAATAAAATAAAATAAAAATAAACTAAGATTTTTTTTACAGGAAAGGTACCTAGCATCAGAATCATCAACTGGAGTGGATTCAGATGTTTCGCATGGAACATCTAGATTGCTATTCTGAGCTTTTGATGCAAATGGTCCAGAAAAGGCAGCGTTTATACCCGATCCAAAGGTGCCAAAGCTCAAATACGAACAGTCAGCGTTTGTAACCTGAAGATGGTTTGGAATTATAACTGCAGGGTTATCCTCTGCATGTGTGACAGATGCATCCTCCTTTTCCAAAGTAAGCCGTCGCAGGTTAGATGTGGCCGCAGGTACCTCCTCGTCGCCAACATCAACTGGAAAGTGCACAAAAAATATGAAATATATATCAGAACCCAGTACTTATAAAGCTGACGATTAGAATAAAGGTAATACTAAACTCTGAATCATCATTCAAGTCTCATATGAATTCTCTAGGTTCTATCAATCAATGTGGATATTAAAATCAAAAGCTTACTCTCATCCGAAGCATACTTCTCTAAGTAAATCACAAGACAGCGTAAGTAGATAGAAAAGGTAGGAAGTATTCATCGAGTACAATGCTCTGTATCAAAGTTTGCCAGTTTGCCAGCTTCCCAACACACAAACTGGAAAGAACTAACTTAGATTATCTTGACCGAATCTACTTCAAATATGTTATATAGATCAACACTGATCGTTCCTTCTTACACCAAAAATAACTCAAGCCAATGAATGCAGGGCTGAGCCAGCATGGAACAGATTTTTAGAGTATCATAAAAACTGGAGAAAACTTGATTCAACTCTGTTTAAATCCAGAATGTCACTGACAAAACTAGTAGCTATCGCGTGTTGCTTGAAGCAATAACACCATTGCTCGAAGCAATGACACCATTGCTCTAAGCAATGCCATCAGTTTTGAAAAATAGAAATTCACGTGAAATTGGATTTCTGAATCTACTGCACCAGAGAGACTATTCATAGTTACTTAAAAACCATAGTAAACTAATAGATGTACACATTTTGCTGACTGATTTAATCTTCCAAAAAGCAAAAATATCACATAAAATGTACAACAGCAGTGTTGAAAAAGTTGCTAATTGGATCATTTAATTCTCTTCTTAAGCAATGTAACAATAGGGAAAGGTGGTAGTTTAATGAAGAGAAACAACAGAAAGATATTTTTGAAATTGTTTGAGCGAAGTTTCACAAAACCCCAGACATGATAGTACCTCTTCAATATTACATTTCTTGCAGTGTCTATGGTCAGATTTTATAACTAAAACAGAGATGACGACGGTAACTAATGAAGATCAGACAAACATAAGCATACTTGATTTATATATTGTTATATCAACCATTTGCGGAATGTACTAGCTTGAGGTTTCTGAACAAAATAAATTGCAACTTTAGAAAGGAAAACAAAAGTCAAGAATGTGCTACAAGAAATCTGGTAATCAAAGGGCCGGGCCCTTTATATCCTGCGTCCATCTGAGACCAAACCCTGAAAACCGTCGAAAATGTGCTTTGAGCTAGGCCATATGAAACCAGGCGCAATGGGCCAGGGTGGTCAACATTTTTTTGGTGTGGTTACAGACTTGTTAGGCTGAGCCAGGGGTTCTGGAAGAGGAATGGGCAAGGAGATTGGTTCTGGTCAGTCCTCGTGGCAAAACAGTACCCAAGCCTTGGATAGGCTAGGCACTCAAAATTCTGTCCAAGACCCTGATTAGTCCAAACCGGGAAAGATCTTGATATATATACGGGATGTAAACAAACATTTTTCACAGATAAATAAAACTCGTAATCGATCTTAACCTGTTCAAAGTCAATAGAGAGTTATAATGGCACTAAAGAGCCAAGGAAGTGCAAGAATGCTTCATAAACTTACCTTCATTATGCTCAAAATTGTGTATCTCAGACTGAAAAGAGCTAGTATCCTTAGTTGAACCACCATCCAAACCAGAATCCCTTCTAGAATTATCCAGATGTGGCTGCCGGTCAGATGTTGTTATAGGTCGAGAAGAATCTTCTGCTAGAATAACACCCTCGATATTTCCTTGTACACGAATCTCATCTAATTGCGAGCCATGATGCAAATCAATGCCATCAACAGGTAAGTTCGATGATGTGGATGGGTCAGCAAAACCACCAGATGTCCCACGTGTTTCTAAAAGAGAGGATCCAGTTCCTGCCTTTGGTTGATCTACCAACAGCCACTCATCATGAGATAAGTGCTGAGCCACAGAATCACCTTGCTCAAAAAGGATATTAGAATCACCAGGCATGGAACTTTCACGGTGTGATTCTGACGGCTTAACCAGTGAGCTCGGTGCCTTAGCACCAAAGTGCTGACTGGTAGGCAGAATTACATCATGAGATGAATCGGAGTTAGTCGGAGCAACTGGTGCTCTGACAACCTTGCCTGGAGGTCTACCCATCTTCACAATATCAGCCAATGTTCGCTGGCCCGCCATCCCAGTCCAAGCATTCTGGACTCCTGTTGAATATTGTGAAGACAGGTTGTCAGGAGTCAGAGTAGAAGATCCTGCAGCCTCCAAGGGGACAGAATCACTGCAACATGAGAAGAGGATATGGTTACAAAAAGTGCTAAATAACAAGATCATAATGAACCTTTGATTCAAACCACCAGAAAAGAGTTTAATAATAGACATGTCTACAGGAGAAAAAACGAAACATGATACAACCAGAATGAATCACTGGTGGCATCCAAAGAAAGCATCAGCATCCCTCCAGAAGAACTACAACACAGATATTGATATTGAATAAAATTTTAACCACTTCTATATGCAGAGCTTCATTTCTTCTTTTTACCTTCCAAGGACACCAATCACGAAGAGAGATGGGATACTGTCTACACTGAATGAAATAGATGAAGCAACTAGTTATTTCTCTAGCAGAAGCATATGAGCTTCTTTATAAAGCGATTCTACTACCCAACTTCCGGTCACCATAATTCATCACGACAATTTATATATAGGTGCCAATGTTAGTTTTGGACTGATAGGGTAGGCGCACAGCTGAAACCTATCGTGACAAAAGTAGGATATTGCTATTAAAATTTTCACTTCATTTAGATTGCTTCTGGGTTTCAAATGTGTAACAAGCAATGCCCGCGAAAAACAAATGTATAAATCGCAAAAACGGCCCTCATGTCCTACTTGTCTCCGCTTGCTCACCACCTCTATCATTGGAATGGAAAAGGGATTATAGGAATGGATAGAGGGAGGGATTAACAAATGAACATGGAAACTATATAGTACTAATTTCGCCTGTAGATAGCTTTTTCAATTAACCTCATTACATACGATTTCTTTAATTCAGAAATAAAAGAAATCATTTCAAATTGTGAATTCGACAAAACTGTAGGCTAACAGCTCAACTCCTAGTTTGATCTGGTACACCTTAGACATACATGTTGGTGTTGATGTTGGATACCGACAATACCAAATTTATAATCTTCATGACTATATCCGAAAAAAGTTAAAAGTTTAGAGATGGAAAAAGCCAACTGTCTTAACTTTTGGGGCAAATAAACAGGAAGGTTCTCGTTACTAATATTAGGAGCAGCAATTCCTTGACATAGAGACCAGGGCCGGCCACAAATAACAAAATGTAAACAAGAAATAACTTATGCTACATCAGTCGCGACTATGGAAGAGAATATGATTATCGAAAAGGTATCAAGGAGTCCTGTGGATAAAGTGCGAAAAAACACAAAATGGCGGGCATAAGTGAAAACTTGATCATTAGCCTCTCCAAATATCAAAATCACCTACCTTGATGGTATGGAGCTCTTGGTACCAATTGGGCCCACAACACCAGGTACGGACACTGAGGATGTGGGAATAGCATTTATCCCGGTTTCTCTCTTGGCCATGGGTTTGCTGTAGTTCGCTGCATGGAGGAGCCGCGAAAAGAAGCTTTGGAATTAGAACTGATGCAAAAGTAGTCCGGAGATTTTACTTCTAGATACACAGGAAAATTTGCCAAAGCGAGCACATACCACTGGAGCTAATGTGGGTAGAACCAACACGAGCACCACGATCAGCAACACCTTTAGAACCACGATGTGAACTATTTGTCAACCGAGGTCTGGATTCCACAGTTTCCTTTACCTGAACAAAAGACAGAAACATAAGGCCTCATGCGAACAATCTAAGTGATTTCAAGAATGAGTATATTATTACATAAGGTTCAGGACTGTGTGCATTTTAAATTGCGAATGGCATGCTGATATGACAATCTATGTGATATAAATAAATAATATTTAAACAAAATGTAAACTTAAAATTCATAGCAATGTCGTCATGCCACCTTCGATATTATACTCTGCCTACCAGGGAAATTAAACGAACAGGCCAAGAAATAATTGAGCGCGGAATCTAAAATTGGAAGACGAAATTAAAAAAATAAATGCAATGTTATCCTTCACTCACATCTTTCTTCTTTTCCCGTTTACTCTTCACCTCCTGGAAGGAATCTACACAATCGAAAGCAAATGATTATAATCAAACAAAAATGAGCATAAATGATAATACAAGAATGCAACGTGATTGCTGCCGAAATAAGCAAAATATAACTATATGCCATTCTATCAGAATGCAATATCATTAAAGCTGGAAAGGAAAGATTAAATCCCGAATGAAGCATGTGACACATATGGCGATACCAAAAGGTCATATGCATTGCAGCAGCAAATAAAGAACGAATGACTATGATGGGCAGAAGCAAGATATAAAATAGATTTGCACAAAATCAACCACGTAATTACAGGAACTGCTGGCTGAATTTTCCCCTTTAATACCCAAATCCAAAATTACACAGGAATTCTGAAGACCAAGCGGTGAGATGAACAAAAGAAACCAATACCATAACATGTTCAGGAAAACAGGGATTAAGACCGGGTATAATTGTCAGGGATCGAAAGAAAGTGCCCCCAACCAAACCCAAAGCAACCCTCAGGCTCCTTTCTTTGTTCCCCTCAACAGAAAACGCGGGTCGTCACAGTGGAAGAACGAAAGGAAACTTTCTCGGAGGGATGGGGGGCGTGCTGCTTCCTTTCCCTCCTCTAGTACCAACGCAAGCGCACACATGAAGAGGAAGAATAGAGAAAGGATCCACCATTCTCTCTCTCTCTCCTCCCCCCCACCCCCAATCCGGGTATCGTCTTGTCTCACAGGTATTCATCAGGATTAGAACATCCCATCAACCGAAGAGGACGTACGAGCATAAAAAACAGAGAAGAAAAAGACGGAGTCTCCATTACGTCGCCGGTAGCGATTCCCACCGTGGATGCCCCAGACGCACGCCGGAGTAGTTACCTTGGTTGAGGAGGCGGTGGACGGCCTCGCTTGGGTCCATATTGCACTCCTTGAGCATAGCGTAGATCTCGTCGTCCGAGAAGTTTCCCCCCACGATCTCCTTGATGTTCTGCAGCATCTTCTTCGTCGTCGAGCCCGCATGGCCGGGACCCCCTCGCCCGCCTTCCCCGTTGCTGCTCATGATTCCGCACGACCCACGGCAAGCGCCACCCAGCTCCTCCTCCCAACCCCCGCCCCCACAGGGCTCTCGCGCCGCCGCTACAGACCAGGACTGCAACCCAGCAAGCGTCGTCAACTGCGGCGGCCGGCTATCTCCCAATCTTCCCCCCTCCCCACCTCCCGCACAGCAGCAGCAGCAGCGGCGGCGGCGGCGGAAATGGCGACGAGAGAGAACCAGGGGGACCAGAGGGAGAGAAAGAGAGAGTTAGCGGGAGGCGAACGGCGAGAGAACAAACCCCGAGCCACAGCGGAAAGCAGAAACGGAAGAGAAAACCCTCGTAGGCCTTCGCTTTCCCTCTATATAATCAATCCCCCGATCCACACCGACTGATCTCTATTCGCCCTCCATGGATTGAATTCGAAGTAGCCATCTCTCTCTCTCTCTCTCTCTCTCTCTCTGCATCAGCCCCTTCCCCCCTCTCTCTCCCGTTCATAATAAATACGTCTTTACCCGTTACCAGCACATCCATTGACACTCCCACTACTCTCGCTACGGCAGACGGCGACACCAGTAAATCGCCTCCTTAATGACTCGGCTCGGCTCGGCTCGGCTTAAGGGCGGCTCGTCCGAGTCACCGCGTCTTGCGCTTATCCGACCGACCCGTATGTAGAGAGGCAAAATTACCGGTGACGTGGCCAACAGGCGGCCGTCCATCCCCTCCGACGGCTCTCGAGAACAAATCTCTACGGTCCGTCTCAGGGTTAGGGTTTCGGTTTCGTGTTTCCCTCCGCGCGCGAACACAGAGGGGTCCATGGGCACGCGCGAGACTCGGTTCCTCGTCGTCCTCGAGGGAAAACCCTAGACCAGGAATTTAGATACAACTCGAAGAGACGAACAACTCCGAAATTTATTCATTTCAGGCCCGGTGGATGTTGAAGATCGCCGCTCCGATGCTCCGGCAGTCGTAGTCCATCGTCTTCATCCAGTTCTCGAAGTCCCCGATCTCCTGCCGAGGTTTCGGTCGGCCCGTGAGATTTCGAAACCCTAAATCGGGTCGAAGAAGAAGGAAGAAGCAGAATGGCGTCGGTACCTTCAATGCGGAGTTGAGGGCTTGGGACATGGAGTGCCACTGGTCGGCCTGCCTCGAGTAGCGCAGGGCTGTGCTCATCAGAGCTCGAATCTCCTGCTCGATGCGCTTCTCGTTGACGAAGGCCTCCTCGATCCCCCCATTCACCGCGCCGACCAGGAGCTCCGAGACTCGGCTCGCAGCTCTCAGCGCCTCCCTCCTGGCCTCCTCTGCATCCGCCGCCGCCGCCGCCGCCGGCGCCAAGGTTCAAGCCGATTTCAATCCCATCCCATGCGATTGAGAGAAGAGCATGGAAATCATCAGAACTGAGACGAATGAGAAGTATGGAATCCGGGTAGAAGGCAGAAAGCGTCTGATTGAAAAAGAGGCATCAATTTAGAAACCTAGAACATATTTCTTCCGGTACCAACATTGCCATCCTGATTACTCCTCGGGAATCATCATCGACGATCATCTTCGAGCGAGAGAATGTAGATGCCCAGGTGGAGTAGCAGCTCTCGATCATTCGATTGAGCTGAACCATGACTGATTGACTAAGTCATATGCGTCGAACGACAACATTGTAGAAAATTACGCACTTTCATATGTGATTTCCCTGTAGAAACTATTAAAAAAATATAACAACAAAACTGTTCATCTGTTCAGCTGAACAGCCGAACAGTTTTGTTGATCTATATTTTTAATTTCTGCAGGGGAAAGATCATGTGCGAGCTGGTTAATTTGTTCAGCTGAACAAATTTTGAAAGCTGCGAAGAAAAAATATCATGTGAAGAAAAATATATCATGTGAAAACTGTTCAGATGTTGATCTTCTGCTTCAGGGGCCAGGGTTTTAGTCTGTGAATCTATCAGAGAGGGACTTCCTTTCATCCCTCAGACATTTCTTCCATTTCTGATCTATAAGAACTCTTCTATTCCGAGAGAAAGAAACTTGTATCACAAGAAGATTAGTTTCTCAAGACGAAAGAACAACTGGGGGAGGGGCTTCTGCTCCCAAGATATCTCTCAGCAGCCATCGCCATTATGAGATGTGAGTACGAGCATATGAACAGGAAGTATGTATGCCAGGGTGATATCTCTCAGCCGATGTCAAACCCTAGATCCTACACCCTCCCGAAGCCGAGCCTTCTCGAGACATTCAAAGCCTTCGATGCTCAATCTGCCATTAAAATGCCCATCGCAGGGAGTATAATCCCCTTTTCACATCAATCTTTCCCCCCCAACCCCAAGAAAAACCACCTGATCGTCGCGGGGAAAACTTATCAGGCAAATGATAGATTCCAAAGGGAAATTCATGGACATGGACGGTAATAACAACAGTCAAGCTCCTAGTCATCTAGCAACACGAAAATTTTCCAGGAACCAAGACAGCAGAGGGGCGGCAAGGAGCGACAAAATGAAGAAGAGCGGAGAAGTCTGGCCGCGCGGAATTTCCGAGGGGGGAGGAAACATTCTACGCCGGATCTTCGGCGAGACACGATGATGGAGATGAGAAAGAAGGGCGTTCGGCAAACTAACCTGTGCGATCTCGAGCGCGAAGGGATGCCCGCTGATGTTCCTGCACTATCCGCAGAAGCGACGACTCCACGTCCTCCTCGATGTCCGCCGCTTTCCCCTTCTTCATCCCCTCGTACACACGTCGAGCGAATAGCCAGACGGATACAGAGAGAGAGAGAGAGAGGTGCGGGGGTAGTAACTGACAGGTGCGGAAGAAGAACAACTTGGTGGGCCAGTCAATGTTCACTGAAACGGCCCGTCCCGTTAAAGCCCATTACCCAACTGGATTGGACTCCAAATGAATCCGTACTCGGCCCAAAATACCAGAAGGCCACCCCGTACGTGGGCCCAATAATTATGACATCCCAAAAGACTCGCGTTTCCCTCACTAGATTAATAATAAAAATCATTAAAATTATTAAAAATTCTAAATAGGATTATAATTTACTTTAATGTTTTCATGTCCACAAACCAGCTCAGTTCCGTAAAACACACACGAAAAGACCATTTTAGCCCTGGAGAGAGAGAGAGAGAGAGAGAGAGAGAGAGAGAGAGAGAGGTCTTCCGCGAAAAATGATTCTATGATCGAGAGCTCTTGAACTTCCCATTTAGGAGGGATTAAAAAAAATCAGCTAAAGCGTATTATGTAGGGCTGATTTAATATTTTAAACAACATCTGCGACAAGATAAATCCAAATAACCCGATAATATTCTATAAAAGCCAACGCCGTCATTTGGAGGCGAAGACTCGGAGATGGCGACGGCGAACGAGATGGCGGGAGCCGGCGGGAATGCCCAGGAGGGTCCCACCGTAGTTTCGAAGGCCACGGAAATGTTATTAATTCGGAATATAATATCGATTTAAAGAGATGGGATGTGGGTGTGGGCCGAACGGAGGATTATTGAATAATTAATTGCTGAAATGTCCCATCCCCGCACCTGACCACATGATTGATCGGACCCACTTAACTACCACGGGAGCCGGTGCGGCACCGTGGCGCACGCCCGGCCAACCGCGGGCCCTGGGTGTGCATTATTTGACTAAGAACCGAGTGGCGTCACGGGACCGGGCCCACGTCAGCAGCAACCTCCTTCCAGGATAAAAATTAAAGATTATTATGAGCCCTGGGGGCTCTTGGAGTGGGAATCCTTCATTTTATATTTTAGAAAAATATAATTATTTATTTGGCATTTGGCGTTGAGGCGACTGTTTTGGCGCCAAATGCCGCCGAAATTTTGCGGGTAGGAGGGGGATCGGTCTGGCGGACGGTCTAGAGATTTTCACGAGAACATCACGGAATGAATTTTAAATGGGGGAATAATAAAAATTATAAATTATTATGAATTTACAACGAGGACGCCACCACCGGCTGTTTACTTGCGCCAGGGAGAAAAGCGGTAGGCGGGGGCTGACCGCGAGACGTCAGTCCGGAATCCTACCAAGTCACCGCCGCCGACCACAACGGCGTCCGCGTCCCACCAGGTTGCGTCGTCCTCCGTCACCCTCCCCACCAGCGATCTCACCTTCCTCAGGTCTACCGCCGCGGAAGATCCGGCGCCGTCGCCTACGTACAGTAACTTCCCCGTGCCGCCGAGGCGCAGGACCCTGCGCCGTAGGCGTAGAGGGAGGTCGGCAGACGCCGCCGGGGTTTCGCCGCCGGTTCTCGCGTCCCATACTCGGATCTCCAGGCCGCAACCGCTGGCAGAGTCCCCGGCGGACAGAACCAGCGCCGGCGCGGCGACCGGGCTACTGTCCACCGCGAACGACCGGATGACCTCCCCTCTGTCGAGATCCCAGAGTGGGGGGCCGCCGGTGCCGCCGTCGGCGGCGTCGAATGAGAGGTCCTCCCTCTTCCAAGCTTTCACGACCTCCCTTCCTCGCAGGGCCAGCTCCGAAAGCCATCGGAGGTCAAAACAGCCGTCGAGGCCATCGTACTCCACAAAATCGCCAAGATACCCCTCCCTCACCCTCTGGTCCTCCTCTCCTGGATCTTCCCAAGAGGGGATGAGCCTGTCCTCCTCGCCGTCTTCGTCGGGGGAGCACGACGACCACGCATCGTCATCGTCGTCGTCGTCGTCGTCGACGTCGCCGCTGGAAAAAATGCCCGGTTGTTGGGAATGCTGCTGCATCGCGGATTTTCCTCGGCTCCGGCGAAAAGCCCGTGCCAAAAGCCTCAGCCGTGCGATGAGGCTGCCGTAGGCGGCGAGGGCGGCGAGGAGGAGGAGGACACCCCACCGCCAGATGCTTCCGAGTTCGCGGGGGGCGCTCCCGACGCCGAAGCCGAGATCCGCGAGCCTCGAAGGGAGGACAGGGCTCTGCAGCCGCGCGATCCCCCCCTCCATCAGCGACACCTCCATGGCCATCGATCACAACGACGAAAAAGCTCACCGACAGGGGAACAGCGAATTGCAGCCGCCGCAGCACGATCCTCCACCCGCCGAGATCTGGCTCTGGACGGGATCTCTCCCGATCTCTCTCTTCCTTGCCCTCGCGGGAGACGCTCTGTCTGGGACGCGGGGAAAGAGGAAGAGGGGCGGCGGAGAAACACGACGAGACGTGAGAAGAGCGTGCGAGCGAGAGAGGAGGGTCCGTAGCGTGATCCCCGTGGGGGATTTATAGCGCGCAGTGGGGATAACGACAAATCCGAGTAATTGCTGACGTCGGAGGCGTAGTGGCTATCGCCGGCGGCGTCTCTGCGCGCGCTTTTCGGAGCCACGGGATGTTAGCGCTGAGTCATTACACAATCACTTCGGATTCCGCCCTTGTGGCCATCCCGGCCGTGAGATCCCCACGCCAGAAAACGAGTGGTCTGGACCGCGATGTGCCGGCTGGATCGTGGCGACCACAAATTCCGCCACGTCGACATAAGCAGCCCCTTTGTGGGCCTCACCATCGAGTTCCGGGCTGGCCTTCGAATTCTCTGAGCCCAGAAACGTGGACCACGGCAGTAGCCGACCAGCTTGGACGGACCACTCCCAGGGAGGTGCGGCCCGACTCGGGCGACCTGACCGATTTTCCGTGGAGTGCGAGGATTCAATGGAGGATATTCAACGTCAGAGGGGGCCCCACGTGAATCGGACCGATTCAACCCAGGCGGGCGGTGTCGCTCTTCCGGTCCATAAATGCCAGCGACCGACGCTTCCCGTGAACCGGGCGGCCCTCTGCACGGGCTTCCCGATCGGCCCATTAACGCTAGCCGTGGCTTTAAGGCATCTGGGCTTGGGCCGGGCTGACTCGGGAAGGCCCATCTCCTGGTGGTCTTGTAATAATTACTAAAAATAGTAGAGCATCGTTGTCAAAATAATTGCCTCATTATTTCAAACCAGGGACTAGAAAAATGTTTATGGAGGCTTAATACGCACTTTGACCGTCCCGGGGGTGACGTAATCAGTTTCAGATCCCCAGGAAATCGAATGGTCCAAGCAGATGAATTCCGTTGGCGTCCGCACACGCGGTTCCACAACGACGCGGCTACGGCTCCGCGAGGCCACCGGCACGTGTGACCCGGGCAACGGACGTCGAGAGCTGTCCTATCTCGGCACGTGCGGAGAGTCTTCGGTCTTGGGACTGATAATCAAGGAACATATTGAACTGCACCGTGATATGCGTTCCCCACTGAAAAGGGTTCCGAGGCCTTGTTACTGGCCGCGCACTGTTCTCGTGGGTATTCTAGATGCAGCTTCTGTCTGACCGAACCTCTGGATTGTCTAAATGACTGAATTACCCTCAGACGTGTATTTCTCCGGATCCCATCAGTCGTTAATTGGGAAGTAAGCGCGGCGTAGAGGGTTGTGATAGCATTCGCTTTGGTCCTTCCCTTCTTCTCCCATCCCCCGCACCTCTTCCTCGTAGCCCTCCTCTCTGGGGCTTCAGAGCTAGGTTTAGGGTTTCCTTTGCTCGAGGGAAGGAGGGGTGAGTGGCGGCAAAGGGAGATCATGGGGCAGCAGTCGATGATCTACAGCTTCGTGGCGAGGGGGACGGTGATCCTGGCCTCCTACACGGAGTTCTCGGGGAACTTCACCAGCATCGCCTCCCAATGTCTCCAGAAACTCCCGGCCAGCAACAACAAGTTTACCTACAACTGCGATGGCCACACCTTCAACTACCTCGTCGAGGACGGATACAGTTGAGTAACCTCGCCCGGTCATTGCTCATTCGATCGCTTCGTTTTCGTGATAATTTCCGTCGGATTTCTACCATTTGATGATATTTGAGTTGGTATTGTGGCGTGGATGTGATGTTCCGTTTGATATTGTGATCAGATCTATAGCTCTTCGCGTGGTTTGGTGTTCCTTGCTCCGCGTGGGCGGCGTGGTTTGGTTTAGGGAAATGATTTGAAAATTTGGTGCGGCGATGGATTTTCCAGTTATTCGGGATTTTCCCGTTGATTCATGATCTGATCCGCTTTTGTAGCTTGATTTCGTGAGGTTTGGATTTGGGAGGATTTAATCGCGTAAGGTACACGTGGAAGATGTACTTCTACAGATCTGATAACGGAGGAGGGTAATCAGGTTGGATCGTAGATTTTTTTGTAGTTGGTGGCAACGTCCGATGGCTCTAGATGTGAGGGATCAGCGTTGAGTAATCGTAATTTCCTGATCTGTTATCGTTCGTGTCTTGTTTTGAATAGTTCTTATGACCTGAAAGCGAAAAAGCTCGGACAATTTTTTCTCGGAGGGATGTCGACCATATTTGTTCAGGAACTTTAGTCTATGTCAGCCTAGTCGATTGTTTTGCAGTTCAACGGCTTCCATTCTTTTATTCTCTTACACTTTTTGGTGTTCATTTCGTCTTGTTTTTTTACGGGAGACCTCAATTGGATAATTTTTTGTTGAATCATCAACTTGTTTCCTCTGCCTTTTGCCATCCAGGCTCGAGTCCACCCCATACTTAATCCTCTTTTTCATCTGTCCGTTTCTTTGTTGAGGGAAGTATCTAGTGATTGGGTTGTTCACGTTCCTCTTTGATCTCTGTGGTTATTCTAAACAAGAACTTGCAACGTAAGTCCTAGTTAGGTAAATTGCGGTCGCAATAGGGGATCACTAACGTGCTGATCAGATATGTATTCCTAGTTGATATATTATCGCATAATGTTTAAACATTTTCTTTTCTTATTGTGTCACCCTGATGAGTTGCATTTAAAGACATATTTAGCTCACATAAAAAATCGTTTCCTAGAGGACTATTCCTGGTACCATTTCCAAACGTAATCCTCCTCCGTTGTTTGGCCAATGTGCTTCTCTAACTTATTTTCGAGAATGTGTTTCCGCTTAGCTGTCCGTGATAACAGCTGCTATCTAATTAAACGCAAGTTTTATGCTCAGTAATGTTTTAGATGAAAGTAGCACTGCATGACAATATTGCTGTAGTTGGGATCTGGTTTGGCTCACCTAGGAAAATGAACTGTTGAATCATTATATTCTGTGCATTTATCTGTGAATATTTATTTTTTGTTAAAGTTATTATATGATCCAAATCATGAAGCATCATGTCCTTACGTGATAGATCTGCACATCCCAGATCACATGTAAGAAGATGTTGTAAGTTGGCAGCTTTGTATCCTTCTCGCCAAGCCTCGTCAGGTCATCACTTTAATGTTTCGGACTCTACTAATTGGATACAGATGGACCATTATATCCTTTTAGAAATCACGAACGAGAGTATTGGAAATGTGCAAGAGTGAATAAAGTTGAAGTGTGAGAAGTCTGAAGATAGTGTTTGGGAAGACTTCTTTCATACATGTAATCTCTCGCAAATTAGAGATGATAAGACGGTGTCAGAGAGGTGCTGGAAAGCGATATAAGTAAGCTAGACTATGAAAAATCTCTAACCTCACAGACTATGAACAAGACGGTTTTTTTTGTTTCTGCATAGAAAATCTCTAACCTCACAGAGGGCAGACAGTGGCAAAAAATACATATGAACACGAGATTCAATGATACGTAGCAAGGCAAAAACATTCTGATACATAGTTAGTGGAAGACTGAGATGGTACGAACTTGAAGTATTCAGGACAATATTTAAGAGGAACTGTAGTTATTTGGAATACTGAATCTTTGAGGTGAAATTCCGATGAAAGGCAGTAATATTTCAAATTTACATTATCCGTGGGGAAGGTTTTTCCTCTACAGTCCACAGAGAAAATAGTAATGAAGGAAGATACAGCAAAAAACCAAGGACACGGGCAAACTTTCTGGACAGTCCGAATGATGGTAATGTGATCTTTTTGGGTCAGGAAGGCCGTTGTGAATGATGGCTTGGAGGCAAGTTTTTCTTTCATTCGTGGTGCATTGAAATCCTCAACAATCCGAAATACATAAGAGCATATTACAGGAGATCTTCCCCATCAAAGTCGCTTGGAATCTGTGGATGATGGCTGGGAGGCAGTTTTTTCTTTTGGGGTAGTTATATCTGGTGAGCAAATTGATCTTCTGCCGCAGTATTCATTTTTTTTTATTGGCAGGGTATCATGAAAATACAGAAGCTTCTTAGGTATGTTGTGTATTCGTGTGAGAATATGAGGCCGAACATTCGTTTCCCTAGCAAATGGTGTCTAAATCCAGACGGAACCTGAGAATCTCTCCCTGCTTGCTTAAACTGCTTCCATTTTAGTTTACTGCCCTGCCAAATCCGAATGGGTGGTTCTCATTAGTGATTTATGTTTGAGACTAGGCAGCCAGTTTCGAAGACTTTCACCAAAGGTTTCGTCAAGGCCTTCTCCCGGCATTTCTTCCTCCCCCTCCCTTAACCTTTTCATTAGTTCATTTTCTCCTTAACCGCGCTCACCACGGTTTATCGTCCTTTTTTGATTCCCCCGTGGTAACCGATTCATTGGATGACAGCCTACTGCGTGGTGGCCGTGGAGTCGGTCGGGAGGCAAGTTCCCATCGCTTTCTTGGAGCGGATCAAGGAAGATTTCGTGAAGAGATACGGAGGAGGAAAAGCTGCGACGGCCGCCGCCAACAGCCTCGACAGGGAATTCGGGTACGTCGCCGCTCTCTTCTGCCCTCCCCGAACGTACGACCACGCCGCCGCCTTCTCTTCTTGACTCGCCCTCCCACCGTCGGAATCCCCAGGTCCAAGCTGAAGGAGCACATGCAGTACTGCGTCGACCATCCCGAGGAGATCAGCAAGCTCGCGAAAGTCAAAGCTCAGGTGTCGGAAGTCAAAGGAGTGATGATGGAGAACATCGAAAAGGTCAGAAGAACCTCCCCCCCTCCCTTCTCGTCTCCCTCATCTCACTCGATTCCCTCCGTTGTTCCCCCCCCCCCACAGGTCCTCGACCGTGGCGAGAAGATTGAGCTCCTCGTCGACAAGACCGAGAACCTCCGCTCTCAGGCCGGTCTCCCCACCTCCCCACCCTCTGTGATTCATTTCCTGAAATAGCCCCCGCTCTCTCTGCTCGTCCCATGGCTCCCAGCCTGACGCGGTAGAAATTGTCGCAGGCCCAGGACTTCAGGCAGCAGGGGACCAAGCTGAGAAAGAAGATGTGGCTGCAGAACATGAAGATCAAGCTCATCGTGCTGGGCATAATCATCGCCCTGATCCTGATCATCGTCTTGTCCGTCTGCCACGGCTTCAAGTGCTGATCATCGTCGTCGTCGTCTTCACCGTGTCCACGCTCGATGAATGGTTCCGCTCGTTTCTAGTATCTGGTATGAGACTATATATCTCCTCCCCCTTCTGGGAGCCGTTGAAATTACTCTGTATTTCGTGTGTTCTGCGTGTATAGCCAGCCTTTTATACAGTGCATCCATTTTTTGCTCTCCTGGCAGCCGTCCTAGTACTTTCTACTTGCTCCAGTACCCGGTATTGAACACCCCCCCCCCTACAGTGGGTCGTCTCAGAACTTAGGACACCAGCATATATTTATATACCTACAGTGCTTTTCTAGTACTACCCCTTCCTATAAATTGACGATTTTCCTCTGGTCAACGCTCTCTCTCTCTCTTTCTAGATATGTAATATATATATAGATTTCATCTGAGAGGAATTGGTCAACTGTGAAGAGAATAGATAGAGTCACACCCACGAGGGTTTGGGATTTCCAGAATAGGATATACAGAGAGGAACATGATGATGGTGGATTAGAGCAAGTAGCAGCAGCGGAGGAGGAAACAATGGCCGGGGGGGTGGGCTCATTTCTTGACGACGAGGACAGCGCACTTGGCGTGATGGACGCAGTAGTTGCTGACGCTCCCCAGGAAGGCCCTGTTTCACGCACCGTACCGTCGTCAGCCTGGTCGAACGAACCAAGGGGACGGAATTCCTCCGAAGAAATGGGAGGGAGAAGCGATGACCTTTGGAAGGTTCCTTTCCCATGGCTGCCCAGAACCAGGAGCTTGACGCCATGTTTCTCGACGGCCTCGCAGACGGCTTCTTTGGCGTCCCCCACGGCCATGATTGCTTCCGCATTCACCTGCGCAGTCGCCCCGCCACCATCCAAACCCATCAGATTATCGGTGCAGGAAGAAATCTCTCTCTCTCTCTCTCTCTCTCTCTCTCTCTCTCGTAGAATCGTTGGGAGTCCGTACCCCGTGCTTGGCGCAGACCTCCTTGGCGCGCTCCAGCAGAGCCAGCGAGAGCTTCCTCTGGTGTTCCTGGAGAGACCGGACCAGCTCCGGAGCTGCGAGACGAAGATTGGGGAAGAACATCATCAGCTTCAGGTCATTACAAATCAAGACCTATCTCCCAGAGGCCAGAAGGAAATCATCCGTGCCGATCGGTGGGGGGAAGCGATAGATAGAGATAGAGAGAGAGACTGACGGGCAGTCATCGCAGTGAACATACGGGCGGAGCCGTAGGTGGCGGCGGGGATGTAGCTCAGATTGGCGAGGGGCTGCGCCGTGAAGACGATCAGGGGGGGCCCGCCGCCTGTAGCGGCGACGGCTTCCCGGAGATTCTCCAGCGCCCATTCGAGAGCGTAGAGGCTGCACTCGCTCTCGTCGAGAGCCACCATCACCCTCCCCGTCCCCTGGCCTTCCCCGCCCCCGCTTGCCTCCACCTCCGCCATCTCTGCACGGAGCTTCCCCTCTTCTATTCCTCCTCGCTTCACCAGCTCCGTTCGTTCCCGATCGACCTCCAACAAGGACAGCAGCAGCAGCAGCAGCAGCAACAACAACACCAACAAGGCGAAGAAGAAGGTGAGCGCAGTCAAGCCGCAGACGGGGGAAGGGGGAGAGGAGAGTAGTTAAGGGAAAGGACCCCTTGAGTTTTCCGTACGTGTCAACCTCATCGCCGGGCCCGTCGACGTGGGGGTGCGGGAGGTGGAGGGCGCCAAGGGGGATGGCATCCTCATCCTCTCAGACCGTGAAGTGTCCGTCCCCTCGGAAATCTAGAAGATCCTTGAAGTCTCCGCTTGACTTTATCCAGTTTTTTTTTTTAACAATTTCCGAATTGTTAAAAATCGGATATTAATGCGCGCAAAAGTCGGATTTATTTTTTTTGCCCACAATCGTCTATTGGATCCTTCGCCAATGGACCCGGGAAGCAACGGACATGGCAGAAATTTACTTCCGCAGTAAAAAAATAAAATAAAATTAGCTTTTTCTGTGGTGACCTATAAACATGTCTCAAAAACCCTAACCGACCTCTGCAAAAACCCCAAACAGATTGTCTCTGAGTGTGTGTCGGCGGCATGGAGGGGTGGTTTGGCTCCGCCGTGACGGCCCCTCCGGGTGAGGCGGCGAATGCCCTCGTTGAAGGTGAGATCCTTCGGATCCTCTGTCCGACCGCGTTCCCTAAGTTGCGGGGAGACCGGATCCTCTGTCTTCGGACGGGGTTTTCGTCAGGGTGCTTTTCGGATGATGCTGTATCTTTGTTTGCCGATCGCCTCTCCATTGTATAGAAGATGGATGGTGCGCCGGCGGTTCTTGCTGCCGGCGGGTGGCGGCGAAGCCTCATATCTCCATCCGGTTTCGCTTTCTCCGCCGTCTTTCTCGTTTTATCGCCGGCGATGTCCAGGCTTTCCCGGTCTTCATTCCGTGTCCGTCGCTGCGCACCATTTAGCCCCTTGCTTCTTCAGATCTGGTCGCAAGGAAACATGAGAAAAGGTTGCCAGGTGCTATATCAAGTGGGTGCCATGGCAAAACATTTGAGGCCTTGCAATGAGTTGGAGGCGCCGTTCAAATCCTTTCTCCTTTGCCGAACAGACCGCGGGCTCAATCGATCAAATCGATCGCCCGGCTCGGTCAATCACTTCGAAGCTCCCTTTTTCTCTGTTTTTTTTTTCCCTTGCTTCGATTCATGCAGTCCGACGCATGCAAAGTGGGAGGATGATTCTTCGCGACTGATATTGCGATGAAGAGCAATTTCCTTCAAAGTTCGCTGACCGCTTTGCTCGTGATTGTGTTGCCGGGTTTGTGCATATGGAACGAGCACATCGTCTCCTCGAGCCTACTCATGAGAGTTGATCTCGAAGGCATCCCTATCCCTCTGGCTCTCTTCGCTCGTTGATTTCTGGGGTTGACTTCCCCTTCCAAGTTTTCTGACTTTCATTGCCCGTTGATGTTCTTATCCATCTGTTCTGCTTTTTCTATCTTCACAGGAATTCAGCTTCTGATAAAATGCATTGAATCCATGATATAATGGCATGTCCTTTAAGCGAGTTTCTGGGTAACAAATTGATTTAGTATCAATTAGTGACTCAAGAAGGATTATAAAATTATATAATATCTAGATTCCTACATACATTAAACTTTCTATAGCTACTGCACAAAGAATCTTCTACATCTGTTTAATTCTATAATCCGTCTTGAGTCATTAATTCATATTAAATCTATCTTATTTACTCATTCGGTATCTCTTAGTTTACAATCTCTGTATGTAAAATATTTATATAACTTTATTAATTAATGTAGTTTTTATGTGATTTTCTGTATCAAAATTCTTTGATATAAAAACTTTAGCATATCATTAATGACAAATAATTTGTTATTAACATATTAAACCAAGAAGATATAATTACTTGATTTATGATAGCTAATAATAGTTGTATTTCTTTAATTAAAACATCACGTTCTCTACATCTCTGAACAACATGTAAAGCCAAAATGTTACCATTTTCTTACCATAACATATACATGGTCTCACCAATGTTATAATTCAAGATCAAAATGTGTCATTATAATTATTTATTATTATTCTAAATGAATCTTTTTAAAAAATCGAAAACAAAAATCTCTTTATAATCAATGACTTTTTTTATTCATTCACTTAGTGACAAGGCCAACCTTATATTCTCAAACGTAATAATTGAGAAATCAATTATAATAATTCTTCAAATAAATTTCACAAGGATTTAATTTAGAAAAAAACTTAGAGGACGTGATAAATTAAAATGAGTTGGTGATGACGTGAGCATGCGATATGATGACGTGGGTATCCGGCGACCCGGCTAAGCGTGGCGCACCGTCCCTCGCACTCAGCTCGAGTTACAGCCGTAGCCGTTTCGTTCGAATCGACGCAGCCGCTTCTCGCACTGAACCGTCGAGGAGAGGGGAAAACACAGGAGAGAGAGAGAGAGAGAGAGAGAGAGAGAGAGAGAGAGAGAGAGAGGGAGGAGAGGGGGGGGTGGCAGAGGGGTGAACCGGCCGCACCGCCTTACGACGCCGCCTTCCAGCAACGCCTTTCAGGCGCGCTCCTCCGCCGCCGTCCTCCACCCCCTCCGGCGTCCGTAACGGCCTTTCGGCATCCGGAGCAGCCTTCCGCCGTTCTCCAGCCTTCCGTCCGACGACGGAAAAGAGGGACAACCGGAAAAGAGGTGAGTTCCTCCTGCAGCCCCCATTTGTTTCCGAACGGAAACCTTCCTTCAGGGAAGAGGAGAGAGAGAGAGATGTGAGGAAACCACCGCTCCTTCTCCTCCGCAGGGAAGAGAAGAGGGTCGACGGCTTAGGAGGCCGTGTGTACAGCCTGAACGGCCCAGGAGTCCATCTGCACGGGCTGAACAACCAAGGAGTCCGTTTGTGGTAACTTAAAACCAAATGATATGCCACAACGAACTTCTGTGCGATCTATAGCCCATGCGGATGCCTCAAGCCACCTGAAATCTTACGCTGGCGTCCATCGGACTGATTCTGAGTCCACTCTCATTCTCCAACATCATATATGACGTACGAAATAGAAAATAATATGTATAACATATGATTCTCCAAGAACTCAACACATCAAGCTCTGATACCACTTGATGAGGATATTTCAAAGTACAAGATCTAGTGCTGAGTTCGGGAGAACGATAATGAGAATGAGAATGAGAATGAAACTAAAAGAAAACATACTTGAGTCCTTTTCGATCCAAATCTAAACCTGGGGTTCTGGTCTTTTGGTTCAGCCCAGAGTGATGAGAACCTTATGAGTCGTTGGAAACTTATGACTTTCCTCCTGAAGTGATGAGATACTTCAGAAGTAACTCTGCCTTAGTGAGTGATCTAAGGACCTGATCCCTATTTATAGCCTCGAGGTGGTTAACCCCTCAGTGTCAATTTTCAATTCTGCCCATCATGCAATTAGAAATGACCTGACCTTTATACATTTTTAACTCCATTCTTAGGAGAGATGTTGTAATCCCTTATCAAACCTTAATGATAATCTTATAATATACAATTCATATACATCTGCTCAAATTGAGTTCAAATCCAACATGATGTGGTTTGAATAGACAGTAGCAGCTCTATCCAAGCACAACTGGGTTTTATGTCTGAGGAGATTGGAGAATGTGGGATGTTAAAGGGTAGGACTAGTGGCCAGTGAAGAAGAACAGTTTAGGTATATAGGGCCAGACTGCACTGAAGAGGATTGCCTGCTGTGGTAGTGTATGACATATTTCCTGATACAATTTGAAAAAGTAAGAATAAAAGATTGAAGAAGTGAAAAAGATCAGAGGCTATGTAGGATATATTCACAAGGTCTGCTGAGAAGTTTGGAGAAGTTCACAAGTAGATGACTGCTGTGGCATGATATTATGTAACGATTTGAATCCGGTTTACTTTTAAACGTGTTAGTTTCACCACAGGCATTATCTTTGTTTTGACTCAGATACTTGATGTGGCTGTATCAGAAATGAAGCTCTTGAATGCTATACAATCAGGAAAGGTCCTATCGTCTAGAGCACATCTCTGTGGGAGCATCAGATCCATCTTCACTGATAAAAACCCTGGTTAGCTCACTGCTGTTTTTTTGTTGTGTGTTTCTTTTCTATTCCCTGTTGATGATGATAGGAGATTTCCGATTTACATTTCCCAAAACCCATCGTTAGTTCCTTTTCCTAATGGTCATGATATTTTTTTTTCATAAACTGATCACGAACATCTGTGTTTCGAATAAAGTACATCTTACACAAAATATTTTGTGTTTTGGACTAATATTATGGAAACTTTACCGTTTAAAGAATGCAGAACTGAAGGTTTTATTCGACAATTCATTTGTGCCCAAAATTGTAATTGCATCAGTTGGCCACAACCTTCCACATATTTCTGTTTTCGTGTTCAATGTTCTGTTTGCAAGTAACGAATGGAACAATGCAGATGTTACAACATGAGCAGAACCCATATGCATTTAGTCAATCTGTATAACAACATCTTCAGAAAGTTGAACCAGAAATGAGTGTCACTGCTCGTTGTGCACGTGCTAGGGATGGCTGTGTGCCATTAGCACATTATTATGAAAGTGACTCAGTTTGTCCAATCAAATTGATGTCCAAAAGCAAAATCGAGAGTTGCTGCAGAATTAGACGAGCATTTGCAGAGTAGATAGGAGACAATTTAACTTGTCGATTAATTGCAATAATGATTATATCTTCATTCTATTTGTTCCTGTGCTAAATTTCATTATCCTGGTAGTATGCCAGACGGCCACCAGAAGAGGAAGTACCACCCTTGTCAGGGACCATTTGAGGATCAGCTAAATTCATAGATTGTTGTGAGCAGATGTGTTGAGAAGTGTTATCTTCATAGACCTATCTTATCCATTGGCCGTCTGCCTAGAAAACATTGCCGTAGGTGCTGTTTGGAGAAGTGTTATATTCTTGTGGGAACATTTTCCTTAAACTTCTTTGCATCAGAAAACGTTCCTCATCTCTCTGTTTCTGTTGGTCGCTCAAAGGGATCACCTGCTTCATTTTTAGATTCCTCATGTGCATTTTTCTCCCCACAGAGAAGCAAGACAATATTTCAATCCATTCTCCATTTCCTTATGAGGACTCTAGTTGGTGATCGTATCTTATGCATGACCGTCAATTCAAAGATGCATTTTAAATTTCTTCTAACCCATAAGTTTTCTACTTCACCTTCCCTCCATTTCACTTGGGAGGAGTGAAGAAAGCAGCCTGAAGTCATCTTGAAATCTTCTAGTTCACCATCTTTGATGCTTTTATCATCATAGTATATTCCTCAACACGTTGCCCAAGGCACGACCTTACCCACTAGGTCCTATGTAGAAGGTTGTTTGGATAGTTAGACTGGGGCCTAGCAAATAACACTCATATTCTGAGGGTGATGCAGGTTCTCTTGTCAGAAAAAAGATAGTTCTTTGTGGACGTCTATAATTACTTGACATCTTTACTTTTTATAGGATTTATAGGCCGTTTGCTAGCTTGGTGAGACATAGTTAGGCTTGTAAATTTGTACGAGTTTGATTTACATTATGGACTTGGGCTGATATTGATGTAGAACAGAATCGAGGAAAAATAAAAGAAACCCCAAAAAGTGGGGCAGAACGGACCCTAAGGTGTGAAACGCGGACGACCCATAAACTTGAACATTGAGTTATAAATTGCGGATAACATATGATTAGTTTGAGAGATAGACTCAAATGATGTTGAATTCTAGAATATGAAAAAAAGTGTGAAGTGTAAAAAAAACCAACCAGGTCCAATTAGTTGCTGATTCTAAAATTAAAAATAAGAAATAAGGTTTTGATATACGTCTTGATATCAAAGGATCATCTCTGCTGTCATGTTTAACCTCTGATTAGTGTAAGAGAGATATCTTAATATTGTTTGATAAAAACAGATAGTACACAAAGGAGAGAGAAAGGACTCAACTCAAACCCAAATCGAGACTCTAGTATTTATACCAGAGTCTCAAGTTACCTAGATGGGCCAATAGGGCCCATACCCATATGGGGTGATATGACCATGACCTGGATGGGCCTATAGAACATTAAAAGAAAGCAATTTAAATTAAAATATGAGCTAACAGTCCCAGAATTGATGTAGGCCATCAAATCCTATCAAGAGAAGGACGAAAAGTTTTTGACCCTGGTGGCCTAGAACTAGTGGGCTGTTTAAGGTCCTTATTAGGTCGGTTATAGTGATCAGAAGATCTTAACAGCTAAATCACTTTTACCCAGTATTTAGATGCGTCCCAAACGCATCAGAGATTAGTTTCACGCTTAATTGAAGTACAAGCCCATCTACATCCCAATCCAAGTAGACTAGAAGCTCAGAAAGCATGAAGACACAAGTTGGCCATACTTCGGCTTAAGTTGGCCAAATAATGACTCATAATAAAAGACATCCAAATTTAATTCTCGCTTTTAATTTTGTTTCCCACTTTAAGTCAATTCGAATTTGTTTAAATGGGCCGAAATTCATAATTAAGAGGCCATAATTTAGGAGCGTTCTAATAGATTCTGGACCTATTTAAAGGCCTCCTTCTTGTAGCCCTAGAGACATTCCATCTATTGCACAAAATTTTCCCTTTTTTGAGACTGTCTCTTTGATGGTGGATTCCAGTGCCTTCTCTGCGGATTCAGGAGAACTCTATGGATGTTGTGGACGCAAGATTAACTCCTTGTGGATTCAAGGATCGAAGCTTCTTCACTTTGTGGATTTAGGACGAAGAATCTTCACAAAAACCATTTTTTTATGGATTCATTACGAGATTTCAACTCCACATATTTCAAGCTGTGTCAAGTGGTATCAGAGTGAGGATTAGAGAAAATCATGCCTTGTGGATTTACGGTTCTACTGTCGTTCTTCCCCACCTCCAAATTCGTGTCTTGTCAACTTAAGGCTCAAATCTATAATCTCTACAACTCCGACTCCATAAAATCATTATCCCATCATTCTCTGCTGCATCAAAAATCGTCTACCGTTTTTGAACCGAGGTTGTAGTCAATATCGTTTTATCATGGGATTATCTCTTTTAAAATGTTTAAGCACATCACCTAAAATTTGGCAATCTGTAGAACACCCAACCCCCCCTCTGATGATGAGTTGAAGATGGTCAAAGTTTATTCTGGTTGAATTACTAATGTAGAAGTGAAGCATTTTCTAACAGGGGAATTTCAAATTTTGGAAGGAGGAAGCTTGGTCACCTTGCATTTCTTTTATGTATAAATTCAACAGGGGACTCAATTTATTTTTAGCTGAGACTGATGCGGCAGAAACTGTTGACAGTATTTAATAACAAGATGTGCGTTTGCCTTTTAACAGGCCATAAACTGAGACCATAAACTTGTCCGATGCTTTCACATTGTTTAATCTAACTTCTAGTGAGAAATTTCAATGATGTCGCTTTGGCTTTGAAACAGGTGCCGGTGCAGATGACGGTAGAGCCGCAAATTCATCTGAATCTGCGGATGATTTTGAGCGGCGGATTTTTGGTGGGGTTCTTGACAACGACTCGAAGAACGTCTCATTTTTCGATAAGCTGGACAGGCTTGGGAAGGCTCGTGGAAGGTCTGGTGTGGGATTGAGGGAGGTTGGTGGTCTTGGTGGCCAATTCAATGACAGTATCGGAGAAGGCTTTGATACATTATCAGACGGCATGGACATGAAGCTGAAGAAAGCTGCAACCACTTTTGTTTTCACTGAAGAAGTCAAAGAGGATGACTATTCATTCAGACCCGATGTGAAATTCAGACCAGGGATGACGTACACATTAAGGGTATGACGCCACATGCGATGGCAAAGAATCTGCTTCATTATCCACCTCTAATGCCTTTTGCATTGTCCACCTTTAATATATTCTTTTAATCTAATATAGTTTTTTACATTCATTCATTCCATTAGAGCGATCATCTTTATTGGATGTCGCTTTTATGATATTTTTAGCATTTATCTGGTTAGCTCCAATGATAAATCCAGGATCGAGTGGCCTTGCCTCATCTGGGATCAATCCCATTTGAAGAACCTGGATCCAGATTAGGCTCAGATGATCTGGAGAGTAGAGAACCCTGCTCAGATTAGGCTGCCTCTATTGAATGCTTCGCCAGATAGATGAAAAAGTGTGAACTCTTGGCCCTGGAACTGTCCAATTTTCAGTTATTTCAATGTTGCAGAGCCTTTTAGTTTTCTTGCCAAAATCATCATCTGGGTCAATATATAGAACTGATCCTATTTCCTTCAAATGGTCGGGTCAAAACATCCAATCTCCCACTGACTTGGAACACTTAAGACCGTGACTTCTTTACCATTCAAAAATTTTCAGAACATGATTTCTTGTTGCTGCTAACTTTCAATTATTTTACGAGGTTTAATATCCGAAGAAAATCAGATAAACAGTATTAACATGGTGTCGACAGGATTAACCACCATCAGACAACCTGGTGAATGGTCAGAAAAAAACCAAGGAAAAAAATGGAAACCTGCTAATATTTGGATTCCCGGCTGTGCACAGGATCTTGATCTCACCAAACCAGCAGCTCAGAAACCTTTCAGGAGGCCAGAGTTTGAGACAACCACGAAGGAGGTTTTGCGGAAAGCTGATTTCCGGGTAATTATTATTAATTTTCTTTTACGTATTTACCCAGTGCATTGATTATACTTGCATCTGTTTCTTGTATCATTATTCTCTAGAATATTAGAGAACATGAACGGGGTGGGACCCATAAAAAAAAAAAAATTGAACCATTAGTCAACGATACAATTCCCGGCATTTAATATAGATATATATACTAAGAAAACACTTGAAATTAATGAATTATTGCCCCCCCAAATTCTCTCAGAATGTGCGATTCCTTGCAAACTTCCTCACAGAAGCGGGCCTCATCATTAAAAGGAGCAAGGTGAGTTCTTCCTTTTAAGTCAACTCTGCTTGTTCTTCAGCTCTCACGGATACTCCTCTTCAGACCCGCATCAGCGCCAAAGCACAGAGGAGGGTCACCCGGGAGATCAAGACGGCCCGGGCCCTCGGCCTCCTCCCATTCACCACGATGGGGACCAAGCAATTCCAATTCGGAAAGTCCATGGAGGATGTCGATGAGGATATTGACTACGAGAGCTTCTACAGCCAGCCGGTCAACGACTTCTTTGTGGACAAGAAGAAGGTGTAGCCGCAAGTCCCGTCCCATCTCTAGAAGACCATAATAATCCTACTCAGTCGTGTTCCCTCATATTAGAAGACTACCTCGCGGGTTTATTTTCTGCCGTCAACGCTGCAGACTTTTCTGTGATTGGATGCCCCTGCCACTTCCGACGGCCGGCGGCGCCGCCCTAGTTTTGTCAACGTCGTCCGCATTTTTCGCGGTCAACGTCGTCGAGGATCTGTCTGGCTTAAGCTTCGATGGGTTAACAAGAATGGGTTGAGGGTTGGAGCCCTTCTCCATTCATGAAGATGCCCCCCACACTACTATTGAGTTCTGGGAAAGCGGATTAAATCATAGGGTAGAGAAAAGAAACGATTTTTCTTCTCTCTTACGACTTAACACGAACTGGGTCAAAAGTGATCTCAGCAGGAGAGTTGACCCGAGTATTTTCTCGTAATTAGTCGAATGTTTCATCCCATGGTCAACTCTAGTTCATGTGATTATTTTGTTATTAATGAGAGCTTACGTTGGATAAGATGAGTCGGCGACACTTTTTGATCTAAATCATCTCACATTATTGATCTCGTCCGATATCATTCATAAAAATCATGTCCATTTAATGGATTCAAAGACGGTAGGTACCTCGAAGCCGAAGATTGGGTGGATAGAAACGATGGAGCAATGTCAACGGGCACCTTCGTGATTGTTGATCTCTTGTGCGCAAGTGTGTATATATATATGTATATGTATACGCAAGTGTATACGTATGCAGCATACATACGATCAGAGACATGTTCAATAGCTTAGAGCAGCATCACCCATTTATATATCTACCTCTGGTTTCTCACTTTCGTATCCATCAGGGAGGAAGTCCTTCCCCTTTGACCTTCTTTCCTGTGTGGTTGTCTTTAAGACTTTGTAGTTGACTACTGGAGCAGCTTACTGTTGACGCCGGCTCTGTACAGTAGCAGCTCTCCGGCGGAGCCAGCTGTCAGACGGAGCTCAATCCCAGCAGGAACGAAGAAGACGTAACCTTCAGCCGCCTCGTAATCTTCCTGAGAGCCAGAGACCGCCGCCGCCTCCATTCTGCCCTCACCGGCGACGACCACCACGAGAGAAGGCCCTGGAGAGGCGGGCAGCACGGCCGCCTCGCCGGAGGGGAGTGAGCAACGATCAACTTCGAATTCTTCAAATGGCGGCGTGTATCTCGACACGTGGGCGCTCAAGGGGGTCCCCCGCAGAATCTCCGGAAATCCCTGCGGTCAAGGCGGAATTTGGTCATCACCAGACAAAATCTGCCATTAATCCCATATATTAATCTTCCAACATCGCCTTCTTACACAGAACCTCGAGGACACTTATGAGGGACAACGGATGCAGACAATTTCCATCTAGATTCGATAATACTTATATATATATATATAGATGCATATGTAATTAAATATATACCTGCTTGTAGGTCAGCATGGAGCAGAGGGTCTGGACATCGCGGTACTTTGGAGTGAGGCCAGCTCGGACGACATTGTCCGACGTGGCCATGCACTCCACGCATTCCCCGGAGAGGTAAGCATGGGGCTCATTAGCACCGAGGTACAGAGCTTCACCCGGACTAAGCTTCACGTAGTTCAGGAAGAAGGAAGACAGGACCCCCACATCAGCCGGGTACTGCTCCTCTAGCACCAGCACCAGCTGTTCCTTCTCTGTCAGCATTCTAACCTGAGACGGAAGGTTAATCATCTTTTAATGGGCATGATAAGCTAAAAATAATCCCCTGAATTATTTGCCCACTCGAAGACATGGTGGATGTACGGTGCAGAAAGCTTGTACTAATATGGTATATGATGATTTATGAAATTATGTGGATGCAAGGAAGATTGAATCTATACCGGTTAGAAAATTATTGTTTGAAAAATGGAAGTCCGTATTGGAATATTTTGTTTTTCTTTGTTTTTTTTTGTTTTTTTTGTTTTTTTTTTTGTTTTTTCTGATGACCGAGGAAAAATAAAAATGGTTATATATGAATTAACTGTCTTTTGTTTGGAAGGATTGCGATCAAATATCATAAAAAAAAGGTCGTAGAAATGAGAAAAGTAATTCGATATCAAGAAAATTACCTGTTTTTCGGTGTTGAGGCGAGTTTTCAGTCTGAGCACCAGATCCGAAATAATCTCCTTACTCGCAGACATTAGCTTGGTGAAAACAGACTGTACCACAGATTTTACGTTTTCATCATGCTCTTCGATGCCCAGAACATCGGCAATGGCTTCATCCCCGACGACAACTGCAATCTCGGGTACATCTTTCAGAACGTTCTTGAGCTCCTGGGCAGGCAGAGCACGTCAGGAATGGAGAACCAAGAACATGCCACGCAATCCTGCCCATAAATTTTTTTTCTATAATTTCATTGAAAAAATACAGTTAGTGTGAAGCAAATGTTGCTTGATCATCCGTTCATTTGATATCACAACAAGACCACTGAGATTGATGCATCAAGAAATGTAATTTTCTCCGATAAATATAGAAAATCAGCCCGCAGACAGAAATGGAAAGCCGACAGAGATGAGATAGGTAGAAGCTCATCTTCGACTGATTTCTGGCACAGATTCACAAGAATTTGACCTCGTTCGTCTCATAATATTATGGGCATTCAGATACTAGCAACTGATATAATTAGTAAATAAGCAGAGGGGAGAAATCAAGTAGTATGTAATGGAGGGAGTAGAACCAGAGACCAAAGGGCATGTGAACGCATTTATCAAGGCCAAACTTTACTAATTCATGCATCAGAATACAAGAGCTGGTATTTATTATTCTTCTCAGTAATAAACTAGAACCATGGCCGGTTATAACCATGTGATCACACCACCCTGTCTAATCAATTTCGTTGACTATCAGTTTCACAGTTCATCTGACACCTAGGAATCAGCATAGTTCATTAAATATAACTTAATTACTTGCATAAAGAGAACAGAGCAAGTCCTGTTTCAATTTGCTTCGGATTTTAATGTACGCAGAAGCGGCTCGGGAAGAGATGAAGGGTATCCATGGGGTCAACGATGGCCCTGAGATTTGCAGAGCATCCAGGTGACGGCCATGGCTCCCGCCGATTAGAAACTATGCATGTACAGGCTTCCAAGAACGGGCATCCAAGTTACAGGAACGAAGAGATATGCATGTACAGACCATGAATTCCGTGAGATTTTCTTACGATTTTCCTGCCAGTAGGGGCTCTTCACGATCTTCATACCTCGAGGGTGACGAATCCGCACAGTGCCTGGAACTCGGTGAGCGCGAGCGCCATCTCAGGCTTATGGTTGCCGTCCTTGTACGCGCTCGGCTGCTCTTCGTGGAGCTTCCTCGCTAAGACCTTATCCGGATGAGCTTGGATCGACAGAGCCTTCGCGACGGACAACACCTGCTCCATGGTTTGTTTGAACCCACCCACTTTAGCTTGGAATTGGAATGCTTCAGAAAGTCGGAAATTCGAAGGGAGCGGAGAGATGGAAAGGCACCTTGAACAAGAAGGGGAGCTCACCCCCCCACCTATCCAGCACCTTCTCCCCCATCACAGAGGGATTCTCCTCGATCCAATTCTTCAGCGCCGTCCCCTTCTGCTCCTCCCTTCCGGCGGCCGCCTCCACAACGAATGATGGCCCCGACGGGTGCGTGCCCATCCAGAGCTCGGCGTACGGCTCCTCCACGCCGACCTTGGCGCCAGAATTCCTCGAGAAGAGCCGCCCCACGGTGGAGTCCTCCCCTTTCAGTCCCCAGTCGTAGGTCTGAGCAGCGCAGATCAGCCGGTAGGCCCCCGCTCCCCCCTCCGGAACCGCCTCCGTCTCCCCCATGCCTCACCTGCAACTCGTTCCCAGAGGCTGAAGGAGAAGGGAGAAGAGGAGGATGATGGCTGTGAGGTCCTTCCTCCATGGGAGCTCTGGTTTCGAAGGCATTTTAAAGGAGGGAAAAGGACAGCGGGAACAGTGCGGAAGACGAGCCCGATGCTCGGAATCGGCCGAGCCCGACCCGGATCGGCCGTTCTTCCACCCCCTCCCCTCCCAAAATGGATCGCCGGAATCGCCGTCGCCGCCGCTGACTTCGGACCCCGGAGAAGTAACAAGACCGAACGAACGAATTCACCTGGCTGTTGCTTGTCCCCACCTGCCGCCGTTGACCTCGGCGATCCCGCGTACCGCGGCCGTTGACCGCTGAGATCCCGCGTACCGCCGCCGCTGACCGCCGGCGAGATGGCGGCGGTCGGCCCGCCGCCCTCCTCGCGAGACGCCGCCGTGCGCACACGGGAATGATCTCATCCTTCTTTTTGTTCAATAAAGTCAATCAGGGTCCGTGTACCGAACATAATTGTTATTATATCCTTCTCATCCTTCTCATCCTTCTCATCCGTGAATCACCCTCTCCCGAATCCTCGCTTGACCGGTTTAACCGTTTCGGACGGGTCGGAGTCGTTGTCGGCGGATTTGGACAGCCGCCGATCAGTTGGTCCATATGTCGTCTCGAATCGTGTGTCATATCTGGACCGTCCGATCTAGAAAAGTTGACTGCTAACGAATCTCGAAGATGCCCGAGCAACCTGGGGCTGGATCTATGTCCACGTGGACAGTCCAATCTGGAAAAATCTGCCGCCCATAGACTCGGATATGATCAATGTGGACCCTCATCGTCCACGTTCACATTGGATAAAATCAAAAATAGGAGCTTTTTTCTTTTATTTTGGGGCAAATTTTATTTTTTTAATTTAAATTTTTGTATGTGCTGTTGCGAACATATCATCGATCAATATAAGTTGGACATTGAGAAAAATAAATATATGTCCTCACCAGATTGAAGTGATGCGACGATGAGTTCAGTACGTCCAATGGATGGACCTCGGAAAGTCTTTAAATCGGACGGTGGACGATGACTTGATTTCGCTCTAGCGAAATCACTCCAGTAGGGGACGGGTCACGTGAGGACGGTGCCTCATGAGAGAATCGCTCTAGGAGAGAGTCGGCAGCGTGGGGCCCTTTCTTTTTTAAAGGGAAGACATGTTGCTCCGCGTCAACGCGGGAGCGGAGATACGCACGTGGCTAAATTCCCTGGGATGGTCATCACGTGATGCGCAAAATAAATAATTCGATAAATGGACGGAGGCCAAAGGTTCTACTGGCATTTCTTACTGGGCCAAAAGGGAACATACCCTATATTGGTCCCAGTGGGCTTGACTGGGAGTCATTACGGCCCACTGGATTAGGCCCGGCCCGATTAGAACGGGTTCGATATTAGTTGGGCCTTTGCCTCGGTTCGATCCAGGTCCAGAGTCAAAAATGTGTTTGAAATAGTGGGAAAATAAAATATGGAACGAATTTTATTTTTCGTGCGAATATTAAAATTATTCCAATGAGGGTTATGATACTAAATTATGAATTATTCCATAATTTCTGTAATCTGGGTGTTATTGGAGCTACTCCCACGTGTTTGCTTCTTAGAAGCGGATTTTGAGCTACACGAGTCCTTGGTTTTAGAGCACATACTGTTGTCAGTATAATGTCATCCTTTCAAGCATATGCTCTTTTACAAGTTAGCCCCGATTCTCGGCGTGAATTTCTTCGCCCTATCCCTCTTCTCTCTCTCCTCTCTCTCTCTCTCTCTCTCTGCGACCTCTCCGAGCACCATCGCCGACTGCGGCGCCCTCCCCTTGGACGCGACTCTCCGGGGAGGATTGGGGGTGGGGGCTTCGTCCGGGAAGGGGGAGGGCGCTGGAAGGAAGATGGATTCGTTCCAGGGGATGATCTGCATCGCGGCCAGCGCCCAGAGGCTGGAAGTTGATAATCGGATTTCCCTGCGATACTACTACCGGATCGCCGGGAACCTCCTCAAGCAGGTTCCGATCTTGAAGCTCGTTCCCTTTTTGTTTGGGCGGTGCTGCCCACTCGAGGTTCAGAGTCGTCAGAATGATAATCCCAATTGTTTCGTCAGAATGTGTTCGGTGTTTCCCCCAAGTTCGGGGCTGGAGTTTTTCTGGATGGTTTCCGCTTGGAACTGGATTTCCCATGCATAGCTCCTTGTATATATTTGGGGCAATCTCAATGCACGTCTTACTTTAATGCGGGTTGAATTATGGCTCGTCGAAGGATCATAGGCGAATAATAAACATCTTGACGGTCGCATACTTCTTGTGACCATTGCTAATCGGGATAGATCGGGCCCCCGGCGCTTTAGTGAAAACGAAGGAACCACGCTTAATACAAGTTGATTGAGCGACATTGTCTCCTGTGAGCCCGGGGTTGAAAATGAGTTCAATCCCATTCTCTATGGTAGTCCTATCCGTCTAGAAATAACTAAACTACAGGCTTTTTCGCATGATCGAGAACTTAAAACAAATGTGAGGATTGGTGGGGCGTGTATGATAACGAACTTTGAAGAGATAAATTGCTGCATTTACACAAAAACATGAGAATGATTTTTGAAGATACGGAAAACATTAGGCTTATGAGGACTACCGTAGAACGAATAATTAATAATTATTTAGAGGAAAAAAGAGGCCCAAAGAGGTATATACCAGAGGATTTAAAGGAAAAGTATATGCTTTTGGATTGGTTAGCCTGTCTATTGGCGTTTCGCAGGCCTATTAAAACAAAGCCGATATTTATCTACGGAGAACCTAGCACTCGGAAGACTCTTATCTAGTTAAAGTCACACGAGTCTACTTTGCTAGTTCCAGAATAAATGATTTTGTGGGAACAGATGACCGTTATGATCTATGGGTTTTTTATGAGTTCCATGAACCTGTGGAGTGGAATACATAATGTTGATATCTTGAATATAGTCCAAGCTCTAATCATGAAGATTTTATGGCTGCTGACAACAGCATAGAAGAGAAGAAATATGAAGGATATATGTCTTTTACTCAAATGTTTTAGCTACCCTGAATAATTATGGAATGATCATCATCATTACTTTATTTTGTTTTTAACAAAGGGCGTATCATGCTTATATTTCATTGTCAGTGCTTTTCTGTTTAAGTCTAAGGTTTGTGTTTTGGCTGGCTTTTCATTTTTGTTATTATCTATTGATTTTCAGAAGATTTTCAGGCAACCATGGCAATTTGTTTTACATCCAAACATGTTGATTTTATACAGGCGGATGTCTACAGAGAAGAGAAGAATATTATAGATTTGTATATCATGCTGCTTCGGTTTTCCAGGTGAAGACATAGTCCAAAGAGAATAATTTCCTGCTAGCTGTGCCTATCTGTTACCCATTTTTCCCTTATCTTTTACATGGAGAATGCATCTCCTGATTTCTATTTGTCATGGTTTCCTGATCCTTGCCTGTAAGGTTGTGATGCCTCTTTAAATATTGACTAAGATTTCTATTCTCGGCTGCAGTTTGGTTAAAGAAACAATTCCACAACACCAAGACTATAACACATATCTACCCTATGAAAGAAACTCTCTTAGAAAGGTATGGATATGTTTAATTTAATCTGGTGCTGCTTATGGGCTTGCATGTATTCTTGACCTTTGACTTCTTATTCTATCTAGAAATTATTGAATACTTTAACTGAGCTAGAGGAGCTAAAGCCTAAGGTTCAATTCCGACTTGAAGAACTCAAGAGAAAGTCAAGGAATCAAGTGAATAGGTGGGGTCAGGTTCAACAAGACGTTCGTGATGATTCTTCGGAGTGGTCATCTATAAAACAACAAACACGTACAAATTATGAAGGGAAACAGGTGAATATCGGTCTTTCTAGAAACTTTTCATTTCAATGACTTTATATTCATTGAGAACATTTACCTATAACTTGATATTTCCCTTGAAAAAATGATTAATTATACGGAGTTCCTCTGGAATACTGATCGAAAAAGACGTTGGGAGTGAGTATTGATTTAAAATGGACTGGAGACAATTAAAAAGGTATTCAATTGTTTACGTTTTTTGTGATTATCTGTTCGATTTTTTTCAAGTCCAATGGGCTGTGAAGTTTCGATTCGTTTCATCAAAAAATCGAAAACTTCTGCAGACAATTAAATTATGAAAGATTTTTTCAGAAAGTGATATTAGTACTATCTTCTTCCCTAGTATCCAAGAAACCACCCTGGAGATACCTCATAACTCCGTGTACGTATTGCAGAGAACACCTTCCTATGGAAGAGAGCTATACAAGGTACCACAAAGTTATAGAAACAAGTCATCAACTCTCGTAACTTCAGAAGAGCAATTTCGCCGATTGTAAGTCTTACGATCTTCCTTGTTTCAACTTATACTGCTATCTGAAACTTGCATTCTGCTTTTCAAACTGTTGTTGTTTAGTTTCATGCCTTTGTGTTGCGGTTTTTCATTTGTACCCCTCTTTTTGTTCTTCTGTGACTCCACCGATCATCAGTCACCTAAACCCTAGCCTAGTCACTTCCTTGGGATCCTCTTCTTGACTGATTCGTTCCGATCTCACCCACCTCTTATGGCTTATTTAATTTGGTGTTCTCCCCCTCATCAAAACTGAACTATAATAAGAAGTTTAAGGTCACATCTATCGGATAATTCGGTAAATCTTGCTTCGGCGTCAAGTCTGGTGGTGAGGATTGATTTTATTGTAGGTGTTAGTACTTCTGTGCCAGCAGGATGTATCTGTTGTTTAATTCGAATATCATAAACTCCATTATGTCCAAAACACGACTGTGAATGATGTTTATGTCGAATTGATATTGGTCTTTTTTACTGTAACGTATCATTTTGTGTTCATATGTATCAATTTAGTAGCCAATGCAAGTTATCACGTGATTTAGTAAAATAACATTTCACCATGATTGGGAATTTTTTGTTCACATTCCCACTTTTTTAGTAGGTTCAAACGGAGATATGGTATCAGCCATTGATATCCCTGTCACATAGCTATTCCAATTAGGGCCTCAGGGTTTATTCCTGTAGTTGGCGAAAGCTAAGCTCTATCAGTTGAAAGATCTCCATGTGCCGTGAACTGAAACCCTACGAAAGCTTGATAGACACTGCCTCCCCTGCCTCACAAAAATCTCGAATAGTTTCCCAAGTCCAGGACTAAGAAGATCTTATGGTCAGCATTCATGGGAGTAGCTGAAAAAAGGAACTGTCATATTCACTTATCAAGCTGTTTCTTTTTCAATATTCACTTCTCCTTTCCAAAGTAACCTTTAATACCGCCTCATTATTTCCAGACGATTACTTGGCCCTTAGCTGGCACATTTTAAAGTGTCGATGTACCCAGCAGGTGGTAACCTTTGGCGATTATCCTTTTCTAGGGGTTTAATCCATTCAGTCACATTTGTGCTCCTGCAGGACTCCGTGTCCACTGCCTCAAGCAAGAGTGATTATTTTATGTTGAGAAGTACAGTTCCATTCTAGTGACGTGAGGAACATCATTCTTTTGTGCAAGAAAGCTTAGATTAGGTTATTTTTCTGAATGTCTGAAGAGGTTGATGACTTGTCGTGATTCAAGTTGACATGGCGCACTGTCACATTAATCGTTTTCTAGAATTCTCTAAAAATCAGCTCTTACTCATGGGGCTCCACTGATCCTATTGTGCAACGTGTTATTATATTGAAAAAGTTAACATATCCTCGTCAGTCCTCAAGAGGCAGGTTTGGTGTAAGAAATTATGCCGTTACTAGGTGATAAGAGGATACAAATTACTAAGTTATGAGGAAACATAGACACTCACAATCTTTGCACGTGTTCCGTTTTGTAATTTTTTTTCTTCTTCTGATTTTGGTTGTTAATCTTCCCTAGGTCCCTAGGTATTCCACGCCCAAAGGAAGAGACATTGTCCAGACACTCTATTTTGGGTCCAAATGGATTGTACGGACAGTGGCAGCCCGCAGTTGTGAATACAAGGGTACAGTTCGTTCAACTAATTGGATGCAGTGTAATCTCTGAAGAGTTGTTGACTTTCTCTTTTTATCTTCTCAGGTTCAGTATCCAAGTAATCTAGACTTGTCACCTGTTACGATACCAAGGTAATCCTTGTTGTCGATTATGTTCTTCCCATGCCTTTCTTTCTTATGGTAAATATCAACCAGAAAGCTAAAGGAAATTTCATCGTTTCCTGAATGCATCTGGCTTTGCCTGTATTGATCCGAGATCAGGCATCACACGGTAAATATCGTTGTTTCGTGTATATTTCATAATCTCCTTGTTTCAGATGGATTTTCTTGTAGAGATCCGAGATCAGCCATCGTATGGTAACTATCAAACAGAAAACCTTGGTATAGCCTTGGAGAAAAGAGATGTTTAACAGATGACCAGCAGAGAAAATACACCGAAAATTTCATGAAATGCGTTTCATTTACATCTTCGTTTTATTGTCCCATTTATTATTCTTCTAGACCCTCTACTCTGAACTCGTGTTGACCGGAATGTCATCCCCTTTGTTTCCTTTTGCATGAGTCCAGCGCACAGCTATTGATACAAGATGTAACTGCACCTGTAGAAAAGAATGATAACTCGGGAGCTGAAAAAACCGCACTTGAGCCAGTTCTTTCCCTTCAGGACGAAATACTATCACTTCTTGTTGAAGAAAAACCTTCAGTGGCTACTCCAGATGTTACGGAAACTGCTATGAAGGTGGATGTCATCAGGCAACCTTCTCCTCCACCCGTTCTTGCAGATGTACAAAATTTGGTCGCTGACATTTCCATTCCGCCTACACAACGTGATGATTCGATTTTGAGAGAACCTGAATCACTGCCAGATGAGCTACTCCGTGCAGAATCTCCTTTGGAAGTACATATTGTGAGAAGCCTATCTTTAATTTTTTTCCCCCACATAAGAAATTCTTAGGATGATCTTTTTTGTGAGATGTGCTTTTACTTGCTATGTCTCTTACATGGCTTTTCTTCTCTCTTTCTTGCAAATCATCTAGTCAGCAGCTTTGATGGATAGCTTCTTGAGGGTAGCTAAATCAAACACATCAAATAATCTTGAAACCTGTGGTGTTCTTGCTGGTTCACTTGTAAGAGCAACACTATTTTGACCCAATTTACCTATGCTATAATATAAAACCTGTTAGGAATATCACACCTGGTTTTGCAGAAAAACAGAAAATTCTATGTGACAGCCCTCGTCATACCTAAGCAAGAGTCAACCTCTAATACTGTGAGTTCCCAGATTCTATACTCTTCCCATTTTATTAACACTTTTCGTACACTCTGGGTTGTAATAATTTGTTGCTTGTATATTCAGTGTCATACAACAAATGAAGAGGAAATATTCGATTACCAGGACAAGGAATCTCTTTTTCCCCTTGGGTGGATTCATGTGAGTAACTGATTTTGTTTTATTGCCTCCAGATAGTTTTATTTTGCTCGTCAATTTTATTTTCAAATCATTAAGTCAACTCTTTGATATGTAGCCTTAGTGTTGCATGCATTTCCTCGTCATATCATCCACGTTTTTGTCAGATTTTTTACCATAGCCGGAGAAATAGTTACTTTTGATGTGCTTCTAGGAAGATTTACACAAAACTGCTGTATTCAATTGTGATGATCAGATATTAAATTGAATCGTTGTCTCACTATTTTTGAAGACAGTAAATCCGACAAGTTAAACAGATCTCATTGTCCTAAGAAGCAAGGAAATTTCATGAAGCAGACCACCTCACTTGAAATCAGTGCCTCATATGGGATTTACATTGTGTGATTCTAGCGTCTAGGTTTTAAAACTCTTAACACTTGGAAGCTGGTGGAACCAGACCTTGTAAACTTGTAACCTAGAGTTCATTGTCTTTATCTGGGATTTCTTGATTTATTGATCCAACATGCATAGATCCTTGATGTCTTCACGATTTTCCATATTTCATTAATTTACGAGTCCTCCTATAGAATGATAGGCACTATTGTTTCCAGTTACCATCAGCATTTTTCTTATGGGTACAATAAAAATCCAGCATGCATAATATTCTTACATTCTCCAAGATCAGTGAGTGTGGTTTGGAGAAAAGTCCTACTATGATCCTAGGAGGCAATGAAGAACGTAGAAGATTCCAATAGAAAGGGGAGAGGGAAAACTGATTGTTTTATGTGGTTCGGATATCCCTGCATCAATCGGCAGCCTAAATGAACAATATTAGAAATCTTTCAAGAGAAAAAGGAAATACGGCCCAGGGTAAAAGTGTTTCTAGTATGCTCAAGGAAAAATTCCTCCCTGCTCACGAATATAAGTGAATTTGTTTTCATATATTACGAAACGATTTAATTTTTATGCATGGTATATGATATGTGAGATGATAGTTTAGTCTTGATATGCATCTCATACATCATCATAGCAACTCCCACGAATATAGGTGATTTTTTTCAATATATTACGAAACCATTTAATTTTTATGCATGATATATGATATGGGAGATGATAGTTTAGTCTCGGTATGCATCTCATGCATTTTTTTCATAGCAACTCTTTTTAGAGTGATTTTTCTAAGGGGCTCTTGTATTTCTCTTGTCCAGACACATCCCACCCAGTCCTGCTTCATGTCCTCGGTTGACCTCCACACCCATTACTCATATCAGGTGGGCACAAATTCAATGGGCAACAGTCTCGTGATGTTCAGAACGACGACTTTCATCTAATCATTTATCGTCCCATTTTTGTGCCCGCCATGATATTTTGTTTGTGTTCTTATCCAAACAGATTATGCTGCCGGAAGCCATTGCCATCGTAATGGCTCCAAAGGATTCTTCAAGGTGGGTCCGAGGAAGATCTTGCTCTGAACCTTCATTAACGTCGTTTCATCGAGGAAGATCTCGCTCTGAACCTTCATTAATGTCGTTTCATCGAGGAAGATCTCGTTATGTTCTCTCAGTGGATCTCTTCCGCTTGGTTCAGTGCAACTCAAGCAAGTTCTTCGCTCTGGTTTTGCAGCCCCTACGGGATATTCCGCCTGACTGCACCAGGTGGGCTGAACGTCATCAGGAACTGCCAGCAACGAGGCTTCCACGCCCACGAGCAGCCCGCCGGCGGCGGCCCGCTCTACCGCCGCTGCGCCGACGTCAGGCTCGACCCGCGCCTCAAGTTCGACGTGGTGGATCTCCGGTGAAGTGGGTCTTCTCTTTTTTCACAGATAAGAAAATAATAATAATAATAATAATAATAATATTATTATTATTATTATTATTACGTCTATGATTATGATATTATGATTATCATTGTCTTCATTCATTATCGGTAGTCTTGGTGAGAACTTTTGTGGAAGAAGGATGGAAGGCTCTTCTTCTTTCTTTGTATATAAAAGATGGGGTCTTCGATTCCCATGGAAAATGAAAAATAATGGTTCTCTCTCGCATGATTATTTCCACCATCTTTGCAGGCCAAGATCACATCTATTGATATAAATGCATGTAGAGAGAGAGAGAGAGAGAGCCATGTGGCAAGAAAGTCATGGGTTCAATTGGCCCATTAGTTTAGATATACACTTTGAAAAATAAACGTATTAGATGTTTAATATCGACATTAGTTTAGTCATGAGTGAAGTGGGTTTTTCTGTAAGGTGTTTCAATAATGCTATTCACATAGGAATCTGACGTCATTTGAACGTCAACCCCTGACTTAATTAAACTTAATGATTCCTCGCGGAAAGAATATTAATGTTAATTACGCGCCCCAATTTGCCTAATGCAGTGGGGTAGTTGTTAATGTCTGAGTTGAGAGGCAAACTCGTAAATCCGGTAAAGACCAGGTGATTCTTTAAATTAACAATATTTTAACGGGTCAAATCCAAAAACGACTTTTATTGGGCCACTGGCATTGGGCCCGAATGGAGCTCGTAGAGCCCTCCCCCTAGCGCCAGAAGCACACTTCCAGAAAATAATTATTTTTTAAAATTAAAATAATATGCAGCAGTATTAAATATGTAAATAGGAAAAAAATATTATTGATATAATGATGATGATGATGACACAATTACCCACCTTAGAAACGACGGCCTGTCCAAGTCAACAACCTGCCCCATTTATGACTACCTTTCTGGATGTCTTACTCAATCTCGTAAAAAAATGATATGCCTTTCAGTAGAGAGGAGAGAGAGAGAGAGAGAGAGAGAGAGGAATTGGGGTGGATTTGAAATTTTCTATTTTTAAAACGGTCCTTCGAATCATAGGAAGATAAAACAAATAAGAAAATAAGGGTTCTAGAAGAATAACAATTTCTTTTAGAGGGTTCTACGCAGAAAACCCCACCTATTCCTGGCCAGGGCGGCCGCAGGCTGATATTCCTGCGCGGTGCACAGTACGACCAGCTTACAAGACCTGTTGTCCTCTCTCTCTCTCTCTCTCTCTCTCTCTCTCTCTCAAGTCGTCGACTTCGGTCTGGGAGCTGTTTCTCTGGGGGTCTTGTGGGTGCTCTCTCAACTGGGGCCATAGCCTAGGGCGACCACCTTCCATGGCCGTGGAGCTCATGTCCGAGAGATGGGCAGGCTGGCCCCCCCCGTCGCCGTCCTCCCCGGCCAGCAGCCCCCGGATATCCTTCTCCGGTAACGGCGCAGAGACCCCCTCCGACGGCTCCCTCCTCCACCCCTCTTCCTCCTCCCCCGAATTCCACTTCTGCGTCTCCGGAGATCGCTTCGATCAGGACGACTCAGTCGCTGACGAGCTCTTCTCCGACGGGTTCCTCCTCCCTCTCCCTCCCCTCCCTCCTCGACGACCCACCTCCTCCTCCTCTCCTGCCCTTCGTCCGGCAGGGGCGCAACCACCCTCATCTCCCGAAGCCAGGAAGGGCGCCGCTGCGGCGTTGAAACAGCCCTCGTCCTTTTGGAAGTTCAGCAGGAGCAGCAGTCTCAACTACGGCGGCGCCGCGGGCGGCGGGGGGAGGAGACCGAGCATGATCTGCTCACTGCCTCTTCTCTCTCGGAGCAAGTCTGCGGGACCCCATCCCAAGCCGCCCACCCTCAAGCGGCGCCACCAACCCGTCAGCAATTCCTCCCCCGCCACCGCCGCCGCCGTCGTGGCCGGAGGCGGCGGCTTATCTAGGAAAGGTTCAGGCGGCGCCGCCGGTGGCTCCAGGACTCCATACTACTACGGCCACCACGGCGGCGCCGCTGGTGGCGGTGTCCGCATCGGGCCGGTCCTGAACTTGCCGGCGGCGTACATCCCCAAGGGGAACGGCGGGGGAATCTTCAGCTTGGGCCGCCTCCTCTGCAGCGGCAGGGACAGGAGCAAGAAGAAGACGCCGCCCCCCGCCACGCCATAGACAGTGGGGGCCCAAAAGGCCGAGGAAGTAAACGGAAGCTGTGACGACGAGGGAATTTTCACCTTTCAACTACGGTCTTCGCTGTCTTGCACTGGTTTTCCCGAGCGTCTCTCTCCTGTTCTCGCTCCTCTCATCACCGTCAGTCAGCGCTTGCCGCCGACGAGGGATTCCTTGGAAAGATGTCCTCTTTGAGATCACAGTTAAGGGGAAAAAGGGGGGCATATTCTCTGGAGAAGAATGCGGCTTCTGGGTCTTCTCCATCGACGACGTCGACGGGTTCGGGGGAGGGGGGGAGGGGGAGGACAGCGAGGCCGGGTACTCCCCATCCCCTCGCCCTCTCTCGTGCTCCGTTTTGCTTCCTTTTGTCCCACTTGCCCCTGTTGAATATTCTCTCTCTGTCTCTCTCTCTCTCTGTCTCTGTGTCTCTCTCTCCCTCTCTCTAGATAGATTGATATATGCCCGCATGATGTAAGAGTGGTGGAGATAAATGCCCGCGATTGCCAATTACTTTCATGGGTGTTCTTGATTGACCACGTCCAATCACATGCCGACTCGGGACAAACCCACCTCCCTCCCTCGTGGTGGTGGTCTCACGATTCTAAAGCAGGGGGGTCCTTTCAGTCGCTCCTTCTCTCTGTCATCATCTACCTAAATGCTTTAGGAATGATGATTGCCCTGCCCCATCACCTTCTCCTTCTCCTTCTCCTTCTTCTGCTGCTGCTTCTCCCTCTTCTTCTTCTGCTGCTGCTGCTGCCGCTGCCTGGGGCTTCGATAATGGAGGTGCCCTCCCCACTGACCAGCGGGTCTGGCCACATGGTGTGCTAGGAGTCAAAATGGGCCATGCAGAGAAAAGAGGTGCCTAGACGGGAAGAACCCACCCTTGAGACCTATGACTGATGCCTCATCGGGGAGGAGACGCATGACAATAGAGTGGGTGGGAGTGGGGCTGGCCCATCTAATCAATGGCGTTGATGAAGATTCGGGCCGGTTTAGATTTGATGATGACATTAGATCCGATCCCCGCCGTTGATCCGGTACTTTTTCCTTAAACCCTCGATTCGGCAGCGTTGACTTCCTCTCCCCTGATCGAATTTACCCACCGATAATTGATAAATGACGGGGATTCTGCAGTAAGAGATGAATTTTTCTGAGAAAAAAGCCCGAAGAATGAAGTGCATGTGATTTGCGGGCCAGTTCAGAGGTCCGGGGCCATGGGAGGAGCCTCTCGATGGCTTTCGGGCCCTCGGGCATCGGTTAATGTTTTCTAGAGTAAAAGCCCGAGAAGCGAACTGGCCCATCATTGACTCTGGGAACTTTCAATTAATCGCAGAGGAGATGATAGAAAGCAGAGAAGAAGACTTTTACCCTGGATTGAGGAGACAATGAAGGCGGAGGAGAAGGCAGTCAACTACTGCCAATGTACAGCCAAAACTAGACGTGGTTCTCAGTCAACGCTACGCAGGAACTCGGATTTCTACGCCCGACTCGGAACTCCTCCGTTGACTACATCAGCATCCAAGTTCACGCAAAATCCTTCTTCTTCTTCTTCTTGCTCCTGACACCAAGAAATCTGCAGACGCATCTCAGCGCAAGAGCAGATCGAACGCGACCTCGTCGACCAGCAGCTGAAGCAGGTGGTTGCCGATCTCCGCGCCGGCCCCGAACGCCTCCGCGTCGGAGTCCACCCACCAGCCGTTCATCCGACCCATATCTCTCCCCACAACCTCGTCCAAGCCCTTCCCGGCCATGCTTCGGCAGGCCTCCATCTCCTCGGAGACCTCCCTGGCCAGCATCTGGCTCGCCGGACGGGGGAGCTTCCCCCAATCCCTGTAGCCTGCTCCGCCATGATCTCCATAGTTGACATCTACGTGCTCCAAGATGCAGTCAAACAGGAGCCTTCTGAGCTTGAACTCCTGCTCTGAGTCGCCGCCCCCGGAAAGTTGACCTTCCCCTTCCCGAAGAGCGTCGACGAGGCTCTCCAGCGCGTCGTGGAGAACGGCTCTTCCGAAGAGCAGGTCGGCGTCGGATATGAGCCCGCCGCCGCTCACGTAGTTTGGCTTTCTCCCCGCCGATTGTACTACACGGGGGCCCACGCCCCGGAATTGCGACGGGGGCGGCGGCGGTGGTTCCGTACCGCCGGCGATCGTTGATGTGGCGGAATCTGAGAGGTCGGCGGTGAGCTCCGGCGAGCTCGACTTATCCGAGTTCTCCGGAAACCTCATCGGAAGTCGGTGCCCTGGAGAAGATCAACACAAATGATTCATGTGGATTCACTGCACACCCAAATCATACGCCATTGTAGCAACCGATCGTACCAGAGCTGCTGTGGAAGCTCTTCTCGGAGAAGGACGAGCCGTCGTTCGAGAACGAGGACTCGAGGATGGACACCGGGCTCGGCTGATCGTACTCTTCTTGCACCACCTGAAGAAATGGCGAATCTTTCAGCTCTCTCTCTCTAAATCTATCTACCTATCTATCTATCTATCTATCTAGGTTACTTAGGATCAAATGGGAAGCTGGGCTGACCTGAAAGTCTTCGATGACGCAGAGGTTCGGCCCCTGGTAGCTGCGGCATTCGGGCAGGTTGGAAGAGCCATAATCCGATCCACCTTCCGTCCGTAAGTCAGCAGGAGTGCCGTAATCTCTCCTCTGAGTCTCGGTTTGGGCAAATGTCAGCGCAGAGATGAGTTCCTCGAGAATACCAGCCACCGACTCATCTCTGCCCAAGTCGGACAGCTCCCTGATCTTCTGCTCTAGAAGAGCGCTCAAAGCATCGACCGTCTCGTCGGGGTTTCTTACCGGGCCGCCACTGGTCTCCTCCGTGACCGATCCAGAGGCCGTTGTAGCTTCATCGCTGCTCCTCTCACCGCCGCCGCCGTCTCTGGCCTCCATCGTCTTCCTCCTCCCGGAGCTCCCTCTCGGGTTGTGAACTCCACCAGCGGCAATAGACCTCTGCTTCGGCGGCGCGCCTTCTTCGCTCTGGATGTTGCTACCAGTCGATCTTCTTTTCCGGGCCAAGGGTTTCTTCTCACAAGCAGCACTCCTCTCGATTTCTGTTCTTCCGCCGCCCATCGATCTTGTCCGAGCCCGAGATAAATTTCTCAAGTTTTCCCTGCTCTCACTCGAGGAAGAAGGATCTAACCCTCTCGTCCGTTGACGAACATCTGGTTTCGGCGGAGGAGAGGCCTTTGCTCTCGCCGACGGCAGCTCAATTGGCCTCGCGGTGCTCTGCCTGGGAGTTGTTGACCTTGAGACAGCCGCCACCCGACGGGGCTTGCTCCGCACCTGCGGCTCGTTCAGCTGGTGGGTCTTCTTCCTCTCCATGGAATTCCTTCGAACGATCTCCTTTTTTGGAAGGGCCGGGGGTTTTGGGGCAGCTGAAGACGTCTGGCTAAAGTCTGAAGATGTGGAAGACGGCGCAGAATCCATGACTGAGGTCTCACTGACCTCGGTGATCTCTTCTGGAGCTCCGACTTGATTCCCACAGTTTCTGCATGGTCTCACAGACGAGGCCCCCACGAGCTCGGTAGGGCTCCCTAAAGGCGAGGCGCTGCACTGCGCTGACTCTGGAGTGGCCTGGTAAGGCGACGGGAAGGTCAGAGATGGCCTTCCCCGGCTCCTGGACTGCATCCTAGGCTCCAGGATCCTGGCGGCGGCCTCCATTAGCAAAGCAGAGCTCGTCCTCCCCGCGAGCCGTGGGCTCCTGATGGGGGAAGGCGGCGGCTTTGGGTGGCTCTTCCTCGGACGAGCCAGGAGATTCCGGTTGAACAGCAGCGTTGCCTCCGAGCTCACGCCGGCGGTCGTCTCCGGCAGCCGATCAAAGATCGCTGTTTTCCGCTGCTTCTGGGGCCGCCGTCCGCCGCCGCCGGCAGCGATCTCAAACCCCGGATCCTGACAGTGGCGGGAAGAGCCGGAGGTGTCAGAGCCGTCGAAGTAGCAGCAGCCGCCGCCGCCTTCGGAGGAGGTGGAGGCTCCGTCCTCAGCCTTCCTTGGTCTGCCATGGCCATCGGCGGTGGGCATGGAGTCCAGACCCATCAGCCGGGCGACCAAGTTGGGGCTACACATCCTCTTTCCTCGGTCGCCATTGGCGGCGATGTTGCCTGCTGCGTCCGCCTTCTTCGAGCTCGGAAAGCTCCCTCTGTTCTCGTCGGCGATCTGTTTCAGAAAGTTCAGTGGGGGGAAGGAAGGAAGATAGCAGAGAAGCTCAGCCTCCATGAAGACCACGGATACCACGCGAGGGTTCGGGAGATAGAGAGCCGTTACCAGTAGAAGCTTCGCCGGCGGCATTTTCTCGTTGGCGGAGAACTTCTTCGAGATCCTTTTCGCGGCCCGCGCCTGAGGGAGGAGCCGCCGGGAGAAGAGCTTCTTGCTCGCAAGGCGGTGGTGGTTCCAGTCGAAGAGCTGGAACAGGACGCCGGTGCAACCCCCGGGCCGGTGCAGTGGTCTCCTTTCCGCCACCATCGCCAGGCTACTGCTCGGCGCTGGCGAGGGCGGCGGCGGCATCTTCCCCATCTCCGTCGTCATCTCACCCAAAAAAGGGAAGAAAAGAGAACTCCGAAAGACGCAAATGCAACCTCGGCTACGCCTCCTGCCGCTGCAGCCTACTCCATTATCAAGTGGAGCAACAACCAAAAAGACCCGCAGATCTGCATTCGGCGCCGGCGACTCCGCCTGTAACATTCAGCCATTCAGGCGGCGCCGCCATCGCCACCGCCACCGCCACCGCCGCCAGAAAGACGGACTTTGGAAGCAAAACCCTCTCTCCGTCTACCCCCGTCTATCCACCCTCTCCGTAAAGAACGCGGCGACGACGCCGGAGACGTCCAGGAGAATCTCGCTCCCCCGTCCCCTCCCAAGAAAAAGTGATCCCCCCTCCCCCCTCCTGCCCCTCACATGAGACCAGCAGAAAGACGCAGGCAACTAGGCAAGCTGCTCGTGCCTCTCTCTCTCTCTCTCTCTTTCTCTCTCTAGCTATATACCTGTTTAGCTCTCCGCCCAAAGCTCGGCATTGGTCCTGCTGCGGCACAGCTGCTGTCTGTACAGTAGAAAGGCGCCGCTGCTACGGCGGCAGAATCCGCAAGGAGCCGCAACGGGCACTTGGCGCAGCTGAGCCCTCCTGCAGGTCTAGCTAGGGTTATCCTAGCTCTACAGAAAACTCCACCATTCCCATCACCACCTTCTCCACCGTCGTCCTCCTCTCGCTCTCTCTCAGCCTCCCCCCTTCTCTCTCTCTCTGGATCTCGCCGGGGTCAACGTAGCGGGCGCGTATTTTAATTCAAAAATATATCAACGAAAATAATGTTGCAATATATCGAGTTAATATTTTCAATATATTTATTTTCTCTGTCATATAACTTCATAATTATCATTTTTATAACACTCTATGAGATTTTTTTGTGACCGACGAATATGAAAATTAAAAATTAATGTTTCAATTAAATATTTATTCATAACATAATTTGTTATAAAATCCCATGAAGACGAGATACGATAAGATCAGATATTTGAATACTTCGTTTCAAATATTTTCTTGTGGGCCCCGCACAGTTCTTGTTGGCCGGCGCGATCTGAGCCGTCAGATCGTCGCATTCATTTATGAGCGGGATCTGAGCACGACAAGTCGTACGGTTGACCTGGGCTGTCGCCAGGGTGCTTGTCGGACATCCTCCACGTGTCGATGGCTGATTGCGTTGGACAACTGCGTCTCCAGATTTTTTTTCAAAAAAATGTGTTATAAAAAAATAAATAAACGACGGCTACTCTGAACTATGGGTGTAAGAAATATTATTTAAATTATTTAAATTTAATCGCGAATTTTATTCTGTTAATCTGCCTAATATTTATAAATATTAAACACACTAATTGGAGTTCGTGCCATATACTTATTAGGCTCAGTCTAGCTCACCACTTCAACCCCGGCCCACGATAATCATCTCCCCTGTTTCTTACTTCATATTCGTTCTACCTAAGTCCAGATTTTCCATCGTATCTACTTGGGCCATTCCGAGCCTACTAGCCAGTCGCCCCACCTTCTCTCTCTCACTCTCACTCTCTCTGTCTCTCTCTCCCCATCTCTACGTCTCTCTCTCTCTCCCCATCTCTCTACCTGCCTTTTTCTTATAGCCCATGTTTCGTTGGGTCTGTCCCGAAACATATTCAGGGATTCTCCATAGGCCCCAAGCGGATGCGGGCCCCTCCCTCTAGATTCTTCGCAGCCATTCTTGCCCCTCCCTCTAGAACGCTATAATAGATGCATAGACTTGGGGCTGACTTACCAAGTTTAGAAAGACATTATCGCATACAATAAATATGTATGCATATATCTAGAGTGAGAGAGAGAGAGAGGGAGAGAGAGAGGGAGAGAGAGAGAGGGAGAGAGAGAGGGAGAGAGAGAGAGGGAGAGAGAGAGGGAGAGAGAGAGAGGGAGAGAGAGAGAGGGAGAGAGAGAGGGAGAGGGAGAGAGAGAGGGAGAGAGAGAGAGGGAGAGAGAGAGGGAGAGGGAGAGGGAGAGAGAGAGAGAGAGAGAGATTAGTTGACAGGAATCCTAGGGTGACGATGGCTTAACTCATGGATCTCAATGAATTGCTTGGGAGCTGCACGAGGCCCCCCTACCTCCGCATTTCTGCGAATTTCTCGGAGAACTCATGCTTTGTCTATTTATTTTACAAAAAAGGCCTAAAGTCTACGTTACGATGACGTCAGAGGAGGCTCCGTGATTCCTTCGGCGGCTTCTTCTGTCTCGCGCATTAATTTAAATAAATTAATGGTCAGGTTATTACATAAGTTAGATGGGGATGAACTTTAGGTTAATATTGTATTATTTCATTATTGGAAAATATTTAATATTTAAAATATTATTTGGATGGGAAAAATGCTGCTGGTGGTGGAATCTGGATATTAGTGGCGTCGAGAGGCCGGCGCCAGGCGCTTTTTCTAGTTTAAGAATGGGAACCACTTTGCTTTGATAAAGAAATTTAAGAAAAATATGGTAATTTATAATTTTATAAAATGGGAAAAATAAAGAGCAAAGAGAGGAAAGGGAGGATAGGGTGGGTGGCAGCTGAGCCCGGCTGGCCGCCGTCATGGCCCAGCTGGCGCGAGTCTCAGGTGCAAGTCCAACCCGAACACCTCGTCCCCACCGCAGGCGCCGCCGCCGCCGCCGCTGTCGACGGTGGCTGCCGCCGCGCCTCTGGACATCCTGCCGGAGACCGGCGGCGGAGCGGCCCTTTCCACCGGCGGCGCCACCATCGCCGTCGTCGCCTCCGCCGTGGAGTGGTGGCGTCCTCGGTAGGAGTACACGGCGGTGGAGGGGAGAGAGGCCGCCGGCGGAAGGGCGCCGCCGCCGCAGGAGACGTGGAATGCTGGGCTCGCCGTGCGGTGGTGGTAGACCCAGCTGCCGGGGAAGGCGGTAGCGAGTCCGCTGCCGCGGTGGAAAACGGCGCCGTGGGCGGCGGCGACGGCGGCGGCGGCGGCTGCCTGGTGCTGTGCCTGGGCCTGGAGCTGAGCACGTTTAAGCTGCTGGCGCTCCTTCTTGTGGGCGTTCTGGTGGCCGCCGAGGGCCTGCGAGTTGGCGAACTCCCGGCAGCAGTACTGGCACTCGAACTTCCTCCCTTCCCCTCCGCCGCCGGCGCCGGCGCCGCGCCCACCGGAGGTGGACGCGGTGGTGGAGGTCACCGAGGAGACGTCTTCTCCGCCGCCGTGGCTCGACCCCGCGTAAGAGTCCTCCTCCTCGGTGAAGTGGAAGCCGAATAGCTTCATCCTTGCGCTGCTGGTGGCGCTTTTTGTTTCACAGTGGATACCTGCCATTCTAGAGAGAGAGAGAGGGGGGGGAGGGAGGGAGAGAGAGAGAGAGAGAGAGAGAGGGGGGGGAGGAAGAGGGGGAGAGAAAGGAAGGGAGGGAGGAGGGGAGTTGGGAGGCTGTGCATGTGAATGGGGTGGTTTATATATGCATAAAGGTGGGGGGCCATTCACTTCATTAAGATCAACAATCGCGGAAGACTGAGGAACAAGAGGAGAAAACCGGGCCATTGACATAGTGTTATGGTTTACTTAATTCATTGACGTCCATGATCGCTATAAACTATGTCTCTAGACGAGCATGCTAAGTAGAAATCGCCATCTTTAATGGGTATGTAATAATAGCCTGCGTGACTAGATATGCTAGGTAGGAATCGTCTCACACCCCTCCCCTCTAACCTTCGTCGGTTCACCTTACGTTAAACTCTCTCTCTCTCTCTCTCTCTCTCTCTCTCTCTCTCTCTACCCCCTCTCTCCCGCTACGCAATAGAAGACCAGGGTTCGGATAGGATCATCCATCGGCATCCGCTCGCTGTGGATCCAGGAAAAACTATCGCCTCTCGGAGGGGTGTGAAAAGATACGCGTGCCTATCCATCCAAGGACGAATCAATAAAATATTAATTTATAACGGGAACTATGCAGAATGACCCATAATAGTGTGAAAGTGGAAGCCTGATATTATGTGTCTGTTCTCTATCCTCTCTCCCACCCGGGATTTGGTTTGATGGGCAGCTCGGTGTACTGTCGATTCCAAGTCACAGTTTCCTCCCGGTTTTCACCGCCTTCTTTCTCCCTCTTCATCCTCTCTCCTCCCTCTCTCTACGTCTGTTCCTTGGTGCAATTAAAATGAGGAGCATTGAGGTTGATGAGAAACGAGCGAGTACTTTCATGTTCTTTTCTGCAGCATAATTTAAGGAAGTCTGGTGCCGCCCTCTCTCTCTCTCTCTCTCTCTCTAGTCTCGTCCCTACATCTCCACCTTGGGAAACCTAAAACTCTCTCATCAACAGAAGATCACAGGCAACACCTCGGGCGATCATCATCGGATCCAAGGGCCTGTATCGCTCGGATGAGTCAGATGGCCAGGTCGATTTCCCTAGGAAGGGGCTGTATGATTTCTCTCAGCGGAGAATGATACTGACCCTTCCCGGAAGCATCATGGACACAGCATAGGGACGATGCTCCCATCTTATGGAAGGTGGGCACGATCGCTAGGGTTCTTCAGCTGTGAGTGTTCGTGGCATATGTCACAGCACCTTCGTCTTAGAGTTTGAGATCATGAGCCTAGGAGCTCCTCTCCCCCCCCTTCCCTCTCTCTCTCTCTCTCTCTCTCTCTCTCTCTCTCTCTCTCTCTCTCTAAATGGGTTTGGCTGAGGTGACTCCCCAAGCCCACCACTCTACGTTGGTGGCTCTCTCTAGGTTTGGCACGGTAAGGGAGAGCTAAGGTTTAGCTGACTATCTCGAATGATGCAAGGAGGGGCACCAACTGGCCATCCTTGTTGTATAAAGAAAGTTGCCACCTTTTCTCTCCCGCACTTTGGAGTAGCTGGACGACCATAAACTCCTCTCTTTCAGCTTACTCATTTCGAAAAAAAACTTCCCCACGGTGGGCTCCACCTTGCAACCGCAACTAACCAAATAGGGAGATGAGGAGGGGTTGTCGACAGCAAAACCCTAATAGGGTAGGAAAGAGGCGAGACGTTAGGGTTATGTATTCAACTTTCTTACAAGGTTTTATATATTGTCAGGGGGCCCATCAGGGAATCAAGTAGATTTATTTTAATTAATTTATTTAATTTTTCCATGCAGTCTCTCTTGTGGGGTGTGGTTGTCAACCATTGAATACAGAGTAATCAGGAAAGCAAGGGGGAAGCATTAGGGGTGTCAATTGGGTGCAAAAGTCCAACCCCACTACATCTCAAAATCAAGTCAATCTACAAATATAAAAACGGCCAAAATTTCAAAGGAGTTGGATGCAAAACCCATTTTTCCAGCTCATTTCATGCTCGGATTGGTATCTGAATATTTTAAAAGACACTCAAACTCGAGTTGGGCTCGGTGAGTGTGGTCAGTTTGAGGCCACCAACACCATAACCCTTCTTGGGTCCACCCAATTTTCTTATTAAAGAGCATGAGAGTGAAATCCAATAAGTCATGATGGCCCAAGAAAGAATCTTCTTTAAATAGAAAAAAAAAATGGAGAGTGTAGGGAAATTATTGAAGAAATGCCTTGGGACGAGATTCTTCTAGTTTTTTCTAATGATGGATAGAATCCTTACCCTCACCCACCTCGTCCCCGTTAATTTTAAAGGGTATATCCTCCTCCATTGGATTCTACAGAACCTACACAGATGTCAATCCCATGTTTTTTTTTTTTATGCTAATTACTTGTAATGTAATAGTGCTTCAATAAATGAAATCAATGAAAACGATAGCTTGTGAGAAACTAGTTACTAGGAAGTAAAGACAAAGGAATTAGTCAGGCTTCATCCTTGGAGAAATATATTATTTTTTTTCCAAATGGGAATTCAATCAAGGACAAAATATATTATTATCCAAAAGATCTCAGAGATGATATCAAGGACTTCCCCTCTTTCCTTCATAAATTTTCCCATGAGTTGACTCCACATTAGCTTTATTTATCAACTCCTCCTCAAGTAAACTATTAACTAAAACTTTGGGCTTTTATAAGAAGACAAGAGGGTTGACTTATTATTGTTTGTGAGCTGTTTGCATGGATTTTCGGGCCTTATTGCCTTTGCTTGAGCTAGAGCATATTTGACAAAGCCCATAATGGAGAAAATCCCTCAAAGTGGCTTCAATCTTTTGACAAGTATGAACAATACGCCCAAGTTGGCCCTCAACACAAAAGAAAAAGAGAGAGAGAGGGTGAGCATCATATGCTACATGGATAGATAGTAATTATCGGATAACCACTTGGCGATGAAAGCATATTTTCGAAATGGTGGTGGAGCAGATAGCGACCGGGTTAGGCCCAGTGCAATTTTTCTTTTCATGCTTGAACTTCAAGTCTCCAGTTTGGAAAACTTTTTTGACTCTAATTGGGCTTAGAGAAAATGGGCCGGATGGAAAGCCCAAGCATGTCTTGTAAGTATTCTATCCCCGCTGATTTACCCGCCAGATGCCCATCTCTCTCTCTCTCTCTCTCTCTCCTCTGTTTCTCGGATGATTTGACCGGGTCGAGTCGTCTGTGTGGGCCAAGGGTTTGGGCCGGCCAGCGATTGGATGGTACGCCTATCCTGGGCCATTTAACAACAGTAGCGCTTTGGTTTTGTTATTGGGCCCAAAGTTATGAGCGCCCATTAATACCATTGAGCCCATTAACATTAAAGGAGGTCAGCTACCGTCAGTTCCCATTAAGATCGGATTCATAAGCATCGAATCGCCCGAATCGGCCGCGCGCGGGCTCGATGAGTCAAACATGAATCGTCGACATGGTGCGCACGTTAGTGAAGCCCCCCGTTCTCCTAACGTTTAGAAACATTGAATAAATAAATAAATAAATAAGTAAGAAGCCCTCCTTTCCTCTGTTCCCAGGTCCTCCTTCCCGTCCTCTCTTTCCCTCTCTATCACCACCCCCCCTCCCCCCTCTCTTCTTCCTCCCTCCCTGTCTCTCTCTCTCTCCCCCTCTCTCTCTCTCTCTCTCTCCTCTCTCTCTCTCTCTCTCTCTCTCTCTCTCTCTCTCTCTCGCTATGGCGATGATAGAACTGTCGCAGTCGGAGATGCCGGCGGCGCCGCCTCCTCCAAGCTTCTCGGCTCCCTTCGCTGCCCCCACTCTACGCTGGGCCCGCAAGAAGCGCCTCCGGTGCTTCAACCCCGACGCCGCCGCCGCCGCCACACTGCGCCTCTCGCCATCGCTCTCCCCCTCCCGCTCCCCCCTCCGGCGAGGTTCCTCTTCTCTGGACGGTGGAGGACCAGCCAGATGCAGCGCCACCTCCCAATCCGTTGAGGAGTCTCCGTCGCCGGCCCCTTCTCCGGCACCCCTCCGGCAGCAGTCGCCTTCGTCCTCTGCTCGGCCGAAGATCCTGATCCGGCGTTCCTTGCTGAGAGGAGAAAGGGAGCAGGGGGACGAACTCGGAGAGGCATCGGAGGCATGCCATCCGATGCCTCCGAGGCCCACCGATCTGTCTCCCATGGCGCCGGCGGAGATCGGAGGCTCCAAGGATGAGAACGAGCGGACGCTCGCCGGAGAGGCGACCGGGAGATCCCTGCGTTCGAGGACTCGCGCCGGGGAGGAGACGGGGAAGATGAAGAAGAAGAAGGTGGAGCTGTGGGTTCCCCTGTCCAAGCACGAGATCGAGGAGGACTTCCTGCGGATGACGGGATCCAAGCCACCGCGCAGATGCAAGCGACGGGGAAAGTCCGGCGCCGATCAGTTCAGCGTACGCATCTGATCCTTCCGCAATTTTCTTCTGAACGAGTTCTTCCCCATTTGATGTGGCTCCATTCTTGTTTTCCCCCGCAAATGGAATCTGACCTCTCTCTCTTTCCCTCTCTAGGGGATCTTCCCGGGATCATGGCTTCCCAACGTGATCACCGGCGAGAGGTACAAGGTTTCCGAGCCTCCACATCCCAGAAAGGTACGCAAGGGGGGGAGGCCTCTGATTCCTTCTTCCATCAGCTCGTCCTCTTGAACTGTCTCGATTCCATGCTGAATCTCTCTCGTCTCCCCACCCCCCCTCCCACTTCTTCTCTCTTCTGTTTCAGGCGTGCTGATGGAAATGGCTCCGACCTCAAAATCTCCCCGATCTCCTCTCCATCCTGCTCGATTCACCCTCGCCGTTCAAAGCGACCGGAGATCGCTGCGGACTGCCGGCGATCGGATTGAGAGTTTTGGCCGGATTCGATCCTCGCTCATTCTTTCTCCCCCGGATTGACAGGTCCATTACTTGTGAGTCCGCAAGAACAACCTTCTAGGAAGTAATGCTACTACTCCCGACTAATTCCACACCGCCGCAAAAATCTCCGTCGCCTCTGTTACCTCCATCTCTTCTCCTGTTGTTCTCTGCTGTCCCCCCGTTGTCTTGATGAATCTCCATCTCGAGTCCCTGTCCCCGGCGATCACCTCTCGTCGGAAACAGACGATCAGCAGGAGAGAGGGAGAGAGAGGGAGAGAGAGAGAGGGAGAGAGAGAGAGAGAGAGAGAGAGAGAGAGAGAGAGAGAGAGAGAGAGAGATGATTGGCTAGTAGATCGTCGCCATGGGAGTTCCACTCTCTTCTTCGCTACAGAGAGGAGACTGCGAGAAGGGACGAGAATCGTAGGCTACTAATCAGTCAGACTTTCTTGGCAAAGAGACGATGCCTTCATGGGCATTATGAGCTTTCATTTTGTCCTTAATGGGCTCTCGTTTCGGCCCACTAACGACAGTAATAAACTTTTATGCATGCTTGCAGAACCTAATAGAATGCAGAAAACTATATTCGAGCAGGGTTATAAGGCAGATGTATCGTCTGTCACTTGGGCTTAATGGCCCAACAACACAACTACCCCGGCCAAGTGGGCTCTCGTCATTGGCCCATTAACTATCCCCGATACTTGCTACGTACATAAATACGTATACATTAAGTAAATTTTATACGTATGAGTACACACTAATCCAGAAAATGATGTCTGATCACGGGCATGGCGTGTGTATTAATATATACAGCAAATGGGGCATGACGGTGGGTTTGTTAACATCAATGATCAACTTTAGTGATGCTTGCGCATATTTTATTTAATACCTAAATATAATACTAAGATAAAGACACGTTCATGGACTCCTGCAGATTTATATACGGATATGTGGATTTTCTACCATGGAACTTTGGAGAGAAACCCACATCAACAATAATCTTACAGTTTACTTCACATTTAGACTGAAATCAAGGCTTCAATGTAGATATTCTAATTTTTCAATTGCATGAATAAATATATCATTTTTAATGTTCCCAAATAATAATTTCGTATTAATTTCAACCGTGGTGATTGGAATTGTGTTTTTTATTTTTTTTTCCCGAAATGTGGGATTATATATGTGAGATCCTAATATGGGATTATATAAGATGGAAAATCTTGAGATATTGATGTAAATGTCTTGCACCAAGGTTGTTGGTTCCGTCATATACTAATGTATTGAGCTTAAAAATATTATATTTTTCTACTTCTGGTTATGATCTATAAATTCGTACTTAATGTGAGGAGTTATTTTAATTACCACTCTCAAAAACAATTTTTTTTTCGACCTAATTTTCATATATCGAAATATAAATTTAGTACGTTTTAATATTTTTCTACATGCCGACATAGTAAGCTTTATAAACTTAATTTGGATGAATTATTCTATTTTGTAATTAACAAGTCTACATTGTAATAATCATGATATACTAATTTGCCCTGTAATAAAGCATGATATATTAAAAATATAAAATTTATATATTTTATGGTATTATATTGCACAAACTTTTCATATGCTAAGATATTTACTTTGTTGTATCTTACCATTAAAAAATAATAGATAATGTCCCTGATCTACATCATATTGTACAAAAAATTAAATATAAATACGTATATTTTATATTTTCACTGTTTAATTGAATTATTATAATTGTAACTAGAATTTATGTCTCACAAATATTATTTGATCTATCATCCCAATTAATCGTAGCCGACATAAATTCAACACAATTTAGATGGCTCTCTGCTTTACGTCCCAAGTGAAGGATAAATATCTAAAGAATGGAAAGCACGAGGGTTTGCATGTAACTAATATAGCCTCCACCGAGGTGAGCGTCAAAATTCTGGTCCGAGAGCGAACGACGATCTCCACCGGTGCGTCAGGGCAATGCGCCGCCGGTCCGCCCGAAAGACCGAGCCGTACGACGGCCTCGAGGAGACGCGACGACTCTGACACGGAGAGAGAAGGGGGGGAGAGAGAGAGAGAGAGAGAGAGAGGGGGAGGGAGATTCGGGGCCCACTATGACATTTATTTAAATTATTATATTTTATCTCGATTATAATATTTGGCAATATTCATTTAATTTCCCTGGGCCCACCCGGGGGGGGGGGGATGGGGGAAGGTCAGGCCTCCGGACCCACCCTGTCTCAAAGTTTTATTTGACTTTTCGCTTGAATAAATAACACGGATGTTACTGTTCTTATATTTTTGTCACGAATAAATGACGAGCCTTTACCCTCACAATCTGGGCCGTCGCATTGGGACGGAAGGACCACGGATCGGACGATCCAAATTCCCTGATCGTTTTCCCACGTGCGCAGCTTCTCAAGCCGATACATCACCACCGTCTACAGTGTAGACGTACACATGCACGGTCAGATATCCCCCGGCTTACTTCCTCCGCCGGTCAGCTTACCTAATCTTCCCCCAGAGTGCTATACTGGCATTAATGGCGGAGAGAACGGAAGGAGCCTGTCTCTCCTCTCCACGAGCATGGCGGAGGGAGTAGGGAACCTCAGCCATGGTGGCCGGGCGCGGAGGGCAATCATGGGGAACTCGGAGTTTTTAGTACGGATTTGGGGAAGGTAATTTAACATTTCCTGCAATTTGCAAGAAGGTGTACCGATCATCAAACTACAGCGGGTGGAGGAAGATGAAAGAATTGGAGTTTGCTGGTGAGGGGCAGTCGCCATTTTCAACGAGATGGATGCGTGATAATACCTCGTACCATTCTCCTCCAGGTCTCTGCTCGCTCTCCTTCTCTCTCCTCGTCTGTCGCCATTGCTGTTCCATCGCATCCATGGCCGGGGGCTGTGGAGGGGGAGGGGTTGAGGGGGAGCTGCGGCGGCGGTGTCCCCCGAGGTAGACTTAGGGCGACTATCGACCGGAAACAGTAGGGAGAAGGAGGCGGTGGGTCGTTGTCACCCTGTTTGGCGGCTCAAGGAGGAGGCGGAGGAGGGGGATCCGCGACCTGGTACATCTCCGCCGTCACCTCTGACAGGCACAGGCCGGGGAACAACATCTGCAAGGAGGAGAGAAGGGGAGGAGGAGGGGGAATTAGTATGAAAATGGAGGGGAGATGAAGATAAACGCGAGGAAGATCTCCTCCTGCTCGCTCTGTGCGTGCATCTGAGCGGATTCCTTTGGTTTTTATGGTGATTGTTGGAGGGGAAGCAGTTTTAGGATTTCAGGGACGTACGTCGAGCTGCTTCTGTACGGAGCGGGACCGTTTCTTGGGACGGCGGGGGGCCAGGCGGCCGGTGAAGGCGTACAGGTCCTCGTCGATCTCCTCCTTCGTCAGCGGCAACGAGAACCGCGGCCGGCGCCGGCGTAGAGCCGCCTCCCTCCTCTCCGCTGTGCCGGAACTCAGGCGAGACGTCGCCTGAGACTGCGTCAGAGACCTGGCGTTGGACGCTGGCGTCGACCTCCTCGTCCGGAGATTCCACGGCAGGTCCTCCGCGTAGACCGACGCGGCGACCGGAGGGACGGCGCCGGAGGAGGCGGCGTGGGACGATTCCTCGATCGGCGCCTCCGCCTGCGCTGCTGGCTCCGTCCGCCTTTCTCCGGCGAGCGCCACCGCAGGGAGCTCGATCCGGTCGGCCGCCTGGCGGAGGTGATCCATCAGCTTCTCCCTGATCTGGTCAAATCCACCGTCCTGACCTCCCGCCATCCTCCGTCGCGACGACTTCGATGCCGGCGTCACCCGGTCGCTACCACTAGCGGCTCCGTCGAGGCGGACGCACTTGAGGAGGCGCTGGTTGGCCCAGGCCTTGAGGTTCGGGAGGGGGAGGCGGGACCGGGGCTTCCCCCGCAGCATGGAGGAGCGATCAGCTGGCGGCGGCGGCGGCGAGGCAGACGAGGCGGCGGTGGCGGCGGCGGCCGTGATGACTTCCGCGGCCCTCGGTGGTTCCGTGGAGAAGAACATGGCGTCAGATCTGCTCCTCCGCCTGCGAGGGTTTCGATCCTCGTGTGTTCGGCTGGCAGATCGGAAGGTGGTGAAACCCGCCGGCAGCGCTGGAGATACTGGCAGAGGAGGGAGAGAGAGAGAGAGAGAGAGAGAGAGGGGGGGGGGGGAAAAGCTTTTATATTACTTAGACGACGAGAGTTGGGCCAAGTACAAGGCTAGAGAGAGAGGATGAGATGAGCCTAGAGAGAGTCGCGTGGAGAGAGAAAGAGGGAGAGAGAGAGAGAGTGATGATGGGGGAACTGCGTGAGGAGTGCGTGGAGGATACGTGTCAGACTCCTGGCATCCCTGGCGACTCCGATGTCCCAAATGGACAACGCCCATCGACGGTGACCCCTCGCCACGCATCCCCACGGTCCGATTCCTTCTAAAAAGAGGGGACGGGAGAGCAGGCACGGCCGTCTCATTCCCTTGCACGATTCGTCGCACCGTCCCTCAGCAAATCCACTTATTCAATTATTTCGTTTAAATAATTCAAACCATTCAACAGCTTAGCCACTTTATTATTTATTTATTTTTAATTTTTTGGCAAGTCTGGGAGTTGATCCCATATCTTTTTTATACATACATAAATCTAAAAAACACACAAGCACGGAAAATAATTAACACATTTTTTTTTGACGATTTCCTACGCACGCATTCATACGTGGGTTATTTCTATATATAATTATTATAATTATACTTAATAAAATATAAATAAAAAACGGTTGAAACAGGAAATATGACCCGAAAGATGAAAGCCCAGCTGATCAGCTCGCCCCCAACAGCGTATGTGTGCAGATGTTTGTTAATGAAGATTTGACCAGAAAACCGAAAGATAGGAGGTGATGATGGTATCACACCTGCGTTTGACAATTAAAGGAAAGAAAAAAAGTCAACCCTTTTTTCACAGAAACTCTAGCGAGGAAGTCTTCTACACTCAACTTATTCCAATCACCACCTTTCCGAGGCATAGAGCACAGCGTAAATATGGATATCTACGCTTGATGTTTGTTAAGTAGCATAAAAATGGAGATTTGACCAGAAAATCGAGGAATACTAGGCGATGATGGTGCCATGTTGCCTGGGCTCTCATCGGAGTACCCAACGCTTGCCAATTCAAGGAAAGAAAAAAAGTCAACCCACAGAAGCTCTAGCGAGGAAGACGTTTACGTTCAACTTATTCCAGGCACCAGCTTGCAGAAGCATAGAACACAGGAGCTGCTCGCGGCCAGAGCCTCTGCCGTTAATCTTCGCCTTCTTCTGCAACAGGAGAGAAACATAATGAGTAAATCCTGCGATCATATCATATTCAAAGCTGATTTTTTTTAATTTTATTTGGGCGGGTGGAGAGAGAAGTCATAAATGGGTTTCTGAGGCAACGCCGCTGTGTTGATATCAAATTGTGCAAAAAGTAGTTAACAGCCCTTGCATTAAATGCAAGTCAACGTCGATATGGGATCAAACCCACATGAAAAGTCAGCAAAGGACCTAAAGGTGGAAGACACACGGCATAGCCTGGCCAATCCAAGAGCCCTAAAACACTCTTCAGCAGTGCTGGGTTGTCTTAGGAATGAGTTGACCTGGTTAGATTGGCTAATTCTGTAGAAAATCTTCCACTTTAACGCCAACTCCAGCTCAAAATCGACCAATCTGGCCTGATTAATACCGGAACTGGGTATGGTTATGCCGATCTCGGTCTAGACCAGCCGGTTCTGTGTGCCATGATGCTCAAATGGGTATAATGGTTCGGCTAGTCAACGCTTTCAAGCAAGACACTTTCCAAAGATGAATACTAATAGCATAATGATTCGGAAAAGAAGATGGCAGCCATGAGCATGGTCTGAAAACTTCTCTGCCACTGCCCAACATGGGTTTCTCAGATCAAAACAACCCTTCCATTGGCAGCGCATGAGGAACTTTACAGGAATCTCTACCTGGGCAGATTCATCAGAGCGCAGGGCAGGAAGAACAGTGGAAACATGAACAAGATAAACATCCGCCGATTCACACTTCCGGGTTCACCAGGAATGGCAACAGAGAGAAATGGTAACACTTTGGAAGATCCTGTCGCTAAGAAAGCTAGAGTCGAAGTGTCCAGTGGGCTTCTAAGGCCTCTGCGGGCAGTAGGAATACGAAGAAGAAGGAAACAAGACGAAGGAGAAGGGCACTGCTGCCAACACAGTAGATCCTTGCAGCCTACGATTCCTTCATATTCTTCTTCTCTGCCTCTTCTGCTTGCTTCCTACCATTGCCTGTTTTGGTGGGCAAAACGGGCTTCTATCACAGAACTCTTCTGAAAAGAAACTGGGTTTTCATAAAATAGGCTTTTAAAATCATACAAGCATCACTACTATGCTTCTAAATATTGTGGGTCAAAATTGTACGACTCAGACAAGTTATAGATCAAGTCAATCGTAGTGGTTTTTCTGGAGTCCAGTGAGCACGCCATGTTGATACCCCAGAGGCAAAATCCAATAACCTACCGAAAGTAGTCTTCTCCTTCCCTTAAAGTACTCCAGCTCTGCCTGCACGAAGCAAAGCTCTCCACGTTCTCAATCTTCACTCAGACACCCATGAAACGATCCCATTATAGTATATGTTCCTCAAAGTCTTGTTTCCGCACAATCAACTGACACCTTACAGAAAAGCTTCCAATCTCTGATGCCTTACATTCTCTCTTATTCGTCAGAATCTTTCCTTTAATCCCTCTCCCAAGTAACCACGCAAGATGCAGCAGATTTGTTTATTGCAAACTAACCTGGTAGAAAGAAAACCAGCCTTAATTGCTGTCAGGAAGGAGAAGAAGAACGAACCCGGCAAGAAGATGGAAAATTATGAATGAAATAAACTACGAGGTGACAAGGTAGACATTACATGCCATGGGGACTAAATCAGAGGAATTTATAGTCTCTGCTCAGTATGTAGTTTCTCCACTGGGGTACCTCGATGTGTGATTAAATAGTAAGACTAGCCTCGAGATCTCTACCTTGATATATTTCCATGGTATCTTCATAACGCTTCTCGCCGTCTTTGGAAGGAACAGCTTTTACTCTAATATTACAGCACAACTCGTAAGTTTTACCACAGCGATGGCTACAGGTGGTACAGGTCACTTCGAGGAAGCACGCATTAACAGGATCCCGGAAGTAACAAAAGAAGAAATTTCAATCCACATGGTGGATCATCTGGTCAAGGTGCCCAGGTCAACAAAATAGCTCAGGCACACATGAAATATCGAGCAATTGAAGCAAACCATCATTACCAGACGAGCCATTTTATCTAGAATAAATAAAAATAAACATAAATAGGAAATAAAGCCTGTCAAAGCAGCTTCTGAATTATGCCCATGGGGCATGGACATTTAGCATTAATTGACAAAATAAACACGATTATCAATTAATATTCCCTCCGAAAGAACCATTGATGAGAGAATGTTTCAGCAAACAGTGGGGATATACTTCGCTATTTGTACTTTTAAAGGAATACCACCGCTAGGAAGACAATAAATAGTGCAGCTTACTGACAATGACCACCCCAAAGAACACAACAGGGATTTTAAGTTTTATAGGAAGCGAAAAGAGCCGGCTTTCTGAATGCTGCCTCACTATGGTCAAGGGATCATCTTTCATGAGTAATTTCCATCCTTTGATATGAGAAAAACAAGGGCCGAACGGAGTTATTTCCAGAGTTCAAGAACAGGATAGCTTGCTGTTGTCTGTTTTCCATTCTTTTGTTCGATAGCTTTGATGCATTGTAATGGATATGACTTATATAATGTATTGGGCTGTGTTTCTTGCCGATTGGGATTTATCGATTCCTAAATCTTTTAGTGCGTTTTCATGAATTATTGTGCCCCCTTGGCAATGCATGGCTCATAGATTATTTTGGCGAATAATACCTCTCCATTTCTGTAGGATCCTCTCTCGGGATTAGCAGATTGGTGTAGGAGAGTGGGTTATCTCTGTCATTTTTCACTGAGGCCCGGGAGATGGTTCCCATCGACTAGCGATTTCATGTTCACTATGAACCCTAACACGGGGGAAAGTGGGGCACGACGAACTCCTTCGCCCCGAAGAGGAAGATGAGCTATTGGAAAAATTAGATCCTGACACAGGGCCTAGAATTAGAAGAACGAGAGAGAGGAGAGAAATGGGTACCGAAGTATCTGCGCTCGTTGGCCGCCTTGGACTTGTCGATCATCTTGCCGAGGTCCTCGTGGAGCTTATCGTTCCAGTTCACCAGCTGGTTAACGAAGACGGCGCCCAGCCCCATTCCCAGCACGTGCTCCCACGGATCTGCAGAGACCAAGAAACCCGCCGGAGCAACCCTCATTCCACCGGAAAACACCGCGGATCACCGTGCCGCAAAACATGCCCCCCAGCCCAGAGCAAGCGAGGAGAACTTTGAATCACAAGAAGGAGAATCGAAGAAGGAAGAGGGGAGCGAGCAGGAGGATCACGCACGCCTCATCATGGGGAGCTTCCGCAAGGCGTTGGAGTACATCTGGGTGCCGAGCCCCAGAAGCACCCCGATCGCCGTCGCTGTCCCGGGCATCTTCAATTCTGTGTTCTCTTCCTCTCCGTTCTCTCTCTCTCTCTCTCTCTCTCTCTCTCTCTCTCCACCGGCCGCCGCTGCCGCCCCCGCCGCCGCTCCAGCCAACAGCCCGGTGTTGAAGACGATATCGGTACTAGGGGATCCCCTCGCCCACTAAACGAGTCCAGCCCATTGGGCCATCCGCTTTGGGCTCACAACCCCCTTCCTCTGCTCTCTCTCTTTCTCTTTCTCTCAACCGAGTTCCAGTCCGCAGAACTCTTCTGACACCTCGTCGGCTCCAGCTCTCGCTCAGGCTCTCAAAGAACACAAATATATTACAGCTTATTTCCAAGAATATCCGGATTTTATCAGCATTAAGTCAACCAAAAATGGTTTAATCCATAGGAAAACATTCCAAAAACCCGATGATGATGGTCGATCTTTGACATCAGATTTTGCAGTAAAAAATTAAAATTTTCACAATATATATATATATATATATATATATATATATATATATATATATATATTAGAAAATAAAATTCGAGCTCGCACAACCAGCAGTGATAACAATCTGAACCATCATGACATCTTATACGAGGTCTAGCTTGATCATGATCAGAGAAAATCACATAAAATTGAGTTCCTGCTCTACATGCGATTGTTACCATTCTGGATATAACACGACTCAGAAAATTCTTGATTCGTTGTTGTCAGATGGTTTGATCAGGGGGGGCATTCCCAGTTTAGTATCTCTGGTTCTTGCTAGAATCTGAGGGAGATCTCACTGCAAGAGAAAACTGATCTCAGAAATCTAGAAATAATGAGAGCCTCACATTAACCACGTTCACATGTTGGATTTCCTTTCCCATCTTTCCTTGGTGTCGAGCCTAAAACAGCAAAAAAATAAAAAATAAAAAATAAAAAATAAAAAAATAAAAAAACCTCTGTAAGAATTTATGATGAATAATCTGAGTTTTCATTCACATGGGCAAGAACCCAGGGATTTTTCCTCGTTCAAGCATTACCCCCAGTATAGCTTCTGCCTCTTCTTTGGCGTCAAAGCAGAAGCAGCAGCTTCATCCTGATACGTTATCTACAGCGAGATGAAACAAAGTAGGAAGATTAATGAGAATGAAACGGAGTACCCAATGAAGATCTAATGCGATTCAAAACAAAGTTACAAGTAAATTATGTAGATCGGGTACCAAAGCTACCATTATCATTCCACCTCCTGATTTCTAGACTATCGTGGACCTTGGGGAAAAGGACACGACACCCTATCCATGACTGGCTCTGGGCTGGCTGAACACCCGCCCGCCCCTCCCCACAAGTGAAAGGTAATGCAACCCGAGTTCAAATCTATCTCTGAATCGGCTGACAGTGGATGATGGTACTCTATGAACATGGTGGCGAATGTCATTGAATCAAGTACTCCATGTTGAATGTCCATACCTCCGTCAACTTTCCTATCTCGTCTTCAGATTCTGATGTGGAAAACATGCGTTCAGAGTTGGGTGCCAGGAAGTTGACTTTAAGCATTTGACAAAGATCAGAAAGCACAACTAACTGTTTTGACCATTTGGAAGGAACACCAAAGGGGCCTGAAAGAGGTTTGAGGGACCAAATTTGCTTTAGAAGATGCCATGTTGGCTTCGCATAATGATGAGAAACATCATCGAGCCGAATCTTTCATGCACGTAGACATCAGCCAGACGCGTGCGCTCCAGTTTATCACTTGAGGGTAAGTAAGAATGCATTTCAGAGCTTGGGAACTGTGGAAAGTTGTATGACTTATGTAATATTTCCGCTTTTCTGATTATTTTTTTGGTAAGAAATGGTAGCGAATTTCGTCAAGAAAATAAAACGACGTGGACATAGTTAGCGGTTTCACTGCAAAGTTCATCAACACATTCAAATAGAAATCCTCATCAAAATCAGATGCTGCCCGACAAAAAGGTTTTGCATATTCATTCAAACAAGAGTGCATAATTCTTTGGCAATCACCGTTACTAACACGCACACAAGCAATAATATAAAATTTAAAAGATAACTTACTGGGTTCAACAAATCATTGTTTGCATTTGAAATGGGAATATTTGAATCTTCTCGCTTTGCAGTTGTTTCATCTTCCTTGCCTTCTTTGATGCTTACTTCCTTTTTCTGTCCCTTTGAACTCTTATTTGTGTTAACTATAGAAAACATCAAAATAAATCAAAGTTCGTAACTAACAAGAGAGAAAACATTCAGCAAAACATTACTACCTTTTCTTTTTCCTCTTTCCTTTGCACTTTCTTTCATTTGCAAACGCAACTTGTGCAGTTTCTAATAAAATGAGAGAATGTACAATTTCAGAGTTAAAATTCATTCTTTAGATAGAAAAAAAAGGAAACTAGGGCTATGGATGGTTTCGTGATAGCAATACATTCAACTGCACATTCTTCTACTCCTACTAATGCATTATTCTCTCAATTTCCAAAAATGCAAGGCATCTCCTGTAAGCGTGAACACTTTCCAAGGTTAAGGTACATCACCATTTCTGAAAAGTAATTTATACAATAGATGGCTGTAGTGACTATCAGAATGGGATGCAGCAATCCTATTAGCGTTCCAACATCAGAGAATAAGGCAATCATTCATTTACCTCATTATCGACTTGTTAAATTTACAAGTTGAGACTTTATTTAGAGTATAATTATCAATTAAATGAACGTGGTGGCATTCGAAAATAGTTACATACCTTGTTTATTATAAATAAAAGAAGCCTGAGAGGCAAGATAACACATTCGATCGATTAGAAAATTCCATTGAGTATAATGTTCTTCCCGGATCTACAAAGAGAGGTGTAAAAAATAGACACAATGCTGAAACCTTTTCATGACTTGCTCCTCTTTGCCAGATGCTCCATTCATTCCCTTGAATAAAGTTCCCTTTTTTAATACATCCACTTCTGCAACTCTGCTTGCAACACTCATATGCCATTTACCCATCTAAGTCTAACACGTGTTGCTCAAATATGGAAAAAGATGAATGAGCATTCTCCCAGCTTCTAGACACAAACCCCAATTGCCAGCCTACAGGGAGACGACATCACCTGCTCCACATCCCAGCAAAAGCGGCACCAACTCTTTTTGTATTTGTTAAAAATTCTACCACAATTATAATCTTTACAAGTGTGGATGTCGAACCACAACAGCTGCTGCTAGTGTGCTCCTCCCTCCACCTCCGTTTGGAAGCCTAGTCTTTGCATCTTCACGGCTACTTCACCCTTTCCTCTCTTCTTCTTAAAGTAGAACTTTTGCAATAATGTTACACAACCCATTTCACATCCAAGCCGCATCATGTAATCGCACTAGAAATCCTCTTTTCCTATAAATAAGTAGAATTCAGAATGTCGAAAATGCTAGAATAAAAAAAAAACGTTAACAAGTTCATTTACACATTGTTATCGAAGGTTAGCCTGAAGGAAGTAGATGCGAAGCTTGGGCGATCACAAAAGATAAAGTGGAAAATAGCCAGTCATCTTCCTAAGACAAAACACCAACAGTATAGACTTCATGTGAGTCCAAATGTCAAAAGAGCAAATACGACCTGTGCCCTGAGAAGAAACTCGACCTCTTTGTTATAGTCTAAACAAAAAAAGGAAGCATCACAGTTATTAGTCAGGTCCAATATATTACTTTGTTGGTGGTCATTGACGATTTTGGACTATTTATTTTGATCTGATTCTACTTGAGAGGATGCATTGGACGATTTATTTCATTCTGGTTCTACTAGAGAAGAGAGAATATTAGCAACTCGCATGCCTTGGGCGGCCTCATCTTCCCCTACATTACATGGGCCCATGAAAGCCATAGAGAGGTACTATTTATCAATCGGTAGTTTCAAATATGGAGAGACTTCCACCGTATAAATTAAGGAATTCAAAATCGCATAGCTAGATTGATACTTACTATCCAGAGAATGATCTTGGTAAGTCGAGCCAAGATTCACCAAAAAATCGAGTGTATCTTCACGAGGACGTGGAAATTTTTATGCAATATCGAATTTAATGCTGATCGTAAGGATTTAAAAAATAGGATAGATAGGCGTGTATAACGGAGACTGTTGCTCATCTCCCAATCGACACAATCATCCAACACCTAGCCATCGTTATATAATGGATTAAACATGAAAATAGAGTATTATGCACTTTACACGGAGTAGCAACCTACGAGGAAAATAGCGAACTGACGCGTAGAGCAGAATGCAAGAACTTGGAGGTCTGCCGTTTATAGGCCGTTGAACTAACCTACCTACGAGGTAATGAAAAACTTGAAAAAACCATCATAACCCCATAGGCGCAGAAAAATCCAGAGAAATCGAAACAGTCGCCATCACCACGGATCATCCAGAGCAGAGAAAGAGTGAGGGCAACAAGGGGAGTAGGGAAGGAGTAGATTACCCTAAACTTATCGAGCTGGGCTTGCGAGACCTTGGAGGACTTGAAGCCGGCCTGGAGGAGCGGAGTCCCTGCCAGTGCGGTCTCCCTCCTCTCCTCCTCCCCCTCCACCTCCATCCTCCTCCCTGGTGACTCTCCCACGCAACAACTCACCCGCCCTACAGAACAAAATGTGCGGTATTTTACAAATACAAGCCCCAGAATATTTTATATTATATATTAACCATAATGTTATGTTTTTGTGCAATAACACACAGCAGCCGTAGAAAGAATCCGATGAGAACCTTACAAAACGGGTCGGACCCGGACCCGGACCCGGACCCGGACCCGGTTTAGCCGATAATTATTATAGGATATGATATCAGTACTTTCCGAAAGGCATCCGGAATCTCATCCATTTGCGGTGTCCGTTATGAGGTAACAACAAGGGCCCCCTCCTCCCCCGCCCCTTTTGTGTTCCCTTCTTCCTCTTCCTCTCCGCAGGGGACCGACCGAGCTCTCCCCTCCCCCGCGGCCATGGCGGGTTCCTCCTCGGGGCCCTCTCTGATGGACAGTCTCTTCCAGCGTACCCTCGACGACCTCATCAAGTCCCTCCGCTCGGCCACCGCCATCTCCGGGGCGGATTCTCCTTCCCTCGTTCTGTCGCGGGCCGTCGACGACATCCGCCGCGAGATCCGCGCATCGGACCAGACCACCAAGGCCATCGCCCTCCAGAAGCTCACCTATATCTGCGCCCTCCATGGTGTCGATATCTCCTGGGCTGCATTCCATCCCCTCGAGCTTCTCCCGTCCCCTATCTTCCTCCACAAGAAACTGGGCTATCTCGCCGCCTCCCTCAGCTTCTCCCCCTCCACATCCGTTCTCCCCCTCGCGACCCACCAGCTCCGCAAGGACCTCTCGTCCCCGTGTGATCCCGCGGCCGCCCTCGCCCTCGAATTTCTCTCCTCCCCCGCCGCCTCTGCGGACCTCGCCCGCGACCTCTGTGTGGAACTCTCATCTCTCCTCTCCAGCACCCGACCTCGGATTCGCGTCAAGTCGACTGCCGCTTCGCTCCGATTCTTCACCCTGTACCCTGATTCTGTAAGGGTGGCCTTCAAACGTCTGGTCGAGAATTTGGAGTGCGCCGATCAGCGGGTCGTGTCCGCCGCCGTAGGCGTCTTCTGCGAACTCTCGGCTGTCGATCCAAAGTCCTACTTGCCGCTGGCGCCGGAGTTCTACCGGATTTTGGTGGACTGCAGGAACAACTGGATTCTGATCAAGGTGTTGAAGATCTTCTCGAGGCTGGCGCCTCTGGAGCCGAGACTTGCAAAGAGAATTGTGGATCCAGTGTGCGATCACTTGCGGCAGTCTTCTGCTAAGTCGCTGGTGTTCGAGTGCATACGGACTGTGTTCACAAGTCTTGATGGATTCGACGACGCCGTGAAGCTCGGCGTCGAGAAGTTGGGGGAGTTCCTGGCATCAGAGGACGACCCCAATCTCAGGTATCTTGGGCTGAAAGGCCTGTCAATGCTTCAGCCAATTCACTTGTGGGCAGTGGAGGAGAGCAGGGAGATTGTGGTCAAGTCGCTTGGTGATCCCGACTCCAATATCCAGCGCGAGGCCCTGCATCTGATCGTGAGGATGGTATCGGATGCCAACCTGATCGAGATATCAACCATCCTTCTCAATTACGCTCTAAAATCTGATCCCGAGTTCGCTAACGAGATTCTTGGAGAAATTCTGTCCGCCTGCTGTAGGAATTTTTACGAGTTGGTTGTGGACTTCGATTGGTACGTCTCACTTCTTGGGGATATGTCTCGCCATCCACATTGCACGAAGGGGGAGGACATTGAGCATCACCTCGTTGACATAGGCTTGAGGGTCAAAGATGCCAGGCCAGAGCTTGTTCGTGTTGCACGGGATCTCTTGATCGATCCCGCTTTGCTGGGAAACCCTTTTATCTGCAGGATATTGTCAGCTGCGGCCTGGGTTTCTGGTGAGTATGTTGAGTTATCGAGGAACCCAGTCGAGCTCGTGGAGGCTCTTTTGCAGCCTAGGGTTAGCCTCCTGCCAGTCTCTGCAAGAGCGGTATACATTCAGTCCGTTTTCAAGGTTCTGATCTTTTGCTTGCATTCATATCTTGAGCAAGACGGAGCTGGTCCTTTGGTGACCAGAGATCCAGTCGGAGGAAGCCAGATGTCAGAAAGCTCTGATGCTGTGATGTTCGAGATTTCTTCCAATTGCAGCTTTGACAGCAGAATTGGTCTCGAAGGCAAGGACAATGCCAGCAACGTGCAAAGAGCTCATACTTCAAATGATTCAGCAGAGACGAAGGGGTTCCTGACATACGACTCTCTGAAACACATTCTAGATTTGATTGAAATGTCTCTGAATCCCCTTGTAGAATGCAGCGAAGTGGAGCTGCAGGAACGGGCGCGGAATATTCTCGGCTTCATCAGCGCATTACAGAAAGTTCAGGGTTCTGATTTTGATGAGGAGGGTTTTAGGAGAGACCCCAGAAATTGTAAGCTCATCACGGTCATGGCCGATGCATTTCTTGAGGATCTGGGTCCAGTTTCTGCAAATGCTCAGGGGCGAGTTCTTGTTCCCGATGGAGTTAGTCTAAGGGATGATCTGTCGGACTTGGACGGCATCCTGGAGGGTGAGAGACTGGAGGAGCCTTCCTCAGCCCCCGTCTTCTTCAAAAGGAGCGACCAGCTCAGCGAAGCCCAGGAGGAGGATCTGCCATCGCTGACTGAATCAAAATCTCTGCTTGCAGAGCATCGTCGGCAGCACGAGGTGTATTATCTCCCAAAGGAGAGTAGCGAGGCTGAGAAGGAGGGATACCCTCGAGCTAATGAGGCCCCGTCCTCAGTCGGCCATGGGCACATCGCCGAAGGTTCCATCCAGGATCTTATAAAGCTCACGAAGGAATCTCTGGGTCCGAGGAGGACGAAGCCGCGCCCAGTGGTGGTAAAACTGGACGAGGGGGAGAGTGTTCCTACTGCGTCTTCCCTGAAGTCTGTGGAACCGAGAGACGATCCTCTCTCTGGTGTGGTCCGTGAGGTTCTTCTGCAAGACGGCGATGAACCCACCACTTCCAGGAGGATATCTTCAGGGAACCCATCTCGGAGGAGATCAAAGGGGACGATGATACCAAGGTCAACTGGCGAATCCGCCCCTCATTCAGACGAAAATCTGGGAGACCTGCAGAAAGGAGGACGCCATCACAGGAGTCACAGTCATCGGAGGCAGGGAAGAGATGGAGCTCAAAGTCGTCCAGAGACTGAAGACAGAGGAGAGGAGGGGAAAGTCAGCCACAAAGGGTCCCACAGGAGCAATCATCCTCGCAGGCACAGGCGCAAGGAGGAGGCGGAGGGTCCTCTAAACGTGATCCAGCAGGCTCCCCCTGGTCAAGATCTTCTTCTATGATATATATAGACAGCTCATAGTTTGCATGGTGGGTTTGGCTCCCATATTTTGTAAATCTTCTCTGTGTCTCTGCCTCCTGAGGTAATCAGTCACCAGGATCCTCTCTATTTACGTTCCACATGCCGAGCTCAACCTCTGCTGGATCTCCATCAGTTGGCTGCACCACACGGGCGCTCAGTTTTCACCTCTCTCTCTCTCTCTCTCTCTCTCTTAAGATACTTCATTTATCTCTCAACTCCCGCCGTAGTTCCCCCGAGGATCTCAGGGGAGTGGATCTTTTTCTGCTCTCAATTGAAGAAACTGAGTGCATTTTTGTGACCCTCTCTCTCTCTAAAGATTCTTCATTTATCTCCCAACTCCCGCCGTAATTCCCCCGAGGATCTCGGGGGAGCGCATCTTTTTCTGGTGTCAATTGAAGAAAGAGTGCATTTTTTCTGACCCTCTCTCTCTCTCTCTCTCCTCTCTCATCCCCATGGTTGATTAATGTATTAATATTATTATAATGTGCAATTCGAGGCTGACGTTTGTGCGAACCCCGCCACGTGTTTGTGGGGGGTCTATTTCCCCAACGGCCAATCCTTTTTTGGTCGTGGCCTTGAGGAGGAGCCACCTTTTGTACTGAAAGGAGTCTGCTTTGTTCTGGGACTGCCCGAGCAGTCCGCCGACCGAGTCGTGCTCCTGTCGGACCTTTCCGGGAATGGCGATCTACAAGCTAGCCGTCGTCATCGGGGTGGATTCCTCGTCTCCGCCTTCTCTCGCGGAGGGCGGCGGCAGCGGCGTGGGAGAGGACGAGGAGATTCTAGTTGTCCAGCAGTCGGCCCCGCCTATGCTAGAGCAGGAGGAGTACCGGCGCTACGTGGACTCCGATCTCTGGGATCTGCCGTCCGCTCCGTTGAAGGTGGTGGAAGATGGGGCGGCGGTGGATGAGTTCGTCGTGGAGGGGGCCGATTCTTGCTCAGAGACTGTCGACTTGAGGAAGTTTGACGTCCGCTCCGCCATCGATCAGGTGGACGGGGTTGATTCAGGAATTGCCTTTAACGTACTGCGTTTCCCATAATCGAGATGGCGGGGAAGTTTGTGTTGTTCGGGAGCATAATTGAACGCCTCTTCGGCCGCGTCGTTTTTTTGTCTTTGCGGCACGAAACCTAGCACTCTCGACGCAGATGCGTCCTTCCTTCCGGTGTGAAGTGATGGAAGCTCTCATACATTTTATTAAATGCGTCATGTTGAGAATACTGTAAATTATAAGTGTTAAGCCTTGGTTTTGGTTAATTAGCGGAACAATCAGTCTCTGCGTCTGTCCCAAAACTGGTTTCCTCAGGTGGTAGTCTTTCAAAATGATGGCACGTCTCTTCCCAGCATAAAATACCGTTCCAAATTTCGGAACCTATGGGAAGCTCGTCTGGAGCCTCTCCTTTTTCGGTCTACTTGCAAGATCAATGGTTCTTGTGAGGAGTATTTTAGCTTAGACTCTGACCACGACATCTTTAAGCAGATAGTTAAAACAATGCACTGAGTTAGAAATTTTCCCTGTGCCCCTTGTAAAGTTTCCAATTAGCTAGTGAATTTTCTAAACCATTTTAATTTGACATATTGTATTTAATATCAAATATTGAACCTGTATTCTGATGGATTCTAACCGTTGTTTCTTGATTTTATTCATTTCTTGCTCCTATTTTGCATCTCTCCTCTTTGCCCTGAAACTTTGGATTCGTACCACTTCTCCCAATTACAATGCACATATTCCATTGAAGTAATGTGGCCAAATTCAAATTATAATTTGCGAATTCGAAAGCTTCGCATTATAATCATTACAACAGGATGAACATTTTTGGATGCTTTCGTACAGGTGATGCGCCAAGTGGGTTTCCTGACTGCGGATAATGGACACTGGACGTATGGGAAGTTCGCTAAGGAACCTGATTTTGGACCAGAACCTCCTGTTCATACATTATTTATTCTTGGAAAGTTCAAGTTTGAACGAAAAAGCATTCAAGGTTTACACATCACTCTACACCTGGATATTACTAATCACATTCAGACGTGAACTCTGGTGTTTTTTCTGTGTAAATAATTCTTCACTAATGGATGATGGAACTTCAACTCATTCTCACTGATTAAATCAAGTACAATTTTCAGATAAAGGGTCCAAGTTAAGCAAATGGATATCCGTTCAAAGTGCCTTAAAGTTGCTTTTGGAAGTTAATCCCGGTGGTGATCGGATAGGACCTTTGTTTGTGACTATGTTTTTTTCTGAAGCTTCCAAGGCAAAATGGAAAATCCCTCCTACGTTTTATTTTCAGGTGCAATCTTATTACGTTAATCTGAAAATCCTGTGTTGGGCAAACGTTTACTGGATCATTCATCTGTCATGCACCACATTTTTCATTTATCTAGTTTCATCATTTATGAAGTCCGCCAACTGAAAATTCTTATGATTTATCGAATGCAAATTTAGTACTTTTTAATTTGCCGTACCGTGTATCCTTCCATAGTTGTTGCCGTTGATGTCTGGTGACTTCAGGCCTTAGAGGCTGCAGAACATCGTCTGGCAATTGGATTGGGCGAAACCTCCCTTTTAATGTATTGATTCCTAAGTCTGTTGACGAGCAAAGGGACAAATGTCCCCCTTTGGGGGGCATAGAGAAGATCGAATGTCAGGCCTCTCTTTTCTCCTTTGGAGGGAAAGGATCTGGGTTTTGATAGGATTTTTACAAAATTCCTTACGAGAAAAAAGGGAAACAAACTATGATTGTGTCTAAAACTAAAAATTACGATGAAATGAAAAGTAGTAGGAAAATAATAATAAGAAGAAAATAAGGAAAATGGTAAGTGTTACCTTATCCATAAATATCTATTAAGGAAAATGGTATAATGCTATTCAATCAAGTCCTTTCACTAACGTGGGGAATCGATGATATTTATTCCAGAGGTTTTTATCTATTCTTCATTACTTGAAAGATGGGTGTCTTTAGGGTTTTTTCTGAGCTTAAAAATAGATCCTTAGTGTTTTACACTTCAGTATTGACATAAAGAGATGAATCTTTTGATGTAGGAGTATCCTCCTGGTGTCTGCATTTTACCCATGAGGAGCAGAACAATTAAGCCCTTTCGCACAACAAATTTACTGGTTATGACGCAGTCTGAAGCGAACGAAGACGTTGAGTATTCGACATGTGTTGCCCATGGAGATGCTCTGCTAGTGGACCCTGGTTGTTGCTCTGAGTTTCATGCAGAGGTATGACACCGCAAGACTTCATTGTATGACTTATATGTGTGATTACGAGTAAACTATAGCCCCTTATCACGATTGCTCTTTTTTATATGACAACCAGTAAACTATAGCCATTCATAAAGTTTACTCTTTTGTATCTATGACAATCATGGCATGACGTGCTTAATACTTTACTAGAGCGGAACAAATGCATACCTTTTGTCCCCTAGGCCTATGTAAATAAACCAAGACGGGGGTGAGTTGGGTTGTAACCTTCTTTCTGGGTGTTCGGCGGAAATCAAAAGAAAAGTAAAAGATCAAAACACTATCAGGTTTTTTTAGCTCGGCCCTGCCTTCTCCACACTTTCGAGACTTATCATATGTAGCACTAATCCCGGTCGATTCCAGGGTGAAATCTTACCTATCACTGTTAATTTCTTTGTGCTAACTCACCTCTAGTAGACACTAGGATTCGGGAACTAGCTCATCCCAAATGCATTTGAAATCATTGAACCCACCCAGGTATTATTACCTAATACCAGCTTCCTCATGGCATTCACCAGGGATGAGACACTTAAAACACTCCACCAAGAATTGATGCGTCGAAGCATTCTTGCTCTGGTAATTGAGGCTTTGGAGCGTGAATGACTGTTTTTTTTTCAATTGCCTTGGGTCTTCTCCTTCTTGTTGAATTCAGTTCCCAAAAAAGTTTGTTGGAGCTTATAGAGACCTCGAATATATTCACCATTTACCTTAATGGCCCAAACTCTGTGCAGAGATCTGGTTAACTTGGTGGTTGACGTAAAACTGTTACCATGAGGGGTCAAACTGGTTACCTTAATAAAACTGTTTCGTATATTCTTCATTGAGGGGTCAAATTGAGTAAACAATATTATTGATTGATTTATCTTCCTGAGAACAATATAATGATTAAGAAATTTATGCATATTACTAAATTAATAAATAAATATTATTCGAGTTCTCCTTATAATTATCATAATCATGCTATGAGACTTATATAATGTCCCATCGATACATAAAATGTTAACCGGGGTTTTGTCACTACTAAAATAGTGATTTTGTCATTTTCAAAATCATTCCATTTAGGGTTCATAATGAAACCCATAATACCGCTGAAAAATTAGCCAAAAGAAGTTGTGCAATTGAAATGGGAAGACAAGAATTAGACAAGAAGTTGGCTAATTTTTGGCTAAAAAATTAGCCAAAAGAAGTTGTACATAATACGTAAAGTAGCACACACTAAGATCAGGCATGCTTTTGGTTCCTGTGTAGGGGGTTCTATTTTTTGGGATTTGATTGTCTGCATACATTTTTTTGTTTCCATGTTCTTATGTTTTATGTTTTATGATCATGTGGCAGTATCCACTTTCAAACGATGAAACATATTTTCTCATTGAAATTGGACCGGAGTTGATATTGATGATGTACTATATGCTGATAGTTAAGATTTAGTTGTCGCAGAAGGGGAACATTTTTCTTTCATAATTTAAAGGCTTTGTCGAGACCTGATTCTGGATCATGCCATGACAATGGTTCGCCACATCAGGCACCACATCAGTAGACTGCAACATGGTGGTTACTATCAGCAGGGATGATCCTCTCTCACTTATTTCGATTAGGATACCTTGTATTATTGGGTTGCAGAAACTTTCCTAGGTCTCCTTTTGTTAACTTTACATGATTGTGCTGGGAAATATTTCAAAATTCATCAGGAGATTTTCTTTAGAGGCTGTAAATACTCAGTTCCTATGCCTTGATAGTCTTGTTGGTGAAAGAGATTTGTTACTGATATTTTGGTGGTTCTCAGAGTTTTTTCTGAAAACCAAGAAAAACTTCTCAATTTCTTTTTCTTACGATTTTTTTTATTTGCTTATTAAGCTGTCCTTTCTGGAAATCCATGCTTGGTAGCTGATATGTTTAGCCATGATCTCAAGTTTTTGATGTTTATTCATTTTCCTATCTCACTAAATATTGACAAGGACAAGATCCTCACTCACCAGGTGAGGTTCTCATTCGAAATCACATGTTTAACCTTTCGTGACCATTATGTTTGCTAATTTTTTTTATATTTTGAACAGTTGGCAGACATCGTAGCAGCATTGCCAAGAAAATTAGTGGTCTTTATAACTCATCATCATTATGATCATATTGATGGTAAGTACTGATATGCATCGAGATGTATAGTAGTTCCATTTACTTGCTCCTTTGGGGCTCTAACCTAATGATTTCAGACATCTCCTTCTTTAAGATCGTATTTCCTTTGTGTTGATGACACAAAAGGGTGATATTACACACGCACACACACGTACACGCACTTGTTATTATCTTCTTTTAGCTACTCATTCCCATAACAACTATTATGTACTGATGAACACAATTCTATTCCCATAATAACTTTAGTAAGTTGAAGACTTCTATTCACCAATCTCCTACGTTTACCACAGAAAAATCCATTCTTCAATGAAGTTTTATGCTGCGGTTGGGAGATGAACAATTAACTTGATCCATTCACGCAACAATTAACTTGATGAACTTTACTCAAGATGATCCACGTAAGCCATATGTTATCGGTATAAGATCGGCCACTTACCATGGAATCTGGGTTGTTTCAGTTGATCAGGTTCTCAAGTTCCTGATTAATGAGATAAGAAAATGCCAATGATGATGCATTATGGATTTTTAGCTTTGTTGCCGGGACTGTTTACATTTTTATATGTTTCTCAAGCCTATCAAGATGTCTCATTCTATTAGCTTTAGTTTTTACTGCGACTCAACATAATTATAGTTTCTTCGGGTTCATGGCAGGTCTTTCAGTCATCCAGAAATGCAACCCTGATGCTCTTCTTTTGGCACACGAGAACACTATGAATCGTGTTGGAAAAGGTTCCTTTTTTCACGATTTTGATGATTGACCATTTTTAAATTGTGTGGGTTATAATTTACTTGCTACAATCAGTTTCCCTTCCACGGCAACTACCGCTGTGCCACTGGTTTTGTTGGTCTAACAGTAAAGTTGACGCTACTATTTATGCATGAGATGAGGTATCTCAAACTCAAATAACCAACAATAACTTTATATACATGATATTTCCAGGAAAACCGACATAATGAAAGTTATAATCTTTGGACAATTTTAAAGGAATAAATCTAAACAATTCTCGTCTGACCCATAGTTTTCTACCCTTATACTTTCGTCGATAAGCAAGGAAGATACGCGGAACAATCCTTACTTTTCACATAGTTTTTCCTCACGTTCTCTGTTCTGAAGATCATTCGCTTTTCAGCAAATGATCTTCAGAACAGTTTGTTCCCTTATACTTTGTTACTGTGCTCTATTTTTCCAATAACCTAGTGTTGACCAAGCTTCCCACAAACTTTAATACTCACAGCAGCAAAGGGATTTTCTACAGCTAGATCTGTTTTCACTGTGTCAATGGGCCATGTAGTAGATTAATTTCATTTTTTGTATTCAATTTTTTGTTTAAATGTGGTTAGTAAAAGTCAACAAATAAGAATAATTATACTCAGTTATTAGCTTTCTATTGATGACAGAGGCGTGGTCTTCTAGTTATATCAAAGTTTCTGATGGTGACAAGATGAATATTGGTGGTGAACAACTAAGAGTGATTTTTGCACCGGTATTTGGAACTTAACTTTTCTTCTTGAGAATCACTTCTGATTGGTTAAAAATAAGGGACTATTCCTTACCTGCTTGGAAGTATTCCCATGTTATTTTTATATTGTTTTTTGATCTAGCATCGGATACTTTTTGTAAAGATATTTTGGATGAATGATAAATTTAGTGGCTTGGTTTTTACAAAAAATCACTTAGTATCCTTTTTTTAAATGTTTAAAGAGCCAAGTGATAATTACAATGAAGAGAGAAAAAAAATCTACGAGTGTGAAAAATGTAAGCTCTCACGAAGAAGCCCATACACATCAGTAATTTGCTAGACAGAGAAAAGAAGACAAACTTACAGACATAGCAACCCATACACATCAGTAATTTGATAGACAGAGAAAAGAAGACAAACTTACAGACATAGCAACCCTAAGTATAGAACCACATCCTTCTTCCTAATGTGAAAACCTGACCCACTCATTTAACATGTCTCGTGCCCAATTAAAGAGGAACAAACGCTGAGGTGTTTTCCTCTTTAAAAATATGCTGCTTCCTCTCTGTCTAGGTAGCATAAAGAGTAACCTGTAAAATAAACCGTCAAATCTAGAAAAACTTGTTCACTGATGGTTCCTACTCAGACAAGGCCGATCGTACTTGAATGCTGACATGAAAGATCTACCTTGAGGTGTACTGACTGCCTGGTCTCGTTATAAAAGGAATAAATACCCAATGAATAAAAATTCCAAATTTTCTTCATCCTTGCCGCAGCACGGATCATGTTTATGAAAGAAGCCAAACGATCACAATTCGTGGGGAGTCTCCCATGTGGAATCTTTCCCACCTAAATCTTTACTTAAATGGGGCTGGGGTTCGTCAAATCCGGGGAACGATGAGATTTAAGGCCTCCGTCAAAGAAGATGCAGTAAGATACTTATTCGAATTGATAAACCACCTCCTTTCACCCATCTCTGCTCCCTCTTTTCTGTCTTGGGGTTTATAATGCAACTCTGTACAAGTAGGTCTAGGATGTCTTCAGGTTATTGTATCTCTTCAATTTGTAGGTTCCTCCGAATTCTTTGGCACAACTCTCATCCTATTTCATTGCTAAAAGCTTGTGCGTTGGTGACATCAGGACCATGAACTGCCATGAAGAGAAGAGGAAACTGATTATTGAAAGAAGAGGTTCCGAATCAACATTCTTTCATGGATAAAGTTCTTTTTCCCATTTCCGATACGAATACGCACTACGTCTCTGGCTTTTATGATATGCTTCCAATTCTAGTAATTTTAGGTTGGTAATAGGTATCAGATGTCAAAATTACCATCCAACGTATTACTAATGTCTAACAACTTCCTGTCTGTGCACGCCATCATCAGTCCTCAGTTGCTACTCATTTTCTTAAAAGGGATAGTTTGAATTTCCTGATGTTAATACTGACAAGGCTTCCATTGTCATCACGTTTAAAAATCCTGAAATGTTTTTGTTGAGAAATCTGGAGTCATTGAGAAAACTGACATGCAGGAGAAACTTCCTCTGTTCCGTAGGACAGAGGGGAGGAACGGTGGAAACCGCCTCTCAGATTCATTCACAATTGAGGGACGAACCCTACATACAAATTTCTATAATATCATAGCGATCGCAATATTACACTTAGATCTTCTAACAGTTTTTTTAGGGTATCTTTTCTGTCATACAATTTGGAACCGGAGACCGGAACGCCAGAAACATCATTCTGAGTATCACTGATTCTCTTTGGGAATAGGTCTATCACTTTTCAAAGTAAATGCGGAAGACATACGGTTGGAATCTTATATTAGGAAATCTTCATTGCATTAATGGGTGGAGCAGTAGGATGTAATATATTCGAATTAAACATTAGATAAAAATATTTTAACGATGAATAAAGGCATTAGCAGATCTAAAAGACTGATTTTAATTTGCCATTCATGCAGCTGTCGTAATACCAGGCAATACTTTACACAAATAAACAAACCCATGCCATGCTGGCTGAGGGATTGCTTGTACTTTGTCCTTACCCGTTCCTATTTTGGTGCTTGAGTAATGGCTCCAAGTTACTTCCTTTTAGGGAACACAAAACTAAATCGCCTCTGAAATTACGTTGTCCATGTTTTCAATTTTAAATTTTACTTCATTTTTCTAAATGATTTTTCGGTTTTTCGTCTTTAATTTCATCATACACGATGATTTTATTTCGTCAGAATTTTATTGTGGAAATGTCACTTTCAGGGGCATACAGATGGTCATGCTGCCCTGCTTCATGTTAGTTCAAACTCACTTGTTGTAGGAGATCATTGTGTGGGGTAAGTTCTTTGCAATCATAGAGAAGATTTTTCAACTTTAATTTCCCATCTTTCACAGTTTTCTTAACGTTCAGTAGTGTCATTTTGAGCAGAAAGACGAAGTATAACCTTTTTCAATCTTTTAGATGTTTGTCATCAGACTATTTTTTTTTTCTTGCAATGGTCCTCATATGCAAAATCCTCTATGATGTTGAAGAAACTGGTCAAATTGTGTTATTATAAAATCATTTTGTTTTTCCCAACCAAACAAGAAGTACCAGATACCTTCAGAAAGGCACTTCAAAGGCGCCAATTTGATCGCATGATATCTTCACACTATTTGTCAAGGTAGTGGTGGTAAATATTTTTGAGTAGGCTGCAAGTGAGTGCAGGGTTCCGTTATAGAAAACAAAAGTGCAAATGTCCATCTATCCCCTATAAGTATAGTGTTCTATTCAACAACGATGACAGGAAGAGGAAAAAATTGAGAAAAGCATAAAGAGAGGGGCTGGAAGCATTTTCCACCACTAGAAGAAACAGAACAAAAAGATATGTAAAAGCACATGGTGAGCTGAGCTTTTGTTGGTTGGGCAGATGCGATCTCACTATGCTCAAACTGCCCACTGATACAAGACTCTCAGTTACCTCCAATCCAAAGCTTCACTATGTCCACTGGCTAAAAAAAATCATTTTGCTTGAGTAGAAGTTTTTAATGCGACATTATTGACGTAGGTGGCCTCTCTTTTTGGTCTGTAATTTTTTGGAGTCACTAGCAACTTTTTTTTTTTTTTTGCGTTGTCTATTTATAATGATTATTAGTTTAGGCAATTTCTCCCATGCTTTCCCATATGAACCTTTCTTTCTAACCTTTTTTGCTTTTGCTTTGATAGTCAGGGGAGTGCCGTCCTTGATTTTAGATCCGGCGGTAACATGAAGGTAGTAGTCTACTTATTTTTCTCGTACAATTAGACATTCTCCATCCTCATATGGTTGTGAATTACTCTCATTATTGTTTTTCAAAGGAAATACAATTACTGAGACAATATTTTGGCGGGCTCTTTGTTGCTGCATTAATGGTTTTTTATTATTTTAGAAAATTCAGTCTTATGATTTCACAGAGAACTCGTTTATCAGGAATTGTTCCTGATACAAGTTCCTGTTACATGCAGGACTATTTCGAAACAACATACAAGTTCCTGGAATTATCACCGCATGTTCTGATTCCCATGCACGGAAGAATCAACTGCTGGCCTAAGAGCATGCTTTGTGGATACCTCAAGTATTCTCTCTCTCTCTCTCTCTATATATATATATATATATATATATATATATATATATATATGTATGTATGTATGGCGGATAAAATCATATATACGCATGGCCTAATCATTAGTTCAAGTCACACACTCCCATAATCCATCTTCTCTTCGGAGAATCTACTTCAACTATTCATACGAAAGTATTAAATGGGTAATACAACACTTCAGAGTTGAAGAGAACTATCCAATTAACATGTTTTATTTTTAAATAATATATGTATATGTGCATATATAAAAATGCATATATATATATATATGTATATAAAAAAGCGCATTCATGTGTTCCCCACTGTTATTTCTTTTCCAGTTCGACAGAACGGCTGTCTCACGCATGAAACTAACTATGATTACATTTGGCATAGAAGTTTACATTACTGTCTCCATATGTATCCACAGATTAAACAAATAAAACGACTGTCTTTGTAAAAAACACCACTTACTGTTGCCTTATTCTTTTTTTTTTTTTTTCTGCTGAGGATCATTCTAGATAAGTGCGCCATGATTATTTATTTGTATGATTTTTCTATTTAGCAGTATGAATTAGGCACCATTGGTAAAATTTCTAGATATGAATGGCTACTCCCATCGTGTTCTCCATGTATAGTTCAGAAGCTCGTAAAAACTCCCAATATCCGAAAGCTTTAGAGCGGAATGCAAAACATGGGGTGATGAAAATAAGAAAAAAATAAGCCGATTATGTCTCCAGATTCCATTCTATCAGCCCACTTGTGATCTTTCCAAAAACTGTGCTTGCTTGGTTCGAATTTCTGAAGATTTCAGTTTAAACACCATTATTTATTTACATGTATATATATATATATATTTATTTATTTATTTACATGGGGTGTAAGTACATATGTAAAGATTCAAATATCAGGGATATTTAGGGAGGAATGGGAGAGATATGATTGATGAACGTAAGAGCTGATTATCTTTTTTCCCTAGTTAAAAACCCGTCACCCGTTTGGTGTAATTTCCGACGGCTTCGATTTTTGATGATTCTATTTCTGCAGGCACCGGCGGGACCGGGAGCTGTCCATTTTAGGGGCCATCGAGAGCGGAGCTGAAACTCTCTTCGACATCCTTGCCAAGTCCTATTCCGAAGTGGATTCCAAATTCTGGTTTGCTGCTTCTTCCAATGTAAGACTCCACGTGGACCACCTGGCCCACCAAGGAAAGCTCCCACAGGTAATCCAGTAATCGTTCTATCCCCATCATTATCGTCGTCATTTTCCCTTCTTCTTCTTCTTCTTCTTCTTCCATAATAATAATAATAATAATAATAATAATAATAATAATAATAATAATAATAAGAGGAAGAAGGAGAAGATTATTATTATTATTATTATTATTATTATTATTATTTGCGAGCTTTTTTTTCATAAACGAGATTTAAATGTCTATAGCATGAAGGGTGACGAGGGTTATTTCTTTGGGGGGTGGGGGGAGGGGTGCAGGGCTTCTCGGTGGAGACATTCCTCAGCAGCTTTTCTGAGATGGGCCATAAAACGGCGTAATGGATGGGCTCGAACGGATATTTCTTCTTTGATTCCCGGAGACACGTCTTTATGACTCCTTTGTAACCCTTTCTCTCTCCGCTGTCTGTCTCTGTCTCTCTCTCTCTCTCTCTCTCTCTCTCTCTCGGTGATCTCGTAGGGTCAGTCGAGGGCAGGTAGACTTTGGCCGCCGAGATCCAGAGATCAGAGGATCTTCGTAGAACTATTACGAGAATAATTAATCAATTAATTATTAATACGTTTTGTTGCTTTCTGGTCGGCATGGGCTCGTGGTGCAGGGGTTCTCTCACGAGAGGTTTCTGGCGTCGTGTCGACTGCGTTTTCTGTGTTGCTGGGTCTGCGCCCTTCTCTTCGGTGTTGCCCGGAGGTTCTTCTCTGGCACAGTACTCGTCACCATTGGTCTCGCCGGAATAGCTCTCTCCTGCACACTATACGCCTCGTGAGTAGCCCTCTCTCTCCCTCTCTCGCTCTCTCTCTCTCTTCTCTCTTATCTCTCTATTATCTCTCTCTTACGGAAGTAAACGCATCCCATTCAAGGTAGGCAGCTTGTGGGTTGAAACTGGTCGGGTGTGCTCCGTCCGATGCATTGGACAGGCTGGTGGTGTTACGTTTATGTTTCGTGCCAATGAAGTGCTTTAATAATATAATTGAAATGCTTACCCGAATGGTTGCCAAAACTCTAAACTTTTCTTTTAATATTCATGACGTCCTCTTTGGCGTGATTTTCTCCTAGCGGACCCAGGAAATGACGTCCTACCCAAAAGGCGCCGTGTTTCACTCCTCTCTCTCTATCTCTCTCTCTCTCTCGTTATGGCGGTCCACCAAGGTGGGCTCGGAGAGTCAATGAAGAACCTTTCCTTGGCGCCTTCTCTCAGTGGCGGTATTTAATCCCAGACATCGAATTCCGATCGTCCACTATGTCCTCTCCTCATAAATCCGCGAGGAGCCCTCGCACGGCAGCCTCCCGGGCTCCAATGAAGAACCAGCAGCTTCCTCCCCCTCCCTCCTCCTCTCTCCCCCCCCACCTCCTCTCCCGCTTCCTCCTCGTCCTTCTCGGCGTCTCCGCCGGCATCATCGCCAGCTCCTACCTCGACGCCTTCCACCCCTCCTACCGCTCCTTCTTCACCGCCACCACTCCTCCTCCTTCTCCTCCTCCTCCTCCGGCATCTGCTCGAGTGGGTCTGAGGGGATTCCTGGAACCGGGATCGGTAATGCACGACATGACGGACGAGGAGCTTCTGTGGAGGGCGTCCATGTTGCCGCTCGCCACCGGCCGGCCGGCGCCCTTCCGGCGGGTGCCCAAGGTGGCCTTTTTGTTCCTCACGAGGGGGCCGCTGCCCTTTGCCCCCCTCTGGGAGAAGTTCTTCGCCGGCCACGACGGCCTCTATTCCATCTACGTCCACGCCGACCCTTCCTCCAACCAGTCAGCGCCACCGGGCTCCGTCTTCTCCGGCCGCCGGGTCCCCAGCAAGGTCAGTGGCACAACCTACCTACCTTTCTTCACCATTTCGAAGTTCGGCTCCCTTGACCTTTCTTCCTTGGAGGATTTCGATCTCGGATTGGATCCTGAATTTCCAAGAGGCGAGCCCTTTAAGTTCCAGGCGCCATTCCACCTTCTCGGTGATTAATTTCGCGAGTTTTTCTGCCCAGAAGGATTCGTCCTTTATGATCGAAGATTTTGCCGTCTGTTCATCCGCTGACGTTACAATTAGCTGGCGATGTATGAACAGCTGGACTGAATTTTCTCCTCCGCACTTCGTTCTAGTTGACACTCACGTAAAAAATACAGGACACGTGTCGGGCCACCTCTCTCCGGCAACTCGCCGACTCTCTCTCTCTCTCGTCTTTGATCCATCATCACTCTTTTTGTAGCATATATATATTGTTCTCTCTCTGGGTACGCCCTACGTGGTCAGCACTGGACGGCTCGCACGTGGGGAGCAGCAGCGACGCCAATCATTCAAGCTCCGTAGAAGGGCAGTGGCACTCCTCGAGATCTAGACATCTAGAGAGAGAGAGAGAGAGGTCCGCTAGGAATCAATGAATAGCACAGCACATAAGTCGTATAAAGCAATATTCTCACGTTGCGGCAACGAGCTGGCAGGCAAATGATCTCACTGCGGCAGTTGCCTAGACAACGTAGGGAAGGGAGAGAAAGAGAGCGAGAGAGAGAGAGAGAGAGAGAGAGAGAGAGAGAGAGAATGACTGACTGACTAACTAACTGACTGAGGCGTTATCGTTTGATGTATGTGTGTAAAGGTGGTGAAGTGGGGAGCGCTGAGCATGCTGGAGGCGGAGCGGCGGCTGCTGGCGAACGCGTTGCTAGACTACTCCAACGAGCGGTTCGTTCTTCTCTCCGAGGCCTGCATCCCGCTCTTCTCCTTCCCCGAAGTGTACTCCTATCTCGTCAACTCCTCCACCACCTTCGTCGAGTCCTACGACGCCCCGGGCTCGGAGGCCCGCGGCCGCTACGACCGCCGCATGGCCCCGACGGTGAAGCTCCGGCAATGGCGGAAGGGCTCGCAGTGGTTCGAAGTGGACCGCCAGCTCGCCGTGGAGGTGGTCGCCGACGGCGAGTACTTCCCCGTCTTCGCCGAGTTCTGCAAGCCCTCCTGCTACGTCGACGAACACTACCTGCCGACTCTGGTGGGCCTCCGCCGGCGGCGGAACGCCGGCCGGAGCCTGACGTGGGTTGACTGGTCCGCCGGCGGGCCGCATCCAACGAGGTTCTGGCGCCCGGCGGTGACCAACAAGCTGCTCGAGCAGATGCGCAGCGGCGGGCGCTGCAGCTACAACGGGAGGAACACCACCATGTGCTTCCTCTTCGCCCGGAAGTTCCTCCCCAGCGCCCTGACTAGGCTCCTCAGGTTCGCCCCTAAGGCGCTGGGATTTGGCTAGAAAGTAAGAGGGAGAAGAAAGAACCTAGAGAGAGAGAGAGAGAGAGAGAGAGAGAGAGAGGAGATCGAATCAATTTGTTGCGATGAGGGGCATTTCCCACCGGTGAATACAATCACATAATCATCGGTTTAAATGATAGCTTTACGAAGAGTGAAAGGAGCTGCTGCTTCGAGAGGAGAGCATACTCTCTCTCTCTCTCTCTCTCTCTCTCTCTCTCTCTCTCTTCCCCCCTCTTTTCTATGGACAACATCTTGTACTAAATCAGAACATAATTCCTCCACAATGACGCAGGAAAAACGTCGCGAAGAAGAGAAAGAGGAAGCACAAGGAGTGGGCTCCTCCCATCATCCTCCCCCGCGCAAAAATCAAACTACCAAGAAATAATAAATCAATAAATGTAGAAGACTAGTCTCAAGACCAGTTCTTCCAGGAGATGAGAACCATGCATTCATTCTCTGCAAATAATTCTGACCAAAGTTGCTCCAAAAAGGATGGAACATGATGGAGTTGCTTCGTTCAGACTTGGCTAGGCTCCGCCTGTTCCTTGGCCCACTCTCATCCCCCAGAATCTGCCGCCCTGCATCAAAAATATTTAGGATATAGATGCCCAGATCAGTGCTCAACCGATCAAATTCCGTAGCCCAATTGAAAAGGGGAGATTTTGGCGTAGTTACTCCACTGTGATCAGCTGATCACCAAGAACATCACCGTGGGAAGAAAAAAAGGAAAATGGTTTCGAGTGACAACCAATTTCATCATTTGAGCTCAAAACATGATTTTTCTAGAGAAAATTCCTCTTTCGTCTTATCAATCCAGTTTTAGAAGAGCAGTTCTTGCCGGATATCATCGATCCCTGTAAAAGAGGCCAGGAGATTAAGCGATGCTACCTTCTCTGGTCGATCTTGTCGAGAGTTTTCTTGAGGTGATCCGTCTTCCTAGCGAGATCCTCCATGATATGGTCCACCCTGATGAGTTTCTCTTCCACGCGCGAGCTCCAGGAGAAGCCCATACCCGGCCGGTCATCGAGCAGCTCGTACTGCTCAGCATCCGCGTACTCGACGATCTTCTTGTATTCAGACAGCTTGGTCTCCAGAGGGACATTGATGAGAACAGCCTCGCCGGCGGCCGGAGTATACCGGAGCAGGTCGTCGAGGCACCTCACATCCATCGCTGAGGCCTCGTCCCCTTCCCCGCCCTTCTTCCCGGAGCTGCCACTCTTCATCCCTCCTCCTCTTCGCCTCGTCCTCGCAGGCTTCTTCTCGGTGTTCTTCCAGCACTGCTCCTTACGAGAGCCGGGAGAAGGCGGCGAGGAAGATTTCATTCGGCTCTCACTTCCATCGAACTCCAGCCATTAATGTCGGGCAGCTGGGGTCCATTCCATTCTCTGCCATGCGATCTGACAAATATCAGCGGCTCACAGCGACGGCATGAGGACGAGAACGAGGGGGAGTCCTATTTGTTTCCGTTCAGTAGTTTGATTCACAGCTTTGGCGTGATCTCGCCACCGACTAGATCTTCCTTCGCGCTCTGCTCCGGGGGAAGCGGAGGAGGTAGAACCCTAACCACGCGCCAAACTTCGAAGAGGTTCTAGGGAAGAAAGACAGACGCAGAGGGGCCACCCATCTGTAAGAACCCTCAGCTACCGAAATCAAACTTCGGGAAAAAAGGAAAGAAGATGATCACCGCTTGAGCCCCTCTCTCTTCCGTCATCCCCTTCCTCCAACCAGATGCCCGATGGACTGGATCAGGCTTCAAGAGGGCCCTTTTTCTCTCCTGAACTGGGCAGCACAGCTTGAGCTTAAGAACTGCGCTGGCAGGCGCTGGCGGGATCAACTGGCAACATAATGAGCTTAAGAACATTGCCCAAGGGAGAGAGGAAGGGAGGGAGATGGTGGCGGCGGCGGCGGCGGCGATCAGGGTTCAGGCAACGCTTGTCACCATTATTAACACCGGTGGGAAATAATTTTGAACAAAAAAAGGCGTTCTTTGAGAGAACTGCGTCGGTGGTGGTGTGATGTCAGAATCACGTTGGCGCCTTGGATAATGGGGTGGGGTAAGGGATCTCATGGGTAGATGGTGATCTCAGTCCTCATGGGCTGGATCCTTCACGATGATGATGATGATAGATGAATGGGGGATAATACTCTACATATTTTTCTTCTTTTATTATACATGGAGTGACTTGATATTGTATTTTTACGCTTTTGGGCTTTCCAATAGAGGTAGGTGAGCAATTAGATAAGAAACAGGGGGGTTACTTAAGACTCTTGGGGTTGGCTTCGATCCACACTCCGTAGTTATCATAGCAAAAAGATCCAAACCACAGCTTCTACTTGGGGTAGATTATTGTAAAGGTTTGGCATGCATTATCACCCATTATGGGCAGATGGGATCTACAACCTTGGCTATAATTGGGTCATCATTTCATTAGTGTTATCATGGATGGAAATAAAAAAAAATGTTTTCATTTTCTAATAAGATATTCTCATCTTAACTTTCAAGTATAGGAAAGAAGTAGGATTGTTGAAACCTAAAAGTTTATATATAATTGTAAAATAATATTTTGTATGTTTATATAACTTAGTTCATCATATCAAGCCATTATGATTTTGTCTCTACCATTGGTACAATCATTGTTGTGACTAGCACACGCTTAATAATGATAACCAAAACTTTGACATGAAACCTAACATATAAGAAAGAGATTGATTCATTATAATTTTTACATTTTAGTTTAAGTATGAATGATGTCTCTTGATTGATGCATTATAAATCCTAGTATTTCAAATATTGAATGAATGTCATCAACAAAAGTACCTCTACTATAAGACCTAGACTCAATCTATATATATTTTTTTGAGCTTAGACATCACAACCAAACATGAAAATAAGCACATATAATTTCTATTTTGGTAAGGTTTGAACCAATTTTTCTCTATTTAGCCTTCTCTTGTCATACTATTGGTTTAAGACACAAGAATAAAAAGCACCAAGCATTCTTAAATGTTATCATGTCCTGAACTGGACTAAGGTTTTGATCATAACAACCTTAACACACTAATACCAAATAATCATGTGTTTTACATTTTGTAGATTAAAAAATGAAGTTTTGTCTATGACAAATAAAATGCTCTGTACATTTGGTTATGTTTCTCTTACATTTCCAAGCATGCCATTTTCTTATTTATATATCTGTCAAGTTCCTCCTAAAAATATGTGTTGAATTTGATTTATTAATGTTTTCAATGTTAAAAAATAATCAAAGTTAATCATAATTTTATTTGGGTCAAATTATATATGGAAGATAATAACTTATTCTAACTTCTTTTGAAATTTTATGAAAAATTGGGATCAAATGTAGTATTTTACCTTGTGTTTCAAGTTGGATTAACTTAGTCTAGGTTCAAGACCACATCCACACCACAAAACAAGATCAATAAAATAGCAGGTAGCTACATTGTCACAAATTAGCCAATTGGTGAGCTTTTACATTTATTCATTAAATTATTATAGGAAAATATTTTCTAATATTTATAGCTTTATAAAAATTAAATATCTGCTTCTATAAAATATATAGTATAGTTATAGATTAAAGGCAAGAGAGCCCACAGGTATGAACCTTTACATTTATTCAAAATAAAAAAATAAACTTAAGTAGATGAATCAAAATGTCAAATTATCAACTTACAAGGGTTCATGCCTTTACATTTTAAGAGAGCATCCACTACATATTCACATTTTTTAGCTTGATAACTAAAGTCATGAATCTAAGTTTGCTAATTAGAGCCATGAATCAAGTTATGATGGCTACATATGATAAAAACTTTTAAAAATAAAATTTGAATCAAGTTAAATATGTTTTTTTCTCACTTATGAAAAATAGCATTTATAATATTATAAAGGGATGATATATCTATCACAATGAAGTTGATTGTGTTGTGTCTTTATGCTTTGAAGAACATCAAATTGATATTGAATTCATTGGACTTCACATGTGGTTTCAGACATTGCACAATAGTCAGATTTGAGGAAAACAAGGCTTATTAATTTTTTATACATTAATAAATCATATTATTATTAAAAAAAGTGCATAAAGTTGTTATAGAGAAGATCATGATTGATTAACTTTGAGAGGGCTTTGTAGATTGGCTAGAACTTTGTAAAATGAGAGTTTGGTTTGATTTTTCATAGTACAAATCATCCAGCCACTATTTAGAATAATAAAGATCAGTACTTTGCTTAAGTTAAAAAAATAATATATATATATTAAAGATCAGTACTTTACTATACTTCTAATTCTTGATGATGCAAGAGAATCACGTCTTTTGAAAATAATAAACATATTGTAAACTCTTACCGTGCCAATCACCATCCTTGATCTTAAGTATTAAATAATGCAGTTGTTAGCTAAAAATTATTATGAAATAATTTAGATATCATGTGACTGCCAAAGCCACGATCAGTTATTCAACTAGAAACAATATTTTTCATATGATGCCCATCACCCTCAAAACTAGCCATCCTATTTGGGTCACATTTTGCAAGCATGAGCAATGAATATCTATATTACACTATATGCTGTGAAATCTTATGTTGCAATCATATTAATTATTTATTTTTGAACTCAATGAATATTTTCAGGAGTTTTTAATTTTTTATAATTACAACTCAATCAATTTATATATTCAGTATTATATTTTTTGAATTATCAATAATTTTCTTCATGTAAAACAAGCTAATATATTGAGGATAAAAAAATAAAGGTTCCATAAGCATAGTTCAACCTCTTAGGACATTGTATGATTGATCACATATATGTAAAAGGTATATATCATGATCTCATTATACAGATTTGAAGTACCTCTTTAGGTTCTTCACGACAACATCTAGGGAGAGAAAGAAGTTGTTGTAATTCATTTGAATAGCCCTTGAGTTTTCTCCACTAAGATGAAACAAAAAAAAATTCTTGACTAAGACTATAAATATTTCATTTGATCATAAGAGCGTGTGCAACATTTGGTTAAGTAATTTTCACCAAGTTCATTTCAGATATGTTGCCTTGTTGTAGAACAAATCAGCCATGTTACAATGTCAAGTGTATTTGAGTCCAATGAAATATTTAAATTGATGCATTTTCTATAGTTATGATTGATTTAATTCTAAATTGACTTTGAAATGTTGACATCAACAAACTGACAATTATTGATTGTTGTGAGCAGCAATTTTTTGAGGGGAGAAAAAACTAATATGAGAGAAAGATTATCTAAACGATGTAAAAGAATTTTTAAAAATGAATGCCTATAGATATTTTATCAATGAGAGTAAGAGTGCATTATAAAATAAAAAATAGAAAAAATAGTGTACATTATGCCACACTTAGATCAAGAAGATGTGGTTGAGTTAATTAGATTCTAATTTTTGACAAGTCAATTATTTATAAGGTCTTTGAGTTTCTTAGATCTTTATTCATATGACTTTTTGAATTTTAAATTTAGAATAATATATGATTTTTGTAGTGGATAAGACCATTACCTACATCTAATCTAAAGTACATCATGTTCTTTAGTTAACTAAATCAATTATTCATTAATCATAAGTACTAATCACCAAGCTAAGTCTCTAAATAATTTCACTCCAGAATTTTATACTAGATTGACAGTAATATGAGAGTCATAATTGAATATAGGGATCAGATCTCTTGAGTGATTAAATCAGAATTTAGTCACAAGTTTTTCTTACAAAGATAAAGATCTCATTGTAAACATTTTCTAGATAACAATGTTAACTTGGAGTCTCTCAAAAAAATTAATGAAGGTAAAGATGATTAGAACTTAAATCTTATTTTATTATTCATGTTGGGAAGTTGGGTGATTGTTGAAGGCATTGTCGCTTCAACTTGGTTGGGAAAGATCATGTAGAATTTAATTTTTTTTCCTTGGCATGTTGCATTCTTATCATTTGACTCAATTAGGGAGACCATTATTTGCACATAATCCTCTTTAAAAAATATTAGAAATAAATTTGAGATGTTAGAGAGGTCCAAATGATCATTCTGCACTTATTAGCCATTGGGGAGGCATTTAATTTATAGATAAATATAATTTAAAAATCTTCCATGTTTTATTTTGTATCTCAATATTTAAATATGAAATCGGCTATATATTTGAATGGCTTGAAGCTAATATATCATGACATTTAAGGGTTAATTATCATTAAGATGAGCTAACATGCATGACCGTTAAGTATCAATGTATTTATCTAAAGTTGATTAGTATGAAGAGGTATGATAAGAATATGTTCAAATAAATTAATGATTTCTCAATCAAAATTTATCTAGATCACTTGAAAGAAATCATGAATATCAAAAAATTATTGAAACTATTATCTTAATATGTAGCAACATAGCTTAATAACATATTATCAATCAAAATTATTTTTTGAATAATATTTTTTAATATTAAGAAAATAATGTGAAAATATTTATTTCAAGATAATGATACAAAAATGATTAATTAATTATATATTAAGAATGCTCAAAAGCAATGATTTAACATCATAGACATTTAGTATTTAGAGTAAAATTTTATACCCATATTTTTCCTCAAAAGTTTTCATTGATATAGATTTATTACTCATTACTTTTTAACTATGGTAGTTTATGTAACTATGAATAATTACTACAACAATATACAAGGTAATAATTTCAACTGATAAAATCCACCAAATTCTGAAATTCATATTATTGGACTCAAATATACTACTTGAATTCTAATTTTAACATTTATATTATTATTAATAATTATTTATACATTTGCATTGAATTAAATTTATACTCATCTATAAAATAACATTTATTCATATGTGAACAATTCAATATGTTTTTTTCATTATCAAAATATTATTCATACTCCAAATAAAATACCTTAACTTAGCCTACTAACTTTGATGTAATGTAACAGTTTAAGAATTTTGTGAAAGAATTGTGAATTTGTAAGACATATCTAAGGCATACCCTACACCTTTACATCGCAAGTTTACAAACTTCATAAACTATATTTAAATTTTCTGAAATATTTTCTCTCCCAATTTTACCAATGATCTAACTTGCCACAGAATGTCCAAAATTTTGAAATATGAATGGTAGCAGTGATTTGACTTGTCTCCCATGTAAACTTTCCCATTATTGTGATGCCCAAATTTTAGTAAGGGCTACTTAGCGCTCGTTTCTTAGATCTTTGTTTAAATCAAGGTTAGCTTAGCAAGGTACAGACGGTTCAACTCGGTAAGATACTCTTATTTGTCCAAACTCTAAGCCCACATGGATAAGAGTTAGGTAGCCCTCTCGTCTTTACAACCCAATGTTTACGTCTATACTAAAGCCTGACCGTTGTGATTACATGTCATCATTATTAAAAAAGAATTTAATGTTTTATAAGGATTTAATTTAATGATAATACTGCTGATCTCCCAACGCGCTCAGCAGTATTCACTGAGTAGGAAATATAGTATTCATTTTGGGGTAGACTTTGTATAATATACAATTCTGGAATATCAAGTCTTCACTGTTCAAAGGGGGATGGTGGAGAGATGCTTGAACCGAGAAAGACAGCGTAGGAGGAGAAGAAGCTGACTCGGTGACTGAGACTCGCTGTGAGACCGAGAAGCCCCCAGATAACGCGGTAAACAATCTCAGCCAACGGAAACTAACAGCAACTCGTCAATTCAGTCTCTAGACGGTCCCCCGTCCTGGACGCTGACTTTCAGCTCTCGACCATACTCTGAAAGAGAGAGAGAGATAGTCGAAGAAAGAAAGAGAGAGAAGAGAGAGGGGGGAGAGAGAGAGATGAAGGGATATAAGACGCGCTAATAGATGAACAGAGATATAATGAGAGGGAGGGAGGGGGGACGCGGGATAGAGACAGACATGGACATAAAGAGAGAGGGAGAGCAGCCGTGCTCGTAGGACGCGGAAGGACAGTCTCCGTGATGGGTCCGTCATCAAAACCGTGTTGACATTCTGAGCTTCTGACGCGGAGGCGGCCACCGGTTCCCCGGGGGTCGGCGATCAACACACTCCTCACTCGTCCGCCTCCACGCAACACTATACAAGTTCTCCCTCCATCAGACGTCTGTCCTCCTCCTTCCTCACCCCAACGAGATCCTTCTCTCTACTGTGGCTCCTCTAAGGACCGTCCGATTCCGGTCGCCGTCTAGATGAACCTACTCTGAAGGTGCTCTTGAGGGCGACCTTTCTACGCGTTTGTATCACTTGTTAATGGCCCCACCCCGCGTAAGAAGATATATACGTGGGTACATAGTGTCAAATATAGTGAGAGATAATATATATATGTATATATCGAGAGAGAGAGAGAGAGAGAGAGAGAGAGAGAGAGAGAGAGAGGAAGTTTTTCCGGTCTGGAGTCAGCCTAAGGGATCCAAGAGGTTGGATTGACCATATGCCTGGTTTGAAAGGTTGCGGATGACTCGTCTAGTCTGATTTATGTTGCCTAAACTAACCTCGAGACCAATTATTGTCACCAGCCTCTTGGCCACATTACCAACGAGGAGTCAATCGAACTATAGATTATATTATCCATGTTAATGCGCTTGCTAGATTCGGTCGAATATGAAACTCACAACATGCCCATTTACATCTTTTTAAAGGGACACCTTCAGGATCCAACAAAATTCATGGGAGTTAGCCTTGGCAAATGCTTCTATTAGTATTAGGGCCAGAAGTGGTGGACCCTTCTAGGATCCGGCAGCCCCCTTGGAGGTGATCCTCACTATTCTAATCCAACCTTGGCGGCGGACGATGACATCAGCGTGGCACGTCATGTTTGCGTCTCTCTGAGTCCAAACCGTATCGCCCAAGAATCCCCTACTAGAAGGCCACGTAGGTTCAGCGGAATACGAACAAAGAGTCATCTTAATGGGGTTATTTACAGAAAGGGCATGCCTTCAAGGTCTCCCACAGCCCTGACCTTGACTGGGAGAGAGGGTGGGGATACAACAGGATCAGAGAAATTGTTAGATCAATGGGGCCCGCTGACGGTAGTCACATAGTATGATAATTTAAAGAAAATTTTATATTATTCTGTCTCCCCCGTTCGGTTAGAGCGAGAGAGAGAGAGATCAGAACACGAAAGTTGGTATGCCCTCCGACCCCAGGGTGTGACATTTGCGTGCTGATATGGCGCTTATAATCAGCGCGCCATGCTTCCGAGATGCTTCCGCAGACTTTCCGGGAGCCTTCTATTCTCACTTGTTGTTTTGCCTCCACTCTCCCCCGCCCCTCCTCTCCTTATATTAGGTTTCGGCCAGTTGTCTTCTCCCCCCCTGCACCGCCCTCTCCCCCTCTCCGGCAAACCAACCTTCTCTCTCTCTCTCTCTCTCTATCTCTCTCTCTCTCTCTCTCTCTCGCTCTCTGAAAGCTGTCAACCCCGTACGAGAAATGGCGGCGAAGAGGCTGCGGAACGAGACAGACGACGGCGACTCGGAGATGTTGCCGGGGGACAAGAGGTTGAGGAGCCTTCACTGCTTTGCAAAGTTAGTGGCCGCTCTGATTCTCCATTCTCCGCAACCGAACTCCTCAATTCTATCTCACGATACTTCCGAGACCCAAGGATAACCATATTTCTCAAAGAAAACCACACTACAGTTCACGACGGCCTTCCGGGGGCGAGCAAATGATCTCTGAACTCCTCGCTCCTCCCCTCCGGCTCCACGCTAATTCATCTCCTCCACCTACGTAGGAGTGACTGAACACCAGAAAGAGAGATAATTTAGGATTGTTTCATGTTCCCTTGATTACCCGGTTGGCCCCGGCCCGTGTGATCCGGCGGCCGGTCGATCACGAACATTGCCGGACTGATCCGTGGCCAGCTCGTAGAATATTCTTGCTCGTGACCCTTGCTTATGGAAGCCTGGGCCGGACTTTCCGAGGTATTTCTGATGGATTATCGCCTCTTTTTCAGAGCCGTTAGAGGGGTTCTTGCGGCGAACGAATTCAAGCACTTCTCTATCGTCTTGGAGCCAATGATCCGGAAAGTGGTAAGATTTATGGCCACCATTAATCCACTCTGATATCTGTGAACTTGGGTGCAATATTATCCTCATCCTGATCAAAGAAGAGTATACCATGTTTGATGCCTTAAATGGAGCTCTTTGGGAGAAATAATGGCTGGAATGAGCTGACATCACCTTCCCGTTCTTGCCCATCTCCAGGTGCATGAGGAGGTGGAGCGTGGACTATTCCAAGGCGTGATATCCCTCCAAAGGTGACTACAAAATTCCGTGGGCTTGTTTTTCTCATAAGAATATCCGCCGACCCCCAGTCCTCTCTCTCTCTCTCTCTCTCTCGGAGTATAGAAAAACCCGTGGGGTTAATTGATTATCCACTGCCTATTCAGACCTCCCCGGATGCAAGTCCAAGCAGCGGAGTGTACCACTCTGATGCTCGTCTTCGAGAAACCGTTGACTCTCCCGATCTTCACTGGGAGCAAGGTTGAAGACGAGGAGGGGAAACCTCTTCGTGTGACCCTCGTGGACACCAGCCATGGAGGAAGGTCCTTGGTCATGCTCCCATCGCCGGTCAAGGTGGAAATCGTCGTCGTTGATGGGGACTTCCCCGGGGAGAGGGAAGAGTGGACGAAAGAGGAGTTCGAAAAGAACATAGTAAAGGAGAGGACGGGGAAGAGGCCGCTGATCACTGGAGACGTCAACTTCATCCTCAGAGAAGGGAGCGCCACCATTGGAGAGATTAATTTCACTGATAATTCTAGCTGGATAAGGAGCCGACAATTCAGGATCGGTGCGAAGGTCATTGGAGAGACCAGTGGAGGAATGAGGATCAAGGAAGCAATTACAGATCCCTTCATGGTGAAAGATCACAGAGGAGAATGTAAGTTCAACTCTCTGTCTCTTTTCCTCTACATTTCGGTTCTACGTCTAGTAGATCCCTTCATATTCGGTTTCTTTAGTCGGAAAACTCTAGACAAATCCACTGATACGGCTTCCGTCATATGTACTACCTTAACTCTCTCTCTCTCTTCTCTCTCTCACCCTCCCGGCTTTTTATTGGTCACCGCTCATAAATGATGGCCAAATGGATGACGGAGATGGTCAGACGAGCATTCCCCATCTCCATCCCCATTATTAGGTGGGTCACTTGCATCGGATCAGGCATGAGGATGCCTGATCATCGCCTCGCAGAAACCTAAACCTTGCTTGACCCCTAAAAATGCAGCTTTACATGTGCCCTCTAGAAGCTCACACCGGTAAAGACTGGAGAGAAATACCCCATCTTTCAGCCATGAAAATCGGCGGTGTCTCTCCATCTCAGCAACCCAATTGAGAATTCCCCCCTGGGACAGTTTGGGGGCCGATGGGGTCCCTCTCTCTCTCTCTCATGCGACCCAGTCCTCTCTCTCTCTCTCTCTCTCTCTCGCCGACTCTCTCTCCCTCTGTCTCTTTCTCTTTCCCCCTCTCTCTGTCTCCCTCTCCCCATGAGCCAGTACAGCTCATACCAAACAAAATGAAGTGAGACCCACACATCCCGGGCGGATCTCCTTACTGGCCATTAATGGAGATTCCCATGATCTGAGCCTAACCTCCCCTTTGTGTCGTCTTTGACAGCGTACAAGAAGCACTATCCGCCGGCTCGGTCTGACGAAGTCTGGCGGCTGGAGAAGATCGGGAAGGACGGGGTCTTCCACAAGAGGCTGCAAGCCGAGAACATCAATACCGTTCATGACTTCCTCGCCCTCTCCTTCGTCGATCCTGAGCGCCTCCGATCTGTAAGCATTTCCTCCCCTCTCTGGGCCTTCCTTCCTTCCTTCCGCCGCCGGTCTCCCACTTCGACGAAATGACTGAACTGCTTCTGCTTGTGGGAAGATCCTCGGCCCGACCATGTCGGAGAAGACGTGGGAGGCCACGCTGGCCCACGCGAGGACCTGCGACATGGACAGCAGCCCCTGCCTCCTCCGGCGAGACCACCGCGTCCTCCCGTTTGACCCCGTCTGCGAACTCCGCGGGGTCCTCGTTAACGGCCACCCCCAGCCCATCCACAGTCTCGGCAGTCCTAGGCGGGTGAGATGTCAAACCCTAATCCATCCTCTCACTACCCATCAGATAATCGAACCATATATAGTTAGAGTTGCTTCGGATTCAATCCGAAAATTACTATTTGTGACTTTTGAGGTAGGCATCTTTAATATCATCCTCGAGCATGCTTGTGCCCATCGTCTGTCTGTGCCACTAAGATAGGAGAGGGATTTCTTCTGCCATGCAGGCTTACATGAGACACCTGGTTCAGGAGGCACACCGCCATGGGCGCGACCCACGCGAGGCCAACGGGGTGATCGGCCGAGTCGCTCTTTGGCAGCAAGGTAAGCAAATCTCAGAGTCGTTTTACATTGAATAGGGCTAATCAGTCCGCACCAACGAGAGACCGAAATTAGTTTACTGAGTGAAAGGTTGATTGCTTCACTCTGTATTCACTTAGACGGACAGACAGAGAGAACGGGCATACTGAGTCAGAAGTGATCAATAGCTTCTCTCTACGCTCTTGCTTGAGAGAGAGAGATAGATAGATAGATAGAGAGGAGAGAGAGGAGAGAGAGAGAGAGAGCTTCTCGAGCTTTTAAGTTTAACATGATGGAAGCCCGGATCCGCAGTAGATCGAGATCGAGAATACATGAGGTCGTGTGATTGAGCATACAAAATAATTCTAGTTACGCTATTACTGAGTAGACATTCGTTCACGTTATTCACAGGTGCAATGGTGCCACAAATCGGATATGACTCCTCGTCGTCGCCTTCCACCACCTTCCTGCCCACCTGCCAGGAAACCCCAATGACCCCGGCCAACCTTGCCGGCGGATTCGACGGCGAGACCATCCACGGCAACCTGGAGCTCGAGTACGCCGCCGGGTGGATCCCCGATCTGGCGGCCGATCAGAACAACCATGGCTTCTTCGACGACTGCTGACACTCGAAAGACAGCTCCGCCGCCGCCGTGAGGAGGAGGACCGATGCAGCGCTCACGGATGAAGGAAATACTCCCCAGCCAGCGTTTGCATCCTGGACGTCCCCGGAGCGTCGCGGAGCAGCAAGCTTAGGATTTTCTTGTTCAACGGATGAATGTAAACATTAGCTTAGTCTTCTCCTTCCTGTCGCGACTCCTTAGGGTTTTCTTGTTTGCTCTTCCATGTAGATGATGATCAGAATGATCGCAAGACCAGGTATCCGGCCTCAGAAAGTAATAAGTTCCCAGAGTCTCTCTCTCTCTGGCTCTCTATCTCTCCCTCTGTCTGTCTCTGTCTCTGTCTCTCTCCCTCTATCTCTCTCTCTCTCTCTCGCTCCCTCTCTCTCACTCTTCTCTCTCTCTCACTCACTCAGCTCCCTCTCGCTGGGTCTCTCTCTCTCTCTGTGGCTCTCTCCTCTTCTCCGGCAACCGTCCTGGAGACTCCTCGCCTTCCATGTCCGTTTCTCCCATCCGTTCTGGCTCGTGGGACGAAAGCCAGACGAACGAAGCAAGGGGGGAAGAAGACCAAGCCACGGGAAAAAAAGCCCTCATCTTGCTCTGATGAGTCGCCTGGGGATCCACGAAAGTCGGAGAGATCACTCGCCGAGGAAGACGATGCATCAACGAAAGACGGAGATCTCCGGGCTCCCAGAACACGAGAAACCTCGGGGCCATGGACGGCATGAAATCCATTAGATGAGATAAATAATACATACAGATCTTCGTCGAGAACCCTCTGCACGGAACCTGCAGTAGATATGATATGATATCCACAGTGAAGAATGGCCGGCGACTCGGAGCAGCAGCAGCAGCAGCTGGAGGAATGGGCATGGCTCAGTCACTCTTCCTACCCTATTTCCCCCCCTACCTATCAATGGATAAACCCTTCTCCTCCTGAAATCTATTCATGGGAGGATGACGAGATGAGACGAGATCTCTTGATGAATCGCTCGAGTCAAACCACTTTGACCCCGCTGGGGCGTTTACCTTCCATGGCGTCCTTCTTGTCCCGGCAGGTGGAGCACAGGAAGGGGCCCTCCCACGGCTTCGAGCTGGTGGAGAATATGGCGCCGGCGTGGACGGAGAAGCCCTCGCTGGGGGCCAGGTCAACTTGGCAAATGGCGCACGTGAAGAGGCTGGACGCCGCCTGCGAAGTCGACGTCTCATTTCCGAGCCTGGCAATATATGACGAACCCGTGTTATTTATACGATCAATCAATACCTGAGAAAAATGAAGCATCTGAGCTTGCCAGAAAAATGAAGCCTCTTAGGGTTTTGCCACCGAGGAGACCTGTTTATTTCATTGATTTTATTCCCCTTATATAAATGGGCTCTCATATCCTCTGAACCTCCAAGAAAACATCGCCATGACCTGTTTCAGCATTTCATGCATGCTTTTGGTCTCCCCGTGATGATAAATATGCAAGGAAAATGAAGCAGATGAGCTCTGGGCCGTGAGAAAAATGACCACCACAGAAGTTGAGGCGAACTGATGGAGCTCCAGGTCTGACCTGGTAGAGACTGATGTGGGTTTGAGCCCAATGGGATCTCTATCCACCTATGCAGTAGGGAGAATACTGCAGGAAAAGTGGAATATGAGAAGGTAAATCTTGGTCAATCTAACTTGCCAGGTCAAATCCTCTCTAGATTAGGTTTAAACTAGCCAATTGGTAACTTCCATTCCAGGGAGTTTCTACCGAGAAAAAAATCCACCCGATTTCCCAGTTCTGAGTCTAATTTCAGATTAAGTTAGTTTCACCCACTTCCTAGGATTCAGGAGTCAAATTGACCCACCAATTCACTCAAGCTAGCTTCGATCCAGAAGAGGAAAATCAGTCCCATTTCGAACAAATCCCTCAGACCCAGGAAACTATAACCCATCTTAATCCGCCCTTTGCTTTGGGATCGGGCAAGATTCATGTTCAGGTGAAGCATCCCAGCACAAAAAAGCCATTGTTCTTCACTCCTTGGTACCATTGTTAAATGAAAGGGAAAAAATAGTCTCCCAAGGAGAAGAGTCCTCCATTGCTCTTCATTGCTCCTCATACTAATCGAAGAATCCAATCAAGGTATGGCCAGTGGAAGAATGACCCAGCTGATGTGGCCTCTGAGGGAAGCTAAAACCTGGCCTTGTCCGGTTTACATTCAACTGAGTACAGTCCAAGGTGCAGATCGAGATATTGAGAAATCATATTCTGTTCAAGGACGGATGTCGCTTAAATGTGGCATTCGTATGTATAACAGAGCACATGGTAGCTAACCTAATAGCCTAGCAATGGTTAAGCACGTCTCTATGATAGGCAAGAAGACTTGCCAAAGTAGGGAAACAATCAGACAAGTTTCAACAATGACATTGACAATGTCTGCAGATGCCCAACCAGAATTGCTGTCGGTGCAAGTAGCAGCACCAGCAAACAGTAAGTTTGCTATCACGGAAGGCAACATCATCAATCTGGTTCGTAGAAGCTTGCGCATCCCAAATGACGAAAAATAGAGGTGTGAAGGGTTGTATGCAAGAAAGTTACTCCTCCCAGGATTATCAAGGTAGGAGATAAAATAGGAAGCAAAGGCGAGAATCAGACATCCGAGCAAATAAGACAATAGGACCAACGATTGTCTTTTCTGGTTGATGGATGGATGTGACATTTTTGCATTTCACCCATCCAAAATCAGGGTATAAATTTATATAGTTCATTTTCAATCAAATCTCCATATCTTAGATTAGAAAGTAAGTAGCGGTTTTGCCAAACCAAAAAGATATTTGAAAGAGAAATGAAAAAAAAATGCAATATATTCCGACATTACTTGAGAAAATTGCATGTAGAGACAAAAAAAATCGGAGGAACAACGATAGTTGTCTCTCGTCAATGAATTGAAAATACACCTTTCAACAAGACCAAGGGGAAATGTTGTAGAATTGGCAACGACCAATGCAAAAGACTCATATTGCCTACCTTGGACAAGACTCAATAGAAGTTGGGTGTTTTCCATGGAAGTTACATATTCCATTGTAAATGAAAATGAACCGAATAAATCCGAACATATACATATTGTTGACTCAACAGATATCAAACAAAAATGGTGAAACCAAAGGGTTCAATTGAGACATGAAATATTTAGACGGAAAAGATGCATTTTATCACGAGCCAAGTCATGCAAAAGTCTTAGAAGGAAGGGCACAAAGAAATCAAATAGATCCCACTTACCTTTCGGCAAGCATTGCTGACCCTTCTTCAAAAAGTTCTTCAACTATACCAACAGCAGCCAGTCTCTTTGCTAATTTACTAGCAGAATCATTAGAATGTTTCCTGAAGAAGAATGACTTAAGTTTGCTCTGCTTTTTTGGTGGAGACGGAGGAGGTACAGGATTTTCAGGTGGAATGATATCCACAACAATGCAAGTAGTGTCGTCTTTCAACCCTCTTGCCCGCAATGCTTCCTAAATGAAAAAATGATCGACCAAAGGTAAGGATTTGAAAACCTTGCAATGCATGCCTTCAAAATCAGAGTCTAATATTCAGGTTCTAGGATAATAATAAAATGAACGTCACAGTGATACATAAAATGAAGTACATCATTGCATTCACCTTCACAACTAACTTCGCAGCAAGCTCTGCTGGTAACCCTCGGCAAGATTTTGCAGCCACCTCCGAGGATAATGCATCCCATATGCCATCAGAAGCAACTATAAGCCTTCCCCCGGCACTAGATAGCTGGCGCAATGAGAAATATTAGCAGTGGAATGTGATACCAAATGTAGGTCACCAACGATTGAACTATTAAAAAAAATTAAGTGATGGTAACAAACTACTGAATTTTCAAAGAGAAAGTAGCAACCCAACCCCATTTACCTTCACTTGCTTGACATAAGGAACTGGGACAATATATTCTCCTACATCCATATCTCCAATAGACCTTGACAAGCATAAACCCCCAGGCCAACATCGTAGTGGACCAATCTGAAGAAGAATTAATGTAGAGGCACTTTAAAGTTATATCCTCCAAAATCATCTATAAACGGTCAAAATAAAAATTACCCATAACGAACAGTATACCTCCTTCCCACCCAGAATGCTTAGCCTTCCAACTTCCCCTCCACTGGCAGTAACACGTTCCCTCCTGATACAGATAGTGTGGAAAGAATGCCAGGTCAAGAGAAAACTACCAAGAAGACCAAAGTGATTAAGGGGGAACGCGCTCTTACTCTTCTGCATTTTCTTCCAACCTATGGTCGACAGTCAGAAGAGTAACTGCCCCGTCTTGAGTGTCCAAGATACAACGTGAATCTCCAACAGAAGCTACAGTAACAATCCACCTATCTACTATTACAAAAGTGGCCGTAGTCCCAGAAGTCTCCCCTGTAAATGCACAGTAATGACTGTTAAAAATAGTTGGTCTAGAGAGCGCGAGACGCAGGCAAGAGCCACAAGATAGAAGCATGCCTCTCCTCTGGAACTCTTTGTCAGTCTTGACAAAGCCGGCAACAAGAGCACGAGGTAGAGCCTGAAGCCACTCTTCCCGTCCAAGACCATGAGGAATCGCGCTCAATATATGGCTTAAAAGATTCTCCTTTGCAAATATAGCAGCTGCATTGCCGTTGTGACCATCGAAAATCTGTAATTCCGCAGATCACCCGTTGACGATTGGGCAATAAAGTCAACAGCCTCAAGAGAAAAGACTCGAAAGACAAAAGGGTACATTATACGCCGAGTGTTCACCGGCAGAAACGAAATGACGAAGATCCGATCAGAAAAGTTCGAAATCAGGTTGACGCCAGAGACACCGAAATTCTTCCACAATAAGCTAGCGTAAGACGCATTTATTTCCTTAATGCGTACGTAACTGACGTAGAAACACAAACAAACACAGGAACGCGAAAGCTACAGCGCTCGTACCAAGAGGACCGCAAAACACAGAACGGAAGGACGGACGGGCAGAGGGGAAAACAAAGCGCTGAAGAGAAGAAAGCTCACGGCAAAGGCGGAGAAGGTGGAGGAAGTGCTTCCAGGGAGGCGCTGGCAGTCCTCCTTCATGAGGAAGTAGTCTTCCCCCTTCTTCGACTGTGCCGCGCAACCGGACCTGATCTTCGGCCTCTCCATCTTCTCGGTCTTCATCTCCCTGCTGATCAGAGCCGCGAGCGGCACCAGATCTCCATTTCCGTCCCCTCGCCTCCGGTTGTGCTGCTGCTGCAGGGCCCCGCACTGCTGCTTGTGTTGATACTTGTCATGATCATGGCGATGGCGGTGGTGGTGCCGCCGCCTCTCCCCCTCCCTTCCTGACGGCGCCGACATCATCCCCCCTCTCCCTCTCCTCTTTCCCACCACCCCGAGATTCACACCGCCAGACTCCCCGCCCCGCCACCTCGAGCTCATTGCAAAACGAGGTGTACCACCCCCCAACCCAGAAGCGGCGGCTGCAGCTGCCGCCGCAGCCACCGTTCCCTCCGCATCCACCCTCGTAATTTCTTTCCAATCCCCGCCACACCACTACTCCACAATTCTCTGAGCTCCACCAAGAGAAACCCAACGCATTCCCCGATCCCTCCTACGGACTCGTCTCCCCCAGCAATGCCACAGATCAGAGAGCAGAGAAGTTCCCCCCCACGAAGCGGAGGAAGAACAACGCCAGAGAGCCAGAGGGGAAGCGAGAGAGAGAGAACGCGGTTTTGGGTGGCGAGGGTGTGATCTGCTAGCACCCCGAGCAAAAAGGAGGGGAGGTGACGCCACTCCGCATAATAGACAAATACTTTTAATACCATTTAAATCTACGAATTAGGGGGATCTGGTCACCTTCTCGAAGTAACTTGACTTAAATACCCTCTTCTGGGGATTCGTGGCATCACCTGCTGCAGCATCAAATTCGGGGCCACCGCCCTGTGACTTACTGGCCGGAATCTTTCCCACAGTCGCGACGGTGCTGACGTGGATTACAGATGTCTCCCACCCAGGCTGAGACGGGCCCCATTCCCGCTCCCGATCGGAGGGCTCAGATTCGTTCCGACAGAGAAGGCTGGATACGTGTCGTGATCGGAGGGCTTTCCCGCGGATAAAGGACTAACTTTTCCCAGAAACTTTAAAAAGAGTAAAATCCTGGGCACATTATATATTAATCCCCTAATATTTTAGTATTTGACTAGAAGTCCATATAAATAATGTGACCACTTGGCGGCGAGTGGGGCCCAAACTTTATTAGAAACGTTTCCGAGGCCCGAAACTGGAATTGGCTTTTTCTTGGAGCTCCTTTTTTCACGGGCCGCGGCGAGCCCAGCCTGGATTTTTCTATAGAAACTTCCGGAATGAGAACGGTTGCCAGGCTATCGGCGGGCCGAGAAAGCCCGCAGCCCAAATGGGCAAGAAAAATGAGGTAAAAACGTCGGGTCGAGATTGAGACCCTGAAATGCCCGAGCCCGACTCGAGTTGAGACTGGATCTGGCCTGGTCAGGCTCCATAGGAGGAGCCCAGTTGATTAAAAAATGCATATTTATCTTGATTTTTTCCATAGAAATGTCCAAAACGAGCACGGTTGCCAGGGTGTCGGCGGGCCTGGAAGTCCCAGGGCCCGGAAAGGCATGAAAAAATGGGGCGCAGATTTCGGACGAGATTGCGACCCTGTAACAGCCCGGGCCCGGCCCGAGTAGAGACCAGATCAGGCCTGGTCGGGCTTCACAGGAGGGAGCCCGATTCATTAAAAATCACATTTTTATAGCTCTGGATTTTCCCATAGAAACTTCCAAAACAACCACCGTTGCCAGGGTGTCGGCGGGATGGGAAGGCCCCGAGCCCGAAAAGGCAAGAAAAATGGGGCTGTTGATTAAAAGCCCGGGCCTGACCCGGTAGAGACTGGATCGGGCCTGGTCGGGCACCATAGGAGAAGCCCACTTGATTAAAAATCGCATTTTTGACAGCCCATAACGACCACGTAAAGACTGAAGCTTTAAGCAAAGGGGAGTCAAAGAAACTCTAATGGTTCATTCCTGCTATCTCACCGCTAACTTCAGCCTACAAGTTACTAAGGCTACGTATGCTTACCACGTACTGGGAAACGATAACCTCACCGCGGGCGGATGTATACCAATGAAGCAGTCATCTCCACATCAGCGGAAGAGCCTATTTGCAGATTATCTGCCCATTTGAACATAAATCGCGCACATGGGCAAAAAAATTAAATAAAATAAAAAATAAAACCCAATTCACATCAACATTTCAGAAATATTCAGAATATTTCTGTATAAAATCATGTAGCCATTTAAGGAAATAACTCGGTCAACCCATTGTTCTGATCTCCATAAAAACCCCTGAAAAGTCCATCCCCTTCCACTAGTTCTTCGGTTTCAGATGGGGTAATCAGATGAGGACAACCCCCAGATTAGATAGGTAAGCACAGTCTTTAGAGCCCAGTGAAAATGTGTTTAGATGGCGGTTTCCAGAAGTGGGAAGAGAGAGGGTTGGGAGGCATGACAGCCACACGAATGGTAGGGCCACTCTCTAATAAAGAACATTTTTGGTCAAGCAAGTTGACTTCTCCAGGGTGTGGTCCCACCTCCCCAATCACTGGAGCTCCATATACCAGAGATGGCCAAAGCAACAGGAATCCCAAAGCTCGGGAAGAATCTCTAGTAGGTGGCTGCCCACAGCTCTGCACAGCTCCAGCTGAGCTGAGAGTTTTTCACTAACACCTAAACCATTGACGAGGGGAGATCACAATATTTGGGATGAGGTCGCCCACCATCCAGCACTAGGGCTCTAGAGAGATCCATGGTCAGATAGTATCCGTCCCTGGTCAACCTTTCATCTAAAAGTGAGTAAACTGAATACAAACTGAGTTGCCAAAATTATCTACTGCTCATTCATAAGTGATGAGCTTTGTCAACGCATCTGTTTAGTGAGGAAGAGGGAATGCAGAAAAGAATGATTAATGTCTAAGTAAGAGAGATATTTTGACATAAGTTCGTCTTTGCTAGATGAAAAAGGGGGGAAAGTTATGCAAGACACAGATTGAGAGAGCATGAAGTTCTTGCTAGAAATAGTGATGGAATAAGAGAAACAGAGTCCAATTTATGAGAAGAATTCGAGATGTAACGATGGACAGTAATTACCTAAAATTTCTCGATGTTATACCCGCCTAAATATCTTCAGTTCCATTCATCCTTGTGATTGACGAATAGTAATGAGTCTCGAGTTCCTTTAAGCTGGCAGCTGCCTGTTCTCCGATCTTCTCCAACAGCCCGCTGGTTTTCTCTGATAGCTGGCCAAATTCAAGAATCCTGCTTTCCACATGCTCATTCAGTGAAGCGAAATTTGAAAAGATAGCTGTCTGCTTCAGCTCAGACACTAATTTTAAGAGCGAGTCAGATGCCTGTACCTATTTGAAGGGATGAAACTGGTATCAGCCACACCTTTTGGTCATTAACAGAAAAATATGAGAGGGAGTAACAGTGAGGGGGACCGAAAGTAAATGGCAATTGTACAAATTTAGAAGGACATTATTCAATCTGTGCGTGAATTGGAATTTACCATTCGTGCAGCACGCATCTCCATCTGAAATGCTTCCTGTGAGTTCCTAACAGGTGGGTCATTCACCTAGCGGAAATAATGAACTACTGTAAGACTACCAATTCACACATTATTGCTTCACACATAGTGTAATAAATACTTTCGCGGTCTTATAATTACGCCTTCTAATCAAAAATATGAAACAAAATGTTCAACCAGATGAACTACGCTCAGAAATAATTGGATTGAGGAGAAACAAATCAGGGAAGATGGAATCCCATTGGGATCATAAAGGAAACTAATTTACTAGACTCAAACACAATCAAGGAACAGTATAAGCAAAAATCTGGAATATACAATAGCAAGAGAACATCCATAAGAAGACACAACCAGATAGTAATTTATATCAGGTAAAAAATTAAAGAGATGGGGTAAGCTTCTCATGCTTCACAGCCTCATTTAAATTACCATTATTGAACCTATTACCCATGCTCAATATAAAAAGCATTCATCAAAGCTCAAGAATCTGCACCAATGCTTGACAGAGCATCAATACAACTATTGAGAAATTGTCTGTACTGCCTTATCATGAATTTTGATTTAGAATGAGATTAGATGAGAAATCATCAGATATTCCCATTGTACACAAATTGTGGAGAAAAAAAACTTTGACAACAAGATGATGGACTCTTCAAGGCCATCCATTCCACAATGAAATCATAATGAATGAAGTACGCACTAAACCCCAAAAGTATACTTTCTGCTTTTGTTGTTTTCTTTTATAAACCGGAGTTTACATATTAACATAGGAGGAAAACAAGATGTATCAAGGATGCCATCAAATACTTCCTCTCATTCAAGAGATGATGCCTTCTCATTAAAAGAGTCAAGAACCCCACGGCTGGCTCTTTCAGACCCTCACGCAAACATGTACACACATACAAACACAATCACGAAGCCACTACCACTATTAATTACGCAAATGATCACAGAAAGTTGCATCAATCTTCATTCCATGTTCTTAGTCTTAGTCTACTCCCCATGTGTGTGTGTGTGTGTGTGTGTGTGTGTGTGTGTGTGTGTAGAGAGAGAGAGAGAGATCCAACACCAGTCTACTATTCTAGCATGCAAAAGATAACAGAAAGACACGTCAACTTTCATGAGAAAATTTAATTCTTCCTCGAGCCCATACTCTCCATTCAATGTGCATCTTAGTAACATACCATTCACTAAAAGACCAATGTTAATAGGTTAATGACGTGACTCAAAACACCAATAATAAAGCAATTGATCCACTACTTCTCACAGAATTTGAGTTTACAAATGTTCTCAGATAAAAATTAAAAGGAAATAAAACCCACAGAATCAAGAATAAAATTACCAGGCAATTAAAGATCCTGATAGGCAATAAAATTAAAAGCAATTAATGTATGTTAAAATATACATTAATGATTCGAAAATACCAACAACTTACCCTAGAGATGCTCAGTAAGGCACTGAAATTGTCAATAATTTGAGACACATCATTGTCAACCCGCTGCAGAAGAGTTTTTTGCTTCTGTGCCGCAGCTAATATTGCAGCTGTAGTTGGTCCGCTTCCACCACTGGCGGGACCACCAGCTCCTGGCTTGCTCATAGTAATTTATTATTTTTATGTTGTCTTATTAGTAAGGAAAGACTATCGCTCTCCTCCAGGAAGCAGGACCCTAAGGTTGCACGAAAACAATCCAATTTAAATTTTTTCCCACACGCACAACTTAAAAATAGAGAGACAACATAATTAACCAAATAACGAATAAGATCACCAATGTTTGGAGCTTTTAAGCACGGAAGTTAGTTAAATAAACACCAACTTAATGTGTTCTCTAGCGACAGATAGCTCCAGATTAAATAAATACCAACTTGCATGGTAGAATAGTGTTAATATTGTGAAAGCCATGCCCCACGAGTTAATGAACATTGACATTTCCCAAGTCGATCTAAAAATGCTGTGAACGGCCTTTTTTGTCATAATCCATGCGAAAAGTTTGGACAATTCAGAAGGCATTAGATAAGAAAAAAAAATTATCTGTGAAAACCTTCGTTTATGTATGCATTAGAGCATTATAATTCCAAAGTAATCGCTCAAAACGGATTCAATGACTAGATTATTCAACCATATATATTTTTAAACTCATTATTTGAATAATTTAACTTCAAAGATAAGATTAAAAACAATGAAAAATAATTTAAATACAAGGAATATTTAGCAAAAATTTAAGACGTCTTGTAAACGATTCCATCATACACGGTTCAAAACGGAGAATAAAATTAAGACACAGAATGTCGGCTGAACCAAAAGTAAAAAAAAATCGTTTTTGGTTAGAGATGGCTTCATTGTTATTCAATACGTTATAAACTTAAGGTATTAAGCAAACAAACAAAGAATGGCTCGTCATTTTTTTTCCCCAATAAGATTAGTAACCACTTCAATGTCAATGTACTGCAAATGAGCGGAAAAAAAACAGCCGCGGTCTATAACTTTTTGAAATAACGATGTTCGAGAATAACATTAGCTTTAATTGCAGTTTACAAATGTCAGTCAAAGACGCAGGTAGCCAACAAAACACGACCTGAAAACATCAATCACCGATAGTTATTCTTCAATTAAGAGAGCGAGGGAAGAGAGGACCGAGCGAGAAGTTGCGTCACCGGAGGGCGAGGAGAGAGAGCGTGAGGAGCGATTGAGTACCAGCGGCAGCGGCGGCGGAGATCCCGGGATCCGTGGGGTAGTCCTGCCGATTCCGCCTGCACAGGTGCACTTCAAGGCCCCCACTACTGAAGGCAGGATCAGTTGTGCTCCCCCTTCCGGCCAGAGAGCGAGAGGGAATGGTAGCGCAAGCAGAGGTCCTGGTTCGCCGAAAGCACGGCTGCAGTCGCCGCAGCGCACTTCGACCAGAATCCAGGCGCTTAACCCTCCGCCGCAGGCAGTGGAGGCAGGATCTCCGTTGCCTCCGCCCCCTAGAGAGGGATCATTCCGGGAGGGAGAAGCTCGCCGGTATTTCCTAAGCCAAATAGCGAACAAAAATAATATATTCATTTCAGAAGAATCTGAATCCGTTTTATTCCCAGTTCAATGGGCCGGGCCTGCTTCGCACTGGCCCGGCCCACTCCTGGCCCGACCATGCCCCTCCTCGGGCTTTTTTTAAGTTATTTAAATTTTCCTTCCAAGATTTTCCTCCTCCCACCATTTCTGTTGTTAAACGATTTCATAAAAATAATAAATTTTCATACTCCTAATCACACCCCACGTTCTCATCTTGCTAAATTCAATAATAACTATATATTTATATATTTTAAAAAAACATTTTATTTATAATCGTCAGCTTTGAGTTATGAGAGAATACTATCTTTGGTGCCTAGAAAAAATTGACCATACTAACCTTGCTCAAAGATTCATTGGGTTTCTGATGGAACCCTAGTTGGAGTATGATCTAAAGAACATTAATAAGAACATAAATAACTTATGCTCCAAAGAACCCTAGAATCGGTTGGGGGCATTTGAGAGGCCCTCACCTGCCGCTGCCCGAGAATAGTTTAAAGGCTTTCAAGATGCCTTCATCTCTCTCACTAAGCTTCACAAGAGACTTCATACCCTTTCCTTCTGATAAGAACATTATTTATAACTTGTAGACATTTGTTAAAACCCCCTTTATATTTATGACTATGACTTTTTTATCTTTTTACTCTAAATAAATTATGTTAGGGTCATAGTAACACTCTTAAAAAATTCACTTTGTTCTCAAGGTGGAAGCGAAGATAGTGGTGTTGATTTGCACATATTAACTCATGAGTGGCATTAAGATTGTTCTATTGAGTTAATTGGAGTAGGCTCCTACCTAGTGTGGTTGGACTAACACCATGAGTTGTGATCCTTAGTGATAAAAGAGTCTTCTCTTATAGACTCATTAGAAATATATTCAACATGACTTGTTTCATTGTAATTATTTTCATTGGATCATATACTTGATCAGGTTTTAGGGCATTTAGGAGTCTGACAAGTTTTGAGAATCTCCTCATTTGCTTCTTCCCTAGTGACCTTTGATTCAACCTTGAATCCTCTCAAACCAATACCTTATCTACTCAAACAGAGGACAACCTTCTCCAACACACCTACTACCTAGTAGAATTCCTTGTACTTCTTTTTGACATAGTGGCTTGAGACAAATGAGTGATCTACATCGATAAACATTGGCATTGAGATTAAATCAAATATTGCTCTTGACCACACTAAAAACTTATATTGAACTTGTCATGAGATTCTGAAAATTGAAAGTGTTATCCCTATTGAGCTTGATATAGAAGAAATTATCAAGTAGTGAGCATCATTTTCATGTTATATGGTATGAACTTCATGTTTGATTTTACTAACAAAGTGAAAATTTTACTTTTCAGTGGTCTTGGTCCCACATAGGTCATTTAGAAACACTAAGCCACTTTTACTTTCAACAGTCAAATTAATATTAATAGAAGAAAAATCTACTGATGATACCAAAGGTATTCCACTTGACAACTCCACACCATTCATTATTCCGACATCGTCATAAAGCAAGGTAAAAATTGGATGCATAACATCCCAAATTCACTAGGGACTCCATTAGAACTTCTTCATATATTCTCAATATCCCACCTCATATATTCTTTCAACACTAGTATCTTTATCAAATGATAATTCACTAAGGACTTCATTAGAACTTCTTTTGATCTTATTTCATCACCATCATAAATAAATAATTTTCTACTATAATCTTATCCTATGTATTATTTACAAACAAATATAAGATAATAAAACATAACATTCACCCTCCATATTATAGTTCCAACTTACTACATCATTAAATGAAAACTTAACTTCCTTATTTTTTATGACATCTTCCAAAGTAACATATCTCTATCAATGTAGCATGTAGTAAGAAAGGAATATTCCATAGGAAACAAATCTTATTTACCTTTTTTATATTGTCACATGTGACTACCTGTATTTTTTAAAGGCTTGTTTATTTCTTTGCTTTTCAATTGTAAATGTGTATGGCCTCTAACAATAACAACACAATTCTTAGAAAAGTCTCGTAGAATCATTACTCATTTACATATAATAAGAACTCTATCCTTAAAGGAAGAATAATAACACTGTAAAATTCACATAATTGACTTTTGAACAACATTTATAAGAATATGATATATCAATTACAAAATATTCCTTTCATCAACATCAAATTTCAAAATATACATAATTGCATTTTCATCTCCTTAGAACATCAAATGTGCCCCTTGGATTACAAGGAATGTAGTGATGTTATATTCTCATTGTAAGGAATAGGTAAAGCACCTTTTTTAAGATCCCAATTCATTTTACAATTTATTCTCTTAAGTTTCATCTCAAACCTAATATTTTCTACATCTTGTCTTTTGATGAATCAATTTTGTATTGTAATCTTTATTACATCATTAACTTCTAATATGGAAATATTATTCTATTAACATGTCATGTTCTTGCATCTTATTTTGAAATTTCATTTAAAATGTTAAAGGTTTCATAACAAATTGAAAAGCTACCATATAACCACAATAGCTAAACCCATATTTTTCTAATTTTTTTCTAAAGCCATTCTAAAATGTGATTGTCGAAATTGGTTTCAATAAAATTTTCAATGGTACCCCATTCACTTATAGATAATAGAGGTTGTTCCTCCTCTAGTAGTTTTTCTATTTTGGAAATTAAATTTTTCATCCTTCATCTCTTCTTATTTGAGTTAGAGTAGTTAGTTGATACCCTTGCCTTGAAGAGAGTGGATGAGGAGGGAAGGTTGAAAAGATCAAGGAAGATGAGTGAAGACAAATGAAAACTTCAACTAATAGCATCAAATGAACACAAGATATATATATATAGGGGCGATGGAGGCATTCAAGAATTATATCAAAAGCCAACATGCCTTTTCCTTAGAAGAGTTTCCTATTTATAATTATTATGGTAATCTTGATTCACCTCCTTCATCTTGCTAATGAATGCTCATTTGGTGACTACATGTTGTGATGGTTTGAACATTTGTCAAGTATGCTTCCAATGTGACACATCCAAAGGCTAGAGTAATTCATCACTATTCTTCCCTCAAAATCTCACCTTATCCTCAAGGTGAAATGTTGGAAACTATTGTTTGATGTTGTGGGCAGATGTTGATAGGCTTCGAATCATGTTCAAAATGAATAAGGTGGTTCACTTCTCAAAGTGAAGGTAAGATGATCTCAACTTTGAATACTTTCAAAAATTTAGTGCAAAGTTGGTTATTGATAATTGATTATTTGGAGTTGATAGATTCAATGTGAGTCATTTATGTGAGTTGAATTAGTTTGAGCACAACCTAACCTACTTGATGAGTTTGGACAAGTCTTTAAACAAGATATCTATTTGTAATTGTAGTCCCTCCACTTTCAGGGTGACTCATTTAGCTCCCTTAATAAATGAGATTATCTATAACTTAAAATTTAATTTGAGTTTTCTCATGGTACATAGTCATGTAAGACCAAGCACAACATCCACAGAGGCTAGTGGTAAGACCAAGAGGTCATCATGTATGATGAAAGATTAGAGCTCTTTGGTAATAACATGACAAACATTTATTCTAAGATGGGGAGATGTAGATCTAATGGGGAGATGTAGCCTTTGAGCGATGTTTTGAGAATTGAAGTTATGAGTAGCTCATATGTCAATGAAAATCATCACTTGTTTTGACTTTATTCTTCTTCAAAACTTGAATGTTTACACAGATTTCTTCCACCAATGAGTTTAGTATAATCATTTTTTCCAATAATGATAGTCAAGAGAAAACTTCTTTTGCATATAAAGCATAATATATGCACTCAACATACTTGAATCTCCACAAATATAAACTAAATCTTTTTTAATCTACCAACTTTATGAATGGTTAATGGCCACACGCAAATTACCCTTAGTAGTTTTTTGTTGTAGTAGATGATAATAATTATGTGTTGATAATTCCATGTTCTTCACGTAAATATAATTTCTTACATCACCAAGACTTGGTAGGATGTTGAAATTCATTTCCACTTTTTATGTTGTACACATGTTCAACTTAATAGGATCAAGTAAGTTGACTTCTGCCTAGATATCTTGGCATAACCCTTTGAAGAATTTCGTTTAATATATATTTTTGAGAGATTGTCAATGATAACAATCATACTCTTCACTATATTTTAATATGATCACAAGTTATATGATATCTAAGAACTTATAACAAAAGTTTCTAATCATATTAGAGCTTAAACACTATAGGAGTGTTGATGGAGTCCTCCTAGTCATAGAAGAGTACTCAAGCATTAGTCCACTTGTCTTAGGTCAAAACTCCCCCTATGGATGAATGTCAAAATTTATTGTCCTCTAACTTTACCATAACTGTAATGAAGTCATCTTGGAGGACTAGAGTGTCTTACCCTGGCCTAATCACACTCCATTGAAGATTGAGAAATTATCATCTTACCTCCTCAATGCCTTTTTTCAAAAAGCTCCATTTTGACATTGGTGGTTTTTGACAGCTTGACTCTAATGTTGAGATGATGTCTTGAAGAGAGTAGACAAGTTGAGAAGGTTGAGAAGATCGAAGGAGATGAGTGAAGTCAAAGCAGAACTTTCACTTACGACAATTGATGAACATGTGTGTGTGTGTGTGTGTGTGTGTGTGTGTGTGTGAGAGAGAGAGAGAGAGAGAGAGAGAGAGAGAGAGAGAGAGAGAGAGAGAGAAATAACTAGGGACTAATAGAAGCATAGATCTTCAAACCTTTCTCTTACAAACTTATTTGAGATGGTTGGTCTCTAGACTTCACTCGAGAATTATATCAGAAGTCAGCCTACCTTCTCTTTGGAAGAGTCCCCTCTTTATAATGAAATGATGATCTCGATTCACCTCCTATATCTTGTGGCAATGGTTCAAGTGTTTGTTAAGTATGTTTCTAATGTGGCACATATGAGGGTGAGTGTAACTCATCATATTGTCTAGTAATTGCTCTCTTTTTTCTTATGTTTGGTAACATTCTTCTCCTCTCAACATTATCAATTGTGTTCTCACATTTAAAATGCTGCAATACATTAATTTTTCTCCCTCTTAACTCATGCTCATGTTGTCTAGTCTTATAACTACAACTCCTCTCATTGGAGCTCGATTAGCATCTGAGATAGACTTTTTAAGCATTGTTGTAGGCGGCTTATGTTGTCGAAAATCTTCTTGCAATTCTTCCATTACATTCTCCAACTTTCCCAACCTTGTGCTTTTAAATTTGGGCATCATCTCCCTACATAGGATCTCAATTTTGATACTAATTGATGGGATCTCCCTTCATAGTAATACCCATAGAATAATAAAACAAGGAATAATAAGAATATACATCTTGATAGAAAATAAGAAAAAAAATATGAAGATATAAAAATACAAACAGAAGATCAAACAATAATAAGGGTGGTAACTTGGGCTCTGAATGACCTTAGAGTCGATTTAGGAATGTTCTAGAAGCTCCCTACTCTCCTTCAACCATAGCTGCCTTAGAACAGTTTGAAGACTTTCGAGAAACTTTTGTCTCTCCCATTAAGTTTTATAGAAGGCTTTCCATCTTTTCACTTTATTGATAACCTTCGATCTACTTAGACATTTTTGTTGAAAACTTGGCTCTTTTCCTTTCTTATACTAAATAAATTATATTGGGGTGTATCAATTTCACTAATTATTTTGGAAATAAAAATTTTACAAGACACAAATTTACATAGGACACAAATTGTATTTTTTTTAAGATTGGCTTGAACTAATTGCAGTATTTACAAGGCCACAAAAGCTATCAATATATTATAATTTTGGTTAATTATATGATTATTATTATTCACACATATTTGAACATGAAAATACATAAAAAAATATCATGCCCATAAAATGTGATTATTTGATGGAGGAAAAGTCCACTCAGAGCCTGACACTAAGAATTAAGCTTGACTCTCTCTCTCTCTCACTCTCTCTCTCTAAAATAGTCGAGATGGTTGACCAAGTTGGAGATAGAGAGAGACAGGCGCCGTCTCCACTGGACACCTGATTGGCCCCACCATTCCTCCACGATGCCGCCACCCAGCCTCCGGCCTTTTCCCGGGGCGGTGGGGGATATGAATTGGACGGGTCACGATAATTTTCTCGAGATTCGCGACGACGGAAATCCGCATTCCTTCGTAACGGGAATCGGATTTTAGAGGTGGTTTCAGGTTTCGGCTTCGTCGGACCGTTTGCTTGACAGTAACACTCACTCGTGCTTATCGGCTCCAAAAAAGGATATAGTACGGAGTTCGTAAACGGATACCCTGATGATTGCCGTATGCGGAAAGTTAACGGAAACTCTGCCTTTATTCCCGGACCCCATTAACTGTCCAAAAAAGTGGGCTTCGGGCTGGACCTTAAAAGAATGGGCCCGCACGTCACAAGTGTGTTGGAAGCCGCAGACTAGTTCCGGTCTTGGATTTAAATGGGAAGCCCGAAAAAAATCGGGCCACGGGGGAGGCCCGTGAGCAAACGAATAATTAACGAAAAATGTTTCAAAAGGGTATCCTTTATTGCATTCCTGCGGCTTTTGAGAGAGAAAGTTCGCCTACGAAGGGCGGAGGGAAGTGCAGACGGCGGCGAAACTCGAGAGAAGAATTTCCAGTTCTTGGCATCATCCTCCGATCTGGATCATCTCCCTGATCTCCTCCTCCTCATCCTTTCTTCTTCCTTGATTCTTAGGTTTTTCTCTGTTGTCGAGTTAGCTTGCTGTGCTTGAGTTTGGGTGGGGGAGGGGGGTGGGGTTTGGTGCAATGAAGAGGGGTTTCCCGGAGCCGCTCTATCATGGATGGCGCCATCCACTTCCCTGTGTGGTTGTTGATCCTGCAGAGGCTGCCTAGGGCTGATCTTGGTGGCTACTTCTCGTCTCCTTATTCGTCTCCTCCTGCTATTGCACTGAGATTCTGTCGGTGAGGATTTCGAAATTCACGGCCCACGAGGGTTGGTGGGAAGGCGGGGAGGCTAGAGATGAGAAGAGAACCTTCAGATGGCCCCACCACCAGGGATCTTCTCTGTAATGCTGCAGCTGGTGCGGCTGCCGGTGAGTTGAGGATGTTTTTTCAATTTAAGTTTTATGTCTCAATGCTTCTCTCTGGATTTCGCATGATTTCAGCCTGTATTGTACCGGCAGCCTGTATGACAGTCTTTGTTTTTATGAATATTTCTGAGAGTCGAACGCCCCAGCAAATTCTTGCAGAATGCTTTTTGTTTTTCCATTGTCTTCTTTTTGTTGCGGCATCTTTGTTCAATTTAACCGATTCTCCTTCTAGTTATGTCCCCGTTCATCAATGTCCATTCGTTGTCAGTCTACGAGTCTCTAACTTGTTATTTTCTTCGTTGATTCCTGGCCATCATTGAATGTGAAGCCCCTTTTTTGTTCTGTTCTTGATTTGAACGCGTTCTCTGCTATCTTCGATACTGCTGCAGGATCCATTGCTGCCACCTTTGTCTGCCCCTTGGATGTGATCAAGACGAGACTTCAGGTCTATGGGCTGCCCAATATTCCTTCTTCTGGCCGTAGAAGTATGCTTTCATGTTCTTTCCAGATATTTCTTCCAGCTTGTCTGGGGACAGTAAAGTAGTAACTATAGTGGTAGATTGACGAGGCATATTGCTAGAAAGATGATTTTTTTTCATAATATTGTTGTACTTCCTGTGAAACCACCGTGGCCATTTTACTATTCATAAGATACCTGGGATGCTTTATGAAATTTGAATTATTTGTTGACTCTTAATATGTGGCAGTATTTTATGAATGAAAATCAACAAAATACCGTTATACGAAAAACAAAAAACTCTTCGAATTTTTCCACTTCGCACCCAAGCGAAATTCGAGAGTGTCTCCTTCATTTGCTATCTCGTTGGAAGAAACACATAGCAATTGTGTCACATTTTGTCACGGATTTATAAATAACGTTTCCATGAATCAGACCTCGAACAGAAATTAATTACACGCGTGGATGAGCAGATATCATGGCTCTGTTGGAAGCGACAAGTTGTTCAGCTAAGCTAGAAGTTAGCATGGTTCTTTAGATGTTTGCATTTAAATTTTTATCGCTAAGTTGGCATGGTTGGGCCCGTGTAGCACCCACTATTTGATGGGAAGGTTATAATGTGTCCATCATATTATGAAAAGAACAAGAACGAATGCTTTCCATGATGAACACAAATTTTAAATATTAAAAGCTAATTTGTGAACTATACATAATGCCGAAACATCCAATTAAGACAACACCACAACTGATGTGTACGTACATTGACTTGCTTTTTCCTTCTCGTACTTACTTTTTATTGATTGGATTTTTAAATTAATTGCTATTAACCAAATTGTGGATTAGGGATGGATTAGGCATGTGATTGCAGGTGCTGGGTTTCTATGGAGAAAATGTGCCATAAGGTCTTTGTTTTATGGCTGAAGAATTTTAAATGTTAACTGTCGGAGAACAGTTATTTTTTGGTTGTTTTTGTTGTTAATGAAGAGAAGCCTCCAATTCCCTAAAAGACAAACTTTCTGATGAATCACATTGGCAGTAGCAAACGCCTAGATCACATTCTGGAGATCATAAGGCATTCTGACTATATCTTTCCATAAAATTTAAGGGCCATATCTCCCTGCCCAACGGGAATGATAGAGAAAGCGAAGGTTCATGCTTGTCTTTACACCCCCGTTACCCACTAGTGACCATAAGCTTCATGACCTGATGAGGGGAAGAAAAAGGAAGAAGGCATTTATTCTTATGAAAAATAAAATATTGAATTTATGAAATAGTTTTAGGTGATTTAAAAATTTATCTTGCATTGCTTGCGTAAATAATTACCGCTGTTTTTGTGGAGACTGTGAAAATGCTAGCCACTAAAGGGTTAAACTTGAAAGCTATAAAGGCTCTTTCCACATATAAGGCAACTGGCTAAATTTGGCGCTTTTCCACAAAATGAGTTGAACTAATAAATATCTGACTAATTTTGTGCCCATGCCAATTACCTCATCTAAGTTGTGAACATCTGTCGTAATCAGGTGGTCTCATTTTTTCAAGCCTGCAACACATTATAGAAAATGAAGGGTTCAGGGGCCTGTACCGTGGTCTCTCTCCAACAATATTGGCGCTTCTTCCAAACTGGGCTGTGAGTTCTTTTTCTACTTGTTTAGAGTGCAATTTTTTGTCCTCTTTCGTACTGGAATCAGAGAACAAATAGCTGGCGAATAATTGAGAAGAAAACATGATATGATTTTGTTTGAATTTCCCAATAATCATACGTACAATTCCATTGGTCTCGTATATGGTAAGATTCGTCGATAAATACACTATAATTTGCGTTTTTTATTTATTAAACAATCATCTTCATACATATTTGAAAGTGGACCTGCCCAGAGCTTCATATGTAAATAAAAACGCAGCAAACTTCGTCCGTGGACACTTTTAGTGGTGAAATTCCTGTTCTTCAAAAATTTCAGATGTTGCATGAATTAGTACTGGGGATGTGTGATCTTTCAAAGCAATATATTCCTTTCTTTTCTCTCAGTAGAAGCGTTAGATCCACGGACATACAGCTTGTGTTGTAGTTCTTATGTAAGATGGAGTTTTTTCTGTCTTAGCATCAATACTTTGTGTTTACCTTCTCGATCATCAAAATGGACCGACCACCTTTTAGAAAGATTTTAAAAAAGATTGACGCGCTATTTTTTTATTCCAAAATGGCAGTTTCTTTAGATGTTGTTTGAGAGTCATTTAGAATCCATTTTCATATTCATAATTTACTTTGTTACTATAAAAATGATATAACTTTATTCAGAAGCCATCGTAATTAATGATAATGAAAAAAAATGTTATGAACAGATCATGAATCAATACGGACTTCAGAGACGATAACTGGAAATTTACTCAGGCAACTTTTAAGACAAGAATTTGAGAACAGAAATAAACCTTTTTAATGTCTTGTTGGACGTTGTCTACCCAACAATGAGACAGAAATCACCCATCACTGGTTGAATTCGCTAATTTCAAGAATTTTTCTGGACCTCCCGGTAGCCGTTTCCATTCATCAAGCCGGTCATGTGACTGAGCATTTGCTTTGGGATCTAAAAACCCTAATCTGTTCTTTCGGCACAGTTGGTTAACAGCCCTCCTGGTAGTCATCTGCAGTGGGATATCAATACAAAATCTAGACTCATCCCACCAAGGATCAGGAAGCTTGATTGGGTTATCCTGATTGCTGGTTATGGTTAGAACAGAAAATTTTCTCATTATCTTTTTTCTTCAAATTGCAGGTGTACTTTACAGTCTACAGTAAGCTGAAAGACCTGCTTGAATCCAATGGTTAGCTTCTATCTCTTGATTATATCTTGCCACCGACATGGCCTCCCCTGTCTGTGATGATACATAGACTTTAGGGGCCTTTTGGTGAGTAAGGCCTGAGAAATTTTACATTGCGGGTGCACAGTGGATGGGGATGAGCAACTATCTTTTGGTGCAAATATGGTTGCTGCATCGGGCGCAGGAGCTGCTACTGCTGTTACAACCAATCCATTGTGGGTTGTGAAGACTAGACTGCAGGTATGTTTTATGGTTACCCCATTCTCCAGCCAACTTTTTGTCTGCTTACATGGACTTCATCATTATTTATCTTCTTTTATTATTTATACAGATGTGTATAAACGGCAATACTTGAATTCCAGAGGTTTATTTACGTGCTTTAAAACATTTTGGTTCCCACGGATGACATTTGGTATGATTTTCCAAATTAGGCCCATAAAGGGGAAACTATATCGCTCTCGAGAATTGAGAACTTATATTACATTCACATGAGTGCGTATGTATGTGAATTTCCCTGTCCCCCAAACGGGTAATTAAGGGGGGGGGGGGAGGGGCGCAATGCTACTCTCTAAGAATGAGTTAAGTATTCGCCTAATAGTTTGATGGTGCACTTCCTTTTCAATCGAAAATAAGTGTACCCTCGCAACCTTGTAGCCTGACTGTTCAACATCTGACAAGCAATGATTACTTCTCTAGAATTATTTTTGTTGCTGTTCAACATGTGTTTCTGGGTTGCTTCTGCTGAGTGCGAACAAGCTATTTTGGCCCACAATAGATATTGATTTGACCTCAATCAAGCCCAAAAAAGTCACATAGAGCTTGATAACTACGCTCAAATTCAATCCTTTGTAACATATCCATATATATATATATATGAATATACACAGACTGCCATTCTCACGCCTCTGTGAATTCCCATAGTAATTTTGAATGGTTTAAATATGTGGCTGAATTTCCTAGCCTCGTCTGCTTCTATTGTCCCTTTTACTTTTTTTTTCATCAGCGGTCCCCTTCCCCCTTTGTCTACAGACCCAGGGAATGAAGATCGGCGTGGTGCCATATCGGAGTGTGATCTCCGCCTTGCAGAGAATCTTGCACGAAGAGGGCATCCGAGGGCTGTACAGGTTTGCCAGCCGAAGTTCCTCACGGCGTGTGCCCATTGCACCGGAGAGTGGAGCCCTGAAAAAAAAATCTCTTCTTTCTTGTTATTTTTTGTGATGACAGCGGCCTTTTGCCTGCCTTGGCGGGAGTCAGCCATGTAGCAATCCAGTTCCCCGCATACGAGAAGATCAAGTATTACTTAGCCAAAAAAGGTAATTGTCCATGCAAAACTCCGAATGTGGTATTCCTCGCCATCCTCCCTTTTTTTTTTAGGGTTCATCGTTGCTGAGGAAAAAATAAAATTATTTCACAGAAAATACAACCGTTGACCAACTTAATGCTGGAAGCGTTGCGATCGCCTCCTCGTTGTCCAAAGTACTGGCTTCAACCACAACCTATCCTCATGAGGTAAGCCTCATTATCTATCTACTTGTTGACCTGTGAATACATGGTATTTTCTCTCTGCTGCAACTGGGCCGTCGGAGAGTGAGTCTGAATCAACTTGGAGAAGGAAGGGAAGTCGTCAAAATTCTATCTTTGATAATCCTTGGAAGATCATAGATAGCAGTCCCCCTCTTCTGTGATCATCTGAGAAAAGAACATACAAGCCATAATATGGCAATGAAATCTCTCCCCTCTTCTGTGATCATCTTGAGAGCATTAAATTCGGTGCTGCAGGTGGTGCGGTCGAGGCTGCAGGAGCAGGGCCACGTGAGGAACTCCCCCAAGCAGTACGGCGGTGTGGTGGACTGCATCCGGCAGGTCTTCCACAAGGAAGGCGTGCCCGGCTTCTACCGGGGCTGCGCCACCAACCTCCTCCGGACCACTCCGGCCGCCGTCATCACCTTCACCAGCTACGAGATGATTCAGAGATTCCTCCACCGCGTTCTCCCCCCCCAAACCAACTCCGGCCAGGATGGCGCCGCCGCCGGTTCCTCTCCCCGTGAGAGCCGCCACCTTCCGACGAGACACTGACGACGGATCGAATGCCCCACCGAGCTCCCAAAATTTTTAAGAATAAGCCCCTATCATCATTCACTTTTTCCCCCCTCTCCATGTATTCTTTCTATTCACATTCAGGGTTGCTTTCAGCCTCACCAAATCTTCAGATCTCTTCTTTCCCCCCATATATATTTAGAGAGAGAGAGAGAGAGAATGCTGCGGCGGGTGGTGATGGAAGAGACAGGGTGGGAGGAGCGGGTGCGGGCGGTGACGCACCTCCTCACGTCGCCGCCGTCGGAGGTGGCGGCGCCGCCGCTGCACTCCCAGGTCTTCCTCGCCGCCACCGCCCCCAGCTACGCGCGGTGGGACTTCCCCCCGTTCCTCTGCCGCCGCGACGAAGGGGAGCTCCTGCGGGCGACGCCTCTTCTCCTGTCCTGGTCCGTCGCCTTCTTCCTCTCCTCCCTCGGGCGGCACCGCCCCTACGCCGCCTCCTGGCGCTCCAAATGCCCCTTCCAGGAGCCCCCGCCGCTGGTCGTCTCCGCCGCCGTGGAGCCCGCGCCGCCGCGACGGACGCCGGAGGAGATGAGGACGTACTTCCGCCGCCGGCTCCGGCGGCGGCGGCCCGGGGTGGAGGTGCCGGCCCTCGTCGCCGTGGTGGGGCCCAACATGCTGCTCTTCTCCCTGCTCCTCTGGGATCCTCTATCCCTCCGGCAAGAACCCTAACCGGAGAACGACGACCATCCTTCAGATCTCCTTTCAGCCAAGCACTCGATCTATCCATCTATCTATCTTAGCTGTGGAGATAGATGGTCTGAATCATATCAATTGAGGACTGTAATCTCAAGTACTCGGAAGCAGATTGATTAATCCTATCAGGGTCAAGGAACTACTGACTGAGGTCCCCCGACGAGGAGGGAGGATTACAGAGAGGCTCTTGAACCTCAGGAACGCCGCCGAATCAGCCCGCCGCCGGCGGAGCGCCGCCGCCGGGATCCTCCTTCCGCTTCCCCGCCCGGTTCTGTGGCCGGTCCGCTTGGTGGGTCTCGGCGCCGCCGCCTCCGCGGGCGGCCATCGCCAGGACGAACTTCTTCAGGTGGCGGATGTACTCCGGGAAGAGCTCGAGGTTGCAGTGGCCGCCGCCGCTCAGCCACAGAGGCTCAGACTTCTCCTTGCTGAGCTCCCACAGCTGCTTCCCGTGGGAGCAATCGACGACGTCGTCATCCGTGCCCTGGAAAGGGACGATCAATCCCAGTTCCTCCTCCATCCCGTGAATCAGAAGAATATGAAGCAGAAACTCACATGGATGACGAGAACGGGGCAGCTGACGGATCGGATTTTATCGATGTTCTGCGGAGAAGAAAATCATGAAAAAAATAAAAATAAAAATAAAAAATCCTGGGTCTTGACGCCAGAAATCTGCGAGAAATGGGTCGTCGACAGATCGATCATCACCTTGAATATGTCGAACCAGTAGGTTCGTTTGACTGGGTATAGAACCCGAAGTCCGGAGAGAATGGGGCTGTGAAGAACGACGGCTCTCAGAGCCTGCCGACGGGAGGCCAGCTCCAGAGTTGGACCACTTCCCACAGACTGGCCGTATAAAATGATATCCTCTTCCCTTGTTCCGTACTGTTCCGTCAGACATCTATATACCGCCTCAATGTCTGCATATGTGTTAGATTCAGTCGGCTGTTTTATGCGGGGAAAAAACACCAAAAAAAAAATGTCAAGTCAAGGAAGAAAGGGATATTCGCGTCAAAAATAAGAATTTAGTTGAATTATTAAGAAAAAAGTCCAAAAATCAGGCAGTTCATCTCGTTGGAGGAACTGGGTCGGCCAGAGTGTAAAGACCCCCACATACATACCTTGCCGGTAGATTGCCCGTAGCCAGAGTAATCATAACTGCAGCATCAATGAAGCTCAAGTGAGCATGGAAATTTACGAGGGCTTAAATATTTTGAGGAAAAATAAATCAATACATGGAGATTTATAGTAGGATAGGAGCTTTAGAATAGTAATTTTAGCAAAGTGAATACTTAGATATCTGCCAAAGAATGGAAGTTTCACGGCAATAATAATCACATCCAATGAAGGAGTATCGGAGAATGAGATAGCAGAAAATATGAAATTTAGCTAAAGTGAAAACTTGGAGATCCTTGCAATCGCATCCAATGAAGGAATATCCAAGAATAAGATAACAGAAAATATGAGATTAAATAATAATAACAATAATAATACTTAGAGAACTGTTGTAGGATAGGGTTTAATGACAGTAATAATAACATCCAACGAAGTGAGGCACATTTGCATAAAGTGAGGCAGCCATACATCCCCGGAGACATTTGCAGCTATGAAAATATCTTCATGTAATCAATAATCATTTAAATCATTGACCAGAAGTTCACCAAGAACTATGATAATTCATCAGATATGCACCACTGGAGAAGGAAAGACTGATGCCGGTTGTGTAGTGCGAATGAAGCTCCGGAGTAGCCACAGAGTCACTCATTCTTCTGCACTGGCAACTATCAGTGACTCCCAAATGGAATACACCCTCAGACAGAGATTTATCTCCTCATGGCAATGGCTGCCATAAACGAAATAAAAAAAATCAATATTCCTCTCCGTCACTAGCAATCGAGATTTATCTCTGATGCCAATCTACTCTGGTCATTAATCACTGGCCTACGCCAGGTCTGGCACTCTCTCAAACAAGTTCAGTAGCTACATCCGCCATTCTGTTCAAAAAACTAATCTCCCTAGGGAGAGAGAAGCAAACCATTCTCACAGATATCAGAAATTCACACCACGGCATCATAAGATAATAAATCTTTTTATGTCGATGGATGAGTACCCATGATTTCGATAAGCACTTCATTATAAAAAAGAAATGTTTTAATTTCATACAAACCGTATTTTTTTACACTAGCAAGAGGGCGTCAAGGTCTATATATCTTCAGAAAATTGCTGAGTCACCCTGAAATTATCACAAGCCATGCATAAATCTAGAGAGCAAGCAAGATAATCGAGCCAACTGAAAGCTCCACTTCCCTACACAGACACAGCCAAAATCCCCCTTCCGATTGTAGACTTTGCAGCCATGAAAGTTTGGGCATATAGGTCAGTAACCCTAATTTTATTTAAAAAATGTGGAGATTGCAGATAGTTTAAGCGCCAATTAGGTTTCTATCCATGAGATTATTTCCAGAAGGCTACTCCTCCAAATATCTCTGTAGGATTCTACAGAAACCAAGATCATATTGCAGAGTAACGGGTTATCAAGTCAGATATTCCAAAAAAATCCTATAGTCCGTGTCTATATCTCCAAATGATATGCCCCGATGAACACACGTTGCCACATTCCCAGATTCGCTAGCAACTAGATCTGATTCCTCAGGGCAAAATCAATCCGTCGCATAACGCATTACTGAGAAACCAATTTGATGAATGGCCAGCTACGGATTGAACGGATGAAAACAAGCATTCGATTCAAAGTTATGCGCAACGGCAACCTCCTCTCGAACAGCAGGATCGTAGAGACTCGACTTTTATTAGGTTAACATGAGCAAGCGACACAGTTTCCATGCCAATGAATCCACGCACCCGATGACGTTGACCCGCAGGTGGATGCTGAGCTCGAGGAAGAGCTCCACCATCTGCCCGATGTCTGCCGCATTGCCGTGCGAATACAGCAGCGTAAGGGGCCCCCCGGCCGCGCCACCGCCCCCCTTCGCCAAGCTTCTCACGTACATGGCCACAATATCATTTCCCCTGCGTGTACGCAGGCGCAACACGTCCACATCCCCCACCCGCCGCCGCGATCCCGCCGGCAGTGCCGCCAATGACGCCGAAAGCTCCGGGACTAAGAGCCGGCCGGTGACCTCGTCGGTGACGACGGTGTACGACGGCGGAGTCGGAGGGAAGAAGGCGAATTTGGCGGCGATCGACGACGTCACCACCCCCATCTCGTCCTCCTCCCTACTACTTCCTCCCTCCGCCTCCCCTTCCTTCTCATAAAGACAACTACCACAAGCAGGAGATGGGAGAAGAAGACCTCTCCCCCTCCGACATGGCTACCTTCAGTTGGCAACTCCGATCGGGGGGAGACTCTGTGGGAGGAGGACGGAGGACGACGGCGCCGCCGGTGAGCGGCGGAGGAATGGAAGCCGGAGTTTTGTGAAAGAGCTAACTGGGGTGGGGCCCAATACTGAAGACCAGGTCCGGGGCAGATGTCCATTCAGAAACCGCCACGTAAGACCGAACCCGCAAATAGCAAAATAACCCCTAAATGATCATACTATTACTTAACTCACCGACGCACAATTATTATTACATTGTTGTTTGACTTTTATCCCTATATTTATATATAGGTCCCCGGACACTATTTCACCATTTGCTTGTGATTTGACTTAACTACCCTCAGTTAAATCTGCATCTATTCAAAAATGTTCAGGGTATTTTGGGTATTTATTAGTTACCCATAAATCGCATTCAACTACGAGTTTATCTATTGAAAGAGGATAATAACGACGATGAGGTGGTTCTTGAGTGGATCAGCGACCGAGTGAGTGATGGAAAGGCTGTCACGTGAGAGCGAGACGTCGGCCAGTTTTTATAATAATATCAGAAAAAAAATCAGATTAGCATAACTGATTTATAAATAAATAAATAAAATTCAATATGAGTTTTGATGACGATGACCGGTTTTTTCTGTTAAATAACGATTTTTTTAATAAAAAACATGAATGTGAAAAAAAACCCACGAAATCCAGTCTAGTCCACCAGGTCCCCGCGAGCGACAGCGACGAGACACGTGGCGACTTGTTTCAGAGCTCACTGTGCGGCCCAGATATGACTCAGATCGGCAATCGGACCTATTGCCTCCTTTGGGTTTCATCCGGACCGGCTCGGGGCGGCTCAAGTGGGCTTCTGGTCCAGCCGTGCGGGGTCCCCGGTGGTGAAGTGGTGGATGTGGCGGCAGGTCGTACACGTGGCGCGGATTCTGATGTGCCCCCGGGTGGGTGGGTGACGAGGCCACCGATCTACTGGCCATTAATGCCTGCTTCGTCCACGTAGGGACCAGTTGCATTATAAAATACGAGGATGACGAACATTTCATATAGTTTTGGTATTTTAAACTTTGCTACTTTGCTCAATGTATTTGGACATCATTTAACGAGAAGATGGAGATAGAGATAGAGAGAGAGAGAGACCGGGAGTTGGTTCCACGTGAGCGAAGGGAAGTTTTGGACGGCTACGGGAGTGGGGCCCACCCATGGTAAATCGTAATTTCGGATCTACCGTGGTAACTAATCGGAATTTCGTCATTTACAATGGACCATTTTCTCGCAGGAAAATATCATCTTTTTAAAAAATTGCGTGACGTGTTCGTACGCTGCCCAACTGACTCTAACCGATTTATTTAAATAAATGCGCATTAGAATCATAATGGGAGGAACTTAGAAAATTGCTTGATTTTGGGGCTCTCATATTCGGAAAAATTTACAGTGTGAATAAAATGGGGGGCCCGATAACCCGTGAGGTTGGGGTTAATTGGGGATATTGCAGAAGAATTATTACTCGGGGATGGTGAGGAGGGCGGGGCGCCAAGCCCTGCGCAGCAGCCGGAACCGGAGTGCTGCCGTGGATCTGAACCTGCCGCCGCCGCCGCCGATTCCCTCGAGGACGGACCTCCGAACGGCAGATCGCGCCGGCGGCGGCGACTGGCGGCCGCAGTCGCCGGCGCCGAGCCGGAGCGCTCCCGGATCCGGCGGCGATGGGGAGGAGGAGACGAAGAGGTCCTTGAGAGAGGTGTGGTGGCTCAGAAGCCCCTTCCGTTCGCCATCCCCGGGTTGCGCTCCGCCGTCCCCCGCCTCCTCTCTCCGCCGCAGCAGGCGACGCGTTGAGGAGGAAGAAGAAGACGAGCGGCTGAGGAGGCGGCGGAGAGTCGTCTTTCGCCGGCGGAGATGGAAGGAGGGGCTCTTCGCGCTGGAAGTTGGGAGCGGGCTCCTCGACGGGCTTCCCGCCGCCGTGGCGCACTGCGTCGCCAGCAGCTTGAACCTCTGAAACGCCGCCATTCCTCTCTCTCTCTCTCTCTCTCTCTCTCTCGCCGACCTTGCTTCTCCTCTTCCTCCGCAGAGCCACTCCTCCGTGTGGACGGTCTTCGCCCCCCCCCCTCCCCCTCTCTCGACGAACCGATCTTCTCTTTCCCTTTCCACAGCTTTTAATGCTTTCTCCTCTGTCTCTCTCTCTCTTTCTCTAACTCACTCTCACACACCTGCACACTTTTGTACTCTCTCTCCTCTCTCCCTCTTTCTCACTCATCACTCCAGAGAGAGAAAAGGGATAGAGAGAGGGAGGAGGGCATATATTCTACTCCTCGTCGAGGGATCCACGGCAGCTTTTTTGACGGGAGAAGGAATCCCCGCCGGGGAAGACGGGGTATGGGAATATTGGTTTGACTAATGTTCACGCTATGAGCTCTAAACTGTATGAGCATAAATATCATGACGTGTGACTTTGGGTTGGCTTATTGGGTGTTTGATGGCGAAGGCGGGTCAATCGGTCCCTTGACATTCAGGTCTCCTGTTTCGGCTGGGCCGATCTGGGCTTTCGTCCATATACGTAATAAACTTATATTTTGTGGACTATTCGTGCGTTTTCCGCATATTAGGGTTTTTATCACTGAGGTTTTTCCTCGTCCTCAGTTTCAGACGGAGAGAGGGATGGCCGAGCAAGCCGAGGGCCGCTTCTTCCCCGCCGAAGCCGCCAACGAGCCTCCGCCGCCGCCGCGGAGGCCCCGCCATGGCACCTGCCCCTCCTCCTCGCCGGAGTCCAGGTTCTGGAGATCGTTCCGAAACTCGCAGCTTGCCTCGGGGATGATCCATCCGGTCACACACTTGGAGTTCTCCCCTGCGTCGCCCTACGACCTCGCGGCCTCGGTCTCCGCCAACGTCAACCTCTACGGCGGATCCCCCGATCTCTCCCCGAAGTCCTTCTCCCCGCTGCAGCACTTCGAGGATGTCGCCTACTCCCCCTCCTTCCGCTGCGACGGCGCGCTCCTCGCCGCCGGCGGCCAGTCGGGGCTGGTCCAGATCTTCGACCCTAACCGCGCGCGGCTCCCTCTCCGGCGCCTGCGTGCCCACTCCCGTGCCGTCCGCGTGGTCCGCTATCCGCGGATCGCCGATAAGGTGCATCTCTTCTCCGGCGGCGACGACGCGGTGCTCAACTACTGGGATGCGGCCACCGAGACGCGGCTGCTGAGCTTTCCGGCGGCGCACAAGGATTACATCCGCGCCGGATCGGCGTCCCCAGTAAGTGCAGATTTGATCGCCACGGGATCCTACGATCACATGGTAAGGCTGTGGGATGTCCGCTCTTCGGAGAATTCCGTCTTGGCGGTCAACCACGGGGATCCCGTCGAGAGCGTCCTCTTCCTCCCATCGGGAGGCCTCATGGCGACGGCCGGCGGGAACGTGGTCAAACTTTGGGACGTCATCAGCGGCGGTAGAATGATCCACAGGCTTGACTGCCACAACAAGACGGTGACCTCTGTCTGTCTCGGTGCAGTCGGAAAGGGGGACGAAGGGGAGCCGCGGCTCCTCACTGCGTCGCTCGACGGCTACGTGAAGGTCTTCGATTATGCGGCATTCAGGATCACCCACTCCACGAGGTTCCCCTCGATGCTCCTCTCAGTAGCGTTCTCCCCCGCTGGGAATGCCCTCGTCGCAGGCACTTCCAACGGCGTGATCTACATAGGGAAGAAGAAGAGGAAGATTGAGAAGACGGAGGAAACCGAGGTTTCCGGCGGGAAGCTCGATGGGTACATCATCGAGAGGGAGAAGCCGGCATTGAGGCCCTCGAATTTCAGATACTTCCAGCGTGGGCAGAGCGAGAAGCCCTCGGCGACGGACGTCGTCGTGAGGCAGACGGCAAGGGTGAGGCTGGCGGAGCACGACAAGCTCTTGAAGAAATTTGAGCACGGGAAGGCGCTCCTCTCCTCCCTGGACAAGAAGAACCCCAAAGCCGTGATGGCCGTCATGCAGGAGCTGGTAGCGAGGAGAAAGCTGCTGGCCTGCGTGAGGGCGATGGACCCCCAAGGTCTCGAGCTGCTGCTCAGTTTTCTCCATAAGAATGCCACCATGCCGAGGTACGCTAGGTTCTTGATGGGGCTCACAACCAGGGTTCTCCAAATGCGCGCGGAGGACATCCACTCTTCGCCGGCGCTGAGGACCCATGCCAGGAACATCAAACGCATGGTCGCAGAGGAGATCAAGGTTCAGCATGCCCTGCAGGAGATTCAGGGAATAGTTTCTCCCTTACTCAGGATTGCCGGGAGATGAGCCACGGCCGGTATCTGTTCAAGTCATCTTGAGGGAGGACTCGACGCAGATGCTAGCCCTCTTCTTGCCGGCGCCACCGGGCTAGCGTTCCTCATGTCGACGACAGAGGGAGTTCTCCATTACTGAAGAGCATAATCCCAAAATCACGGATTGATTCTGGTGCCGTCGAGTTGCAGGACGATCGGCCCGCGAGGAAATGGGCAGAATCCCATATCTATTTAGTTGAGCTCGTCTACATTAAACAGTTTATCTGTTTTGTCTAAAGTTGAAAGATATTTCATTCTGTAGAATTACCCGGTTAAAGAATCACCCTGTTCTGTTCTCTGCTGCATTTCTCTGTCCCTTTCTTCCTTTACCTCCCCTGTTCTGTTGCAGAAGCCTCCGAAGGATGAATGAAGGAGCTTAAATATGTGGGTTTTTGCAGGTAGTAAAATTCTCCAGATTTACAGGAGAGAGAGAGAGAGAGAGAGAGAGAGAGCACATCAGATCAGATCAGATCCTGAGGAGGTTGTGGATGGGATTCCAGCCGAGGAGCCAAGGGCGCTTGGCCTCGGGGAGGGCGAAGTTGAGCTCAAACATCTCCTTGGGGACGGCGTCCCCTCCTTCTCCGAGCCCAACCAGCTGCGCCACCAGGTGGGCACTTTCCTCCACGTTCTCTGCATCTTCAGGATCAGTCCACAGCCTGTTCGCCACCTGCATCCTCCTCTGCTTGCTCTCCAGAGCCACCCCCCACCTCACGTACAGCGCCGCCCTCTCCTCCGCCGTCAGCCTCGAGCTCATCCTCCTTGCCAAGAACTCCCTCTCCTGCCTCAGCGCCCTCGCGCTGCCATTCCCCCCAAAAAATACCAGGATTTTTAGGGGTTTTTTTCTCTTTTAGGGTTTTAGAGACCTGTCTGGGGTTTAGGGTTCCTGCTTTACCTCGATACCAACGAGAGGGGGGGCTCCTCCCCGAAGGGGCTTCCGGTGCCGAGCTCCACCAGGTGCTGCTGGAGCCAGGTGAGCCTGCGGAGCTCCACTTCCATGTAGATCTGGTCGTCTGGGTCCCCTCGGAAGAGCTGGTAGAACTGCGTTCTATGGATGATGGAGACCTGACAGACGTCCCACAGCCGGAGGATCTGCCGCCTCTGTTCCTTGAACATGGCGGAGCTCCATGTCTCCGGCGAGCTCCGCTGGATCTCCGAGGAGTCGTCCTCTTCCGCCCCCGCGTACCCTTCGTTCGCCTCCAGCTCCAGCACCTGAAATGGCCGCCCCGCCATCAATCAGTTGGGAGATGGGAGGAGGGCTTCTCGGAGATGAGATGGGCTATGGCGGGTGGGGTTTGACCTGGCAAACCAGGAGCTGCTTCTGGTACTGGAGCTTGGCGACCCTCTCCTTGAGCTCGGTGACGTACGCCTTTATGCTCCGTATGTTCTCCTCCGCCGCGTTCTGGAACAGCCTCTGCATCTTGCGCATGTTCACGGAGCTGGTGCGCCGGCGGCACGGCGGCGTTCCTTCCCGCGACGACGCGTCGCCGCCGTCCTCGCTCCTTCCGGGGGTGGCCGCCGCCGCCTTCTCTGAGCACGGGAAGGGGGTGCCGCCTCCCGGGGCCCTGTTCTCCGGCTCGTCCTCCACCGCCGACATGGGAGAGCACGGGGATTTGAGTATCAGATTCTGCACGTTGACGGAGCTACTGACCGAGAGTGGGAGGATCGTCTTCTTCTTCTTCCTCGACTGGGTCGTCGTCCTCGACTCGCCGCCGCACGGCAGAGACAGCAGCATCTTGTCCAGAGATCTCTGCACATTCTCTAGCTTCTCCTCCAGAGTGGCGATGGTGCTCTCCTGAGAGTGAAGCCTGGTTATCTCCTCCTTGAGGTTCGCCCCCGACGAGCTCTTCTCCTCACCGCCGGCCGCTCCGCCGGCAGGTGGCGGCGGCGCCGCCTCTTTGGACAGAGACTGAACGGCGCGCATGCCCTTGATCTCGGCCTCAAGCTTGGCTATGGTCTCCACGGCGTCCTGGTCCCCTTGCCTGTGGCAGGCCACCTCCTTCTGAAGCACCTCCAGGGCCCGGTTGGCTTCTTCTCCGAGCTGCAGTTGCAGGTGCTCGAGCTTGCGGATTTCATGTACCAACATGAACGGAACCGTCGAGGATTGCCTCATCGGGTTCCTGGACCTTCCATGGAAGGGTGATGGGCCGGAGAAGGTGAGGCATTTCGCCGCCTGGCGAGGAGACTCGACGGGATTCTGTCCCTGAAAGAGAGAACGCAGAGCTCGAAATTAACTGCCACGGCAGATTCTAATGCCCCATTAATGGAACCTGGTGCGAGATTATCATGCGCCTACCCTTTGATTCTCATCTAATCTCCTCTGCAGCTCGTCCAGCTGCGATTGTGCGAGGTCCCTCTGGCGCTTCAGCTCCTCCATCTCCATCTCCATCTGCACACCATCTCAACGAATCAAAGGGCTCAGCTTTCTTTCCTTTCTTCACTATGATTGATGAATAAAATTCGGGGGATTTCCCACCTTTCTGATCTGGAGCTCTTTCTCCATCAGGATCGCATCTGAGGTGGAAGACGCAGAGGGCTCCGGCGTCCGCAGCTCCGCTTCGAGCCTGGCCACCTCCTTCTGCAAATGCTTGACTAATTGCTTGTCGGAGACGAGCTGAACAGATGAGGAGAAGAACCCATAAGATGCGATGTGATTCATGGTTTTTTATTATTTTATTTTATTTTATTTTTTATGAAGAATGTGATGATCTCCAGACATACCATGTTCACTTGGGCGTTGTTGGTGACCTCCTTGGCGCGGGTGGCGAAATATAAAGTGTTGCGAGATTGCTCGACGTGGGTGAACGCCGGACTCATGGTGCAGATGATGGCCGTCCGAGCGTTGCCGCCGAGAGAGACTTGGAGGATGCGAGTGAGCTTCGAATCTCTGTACGGAATGTGGCCGCTTTTCTTTCCAGCGCTGAAGAATGATGGAAGAGCATATATATCAAGGAGACAGATAAGGTACCTTTCGCTGAAGAATAATGATTGGGGGGGGGGGAAAAACCGCTCATAGTCTGTGAAGAATATATGTATTCCATTGTTTTTTGCTCTTGTGGGAGTACAGGTTTTAATCTGGTTCATATTCCATTGAAGAATATATGTACTCGTTTTCAGCACTAAAAAATTATATTCCTATGTTTTCTTATATAAGAATAAAATCATTAATCTCGGTCTTACCATTCTAACATTCAAAAAAAAATAAAAGGCAAAAGAAACGGCAGTCGGTTTAGACCTTTTTGGTCCTTTTTTGGCAACTTTTTCTCGCTTGGAGTTCTTAGTCTGGCAATCTTTATGTCCAGTAGTGGACCTCGGATGTTTCAACGAGATAGTTAGTTACACTAACCTGAGCTTTCTAATGACAGTTGTGAGAGTCAACAGGCTCCGGTTGATATGGCAGCCTTCTTTCAGCCTTGCGCCATCTGCATTTGTCTGAGATGCCCTCTCGCTTCCAGCAAGATCCACAAAATTCTGTAGAAACCATTAAATTAACTAAATTCCTCGGAAAAAAATCTCCGAAAATGACAGAAATGTGCTCATTGAGGCACTCCATCTTACGAGTGTTGCAATGTAGGACTTGAGACAGCCGGAGTTCTCTCGAAGCATGCTCTCTATAGTCTGCACCAGGTGATGATATGAAAAGCTTAGATATCTATTTGGAATCTATGACTATGGAGACCAACAAGTCAACCCCAATTCCATCAAGCTCACCAGCCGTATAATCTGATGTGATCGAGAGCTAGTATCATTTAAAGCGGTTTCTCCGACTTGCCTCTGCGCTGTGAAACATGGTAGGGCCTCAGTGATTTGGGATGCAATTTCACGAGCGCTGTTGACTAGAAAAACAGAGTTCTACCTTCACAAATGGCAATCATTTGTCTCAGATGTTGGCTACTTCTTGCTGTTTCTTCTTCCAGCTTCTCTACCACAGTACCTTGCTGAAAAGATATCATTTAATCAAGGCTAAATCATCAGGGAAGACATTCAGATTACCCGAACCATACCCACTTCAGTGAATTAAAAAGAGAAAAAAAAAGAAAACCTCCGGGTCATCCAGCAAGCGAAGAGGTCCTGAATCTGGATTCAACAGGTCCTTGACCACCTCATTGTAAATCTCCAGTGCTGATAACTTGATTACGAAGTCTCTCTCTGGAGTCTGCGGATGGGGAAGCATAACATGATTTCAGATATCTAGATCCCAGAATTTCTCCCAATTGATGTTACCATCAAAACGCAGGTCGTCTACGGACGTCAGCAATTCAATAAAACCATCATTGGTTTTTTTTTGGGGGGGGGGCATACATTCTGTATGTGATTGTAGATATCGTTCACAGCATTCTCAGTGATCCCTCTCATGGTGTACGTCTTCCCACTGCTGGTTTGCCCATACGCGAATATTGTAGCTACAGAGATTAAACAGGGGTCGGATCACAAGGATTCAAAAATAAGGCATTTAAAAGTGGCAAATTCTCGTATATAACGCTGTATTTATAATACCATTGATTCCTGTCAGAGCTGAAAGGGCAACATCCTTGGCTCCTTCTTCATACACGGTTTCGGTCAGGCATGCCGGGCCAAACACCCTGTCTACGAGGGGGGAAGCTTCAGTCAGAACAGAGCCAGCTGGGGTGGAAGGATTGAGGTAAATGGAGAAGGCACGATATAATAGGGGGAGATCCTGAATTCAGAGTTCTTACCAAAAGTGTGGGAAGATGAGGAATTGGAGCGATCCTGGCAGGAGGGCTTGAACACGACGGTGTGATCGTTGATGCACTCCCACGCTATGTGGTCCTTCAGCGCCTGCTCCTTCTTGCTCAAAGGCCTCACCCGCACTGTCACGAAGATCTTCTCTTCCTTTGTCCTCGTCCCACGGGGGGTGGACGTAGGTGGCTTTCTATCACTCTTGGAACAGGATACTGGAGTGGTCGGCATCGCGGCTGCCGTCATCGCGGAGTAAATTCTGGCGTTGCTTTGACTGTTTGACTGAATGGTCTTGTTCCTCGAGGATCGCGTAGAAGGACTGTCGAACGCCTCCCCAAATGTCGGTTAGGTGAGCACCATCCGCTCGAAGAAGTTGAAAAGTATGGTGCCTGGAACAAAATGGATGAAGAATCCGAGATCTGTTAGCATCCGACCACCCCACGGAAACTACTAAAACTGAGATTTATTAACTTTTTTGGCGAATAGATGAGAACCATGAAGAAATCCAAATGAGCAGTTCTTCTAATAGAGTGCGTAAGCAAAGATCGAAGCAAGTTGTAGCGGAAATCTCCGGGGGATGTCGCAGATAATCGATCTGAAAAAGTTTGCCCTCCTGATTCACTGGATCTACACAATTTCATGTGTTTTCGGCTGTCGCTCCTTTTGAAAAAAAAAATGAGAACAGCAGCAGGATTACAGAATATGTAGCAAGAAAGGGAACGAGATCCGGAGAAGACGAGTGACAGCAAGAAGCGAGTCCGGTGCTCTCCTCTCCCTCCCAAAGCTTCGAATCCGAGAGAGAGAAAATCCAAACAGGGGAACCGAGAGAAGAGCGGTGGGTAGATGAAAGAAAGACACCCTAGACTCGGCCAACCACCGCAAACAATGCGAGGAAAGAGCACCTGGGGGAAACAGAAGGCCAGAAATGGGAAGAAGATTGGGGGTGCTGCTGCGGGCAGGTGCAAGAGAACGTACCACAAGGGAGAGAGGAGGGAGCTTCGATCTCGGAAGCGCCCTGTTTCTCTTGGCAGATCCTCGCCGAGGTGAAGATCTGAGAAATGAGGATGAAGACCAGAACTGACTCGACCCAGGTGATTGCATAACGGATCTTTTTGAATTTCCCAGGCCCCAACGGCTCTCTCCCTCTCTCTCTCTCTCTCTCTCTCTCATCCTTAGCACACTCTTCCTTCCAATGAGATACTGCCACGTTTCCCTCTCCCGCTCCCTCCCTCTCTCTCTCTCTCTCCAACTGATGTGTCCGGGGTGGTCAGAGATCCGAATGCTACGCACCCTCCGATGCGTTTCGAAACGTATCCATTTTTACTCACTCCCTTCGCAGCCAACTATTATTTTCTCAAATTGTCACGTTGAAAAACAAAAAGACTCCAAAACAATTTTCAGGCAAAGCTTTTTCCTCAGTGGCTGCCAGCTCAGCCGCTCGCATGACGGCGCCCCCGTGACGCATTTCGCTTTTCTACTTGGCAGCGTCTTTTCTCAAAAAAGCCCTTCCTCTTTCCGACAATTTCCCTATTACCACTTGCCCAAAGCCCGAAGAAAGCACAATTCCCCATTGGGCCCAGTGGGCCGTATTGGGCCGATGGACTTCCTCCCCATCCCCGATATATACATATGACTTCGTCAATTCCCATTTATTTTCTAATACTTATTTAAGTAAACCCACTGTATATTTTAGCAAATTCTGCATGGCGAATGCCATTATTCCTTCCTAGCCCAATTTGTTTGGAAAATAAAATAAAGATAAAAAATATATAAAAATTCAAGGGCGCCGAAGGAAACCAATCCAACGGCTGCAGTCCAAGGGGCCCCTAATGATGGAGGTGGACATCTTTGCACATAAATATATACGACCATCTATGTATATAAATTAAACCATGTTAGTAAATATGTCACCAAAGTGCTACACGCTCATTTTTCTACAGCAAAATGAGAAACGCAAGCCATCAAGATGATCCGTTCCTACTCCCAGGTTCCACACGAAGCCCCAAAATAGCAAAGGAAATGCCCACATTCTTCTTCTTGCTTGCTTGCTTGCTTGCTTTTCTCATGTCCTAAAAGTGGCAAGATTTGCAGCTTCCATCCGTCTCCTCTCCCTCCCATCTTCGCTCTCGGAAGGGAAGCAGGGGACCGGGGAGGGGGAGGGGGCTGGAGGTGGTGTCCAAGGTGCCGATGGTGGGCTCAAAATGGCGCTGTGGAGCAGCGTTCCATGGTGTCCGCTGGTCATCTGAAATAGGGGCCGTGGGAGGTGAAGAACTGGTAATCCGGGTGAGCCACGCGGTGATGCCGCAGCCAGCTATCGGCTGCCTCCAGAAGGGACCTTGCCAGCTGCCTCTCTGCTCCTCCATTCGTGGCCCAGACCGAGCCCACCAGCTTGTATGAGGCTAGGCCGAAGCTGGGGAGTGAGACCTTCGGGACACCCTCTTCCCCACTGGGGAACGAGATGGATGGGCCAGCATCGGGCTCTGAAATGTCAGCGATCTTCCATCAGGCAAGAGCCCAAGAACAAGCAGAAAACTTGCATGAATATCTAAATAATGGGTGAAAGGATGAGCAATGTTGGATGATGATATGAGTCGTAGCTAGCAGGAGACCAACTGGAGATTGGCCAGAAAGTGTAGGATGAACTGGGTGAGATTGGCCGTTGACTTGGAGTTTTCTTCCTTGTTGTTCTAGTAGAAAGAGAAAAGATGGCAGCATCTACTGACCATCCAATGATCCAAAGTCCTCGCTGATTTTTAGCACCATGCATTATCATTCACGTATGATTTTAAGCATATTCCAGAATAACAGAGCTAAATACGCATACATACATATATTTATTAACAGGGAAAATGGAGGGGACATACCTATTAGTGGAGTGGAGAGGGAATGGAAAGTGAGAAAGCAAGCATCCAGATCCCTCAACGTAGGCCCCGTTGGTATTCTGTAAATTGGATACCTAAAAAGAATTCCCCGGTTATATTGGAAACCTATAAGCCCAAAAACGAACCAGATATCATAAAAGAACCTAGGTGGAAAGCGTACCACGCCACAGAAATCCAACTAGAAGGTAACAAATCACAGCTTCTAAGTGTCTTCAATTCAGGGAAGCGGACTGCAAGGTCAGAAATCTGCAACATGCAAGATGTCAGAAAAAGATAAGTAAAGAGGGAAAAGAAATTCTTCATTCATAATCGAATTGAATCATTTTGCCGTTTATTCTGATTATGGATCGGCAATCGGAAGATTCCTAAACATAATAGCATGCCAATTCAAGCATTGAACTCTCAACATCCATGAACCAATGCCTGTTATTATTATTATTATTATTATGAGTAATTATTGTTATTATCACTCCTTTTACCCAAAAAAGGAAAGTACAACAAGCTCACTAATGTCTCGGAAAACCAAAGATAATCATATATCGAAGTCGAGTTCACCTCATAACGGGGAGAGAGGGCGGAACCAAATAATGAAAAACATTGAGACATGACCGTCACATGAACGTATCAAGAATATGTGCGTATTCTGTTCAGTTAAAAAAAAGAAGTAAATCGAGCTTCTTAACAGAGAATGCCAGAATTCTTCAGTAAACTGGTAACAAACATGAAATTTGATAGAGGATTACACAAAAAGGTTATATTGGAACCAGTAAATTGAGAATCGCGTGACGCGATTAAGATATGATCATGAGAGGAAGAATAAGAATGCCCCTAATATGTATCTTCCATCACGAAAAACGCATATATAATAGAAAATAGAATGACTAAATCTTCCTCTCCCTTAAAAACGACACATCTTGAAATACTTATTCGTACTCCAAAAGACACTACAGATTTAGTCACGGTTGCCTCCCGTTGCAAATCATGAAACATGCATTGATCCCATATCCCCTAAATTGATTTGGCCAATAATAGCCTCATTCACTAGAGTTCTGCATTTTATTTACTCGGCCTAGATAAAAGATGGATAGAAAAAACTAATTAGATATCATAGCAACAAACTTGCCTTATCAGCTAAAGGTTCACGACTGTAAGGAAGATCCCTTTCAAGAAATTCAAAGAGCAAGAGACCCTGAGAATTTTCAGCGTCAAGATCATCACTTGAAGAGCTTTCTTGTGAATCTTCATGCTTCTCCCTCAAAGACAATCTGTCCATCCGTAGTGCGGGAGCACTTGCAAGATGTTGGTGATTCGAACCCCATGAATGTTTCAAACCTCTTTCCAGTTCACAATCACTGCTTCCATCTGAGCTTGAATCCCGAGAACAGTCACTATCACTCTCCTCTCCTGGTCCCCTATTGCATAGGAATGAGATCAGGATGAGGGAATTCACAATAATAGATACAACAGAAGACGAACGAAATTTGGTGAAGAAAAAATAAAAATGCAGCAACAGTCAGTACGAAAGTATGCAGACCTAGCTAATATCCAATTCTGATTTTTTTAAATAAATAATGAATAATTCCTCAGAATGCAATCCCTGAAACCCATTCACTTTATATCGTCTAATAAAGAATCCAACACAAACTTGTGCATACAGTAGGCTTCTATAAAATTACTTAACAGATCGCTCTTGACTGTTGCATAGAAACAAAAACAGAAAAACAAGATCCTAAGAGAGAATGATAAATATTTAGAAATTCTTGTCGATATTTCCACCATATCATCTCCTTGTCCCATCCCCTTCAAAGAGAGAAATCGTAGGATATATTTCCTGAGCATTACCCAAGGCTGGCAGATCATCTGTACCTAATTTGACAAAGCGTTTAACGGATAATCTCCAGCTAAGAAAGAAGAAAGAGTTTTGCACAAACAAAAATCGTTGTTAAAAGTCTAAAAAAAATCAATAGCACGCAAAAGGACCTTTCTCTTCATGACATGCATACTCAAATAAGCACACGATATTTCTTAGCTTGCATCTCCAACACGCTGCAGCACAAGGTCATTCCAGACAGCCTAACGTAGTCGGGCCATTTTTCCATGAAATAAAGAATATAAAATCGCTTGATATAATACTATAAAAATATGTTCCTCTCGTATTACTAAAACCAAACGTGATTGTTTCTCCCCAAAAATAGCAACTGATCGACTGTGAATTAGCTTCCATCAAATTATGTGTTCATTAGATCATGAGTATTGCCAAAAACAAAACAGACAAAAAAACCTCATGAAGCAAAAAAATCATCGCATGAAGCAAAAAGGTCTTGCAAGAGAAAGTATCTACGCGTACAATAAAAGTTCATTCATTTTTTTGTGACGTTTGCCTAAAGAAAGGTGCCAAAAAATGGACAAAAAAATGCAGGGGAATTGGGATGAACAAGATAGGATACCTCAAGTTGGAAGGTTCTCTCCTGGGTTCTACGTATAACTGAATGGCTGACAAGTAGGGTACATAATACTGCATAACAAGATCGGTATCGTTTAGAAGCAAAGGAACACCGGTCCCATATGCACTCCACTCCTTGAAAGATTCCCACAGGTCTCCAAGCACGAAGTATGGCTGCTGCTCCATATTACAGGTCCTCCATCCTCTCATCGTCGTCTGCTAGAGAAAACACCGTTTAGACAACAAGCGTGTAGAACCCCTAAAGAAAACAGAAAGCTCTCCGCCAAAAGCGTCGGAACGGAAAAAAGAAAAGATGGACCTTTGGGAGGTACTGTCCTGTCAAGGACGGAGTCGTGGATTCCAAAAACCGATCCAGATTACCCGAGGGAGCACTCCCCACCGTTGCAGCAGGCGCGTCAGCGGGCTTGGAACCCTCGTGACCGGCTGTCCGGTTCTCAGGCTCCCGATCGACCTCGACGGCAAATTTCCCCGAGGAAGCCGTGGACGTTGAGGAGGTAAAGCCGCCATTGACGCCATTTGCAGAGCCACAACTGCGGGACCTCTGCAAGTTCCGGCTCCGATGGTGATCGTAACTCCGCGCCTTCGCCGGATAGAACCGGTCCTCGCCGCGCCCGAACTGCATGCGCGTACCCAACATTTCCAGGAAATAGAAACCTAACTCTACAGAGGAAGAAAGTGAGATGGATCGGCGTCCACGACTTCCCGTTCGGACGGACCCCAATCCTCCGGGGACGCGAGGCGCACGCGATCCAATTGCTCAATCCCAGAACACGCAACCCTCTCCCACCACCACGGCCGGCGGCGAGGAAGGCAAAAAAGCGTACAAACGACGAACCAGAGGGGAAGAAAAGTAAAACGGGTTCTGTAGAGAGAGAAAGAGGGGAGTAATGGAAGGGAGGAGAAGGGGAGGATGGGGTCCCAGCTGGATCCGAGGATGGGGAGGAACAGATCGCGCCGTCGCGTAGGCGAGAGAGAAGGATGGACACGGCGAGCCGAGGGGATTGTTGTGGGGACACAGACGGGGACGATTCCGTCCACTCCGACCCCCCCTCAGCTGTGCACCGTCCAGACGATTCCCCTCTCCCTCCCCCCTTCGATGACGATGCCGATTTCCGCAGCGACGGTGACTACCGATTCCAGATACCCTTCCTCCTCCGCTGAGACCAGAAATTCTAATCCAGAAGGGCCGCCGCCGCGGAGGATCGGGTAGATGGATGGCCCGGCCGGTGGAGAAGAAGACAGGAAGGACGAAAACGAGTCTCCGCCCTTTCTCAAGGGCAGGAAGTTCTAACAGACGCCGCCCGCTTCTTCCGTCAGAGACCGCAGTGGACTATATATTAATTAATTCATTCATTAATAATCCCCCACCCTCCCCCCCATAAATAAAACTATATTATCAAGATCACTTAATAAATTCTGTAAATCAGATATATCCCTAAAAAGGTCAAATTAAGTGGATTATTACGTTTATCTCGATCCTGACCGTCCATGCTGTCTCTGATCCCGGTGGTCTGTCCAATCCCGTGGTCCTTTGCCCGCCGACATTGACCGTTGGCCACGTGCGCGCGGACCGCGTCGTCGCCGCACGTGTCGCGCGTAGGCAGGGCTGCGGTTTGCGCCGCCATGGTAGCCCGCCGCCGCTGGATCCGTCGTGGAGACGGCGGATGTCCACGTCGGATTTAAGGCTAACGCTCCGCCACGTGCCTTCGTTCGGTTGTTTGGAAGCGGTTGCGGGGGGGAAATAAACACCACACGAAATGGGGGAAAAAGTCCACATGCTCATCGTTTAATGGACACAGTTGACTAATTACGAGCCGCGAGATCCATAATTGGTCGTAAGAAAAATCTCCACGTATGATCTAGTCAACCTAAGCTCGTGAACGGTGGTCTAATTCGATACGATTGACATTGAATAATTCGCAAAACACTACCGAGGGAGGGGGGAGGAGTTTATTCTCCCCTTCCCCAACCCTCCTCCCCCCCCCCACCTCCCCCCATCTCCTGTTTCCACATGGTCGCTGGGAGGCAGGCAGGGAGGGATCTTATATGTGTCTGAAGAGCGTGAGGAGGAGGCAAGCCAGGGTGAAGATAACGACGGCGGGGTACGTGGCCGCCGCGGCCGCTGTGTCGCCGACGCTGGGAGGGGTTGAACCGAGTACTGTCGGGCCCGACCCGGCCGGGTTGGTTGGGCCGATCACCACCGACGAGCTCCCGCTGGGGATTTTCTCTCGTCAGTATAAGTTAAGAACTTTGGTTAAAAAACCATTATAAATATTGAAATGAATCGAGCCGTTGCTGGTACCTGGCAGCAGGAAAGCGACACGTGGGAGAGCCTGCAATGGCAAGAGCAAGAGCCATTCATTACTAGTAGTAGAGAGCTGAAAGCACTCGGAGATTTTCGTTGACTTCTTCGAAAAAGGATCATTCTCTTCGATATCTCTCGATTATACACGACTTCCAGAGGAAGAAAATGGCGCGATGTGAGATTATTTCTCTTACTTGGGTCGGTGGTGGTCAGAATGGCGGTGCCGCCGAAGTCGCAGCTGGTGGGGAGGGGGTTCTTCTGGTAGTAGCTGTTGAAGGCGTAGGAGGCGTGGTCACGGAGGGTGTTGGGGGAGAAGCAGGCGCCGCCCTGCTGGATGGCGACGCAGTCAGCGCCGCCGTAGCCGCAGGCGTAGTCCAGGGCCACCTGCAGCGCCGTCTGCGAGGCCGTCGGGCTCGCCACGCACCAGCTCCGGCCGGCTGCGGGCGGGGCCACCGCCGCAGTCGTCAACGGCGGTGTCGTGTAGGGGTCCGCCGGCGGCGAGGGGAGGATGGGGGTCGTCGCGAAGGGGTTTGTGGGGTTGATGATGGGAATCGTCGTCATGGGCGTGACCTCGCCTAAGCGAGGGCCTATGGAGCTCCCCCAGGCATTGCCGGTCGTCCCTTCTGAGGAGGAATGGAGATGAGAGAGGAGCGAGAGAGGCCCTGAAAACACGCAAGTATGAGAAAACTGATGCCACTCACCGGCATAGGAGAGAAAACGCGCGAAGAAGAGGAGGGTGAGACTGCGGAAGATCGCGTCCCTCTCCATGCACTTCTCTCTCTCTCTCTCGCTCTCGCTCTCTCCTCCTCTGTATCTCGCTCTTACTCTGTGGTTCCGGGAATGGGGTTGGCCTTGTGTTTGTCTCAGGGAGGATGGATTGGAGAGGGGGCTATTGACCTCGTACTCCGCCGATCTCGAGGAGAATCTCCCGGCAGAGAAAAGGGCGAGCTTTATCGCCCCAGGGGTGTAGTTCATTTTACTTGCCGGGCGGAGAGGAATCGGAGGCCTTCCTTTCCTCCCCTGCGAACGCTTCTAGTGAGAGAGAGATACCTGAGGGAGAGAAGAATGGTAATTCAGAGAAAATGAAGGAGCAGGATAAGAGAAAGGGATGGTTTGGATTCCAAGTCTTCCTCTCGCTTTCGCTGAGGATCTCAACGTGATGCCAATAATGAGAAGGAGAGAGATAGGGATCTAGAGAGAGAGAGAGAGAGAGAACGAGAAGCAGTATTTGAAATTATGTCATGGGGACAAAAAGATAAAGTATTTATAATTGTTTAACATTTTTTTAATAATAAGATAAATTTGTAGAAGAGAAAAAAATAATAAAGTAGTGCTTACAATTTTATAATAAATTTAAATAAGATAAATTTCCCGAATAACATCAGGGACTAGTTTCCAAATATCGAGGTGAAAATCGTGTCACGAGGACATATGATAAAATATTTTACTTATAGTGGTATACTTTTAAATATCTCATTTCTGGGTATTTGAAGAAACTTGAAGGTGGAGTTATCAATCAGGTCGCCCTTTTTCTTTTCCTCGGCGTCGTTAAAAGAATACGATTCTCCGATTCCCGCAAAACAAACGGCCGTCCTATTCCGTCGGTGGCGTCCGGCGATGCCGATACTCCACGGCGGCGGCGACGTCCGTGCGGCTCTGCACGCCGTCGCCGCCGTCGCCGGCCTCAGCCCGATCCCGTCGTGGGACGCCATCCAGTCGAGGGAGAGAGGAGGGCGTCGCCCCCGTGGTGCTGTATCATTCCCTTCGTGTTCCAATTTCCGCTGCTCTCATCTTCCCCCGTCTTCGCCTTCCTCCGCCTCCTCGTCGTCGTTTACCAAGGTCTTCCCCGTCTCCCGGGGTGAGTCTCGGAATAAGGGAGACGAGAAGCCGCCGGTGTGCACCGCGGACGAGCTTCACTATGTTACTGTGCCGGGGACCGAGTGGAGGATCGCTCTCTGGCGATACATCCCCTGCACCGATGTTCGTAGCAGGGTCTTCATTTGACGATTTTCACTATGTTGCGTTGCAATCTATTGATTAACGATTCTTCCCGTGTTCTGTCAGGCGCCGCCAAGGAATCACCCCTTGATGCTTCTCTCAGGTGTGGGAACAAACGCCATCGGATATGACCTCGCCCCCAGCGTAAGTTTTTTTGTTTTTTTGTTTTTTTGTTTCCTTGGTCGTCTCTTTGTTTCGCTTTGACACTGATTCAAAATTCCATGCTTGCATGATCGATATGCCTTAAGGCACTTTGTTGGCATCCAGTGTGCATTCCGTGGTTTCCAGAGTATCGGGATATATACGTCTGAAAATGTGAAAAGTACAATGGATTTCGATTTTTAGGGAACCCACGGCCTGGTTTACGCCATCCATTGCGGTCCTTCGTCGTGATTCGCATGCTCTGTATCCGATAACATGTCCGACTCAGTTTTCTTGCATTCGCTTTTTCCCTGATCTACCGTTGGCCTGCCTAAGCGGTTTGTTTTTACGCTGGAATTGTGGAAATATGATTGCTTCAACTGCGTTACTCATGCATTTTTGCATCAGATTTAATGATAATTCATGTTGATCAGAAGAAGAAAAGATGTCGCTAAAAGAACGACGGGTACTTTGAAATTTTCCCTGAAAAAACGGGTCCAGGTCTGAACATGGAACTTGTCTCGTTTATGTGCTTCATTGACTATAGTGGAATGTAAGACAAGGTTGATGTCTAGCGTACACGTGTTCTCTGATTGTTCATATTAATGATAAGATCTTTGCTGGAGAGTCCTATCTTCTCTTAACTTTTCTTCGCGAAAAGATGTTTGTTCTTTTCATGAAAGTTGTTTGGTATAAAAAAAAAGAACCTAACTTCTTTGTCCCAATGGTCAGGATTTTCCATCATTTGCTCATTCTCCAGTTCCCTCTGCTTCGTAGAAAGGAACGCGAACTCATTTCTCAACCAACAGAGATCCTAGAAACTCAGAGATCATAGAGAATAAAAGTGAAGGCTCTGTGTGCGCAGTTTTGTGTTAAGTACTTATGCCTTGGAGAACAAAAACCACTAATAATGGCATCAGGAGAATCCGCAGTGACAGGCGTGCTGTTTAAAGCTAAAAAATAAAAATACAAAGAGACAATAAATGGATATTAGATCTATCGTTCTTGGGCACTGGAATGTTTCCGCAAGGGGTTTAGGAATCTAGGATTTGGCTCTTGAATCATGGCCCTGACGCTGTCTTTTTGGTTGGTCAGCTGAAGAGGTGATCCTATTGAGTTACTTTATGGATTTATTCTTGAATTTTTATTTTCTTACTCGAACTTGTTACTTCGATTTCCTTTTTTTCTATCAGTTGATTAAACTTCTGGCTAGGTTGGTCGTCATCACTTGCTTTTAGTCACACTTCCTCATTTGTATGTAGTCACTTAGGCGTTCATCTTTTCTCAGGCTTCATTTGCACGAAATATGTCGAGACAAGGATTCGACACATGGATTGTTGAGGTGAGGGGTGCTGGCCTAAGCACACGCTTGGACAAAACTCGGTCAACTGAGGAGGCATCAACTGCTTCCAAACCATATAATGTGACAGAATCCATTAATATAAATGGACAGAGATCTGTGATAACTGAAGGACAGCAGTTAGCAACACAAGCCGGCCCTCCTCAAGTACTAGGGACTGCCAGTGGAAGCAATGGGGAAATTTTATCTGAATGGGAGGAGTCACAACTTGTGACAAAGTTGACTGACACTTTTATGCTCTTGGCTGAAAAGCTGTCCGGCTATATTAATGAAACTCAATTGAGGGCTGTATCGAATAAATTCTTTGATCAGATGTCAAAACTAATGGAAGGTACCCGACTGTCACAACGTTTTGATGATGTTCATGAAAAAATTTCGGGCCTGTTGGAAGCTGGACAAAATTCTGGTTTTTCTGGTCAGATCAGGGATCTTAGCGAGCGGTTGGTGAAGATCATTGAAGAGAGTCAAAGGTCTGTTTCTCCACAGCTGTTTGACCTGCAGGACCAGCTTTCAGCAACCATAGAGGACTTCCAGAAGCAACTTGACCTGATTGTCACGTACAATTGGGACTTTGACAACTATCTTGACGAAGATATCCCTTCTGCGGTGAGGTTTCTAATCCACTGATATTCTTTGTTGACTTTTCAACTCATTTTTATTCATGGAAAAATTGTTTGAGGAATCATCTGACTTATAATCTCTTTAGATGGAGTATATTAAGCAGCACAGCAAGCCAAAGGATGGCAAATTGCTTGCCATTGGTCACTCAATGGGAGGAATCCTTCTCTATGCCATGATTTCACAATTTGGTAACATTCCGCGATCCTATAGGATTTTACCCTTTCTAGAAAAAGAAATTAGCATGGATTCATTTGCAGCATTTACTTTGTATTATATTCCTTTAAAATGATTTTTTTTTTCACAGTTCTTGTGATCTGAACGTAGATCTATAAATACAGATACAAGATCGCAATATTTAAAATATACGCCTCATTCTTCCACTGAATCGAGATTTTCCATTTTCCAAGGTTTCCAAGGAAAGAAATCTCTGCTGGCGGCAGTCGTCACCTTGGCCTCGTCTCTTGACTACACTTCCTCAAAATCCTCCCTCAAGTTGCTGCTGCCTCTCGTGAGTGGAAAACTCGTTGACTTTTCTTATCTGCAGCTGTCACCTGACCCATAAATTTTCATGAGCTGAGGGTGGTTTTCCATGCAGGCTGATCCTGCTCAGGCTCTGAATGTTCCCGTTATCCCACTGGGAGCTCTGCTGGCTGCTGCTTATCCCCTCTCGAACAGACCACCTTACGTCTTGTCCTGGCTCAACTCTCAGATCTCATCTCAGGACATGATGCATCCGGAGCTCTTCGAGAAGCTCGTTTTGAACAATTTCTGTGAGTACAGATCAATTTTCCCTTCATTCTTTACTTGACCTTCACTACTTAAATAAATAAATAAATGAAATAATTCTTACAAATCGTGTACCTTTTCCACTGCGGTCTTTCTCTTTTGGTGACTTTGTCATGGATTGTCGGAATGGATTCTAACCCATACAATCTTTCCCGCTTGGCGGGTTTATTTCATCCATGGATTGTTAGAATGGATTCCAACGGCTAAGAGTCTAGGCTGGAATGAATTCCGACGACTTTTAGAATCTATCAATGAATGGCAGGTACAATCCCCGCCAAGCTTCTGCTCCAGCTGACGACAGCTTTCCGAGAAGGAGGGCTTCGTAACCGGAGCGGCAGCTTCCTGTACAAGAATCATCTGCCCAAATGCAGCACCCCCGTCTTAGCTCTTGCCGGAGATGAAGATCTCATCTGCCCACCCGAAGCTGTATATGGTAAATATCCGGCTCTCCAGACATCATCATCATCTCTCTCTCTCTCTCTCTAACCCGTTGAAAATCTCTGCTAATACTGATGGGCAGAGACGGTCAAGGCGATTCCATCGGATATGGTGACTTACCAGGTGTTCGGACGGCCAGGCGGACCGCATTATGCTCACTATGATCTCGTCGGCGGGCGCCTGGTACCCACTCCCCTTGGGACCGAGAATCATCCGATTTCTGGGTCTGATCGGCTCCCCTCCTCTCTCACTATCTCTCAGGCGATCGACGAAGTATACCCGCGAATAGTGGAGTTCCTCGCCGCCCACGACACCAGATCGGCCCCTGAGGACCTAAATTGACCTCTTCCTGCCAAGAAAAAAACAGGTTTTTAATCTTACATAATTCTCAGTTTTATTTGCATGATTTCGTTTTAATGTGCCGTCTGTTTTTAATTCCTTTGAATCTGATGGTGTTGTAGGGTTGACTTATACTCTCCACGTCTTGTTCTTGCCTCCCCTTGCTCGCTCCCACGGAGGAGGGGGGGTGGTAAATTTACAGTTTGGTCCTCTAATACTAATTAGGCTTAATATTATGGCCACCATCCTATCTGCTTTTGTTTCAGCGGAGACGTTGACTTCGTGTCTCTCCCTCTCTCTGTCTCTCTCTCCTTCTGGTGGGCTGGGCCGATCTGATTGGGCTTAGGGTCTTTATTTGACCTAAGGCCACCTGCCCCGCCTCTATATAAATGCAATTAATTTCTATTTGATAAGTACCCCTGATCCGTGTCAGCTTGGAACCTTACCCGCGGTTCCGCCGGTGCAATGACGTGCCTTATACGCAGGTAATATTTATATATATCTATATATCTAGAGAGAGAGAGCGAGGGAGTGGCGTGTCTGCCTCTCTCTCTCTCTCTTTGCCTCTGCGCGTTGGGCGAGTCCGCGGACGCCAAGCCATTCTCAAATGGGTCGGAATCTTCTGACGGCGACCGCCGTATCCGCAGTCGGGCGGTAACTTCTGCACCGTCAGCCACGCCAGCGCTCAGATGAGCCCACTTCCTATCCGATGACGCGCATGATGATGTCACGTTTGAGCGGATTGCCCATCCCCGAAAGCCAATAATGTTACCGTTTTTCTTTCCCTCCGAGGTGGCTCGCCTTGTCTTATCCGAGAACGGGCGAGTCGCCGTTTGACCCTGGAGAGGATGCCACGGGAGCCGACCGTGGCATGCTCGAGGGAGGGGTGACCGATGTGGTGGTCTTACGTACAGATCTCCGCACCCGGAAAAAATAAAATTTAAACCTGTACTTTATATATTTTCCTATGCACCCTCTAGAGCAAGCCTTCTGGTGCTCCGTCCATTTGCCATTATTTTTGGGTCTCTGAGATGTTTTCCCACGAAGATGGGATCCACCCGGAGATTCTCTTATTATCTGTCGTATTTATTTCGAACGAAGCGGGTTTCACTGATCTCTGTGGATCTGTTCATTTATTCAGTTTATCTATAAAAAAAATCGACGCGAAAAATGAACTATTTAATTTCTTTACCTAAAAATGCATACTCCATGATGATAATTATACATTTTATGCTTGCAAATTACTACATTTTAGGGGGTAATTACATAAAAAATAATTATTATTAGATACAATTTTTTAACACTGATTTTTCTTGTTTTGGGGTAGATAATAAAATATTTAAAAAACATGTTTATTTTGCATATCAATAAAAATAATATATGATGATGGATACCAACTTTACCTCAAATAACACGTGAAATAAATAGATAAATCTCCTTTTTTTTTTAACTCGAATCTACATTGGGTCAAGCAGAATTATTATTTACGGTGGCAAAAAGGGAAATTAATATGAAAGCCCACTTAAAATATCTTACCATTTCTACGGTCCACAAGTTACGAGAAAATAATAAAAATGTTTCGGGGACATTCGGGTACTTTTCTATCGAGGGACTTATCCGGAATATTCCACGCACTTCGCGCATTTAATTCCATAATAAACCTACTTTTAAAAAAGTTGACTAGGGTCAAAACGGTTGATCTAATGAAGTTTCGATTTGATTAAGGCATAATATTAAAATGCTATTTTATAGGGGCTAATATGTGAAAAGTCCCTGCACGGAGGATTTATTTATAAACATCGGAGAATTGAAGAACGGTTTACATTTCTACCGTCTACTCTTTATCCACGTTTGTTTTATAACTATTTTTTCTCATTCGCAGCTCTCTCTCTCTCTTCTCTCTCCAATCATCTCATTCCTTCCGCCTCCCCGAGTCGGAATTGCAGCAGGAACGGGACTCCAGCGAGCAGTCGGGGTTGGGGGGGGGGGGGGGGGTGGGGATCTCATCTTTGTTTCCATTCTTCCTCATCAACCAGGCATAATCGGAGAAGAATCTCCTTCCCTCCCTACCCCCCACCCACCCTCTCTCTCTCTCTCTCTCTGCCCACGACCCACCCGCCCCCACCCCGGGGACATCCCCGTCTCTCTCTCTTATGTTCTTCGACCCTCCTCTCTTGTCCTCCCGTTACAGGGTCAAGCTCGTCTCTACTGTGTTGCAGTAAGGATTTCTCTGTGATGTTCTATTCTTTTGGTAATACCGAAGCATATGCGTTCGCTTTTATGTTTGATTGATGGTTGAGAGCAAGATTCCGTGTTGTGTCGTCGCTGTTGACGACTGAAGCGACCTGAACTAATCGGCGGTGTGCGCTGATTTCTGAGCTCGCCATGGCGAGAGTCGGAGAACGGGGGGTGTATTTCCTGTCTCGTTTCTCGGAGTCTCAAGGAGGGTTCTGGCGTGACTTGTTGGGGGAGATAAACACCTCGTTTCGTTGATTTCTCCGAGTTTTCGTCCTATGCAGTTTCGATTTGCTTTGCTAGGTAGATGATCGAGTTGTAAAAGGGGAACCCCACCTCCGACGAGGAGGGTCTCCCTTCTGTAGTAAGGTTTACTCGATCATTCCGACCGACGAAGAGGTCTGGGAGGCCATTCGTGCTCACCCTCACCACATCATAGGATCACGGTTTTATTTGGCACAGCTTTTAAATGCGCTACGAACTTCAAGTACGGAAATCGGCGTGGTGCCTCTTGGATTCTGCCTCTTATTCTCCGCTAATTTTGTGGCAGGTGATGTGACGGAACAGACGTCTGTTCGTCCGCTGTGAAATGTACGACGGCTCTTGGTATCCATTTGCATGCTGATAAAGTAGTCTCTTTCATCTACAATAAATTGATGACATTTTTAGCGCTCTTACATGCAGAACAAGGTTCTCTAGGCACCCCAGTGGGTAATACAGCTGTGAATATGGAAACCGGACCATGGGGAATTCCTTCTAGATCTGAAGCATACAATAGGTCCAGTGATGTTAGCCTCTTTTCAAGCTCGCTACCTGTTCTTCTTCATGAAAAATGTATGTATTCTTGCGCATAATGCTATTCTTAAATATAAGTTCTGGATGCCTATGATAAAATCCCCCTCTGTTATTGTTCCATGATGCAGTGAACCTCTTAGAACCAGATTCTGGCCTTCAATCTGTTAACAGTGGCATGACAGAGTTGGAAAATCTTCGTAAAAATGTGGAGGATAAAGGTGTGGTAGACGATTTTGACCTCGAGAAGATTGGAAGCATGCTGCCTGACGATGAAGAGGAGCTTTTAGCAGGCATCGTGGATGACTTTGATCTGAGTGGTTTGCCTAGTCAGGTGGAGGAAATGGAAGAATACGACGTTTTTGGCACTGGAGGGGGGATGGAGCTAGACTTTGATCCTTCAGAGAGCCTCAGCATTGGTATGGCAAAAGCTAGCATCGGTGACGGCTTTGTGGGAAATGGAACCGGACAGTACGGTGTTCCACACAACGTAGGAACAATCTTTGGGGAGCATCCATATGGAGAACATCCTTCAAGAACATTATTTGTGCGCAATATCAACAGTAACGTTGAAGACTCAGAGTTGAGAACTCTCTTTGAGGTAAACTATTATTCAGATAAAGTTTATTGCATCTATATGTATTCCTTTTTGTTATACGCCCTCAGCGGAAATTGATTTATTCATCTTTTATGCCCATGAAATAATCTGTATTGTTAGTCATTTGCCTCGTGGCTTTGCTTCTCTCGACACTGATGGTTGGAATCAATGGGTTTTGCCGATTTCTTGTTTCCTTGCCTCTTATCAGTTTGTTCATTAGTCTCTGATGAATATTCCAGATCATAATGCAGTCTCAAATGCTTCCCAAGAGGTGGGATTCTTTAATTTTGCAAAACAGGTCATCTATCAATGTCGTATCTCATATTCATTGAAATATAAGCATAACAACAAGCATCAATTGACGAACTTCCTGATTGCAAACACCTGTGATCCCCACAGAGATGGGAAAAGTGGTGGTCATGATAGATATCTGCAGATATATTATGACTCATTTAGATAATAGAATACAGAGGTAAATGAGAAAACAGGCAAGAACGTCCTGGAGAGAAAGACTCCAAATGAGATATGAGTGCACGGAAAGTGTTTCTTTATAGGGCATAAATTTGTCAATTGTCATAGAAAGAAAAAAAAACTGCTGAAAACGGAAATTAAAACATAGAAACAAGAAAAGTCCCAAGAAAAGCTTCTCTACTGAACAAGATTGTGAAAAAAATTAAGCGATAGACTAAAAAAGGGTATCATTATTGTCCTCAGCAATGGAGATTATCCTTGTTTTCAGCAGCATATGTCAAAGACGGTGGCCAGCAGACTTGAAAATCGTATTATTATTTATTTCTTAACGAATCGTGAAAACATACGTTATTACCTGCCTCAATCTGAATTGTGGTGAACTATTCTTTGAAATATGACAATCTGTCTTCCAAATGAAATGGATACTTAGTGACTAGTAATGGTAATGAGACCCTATTGGATTGGGTGTGACATCTTGGGATTGAAAAATACTGTAACCGCTTCCATCGGGTTTAGTGTTCTGTAAAAGAGATCCTACTTGACATTGTCCATACCCTTGGCCCGTCAAGGCTGTAATCTTATGTTAAGTCAGCCAGAGTGGAGGAATGTGGCAAGCAGGTTGAGGGCCATTAAACACTGTGCAATGGCTCCCTGTTGAACTTGCCAGACTTGTAAAGTGCACGACGTGATACTGCATTTCCATCATTATCATCAGAATGCATCAGGAGGATTATATCTCAGTCCCTTAAGATCCTTGATAATGGAGTATTGCGTGTACCTGGAAACTAGTAGTTTGCACTCCGGAAGTGATACATTCATTTTATAGAAAGAAATTTCAAAGAATATTGCTTCCCTCAAATTGTTGGCCGCGTTCTTCCTGGCCTGCGACCTATCTATCAGTAGTCAAAAAACCAGATAAGAAAAAAACCCTAAAGATTGCTACGCCAGGTGGTGGAACAATTTCACTGGAGCAGCAGTTGTTATGTTTCTCCCAATGCGGAGTATCTTCATGATCTGATTTGGTGAACATTGAATGGTTGGATGACTAATGCATTAGAATTTGGAGTGGATAATTTTTCAGCAATTATGTTCTTTAGATAAGAGCTCATTGAAGGAGAGGTTATTATTGTATCTCGTTCCTGATAATCACATGCCATCCAGCCCAGGTGTCTGCTGTGTCTCTGTGATTGATGCTATTGAGAGTTTAAGATACCGTCATGTTTTTCTCCTGCTTTTGTCTAGTTGCATGTCGATACTTTCATATCTTATTGTGAACCGTGAAACCTGACTGAAATTAAACTGCCTATGTGCAGAATCTCCATACCAAATGGAAAAAATCTGCATCAATTTCTTAGAGACATTTTCTTCAATTGCATCATCTATTCTCATGTTTTTTTTTCCTTGCTTCCTCTGTTATGTATCTCCTCCTCTTCCTTTATCTGAATTCAAGAACATGCTGTTATATCTCAAATCATGTATTCTTCCTTTTGCAGCAATATGGTGACATTCGGACACTTTACACTGCATGCAAACACAGGGGATTCGTGATGATATCTTATTATGATATCCGTGCAGCTCGAACTGCTATGCGTGCATTACAAAATAAGCCCTTACGTCGGAGGAAACTTGACATTCACTTTTCAATACCGAAGGTAAAATATAGTGTGCCTTTGATTTCTTCATTGTCGTTAATCAACATTTCGTTTGAGTTTCTGTCTATCCTTTTAGGACAACCCATCAGACAAAGATATCAATCAAGGAACACTTGTAGCATTCAATTTGGATCCATCCGTTTCAAATGACGATCTTCACAAAATATTTGGGGCATATGGGGAGGTGAAGGAGGTATGACGTATTTTCCTTCCTTGTAAGTTTAGTTTTCCGTAAGATTGTCTTGGTACATAATGTATCTTAAATGTTTAATGCAGATAAGGGAGACACCTCACAAGCGGCACCATAAGTTCATAGAATTCTATGATGTCCGAGCAGCTGAGGCAGCCCTACGGTCATTAAATCGCAGTGATATAGCTGGCAAGCGCATAAAGCTTGAACCTAGCCGCCCTGGTGGTGCCCGCCGAAAGTGAGTATTTGAAAAAGGTTCTTCTTCCTTTTCTGTTCGTGTGTTTGGTTTCGATGATTGTTGTTCTACCATTTTATTGCAAGAGGACTTGTTCTCTTGCTCTTCATATGCTATATTGTACTGACGAGTGTTAATCCTTTTATGAGTTCATGTACGTATGGCTTTAATCCCCCCCCCCCCCCCCACCCCTTCCCAGGAAAAAAGAATAATAAAATTGTTCATTGGCAGCAGTCAAATGGTTTTAGTTGACGTTTCAGAGCTACAAGGGAGTTTAATTTTCAATATGGTTTGTCTGTTGGTTCAAGGACTGTATTTTCAACATGGTTTTTCTATCAAACATTTTAGGTCAGAATATATTTCCCCTGTGTATAAGACAGTTTTCCCTGCCGCTGGCTATTCGAGATTCCTTTAGGTGGTATCATGTTTAACAACTTTCGTGTTGTTGGTTTTCATCGCGGAGACTTTAAGAATTTTCACCTGTTTTTATATCCTTTTTTGTCAATGGAATGTTGGACCTGTGATATTTATGTATTATTTTCTTATTTAGTTTCTTTTTTTGTGGTCAGTGTTTATCAATAATTACTAGGCTTCGTTTATCCTGTTTTTAGTGATGATGGTACATCGATCATCATCCTTTCTTTCGTTGTTTATGTGACCATAAATCGCTTGTCTGCTTTCCAGCTTGATGCAGCAGCTAAGCCACGACTTGGAACAAAACGAAAACAAAAGCTTTAGACATCCAGTGGGTTCGCCTATTGCCAGTTCTCCTCCTGGTGCGATACTCTGAACATATGGTTTTTCTCATGTTTTTCTTCTTTTCTGGCCTAAGCTCTAGCTCATGTCTGGGCTTTCCTTTTGAGCTAAATCCCACAATGCGTCCTCGACAGGTACCTGGCTCCAATTCGGTAGCCCAACTGATAATGGGCTCGTGCAAGCTCTTAGCCATTCTCCGACTTTAGGTGCCATGAGCCATGTTTCTGGCAGCCAGTCAGCTGGGCTAGCGTCCATCTTGCCTTCTCCTGTGTCCAGCTCCATTAAGATTGCACCAATCGGAAAAGACCCCAATAGGCTTAACCATCCTGGCATGGGGGGCCTCCCTGGCGCCGCCAACTCATCGCATGGCATGGCGCTCCAGTATTCTCACTCCTTTCCAGAGCACAGCAGCGGAATAATGCCAGGCAACAGCCAAGATACGCCGGGTACAGTGTCTTCTCTTGGCCATTCGAGTACAACTGCATCTGGCGTGGGAGGTCTGACCAGAACTCAGATTCTGTGGGGCAGCCCTGGTGGTTATCCCGACCATGGCTATTCTTCTGCCTGGGGAGCGCAGCCTGTGGGCAATTCGTTCACATCTAATGGGCAGAGTCAGGTTTTCCCTTACTCTGATCGTCGCGGCTCTCTTCTCGGCTCATCGCACCACCAGCATGTAGGATCCGCCCCCCCTGGTGTTCCATTAGAAAGCTACTTTGGCTACTCTGAGTCCCCAGACACATCTTTCATGAACTCGGTTGCCTTTGGAGGAGGGATGGGCATTGGCCGGAAAGAAGGCAGCTTGATTATGAGCATGGGGGGTCCTCGGTCCGCCAGCAGTTCCAGAGCTTCTCTCCCCGGAAGCACCGTCGGCAGTGCCGCTCCCAGCTTCAGAATGTTACCCACACAGAGGTTGAGCCCTATTTTCATCGGCACTGGTTCGTACACCGGCCTTATACATGGCGGCTTCGAGGGCTTGGCAGATCGAGGGCGCAGCCGGCGGGTCGAGAACACTGCAAGCCAGTTGGATAGCAAGAGGCAGTACCATCTCGACTTGGAGAAGATCGTCAGCGGTGAAGACACGAGGACCACGCTGATGATTAAGAACATCCCAAACAAGTAAATATAACGAGTCAACTCCTCTTTATTGCTTACTCTTACTTTGCTGCGCAGCAATGCAGCTTGACATGGGCATGGATGCATTCACGTGCTGACCAGGTACACATCGAAGATGCTGCTGGCTGCGATCGACGAAAATCACAAGGGAACCTATGATTTCTTCTATTTGCCGATTGACTTCAAGGTAAGTCAACGTCTTGCCTTGAGAATTTTGAGATCTATATCCCGGGATCTGACGTTGGTGCTCCGCTTGTGCAGAACAAGTGCAATGTGGGTTATGCTTTCATTAACATGGTGTCCCCTTCACATATTGTCTCCTTTTACGAGGTATTAACCCCCTTCCCTTGTACTCAAAAATTCCTGAGATGCTCTCCCTTGCATGCTGCATGGGTCGAGGCGTTCTAGACGACTTCATTTTCTTCTGTTAGATATCAACGGAGTCGGATAGTTCTCTAAGTTTCTCTCTCTCTCTCTCTCTCTCTCTCTCTCTCTCTCATATGCTTTGTCAGACGTTCAACGGGAAGAAGTGGGAGAAGTTTAACAGTGAGAAGGTGGCTTCCTTGGCATACGCAAGAATCCAAGGCAAGACGGCTCTCATCACGCACTTCCAGAACTCGAGCTTGATGAACGAAGACAAGCGCTGCCATCCAATTCTGTTCCACTCCGCCGGACCCGAGGCTGGAAGCCAGGTAACCACTGATGAACCTGATTGGAAGCATAGAAAATGCATGGAAGTATATGGTTATATGAAATGACCCAACCATGCATGAATGAATGAATGAATCTATGCGAAGTCATCGCGGTATCTCGGATGTTTCAGGAGCCATTCCCCCCCGGCAATGTGAACCCCCAGGGAGCTCTGCTCGACGGGACGAACATGTTCACCGGTGAAGATGTCGCCGCCGCCGCCAGAGACCCGGACGAGACCGCCGAGAAGGGCAAGAACCTCCTCGTGGAAGGATGACGGCGCGCGCCCCGCCCCAGATTCCATTAATGGCTAACTGCAGGTGTACAAAAGAGCCGGCGGCATTCGTGGGCTCAGAGACGGGCCCTGGTACTTGTTCTTGCGGTTTCGTGGCTCTGAGATTTGGGAAGGAGAGGGGGTGCAGTTTCCAGAAGGATCTAGACGCTTCTGCGGGTTGACCGTGGAAGGACGGTAGTTCCAGAATGGAGCAGCAGCAGCCTCCTGGGGCTGCTTCCTCTGTTTTGACGACTTGCCCCTGCGGCCGCTCGCAGGCTGTACAGAGAGAGGGACACGGAGGGGCTGCTTTTCCCCCCCTCTGTGGCGGTGGCCGCCGCGGGCGTTTGTATTGAAAAATTGTGCTGTTGTATTCTTGTCGGCATGGTTGACTTTTGTATGGCGTGTGCCCTCCTGCGGTGTAATATATCTCCTCTGACCTTTGAAAAAATGGCTCGTCGACTTTCCGACTGTTTTTTGGGCCTCAATGTGGGCCGCCGGCCGCCCATTTTTGTCTTCAATTGGACCAAACCGATTCCAACGTGGATCGGCCCAATTCTCGGGAGGTAAGTTCGGCCCATTTAGTTAACATGAGATCATTTCGAAGAGTGCCCTCTCTCTCCCTCACGCACGTGTGGATCCTGGTACAGTCCCTTTCTCGCACGTGCATAGCGTTTATGGCCAGGGTTTGGCACGAGTTTAGGATTCCTCATAGGGCGGCCACCCTGGCTCTCCGATGCGAATAAACAGATGCCGCTCAACGTGGGATCCGACAAATCCGCGGGGCCCACGCGTCCCATCGGCTTCCCGGACCTGTCCATTGATCGAAACTTATTGACGTTGACCCGAGCCCTTGATGACGCTAGTGACGTCATATCGGAAAAGATGTCCCACCCAATCTTTCTCTCTCCACTCGGTCCGTCAATTTTCGAAAGTGGGACGGGCTACCGGTGACGAGTATATTCGAACAGATGCTGATAGGCAATATATATGTATATATTTAATATTTATTTCGTATTCTACTTCCGCCATGTCGTTATCTATCTTGGAATTATATGCTATAATATTATTACTCGCATTTTTATACATATTTTTCGTAAAATTGACGTGGTGCTTGAGTTGGGCCGGGCCAAGATCTCGGTGGCCTAGCCCACTGCCGATTCTCTGTGCTTTTCGCTGGGTAGTTAGGAAGCGAGCGTGGGCTTTTGGGCTTGGGCCCATGGCCCCCCTCTGCCCGGGCCCCCAAATTAATACGCTCATTCGCTGGCACGGGGGTAAATCCGCCGAGAAATAGACTCCTCACCCCCCATTTTTTGACCTCGTAATTTTTTTTTCCTTGTTTATATTATTATGGGCGGATTCCAATGAAATGGCGGGGGCAAAGTCGTAAATTCGAAGGCGTTGAGATGATTTCTTTGGCGTGATGTGACACGTGTAATTACGAACTTGGTCCTCACTAAAAGTCAACGCGAGACTAAGGAGTGAGCCCTTCCAATTTTGGAGGTCAACCCCTTCCAATTTCGTCGTTAATATTATTAACAACAAACATGAAGGTTTCAGATTACGCGGAGGATTTCACGGGTGGGCGAAGAAGCCTGGTGTACGAGGGGCATTTGTAAAAATAAAATTAGGCTGAGGGGATTTCTTCACTATAATCAGACTGGAAGTGGGGGGGTGGGGAGCGTCCTCATTTTCTCCGCCGTGGTTATTATGTGGTCGGTCCGACGGCTCTTGGGGCAAGACGTAGTCACGTGACGATTTAGACGGGATCTCCGGCGGTGAGCACACCTCCGGTTCCCCCAGCACGGGTGTCGGTGGCGTCTGTATGGCTATCCGCGGTTGGGCCGGTGGGCCCGCACGAGGGGCCTTGGGGTCACAATCTCATCGTAAAGACTCACACGTGCGAGAGATGCCGACTTAGCGGAGAAGGCAAAAGGCGGTGAGGCGATTCACCCGTGTGGCTTTGCGAGCACTCTAAGCAAGTAATAGATCCCCGCCAAAAAGTGGCTCTTTTATCTTCTTCACTACCCACCGCACTCCATCCAGGAACACGTTTCGGAGCCGACGGGCCGGGTCATTACAGAGAGCCCAAAATATCGACATTTGGGCCCGGCCCGGCCCGCAATGCCGGGCGGCGGGCCCCACAAGGAACTAGGGGACTCGAGCGGCAGCTGGAGGAGGTTCTTGGGAAAATATAGAACTTCCTGGGGATTTTTGTAATGCGGTACCTTTTTACCAGGGGCATGTTACAAATTTGTTCCTTAGAGGGGGCGTCACCGTTGGGTCTCACTTTTACGAAAACACACCGGCAACTACTGTTTTGATTGCTATTTTTTGGAAGCTCCTCACGGCCTCGTTGACTAACCCACGTGGACAGCCTCCTTCCCCGCCTCTCTCTTTGGTCAACTGCAACTTGCCCTATTTAAGCAATCGACGTTAGTTTTTCACCGTGTTCTGACATTAATCGGTTAATTAATGAGTAGAGCGAGAGAGAGAGAGAGATCTAACATAGAAAGCGACATCGGAGGGGAGAAGAATATGAGAGGAGCACGTAGTATTCGGTCCTGATTGTGACTAGCTGATGGGATTAGCGAGGGAAAATATCACAAAAATCCCTTGATTTTTTGGATCTTCAAAGCACGACGAAGAGGTCACTATCTTCTATGGATTATAAGAATACCCCTTTTTGTTCCCTCGCGTGACTAAATTCCACGTGGGCCGGTCTCAACCGTCACGTGACGCCGCTCTGTGGACAAATCAACGGGGCCACGTCGGACTGCCCACGCTCGCGGGTCGGCAAAAGCACTGTAATATTTAATTTTACTCACCAATAGATTTTAATATTTTGTTTTATCCAAAAATTTATTTTATTTACGCCAAGTGGCCCGGGCAGGCTGGCAGCAGATCTCCTCTGTTTGTTTGTCGACTTCCGGATTAGGCTTTCGGCCGAGGTGGGGTTCGTGTTCAACGCAGGTTTGTCCTCGACAGGGCCGGTAAAGAACCGGTGACAAGATGTGCATGACATATGTTAAATTTATGGTATCTCCATAAATAGGGAGAAAATAGGGGTTTGATGAAAAATACACTTGGAAAGAGTAGATCAACGGTGCGCCGCCAGAAAATACAGCGAGTTAGCAGCCACAGCGAGGGTGGGAGCGAGAGAGAGAAAGAGAGAGAGAGAAGGGTGGGGGGGAAGTAGAGAGAGAGGATAGAGCACCTCTTCTTCACTTTCTCTTTTACAATCTGCTCCCTCTTCCTCTCTGGCCTGGGCAACCGACGACAGCTAGGGTTTGCCCGTGGGGTACCTGATCTGTCCGGTGCCGGCGCATCGTGGCCTACCTTGCCGCGGGTGCTGGTGAAGCTAAGGGCGGTGGTCGATATCTAGATCCACGCCTGTGCCTCGCGTTCTCCTCTCCGCCGGGGGAGGAGGGTCTTTGTCCTTCGTCGGGGACGGCTTTATTCTCGATTGGGATGGCCGAGACGCGGCGGTTGGATGGAGGCACGGCTGCCGTAGGAGGGGTTCTCCTCGCTCTATGAACGCTGGGGCTGCCAGTGGCGATAGCGGCGGTGGTTCCGGCGAGAGGGTAGGTGGGGAGACGTCGCGGCGGTGGGAGCGAGTGGCTGAGGGCGGCAACGTGTTTATGAGGGATCGTACCCGGGGGCCATTCCCATGTTTCGCGTCGGGGGATTCAAGGCGGGTGAGGAGAGACTGCCGGCTCGTCATCCGGAGCAGGGGTAGATGGGGCAAATGCGGTTGATGATCTGGTGATAGCTGGATCTCGGTCGTTTTTTGCTCTAATTTTTGCTCTTTCTTCCTTCTTCCATTTTTGGGAACTGAGGAGATCAAAGGATTGGGTAGTGCAAGAAGATACCCAAGGGTCGGCTCTCCTGTTAGTTGTGTTCCTTTTCTCCCTTTGTCGGCAGCTCTAGTGTCGGTGAAGACTGGTGGCCAAAAATGCAGCCGGATCAGCGGAAGAAGGTGTGCCTCATCTATCTCGACCCTCTCTCCGTCCCTTTCCATTATTTGATCTGGGAAATTAAAGGCTTTCTTTGCCTTCTAAATTGGGTGGCGTTCGTATGTGGGTCTTCTAGCTTGTGAATTGGGCGATCTTGTTGGATAATCGGGATTCTGTGTCATGCTTTGCATCTGCTTTGTTTGCACCGTTCCTTTTCTCTCCCTTCTCTCCTGTCACCTGAGAAGTTTTTTTCCGGAAGTCAAACACCTTCTTGTGTGTTGTATTTCCTATCCAATTGGCACGATCAGTGAGTTTTTACCTCCTCCGTACACCTTGGCAGACAGATAGGAATTTGCTGAATTCTTTCTCGGCCTAATTTTTTTTTCTTTGAACCCCCTTCTGCTCCTGCAAAGCGAATAATATAGCCTTTGTAGCATCCAGGGGCCGTGGGAAGTTTATCTCATGCAGTTGTTTTGTGAAAGTTTCGGATGGTAATTTTATCTTTCCTCTAGTCCCTCTCTAATTGTTCAGCCGAGGAGAGGGATTCTTGTAAAGTGCTGGCCTAATAATCAGATTCCATGTACTCGTAGAGTCATGCTTCATGATCGTCGTGTGACTTGAAAGCCGCTAGTCAGTTCTACGGAGTTTTGTTGCTCGATTGGCTTGGAATCATGATATCCTATCCTCGATGTTCATTTACACGATGTGAACAGTTTATAAGAAAAATGGCTAATCAGATGCAATTAAGACAAATTAAGTTTCACGCTGTCGTTCCTCTCTAATCATATGCTAATAAGCTGACGTAAAAGACGCTATACAGTGAAACGTGATTAAAAATATTTAACTGTGGTAAACTTTATGGCATATTTTTCCAACTTTTGACCTTCTTTGAGTTAGCTTGAAGCAATATTCCAGCTAGTTTAACTACTTGTTTTATGTGCCTTTTCATGCTTGCAGAATACGACGGAAATGGACTTCTTCACAGAATACGGAGATGCTAATCGGTTCAAAATTCAGGAAGTCATAGGCAAAGGAAGCTATGGGGTCGTATGCTCAGCCATTGACACACATACCGGAGAAAAGGTGGCGATAAAGAAAATTCATGATATTTTTGAGCACATATCTGATGCTGTTAGGATTCTACGTGAGATAAAGCTTCTCAGGCTACTAAGACATCCTGACATTGTGGAAATTAAGCACATCATGCTGCCTCCCTCAAGAAGGGACTTTAAAGATATTTATGTTGTTTTCGAGCTCATGGAGTCGGATCTCCATCAAGTCATCAAAGCAAATGATGACCTAACTAGAGAACACTATCAGTTCTTTCTTTATCAGCTGCTCCGTGCACTGAAGTTCATTCACACAGGTACTGTATATATTTTGGTTGGGCTTTGAATGACCTTCTTTCCTTCTTGTTTTATCAACTCGTACACAAGATGTACGATTGCAAGCTGTGTATAAATGTCATCCCAGAACTTTCTTTGCTCTTCTAGAGTAATTTTATACATATCTATTTTTTTACTAAACCTCTGGAAAGTTTTCTGCTTACGTTTTTGAATGGACGATCCCACTTTTTTCGAATAATTAAATGTCAAGGATGATGTTATTTTGTTTTAGTAACTTAAGTTAACTTTCTTTCAAGCCTGAGAAGCCCTTACTAACATTTTTAATTGTTGCATTATAGATTGTTTGGTCTACAAGAATGCCTAGATATGAAATCGAGATGGTTAAGTTATTTTCAATTCTTTGTGATGTTAAAGTTTCAACCAAACTGTCTAGTTGGAAGCTGAGTTGACTTGATGTATTTATCGTCAAACTTCCATTTCCTCATTGTATCTTTTCACCCTTAGTTTTAGCATGTCTGGTGGAATCTTGTTGGAATTATTTGAAAATTGTGCTTTTTCTTCTGATTTGAGGAAATGTTTGATTTGATTGCAGCCAATGTTTATCATAGAGATCTGAAGCCAAAGAACATATTAGCAAATGCAAACTGTAAGCTCAAAATTTGTGACTTTGGATTGGCAAGAGTTGCGTTTAATGATACTCCCACGACAATATTCTGGACGGTATGTCTGGATGATGGATTTCTCGATTTCTCATTTGTTTGTGATTTTTTTCCTAATGATTGGTTTGTGCAGGACTATGTTGCAACAAGATGGTATAGAGCACCAGAGTTATGTGGGTCGTTTTTTTCCAAGGTGTGAAAATGTTCATTTGATTACTTCTATGTGTTTTCACTTACCACCTCGCAGTGACGTTGTTTAATTTCTGTTTAGTATTTTTAGTGCCATCCAAGACGTAGGAAATATATTTCAGTCATGCAGAGCATCTTTACCAAGAATAATGCATTCATGGTAGTTCTACATCAGTGGACATTTACCCAAGATGTCACAAAAATCCTTACCAAGAAGTGGCCTAGTATCTGGTGGATTTTACCTCTATTCCAGATGTAGTACATATTGATAAATTTGAAACAGATATTCCGTAACTTAGTACTCCAAATACCTCGAAATCATTGTGGGTATTAGTTCTATTAAGCTCTATGCCTGAATGTTTTTCTGAGGAACTATTCAATGAATTTTTGGGAAGTAAAAATCTATAATAAAAAGGAAAATGCTTGTTCAGGAACTATGCATTCTGTTGCAAGCTGATATATTTTAAAATACAAGTAATTTCATTGTATCTGCAGCCAAATCATGGTTGTATTACCAATGTAATAGACGTTTCTGACTGGTATCGGTTACTGTACTGCAGTATACTCCTGCCATTGATATTTGGAGCATTGGTTGCATTTTTGCTGAAGTATTGACTGGGAAGCCACTATTTCCTGGTAAAAATGTAGTTCATCAGTTGGATTTGATGACAGATCTTCTCGGTACACCTTCTTTGGACACTATATCTCGGGTATGATTTTTCTATCTCTTGGCCTCTTCGTATGCTAGAGTTTCTTTCGCTGTTTATATTTGCCTGCAGAATAAACCTACTCCTCAATGTATGCATGGTCATGCACCCATCTGTTACTGCATCGTCATGCTTTCTATGATGGTCACATAGTTCTGTGCACTGCACAGGTCCGAAATGAGAAAGCTAGAAGATACCTGAGCAGCATGAGAAAGAAGCAGCCTGTTCCCTTTGCACAGAAGTTCCCAAATGCTGACCCATTAGCGCTCAAGTTGTTGGAGAGGCTTTTGGCTTTTGATCCGAAGGATCGACCAACTGCTGAGGAGGTAAAAGTCTCTTATGATGCTTATGATCAGTATGGCATACTGTTAAAACCTAGGAGTTTCCTTGTATATAGATTCAAGTAACAGGGGTTAAAGTTTACTCTCAGAATTTACTCTGACTGGTGATATGGATTGCATTGTCTTAACATTCCTAGTGCAATGAGAAGCATGAAGGATGTAGAAGCTGTTTTTAATTTGATTAATTGAATTTTTAATAGGTTTAGTGTGCTAGAATAGTCCAGGACTCGGAAGAATTAATATCACTTGACATTAGCAGAGTCAAGGTATTTAATGTGGCCTAGTTGAGCAAACAGATGGTGATCATTGCCTTTTTACTGCCTAGGTGACAAGATAATGCCTTAATGACCTCTTGTGCGAGACTTGGTTTTAAATAATTTGAACATTATTACAAAAGCCTATGCAATTATCAAAAAAGTGACTAAGAAGATATGTGTGCCCCTAAAATACTATGATAGCTCAAAAAATGCTCACATTGAATAATCTCCATGAGTGATTTAAATAGCTATCAGCAAGGTACATAACGTTAATAGAAAATAACGTCATAATCAATTTTCTTTAGAGAAAATCTACTACAAACATAATTATAAAATTTCAATACAGAAAATAACGTGGGTGAAATAGTCGGTACAAATCAGCACACTGCATTGCACGAGTAAACATGGAAAATCTTATAAGGAAAGACAATTTGTTTTATCGTATTACCATTTTGAGATGTTGTATAACATAAATGAAAATGCAAAAAAATGAGTCAGCTAGTTATATGAACAATGAACGTAAAAGCTAAAAAATGTTCATCACTATGCATCACATGCCCAACTAAATGCATATGGAAATGGTGGCCGTTGCATGCGGGTTTCCTTTGTGCCTGCAAACTGCGTCGACAAGGATTCATGTTATAACCCTTGCTATAGCTGCTCAGGCGGTTCTTGCATACTTCATATTCGGCTCTGTGGCAAGACCGCCTGGTTCTCTTCTTGGTAAGGTAGATGACGCCTGGATAACAATGGTGTGAAATGTTCAGAGCAGAGAACTATTTCTTTTGCTGCATGTTTATCACCTCTTCAGTTCCATAATGCAAGCAGAAACTCGTGGTTTTCAACAATTATCTAAGCTGATTGATCATTCGGATGATATATTTGCATACATGCCCCATCAGGATGTAGCGAACATTCGAATTACCGGCCAGTGGCTATATGATCTCTGATGTCCCTGATTTGGAACCAATGGAGGAAATCTTAGTGCATCTGTATTATTGGCTTCCTGGTGGGGTTGCGTGGATCAGATGGCCATTTGCTGATGCAGAGGTCGTAGTGGTGCTCGTTTTGAGATATCAATCAGTCTCAGGGATTTAGAAAGGAATTATACTCCGTCCGTTTTTACAATCCGGTTGGGTGTGGCGGTTCCATCTGATCAAATGCATCTTTTTTCTCTTATTTATTTGGGTATACATATATATATATATATCTATATTTTGAAGTTGGATGAGTTGACCATTTCCCAATCTCAATTGGGGTTCTCTCTTTTCAGGCGTTGGCCGATCCGTACTTCAAGGGGCTGTCCAAAGTGGAACGAGAGCCATCTTGCCATCCAATATCAAAGATAGAATTCGAGTTTGAACGACGGAGGGTGACCAAAGAGGACATTAGAGAACTCATTTTCCGAGAAATATTGGAATATTATCCTCAGTTGCTCAAAGACTATAACAGTGGTGCCGAAAGGTCAAACTTCCTGTACCCGAGGTATCATCATCCCATATGCGACATATGCAGCCACTCTTCCCCTCTTTTTACATATCTGTTCATGTTCTTGTGCCTTTGCTCATAAGATCACGTCGCTCCCCTCCTGCCCACCATGCAGCGCCGTCGATCATTTCAGGAAGCAATTCGCCCATCTGGAGGAGAACGGCGGAAAGAGTGGTTCTGTGATTCCCTTCGAGAGGAAGCACGTGTCGCTTCCCAGGTGATTATTATAGCACTGGACCTTGATCATCTTATTCTGCGCTTTGATCTTTTCCAGCAGTTGTAAGCTCACTTCGCCGCCATGTACAGATCCACGGTGGTGCACTCCACCACGATCCCTCCCAAGGATCAGTGCCCGCTGCCGTCCTTCAGAGACCGGCAGCAGGCGCCGGATGAGGCATGCAAGAACCAGCGAGATACAGAGTTCCCCCACGGAAATCTACTGCGGCCCAACCCCCAGACCTCTCAACGCACACTACTCAGTAAACTCCTCCTCCTCTTCCTCCAATCTCTCTGAGCTTCGATCGGCAGCCATGGCGCTAACTTTGGAGCACCTGGTGTGCAGCAGCGAAGCCAGGGAAGGTGGTGGGGCCAGTGGTGCCGGCGTGCGAGAACGGGGGCCCTCACAGGGGGGAGGCCTACGATCCAAGGAAGTTTGTCAGGAATTCAGTCCTCCCGCCACAGCCCGCCGCCCCGCCAGCATACCACCACTTCCGGCGGCCCTCTGTTGGCAAGCCGGAGAGGGATGGCGAGGCCGAGAGGGACTCGGCGAAGGCAGCGGCACCCCCACAGCAGTGCCTGTCCATGAAGCTCGCAGCAGATGTGGCCCTCGACATGAGGGCCTCCCCGTTCTACATCTCGCGGGGGGCCGGCAAGGCGGAGGAGGACCGGCTTGCCTCCATGGACGCATCTGGTCTGCTGCAGGCCAATTCCCCCTTCCGAGGCCTCGCCGCCGCTGCTGCCGCCACCCACCGGAAGGTCGGCACCACGCAATTCGGCATGTCGAGGATGTACTAGCTAGCCGGTGAGGCGCAACTCTCTCTTATCTTTGTACATTTGCCGAACAGATGCGGAGGTGGTGGAGCAGGGGGGAAGGAACTCGAAGGGATCCTGCCAGAGGGGATTCTTCTTATGGGGGCGGCGACGGCGCCGCCACCACCACCACCACCACCACCAAAAGCACCACTCTTAATTCGCTTGGGGACTGCTACTCTTGTGTAATGAATCGGGGCATGAAAACACTACAGGAAAGAACTAACGGTGGATTATCTTCAGGGACGCTCCTCTCCATCTATCACCTGTCTACCCATCCGATCTTCCGTTTCCACTCCGAGCTTCACAAGCCCATCCATGGGCGTTCATCTGTTGCAAGTAAGCTTATTATTATTATTATTATTATTATTAAATCATGTCATATGCATGAAAAGTGGGCTCTTATCGAGATGGATGCCTGTCGATTGGACTTAGAATTCATAAGGGGCCGAAAAAAGGTACGATCTTTTGGAATCCACAGGGATGAAAAAGGTGCCCGGACCCATGAACCCACATGGGACTTTTTCTAATCCAAAGACATCCGGCGAAGTCTCTTTTGCTTACTTATAAACCCTTGATTTTTTTCTTAGTGAACAATAAACCAGGGCAAGTTTCAAAAATGCAGACGCATACTCGGCTCTCTCTCTCCCTCTCTCACTAGGTTTGATGTCATTTTCATAACCTTTGCAGTGCTGAAATATCATCCTATCCTGTGTGGGCGACTAAAACCCGAGTAGCTTCGTGGGAACCTATAGGTGAATACTGATAAATAGGAGGGCTTCTAGTAATTCAAGGTTTTTATGATGACTAAAATAGAAAAACATGTCCATTATTAAACAGGTATTGGTCTTTCACTATGTGGGCCGTGTATGGCTCGAATAGGCCCCTATTGGACTTTATTTTGGAAGGGGTTTTGGGATTTATGGGGCCACGTTTAAGCTCTTGGGCTTGGTAAATGGGCTGTTAATTGTCCTTTTACGGCTCATTATGATGACTGATTTATGGGCCTGGGGGGCTTAGAGCATACCGGCCCACTTTTGGGAGTAATTGAAATTATATATACATATATATTTCCGTGGAGATGAGATAAACAACAGCGGACCGCAGTGAGTCTAGTGGGTATCTGCGTTAATACACAGGTTCCCCGATAGAAGCCGTCAAAGACAAGGTTTCGTCAACGACCGGATACGTCCGCTGTGGGAGCCCGTTCATCTCCCCGGACGTGTTCCCAGTCATCGTCATCCATTTTGGACGAGAACAAGCTCCCCACGATGCACGATTCTAACTGCCAGAAAATGCAGGTTACTAAAGGAGGTATTGGCGAAGAGGAAAGGGGAAGAAGAAAGGCAATACCCAGGAGTGCGAGACCACTTGAAGAGTCTCAAGGATTGTTATTATGTTTCTTCCACGGATTATCGTTCTCTCGAACGATACTCCGATCCCTCTCCCTTCTAGCATTAAATACTTCTCTTTCATTGTCAAGCAGTACTGTAGCTCAAAGAGTCTATTAATAGTTTATTATCATTCTATCATCTTCACAGCAACGTCCACTGTTCTCTCTTTCTTCTCTATATCTATTTCTTAATTCTTTCTCTTCCCTATCAATATCTCCACTGTTCACACGGGGTCTCTACCAATTTGGTATCAGAGACTTTCAGCGTCTTCCTTCCTTCTGGATCTTACCATATGGCGCCAACACAAGCAGAGTCAAAAGTAGGAGTGGAGAGGGAGATGGAAGACCTTTGCAATCAATTCCGCCGCATTCCGGACATGGAAGCTCGAACGGATCAACGTTTTTCTCTCATGGAGAAGCGTGTCAACCATACTAAAGATATTATCTCCATGTTCCAACAGTCTCTCTCCCAATGATTCTCTCGTATTCTGGGATCAGCAGGGCCCAATGACCACGCACATACTATCCCTTCGCCTTCTACTGGCGAAGGTTTTCAGTCATCTTCAAGGGCCGGTCATTCTCCAACGACCCAGGATCATCACACCGAAAGAAGCAGTGGTGCAGGCCTTACTACACGCGATCTAGAACTTCCAGTTTTTGCAGGTACTAGCCTCCATGCATGGCTTTATAGGGCCAAATTATATTTCTCTTTCCACCCCCTATCCTACATAGAGAAGATATCTATGGCGGGTGTTAGCTTCGATGATGAGGCTCTTCCTTGGTTTCGTTGCATCAAGTGTAACAATTCTTTCTCTAGTTGGTCAGAACTCCATTAGAAGCTCTTATATCACTTCGGGAAATCTTCCCAGGGTACTCTCCGAGAACAATTATTTAATCTGCAACAACATTCTACTGTGGCAGATTATCGCCAGGATTCCGAGCTTATGGCTGGTGCTGTTATTGACCTCTCCCTTGACCTCTTATAAGATATATTTTTGAAAGGGTTAAAACCCGATATTCAGGTTGAGTTATAATTACTCCAACCTCATAGCTTAATGGACACTATGTAAGTAGCCCATAGTGCATAGGATCGTAACATTGGTGTCACTAGAGACACCAATGTTAGTTTGTCTTTTGGGCAACTAGAGACACCAATGTGGTGACTTAGTTTCATCCGGATGTATCACACCACATCGAAAATTGCAAGAATATCATCTAGAAGTGTTATGCTACTTGTTAGAAAGATCTACTGAGAAGAAGGGTTGACCATGCTGTCACTATTGTCTAAGAGGAGAAGGAAAGAGTTGACTATTCTTAGAGGCCTTGAGTGTAATTAGGGGAAGAAGGATTGAGCTCGTTGATTGTTAGAGGCATTGATCGTGTGAAGGAGAGGAAGAAATTCATGTCGCATTTGTGGTTGTCGTTGAGATTTTAAAGATAATTGATAATACATATTTTATCAGATGATAATTAATTATTATATTTGTATCCCTAATAGTGATATAAGAAAGCACTTAAGTTCTCGGTATCATGGTGCTTCGCTCACCACCGGATCAGCTATCTCTAGTCATGTGGTGTGCTAAGTGTTGCATGATTAAATTGTTGTGAACTGTTCATGACGCTTCCCTTGAGAACTTAAGTTCCAAGTATCGTGATGCTTCACTCGCCACTAGATCAGCCTCATCTAGTCATGTGGTGCATTGATCAATGCATGATCAATTTGTTGCAAACTACTGTTGTATGAGCACTTTAAGTTTCCAATATCATGGCACTTCGCTCACTATAGGATCTGCCTTTTTCTGGTCATGTGACACATTGAGTGTTGTTGGATCTGCATGTTGCAAACTAGTGCCCTGAAACACATAAAAAGTTTTAGTCCCACATCAGATTTTTTGGCAGATATATCAAATATATATTATAATATTTATTTTTATATTTGATAAGTTTTCAATTTAGGCACAAGTCATGGGCCATGGGGATGATTTTTTAGCAGTCTATTATGATATTAAAATATAATAAATATAATAATTTTATTTTATGTTATTTATTATACATAATTTATTTATTAAAAAAGAAATACATTAACTCATCTAACTTCTATCCTTCAAAATTGACTATTTTAAGCTACATTTCTTTCTAAAAATTAAAAAAATAAACTACTTAAATGAAATAAATTATGAACTAGAAAACAAGCATTAAAACCATGCTGAGACAAATGACCACAACATTGTGGTAAAATTTATATCTAAACATATCTTTACTCAATATGGGTATCCACAGGCTGTGATCAATGATGGAGGGTCACACCTTAATAACTATCACTTTAAAGCTCTAATGAAGAAATATGGAGTGCACCACTGAATTACCACATCGTATCATCCACAAGCCAATGATCAAGTAGAAGTCATCAATAGAGAGATCATTTTTTTAAAAAAAATCATTAGACCAGTAGGTAAGGATTAACCATTTAAACTAGTTGATACAATATGGGCCTATAAGACAACTTATGAAACTCATTTAGGCATGTCCCCATATAGGTTTATTTTTGGTAAACCTTGTCATCTGCCCATTGAGCTAAAACACAAGGCTTCTTGAGCCATCAAGAAGCTCAACTTGTTTCTTGACAAAGCTAGCAAAACTCCCTCCTTCAACTTCATGAATTTCAAGAGTTAAGAAATGAATCCTATGAGAATGCTATAATTTATAAAGTCAAGCATGAGTTTTAATGATAAACATATAACACATCTATCAAAAAGTTTGGCTTTAAAATTCTAGATTAAAGCTATTTCTAGGTAAACTTAAATCGAGATGGGATGACCCTTAAATTGTCCTTAATGTCTTCTTAAGGGCTAACCCAATTATGCAGTTGGACTGTGACACTTGTTTGGTGGAAATAATCACCCTAAGTTCCTCAATCTCAAGCAGCATTTCTCTTATCTTTCAGCCAAGTAACATTGAGGTATATATCTGCAAGTCTTTGGTAGCTAAAAAAGGCACTCCTAACAAATCATAGAAAATCTTAAGCAAAGAGAAAAATAGTGGGGTAGAAAAGTCAATTAAAGTAGAAGAATAAAACATGTAAATGACAAGTATGAGCCCAAAGCAAAGGTACAAAATCTATATATTCTCATCCCATTTCTTCTACATCTCCTAACCTCTTCTCCAGGCAAAAAGGGGAAAGAGGCAAATTATTCTTTTTGACTGTTGACCCTAACCCTTTAGCAATGACCAGGGCATGTGTATCTCTTCACAGAACGGGGGAAATCAAGGATGCTCGTTAACATTGAGGGATGAAGGAAGAAAATGGAAGCTTCACTAAGGATTCATGGAAAGGCTGATGAGGACCCAAACCTTCAATGTCACTAAGATACAAAACGAGTTGTAAGATATGTGGATAAATGTAGAAACAAGCCCTCACTCTTCCATGCATATAATGTATATGAAAGAATAATTGTGTTCAGATGGAAGAATAGTAGAAAGGGGGTATGATACTAAGGTTGAACGTATATGCATACCATTGCTAAGAGACTAGAAATGAGCTAAGTAGGGGGGTATGATAACATGCATACGTTCATGTGTGCATGCATCATTCAGCTAAGATTTAATACATATATTTAGTACAAAATATGTATATTATCATTAATTTCCTACAAGTTCATACATTCCATGTACAATTATCTAAGTTCTCTATTTTGAGATTTTATCATATTCTATAAATTAATCCTACTTGAAGTCAAGTAAATTATCTCTAGTATTTTTTTAGTTATTAATTGTAAATAATTAGGTAGATTTTATGGAGTAGAAGGAAGCTAATTTTGGAACATAAAGGGTGGGGAACCAGGACCAATCGTGAGCCCAAGGACTTGAGCGTAATTCCAAAAGGTTAATGGGCCTGGAATGACCAAGCCCAAGGCATGTCCTTTCAAGGCCAAGTATATGCACATCAGAGCAATTGGGCAAGAACCTTATGGCACCTTGAGCACCAGTACTAGGAGTTAAGGGTGCCCATTAAAAACATGTATCTAGTGGAGATATAAGGAGGATAACCTCGGATTTCAAGAGGGGTAAAAAGGAGAAAATGTCACGGGGTATTTATTATAACTCTCTCCCCCTCTTTTAACATTCTTGGAGGTCCCAGACTAGGGCTGACCGTGGGGCAAAAGCCTCAAGGATCCCTCTCCCCTTTCTTCTGATTGGATGAAGTGTTTTCTACATCTCATCTTGAGCGATTGAGAGAGGGGTGTGAGGAACAAGTCCAAGGTTACCAAGGAAGAGGAGGGCGCACTTACTTGTAGGTGATTAGAGCCCTAGGTTGGCTACATAGACCCTAAGGTGAGTGTTCAATCCTCTTGTGAATGATCCTCTCTTGACTCCATCATTAGATAGGTGTAAAGATTAAAGCCCATCATAGATCCCAATTCTAATTTGTTCATGTGAATGATCACCCAAGTTTTCTCAATTTTCTATCCTTAGATCTAGATACTCTCCTATCCCCTATCTTGAATCCTCATTTCTGATCACCTCACCCCCATTCGTCACCTTAGATTAATGATTGGCCCTATTATAAGACCCAATCCCCAAGGATACGACCCTAGCTTACCACGGTTTACTCAAATCAACAAGAAGTTAGGCTTATAAATGTGCTGATTGAATCCTATTTAAGCCCTATGACACCTTAAGTTTAGGATTCATCAATTTTTCAGAAAATAGCATAGGTATAAATACTAATGTTATACGCCATTTGTGAAAGGCTTCTCCCAAAAAAATAAAAAACAGGCCAGGGGAGAAGTTCTTTCTCTATATACGTGGCCTGTGTTTTTTGGAGCAGACAGGGCCATTCATCAATATATATATATATATATATATTTAAATGATAGAGAATAAAAGATATTATAAATACATTTAAAATCACGCTTTAAACAAAAAATTCATGGCTTTAATTAAAGAAAAAATATATTCCCACCTTCATAATGTTTCCAAGATGGGCAAATTGCAGATTTCTTCCCACAAAGAGGAATAGAAGAATGAAGGAAATTGACAGAGAGGTGAGGGGGCTGCTCAGGGAGTTGGTTAAAAAAAAAGAGAAAAGGACATGCAACTGGGGACCGCCAGCAACAACGACGACTTGCTGGGTTTACTCCTGGAATCCAATCAAAATCAATGCGAAGAAAAGAAAAATGCTGAGAGATTTATGATGACGACAGAGGATGTGATTGAGGAATGTAGGCTGTTCTACTTTGCTGGACAGGAGATGACATCAGTTTTGCTCACTTGGACGATGGTAGTTTTAAGCATGCACCAGGATTGGGAGGCCAGAGCGAGGGAAGAGTTTCTGCAAGTGTTTGGTGGATGGAAGCTAGAGTTTGAAGGCCTCAACCAATTGAAAGTCGTGAGTAGCCCTCATATCGCCCTTTTAAGTAGGTTTCATATCCTATATTGATAAAAAAAAAAGAAAATGGCAATTTGACTATATAATAGTAATTTTTTTCCTGATGCAGGTCACCGTGATCCTTCATGAAGTTCTTAGATTGTACCCTTTTCCCTATAACTGTTCAGAAGCCAATGAAATTGGGAGAATTCAAAATCCCCCCTGGTGTGAATATCCTCATACCGATGATTTACATGCATCATGATCCGGAAATTTGGGCCGAGAGGTTCGCGGAAGGGGTTTCCAAGGCATCAAAGGATCCTGCAGCTTATCTTCCTTTCAGCAGTGGGCCTCGGATATGCATCGGGCAGAACTTTGCCATGGTAGAAGCAAAGTTCTGTTTGGCAATGATTCTGTGGCGCTTTTCTTCCTTTGAGATTTTGCCTTCATACTCGCATGCCCCCTACAAACTCGTTGCTTTTCAGCCCTGACGTGGGGTTCAGATTATCCTGCACAAGCTGTGACTTCATCGTCACTAACCCAGTTATGTCACGAGCATGAAACCTTTGGCTCGATAATGGACAATTCTGTGGGAATAATCGACTATCCTTCTTTCACTATTAATTTCTACATGATATCAAAGTGGGTCAAATGAAAATACATGTTCTCATCTATTATTCAACGATGATAAATCTATTTTTGTTATATTTGGCTATTATTTACCTATTTTTGGGAAAATAGTAACCTATCCTTCCCTCCTTGAAATATCTCTGATTAGCAGCTAACAATATGCTGGCTTTTGGGGTCATTATCAGCTGTAGGAGTCAACCGGGCAGTAGATGCTCATCACTGACTATTGGAATGACTAGAATTGATTGTTTTCAATTGCTCTATGCGGGAAAAAAAATTAAATGAAAAGGATGGTTTGTAAAAAAGATTGACTCAACATACATCACGTAGCCTTTGGAGAAAGTTCAGAACATTTGGTCTACACCTAAATCCCCACCCATCTACTCTTTGACACTCAAGTAGAGTTCCATGCCTTGTACCTCTATCTAGAACACTTTTTTGCCTGCTTATCTCACCACCCCTTCATCAATTGTCCATGGGCCACACTCTCCTTATGTTAATACATTTTTATCCGCAATATATTTGCACTATATTATGATTACACTATTCTTGTCTATAACATATTTTTTTGCAGTTTATATCATGTTTTTCCTAAAATGAAAGATGCCAAAAATACTTGAGCCTCATTCATATATACAAGGGATTATGGAACGTTTCCCTAGGGATTTTGGAGTTTTGATGTTGACACAATACTTAACAGGGTTGAAATAGTAATTGAAAGAATACTCTTATAACCCTTAGAAAAGCCCATATACTTTTATAACCCTGTAATATGGATTTTAAAATAGCCCAAGAGCTTGTGACTCCTAGAAAAATCACTCGCATCATTCGGTCGTATTGGTTGCAAGTTTTCATATTTTCACTCGTAGGAACTGGCTTGACCCGATTTTACTAAGATATAATGGTCAATACTGATTGATAATGAACAAGCTGCCACTGAGGGAGTGACTATACCCACGCTTATAGGAAGAACCCTAACATCATCAATCTAATGGACTATTTGGTCCCAAAGAGTTGTTGGGAATTCTTTCCAAGATCATGTAAAGAATCTATTCACCATCTTTGAAAGTTGATGATATTAACATCTTATTGTGTTCTCAAAGTTGGAGTGATGAAGAGGGCTGTTGATCTAAAACTAGATAGTAATGAACGAGTTAACTTCTATCTAACAACTCAAACATATCAAGTCCAGCTAGAACAATTAATCATTTCCTAAATTACACTCTAGAAGGAGTATAATGTCTTTTTTTATATATAGATTATTCGTTACATATCAGAAGTGTGGAGTTGAACTCGATATATAAATTCAGGCTCAACAAGAGCAAAGCACAAGAGAGTAAAAATCGGCTACCACATTGGAGCTCTGAAGATCAAGCACGATGGCTGCCCTGTTATCATTAACACAGGGCATCGGATCCCGGGAGAGTTGACCACAACTATTACAGAGTTGACCATTTCTGCCTGAGGTTGACTTGCGGATATGTCAATGTCCGGGCACCCTCAAAAGTTTGAGAGGTAGCCAAAAGAGAGAGAACCTCAGTTGATAGCCTAGGAAGTAGCTCGCTTCCAAGCAACAGAGCTAGAGAACCTGTTTATCCTGACAAAAATTAACCCCTCCTCCACCCCGCTTACCTCCCCAAGAAAAATGTGGCAATTTAAGGCACGCACAGGACAGGCAGATAGAGCTTGCGCTGTTGGGTAATATCAGGCAAAAAGACAATACCTTAGACTGAAAGTTCTCATCGCTTGCGCTTTTGGGTCTTTAACCTCTTCAGAACATACTCGATGCCTTCTCTCAGGGTTGCTTTTCGCCCTTGTTTGAAGTTCCAGAGCTCTGGGACTACATACCTCCCGCTGGGGTTATATTCGTTCATCTCCATCAAGGCTGTGATCACGGCCTTGCAGGCCTCATCACCCAGTTCTTCCTTCAACTGGATCAATTTTTCATCATCCTCGATAACCTCTTCCTGCGCCAGGAGACTCTATTCAGTCATGCTCAAGAAGATATCCTCGCGAACGAACAACATTCATGCTACTAAAAAGCAGGGAAGAACAAGTTTTGCGCCACACTCATTCCATGGCATTTTGGCTTTTGATTAAGACCAGGGATTTCCTTCCTGCATTGCTCAGTGGAAGATATCTTCGGTGACAAGAAACTATGGGAAAATAAAGAAAGAAGGGGAAATAACTTCTAAGAATGCCCTGGGGATGATCTGAAATGAAAAATCATGGGAAACTTATGAATGGAATGTTTACAAATAAAGATGAGTGGACAGTAAGAGCACACATGAATGCATACGAGTGGTAATCTACAGGATGTTATAGCCCACAACCTTCTCTTTACCATCGACTGTCACAATCCTAAACGGATGCCAGTCAGGGTTAAGCAACTCTGAATGCCATCTAGAGCTAAAAAAGGCAGCTTTCACATCCGGATCGTCTGGAAATCTTTGTTTGCAAGCAGTTTGAAATGCCTTGTCATCAAGATCACCCATTCTTTTGATTCCAATGAAGGAACGGCCAGTCAAAGAATCTTTCAATCCCTACATGATGAAACAAAGTCCGTCAACATGTGTCAGGCTATAATTTTTCATCTGATTTCATGCCGAATAGAAGGAAACTTATTACAAAAAATCATACCGAAATCAGTTCCTTGCGAGCCTCCTGTAGCTCATCTGTGCTCTCACGCTCTTTCTTCAAAAGCACACGATTCAGGTCCTCCATTGCATCCATGTCATCTATCTTTTCTTTCAACTCTTCGCTCATCTCTGCCATCTTCTTTTCCAACACCGTATCTTCTTCACCCCCCATATGTTTCATCACCTGCAATTTTCCTTTCAACTGCTCGATTTCAAGCTCCAGCTTTTGTTTTGCATCCAGTTGCTTCTCCAACTGTAGTATCTTTCCAAGTGCGGCTTCCTTTTCCCTCTGTGCAGTTTTACATTAAAAGAAAATAAAATAAAATTAGAAATTCTATATATTTGAAGTATTCATTCTCTTGAAGCATTCGATTAGTGACATCTGTTCGGTTGCAACAAACCTTTTGCTCTATCAGCAGGTTTAGAACCTTCTCATCTGCATTCTTCTGCTCAATAGAGGCCAACTGGAGCGCTGTATTCTTCTTTGCATTCTGGAATGGGAAAACAACGGCATAAGAATTATCATAGCATACACAAGGTATTCTTCGGCCAGTTGCATGACAAAGATACAACACAGACGGTCCGAATTGGCACAAAAAAATGCCATCTTAGTTAAGCAGTCGGCGTTATTTGAACGCCCAAAGTGGTAAGATTATATTTGTACTTGCATTTCAATGGCAAATACAAAGACAGCTATCAGATGAGATGACAAGTTGCATCAACACTAGGAAGTTCCAGTGTCTGTAAAGCTTGAGCAATTTCAAAATCACTGGAGTAGCTGACCTTTTCCTTCTCGACATCAAGTTTCCTTCTCTCTGCGTCATTTTCCGCCACCAGTTCTTCAAGTTGTCTGCGTCTATGATCAAGCTCACTCTTTCTCAATTCTAGCTGCTTCCTAAGCTTTTCATTTTCCTCGAAAATTCGCCGAGAATGATCACGCGCAAGTTTTTGCATCTTTCTTATTTCTGAATAGAAACAAAAAGCTCAACAATTTTACAACAACTCGGGTTTCATAAAATGAAGAGCTGTTTGCATGATAATAAAAATCAGATCGGTTCAAAAAGAAAGAGAAAAAATATGATAAGATCAGTGACATGAATATGGGGACAATATTCCAAGAGTGCCGATTCCAAACTCTGAAGCTTTTAAAGGGGAAAGCAGAGTCCAGAACCTAGATTGTTGTTGTCGATTAAAGAAGTGCTTCCAAGTTTCCAACGATCCAAATGTTCGAGCATTATGAACAAAAGAATCTGTGTTCCCATAAATCGACCATGCAAAAGCATCTGTACCACAATTCGATTACTTAACGAAAAGACCAGAGACTGTCACCGAAATTAAACATCAAGAGAAAATCACTTATCATGAACTTGAATCCTGAATTTTAACAAACCTCCGTTATAAGTTTCATGTAGCTTATCCTTCTCTTCCATAAGTTTGGTGAGAGACAAAGCGGTCTCATTGTACTTGCATTCTAGTTCATGTAAATGTCTATTTTTAACATCTATTTGGCTCGCTAGATTTGCCACAAGTATATCATTTTTCCGAGATTCTTCCATTGTGAGGTCAGTGACTGTTTTCAGATCTCCAGTCTTCCTCAGATGATCTCCAATGTGTCCCTCAGAATTATAGTCATCATCGCGTGCAATCCATCCGTACATGTCATGTCCACGATTTTTATGGCCATCCCAGTCCTTCTTACCAAAACGTCTTGCTTCAAAGTATTTCTCGAATGCCATTGCATCCTTGAAACCGGTCCAATCATTGCTGAAATCCACAACGGCAGTTCCCGTATGACCCTTAAAGTTCCACAAAGCGTGAACCTTCAGTGGGTTAAATTGAGATAGCTGCTCTTTTATCCTTGTTGCACTTTCACCCACCCGTCTGCCACTCTTCCATTCGGTTGGGACATTTACTAGGATCCCCCTCCAAGGCCAGACGAACTGATCATCTTGCTTTGGATTGGGAGGAGGATTTGGCTCCGTGATCATAAACTGCTTTGACGAACCAGCTTCAGTTCCAAGGTCTACAGACAGATATTTGGCAAGACCCCGATGATTTGCCTTAGTCTTTCCTTTCCGGTTAGATACACCAATGCCCTTGGCATGCTGGATAAGATCTTTGAAACAGAAATCCTGTTTCTTTTTACCCGCACAGAAAGGGCACCTGTAGGTGCCATCTGGATTCTTGACTTTGTACCTTCCTGTTTTTAACTGTAAGTAAGAATTTGCTTCATAATCATCAATATCAGAATCACTTATATTGGAGGTCTCTTCTGAAGACATGAATTAATCCTGAAACACACATTACAGAGGAAAATTAGTGTGGAGCAAACTAGAACAGAGGAAAATGAAAATAAATCAAGAGTAAAAAATAAATAAACGATTGCAGTAGAGTGCTGAACCAAAGAATTGTCAGCCTGAGATATTAGATTACAGATTAACATATACAACTGATAATTTTTAAGTCAATAATTAATAAAAAAATATCTTTAAAGTGCTTATCAAAGAAAAGATCTCATTTATTCGATCAGAATCTTTTCAAGGAGTCAAGCTATCAAAATGATGTAAAGCCGAAGCACAGCAAGACAAAATAATTCATTTGGTTAAGGTCGAGGCCTAACAAAGCATAACTAAACCAGATGTGGAGAGTACGAATAGAGAATCATTAAACAGGAAAACCTATTTGTTCCAAAAAATAAGTTTTTAAATGACGGGAAAATAGCAGATTGAATTTACACAAGGAATAATCTACACTACGAATGGAAGTGAGCATATGCATCTATGCACCTCAAGTTTCAGGCATGTGCTTGAGTGGGTTTGTCCATGAGACAACAAGAGGAAAAGTATCCTTTTAACTGTGTAAGAAGATATTAATGCCAGAACTTTGGAAACATCAATATACCATACCTATGTGTGGTTCGCAATTTATCTTATGCTTGCTAGCTCCTTCCATCCACAGAATTTGTTATTTATTTCATGTGTCCATTCGGGCATTATTTAATGCATCCATCGCAGGGAATCATGCAAAGTTGTGTATGCCCAAGAACATGTGCCTCAGTTTCTAGAAAGGAGTCATATGAGTTTGGTTTTACAGAAGGGTGGACTATAAAAGACAAGAATTGGTTGTCACTAAATTTTACATGAAGCAATCAACAAAAAAAATCTCTCAATGAAGCGTATTAGAATGGTGAATGGATGGCCATAAGAGGTCATCTGAAAACGTATTCGAGTCTGTTATAGTTTTCTAATGCTCTTCTTTGTCCATTGATAAATAGGAACACGAATGATATATTAGATACCTTTTTTGATATAGGAAATGAGATATGCTCTTCCAGAGGGAAAACAAAGCATGGGATACATCGCGCATGAACAATGAAGGCGCGTACACTTATCTCAATCATATGATCTCCGTGAAACTGGTAAAGTACATAGCATGTTGGGCATGGTTTGGGCGTAAGAAACCTCCCAGACAAATACCTATATGGCACAGTCCATAAACTCTACTATGGGATAAAATGCGGTGAACCACTAGAATCACTTACAATACATGAACACACAATTCAGTTCTTTGAAGACGACTGAACGAAGAAAAATTCTTTACCTGGCACAGTCAAGATTAGTTTTAGTGAGCATTTAAATTTCAATAAAGCTATTGGCTCAGTGGGTACTGTCCAAGCATCTTACAGAGCTCTGCCACAAATTTTCATGTCGATTATCAAAATGTCTTGATGCAATATGTGCAAATAGTAACTTTTTCTGTTGTTGAATAAAGTCCAAAATTCTACAATACCTTCTGGCTATAATACCAGTACACACTTACAGGAGATTAAGAACAGTAGTTTGAGAGATAAGCCGATAACATAAACGACAGAAAGAGGATGACGGCTGGTCCCAAACCTATTCGAGGTATATATAAGTTCAAAAATATATTATTTTTCTAAAGATGTCCTCCACCCAGAGGTATGAACGAATAATTACGCCTGGTGTTTAAGAGCAGATGAAAAATTTACTCGTATTCCCCACAGTGTCAGAGTGTCGTTAGAACAGTACCAAGATAACAAAGTTAAATAAAGTCATATGATTAGATGCATGTGCCAATTCCAGCCATTTATAATTGATTATGAATAGGATAAGTCAGACAACAGATATGCTCCCGTACGCGGACTACATTTTTATTGTCCACGTGATAAATTAAAAAAAGGTTTTTCAGACTAGACAAAGTGTTAGAATGATGACAAAAAGAAAGCCAGATAATATGATGGAATTAAATAGATGGGCCAAGCCCGCTCATTGTTAATTGGTTTAGACTTGGGTGATATAATACTCAAAGAAGAGACATTGAGGAAAAAAAAACCCTCGTGCACACCAAGTTGTTCAATTTTCAAGCTTACTGCAGATTTAAAATACGTAATCTCGTCATTTTCTATGAAAATAAGAAAAAACTACTGACCTCAAGAACTGGGAAGTGTCCGGGTTAGTTAACGGTTGAACTGGAAAAATCATAAATTCTCATGCAAAATCCATAAATTCTATTTCAAGAAACACAAGCGGGGGACGAAGCACATTACAGTTGGGACAAAAAATTCTGGAGCTTTTACGGGACCTAGGGTTTTTCTCCTCTCCGTCCGTCCTGCGGTGCGTGAACCCCGTGTGGTCACCTTTGCCGCCGATCTCTTCTTCCCACGCAAAGATCATCCCGCGAACTCCCGTCCCCGCCGTCTTCGGAGATCCCTTCCCTTCTCCTTCCCGTAGGGACCCGCCGGCTCGTTACCTGCACGGCAGCAGAAGATGAAGAGAAACGGTACGCAGGCTGCGTCACCGGAGGCATGCAGTTCCCCCCGTCACTCCGGTGCCCGCCCCGATTTCCCGCCTCCACATCATTAATTCCTCCAAACTCCCCACCTCCCCCCTCAAGCCAATGGCCGGCCCATTATAGGCCCACCGGATTTTTCGGTCCAGGAAGCGATATCTCGTCGCTCACTCTCTCTCCATTTAATGTGGACCAAAATGGGGCCCATCTGGGTTTGACTTCAAAGCTGTCCCGTGTGGGGCCGCCACTCGGATGAGTAGTCTGCTCTATAGACCGGGAAGGAGGGAAAGCTTGACCTTTTGGTCAAACGTGGTCCCCAGACCGGGTGCAGAAAACCTATTTATTGACCTCGTCCGAAGCAGCGGCTTAGAAAAGCAAGCCCTTCCACGCGTAGACGCCGCCCTTTAATCCGAACCGCGTGAGGTCAGCCTGACCACACAGAAAATTCCCTATTTATCATATTTTAATAAAATGGGCCTTCGCAGCATCACAAGCAATTTAATGGTATGAAATTCATTAAATAATAGTAAAAATATGCCCTTATTGACATACACGCAGTGTGCTTAATAAATACGATGTGAAAATTATCTGGCCTATTTTAATTATTGAGGAATCGAGTAGGCGTGGATTTTAAATATACCCTCTCTCCTCTCTCTCTCTCTCTCTCTCTCACTCTGCATCCCCGTTTTCTAGAAAGCCGCCGGAAACCGTATGGTCTGAACGATTCCTGTCCAGGCTGCGCGCCAAACTGGGCCAACCTGTCTCTCTTTCTCTCTCTCATTCTTCCGGGGCGGGGAAGTAAACGTTAGTTAGTTCCTAGAGATAGAGAAGCAGCTGTCCCATCTCTTTCCCCCCCCTCTCTCTCTCTCTCTCTCTGTCCATTTCTCTCGTCTCTCTTGAGAGGGACGACAACGAATCGCGGGCGAAGGAAGCTTCGACTCCCCCCCTCTCTTTCTCTCTCTCTCTCTCTCTCTCTCTCTCGCTCTCTCCAGCTACTTTCTTTGGCTTCCCCCAATAAATACCCTCTCTTCCGCCGGAGCATCGCATGCTCTGCAATCAGAGGAATCCCGCTTCTTCCCCCCCCTCAATCCGCCTCTTTCAAATCTTTCTGAATCCCTCAGATCTTCGCCTCCCCACTTCAATTTGCTCGATGGGAAGGCGCAGGTGGACCGCCAGCTGGTTCAGGAGGCCGGGAAGCCCGGCCGCCGGGGACGGCGACGCGGAAGCCGCCGGCAATCGGAAGGATCATCGCTCCTCGGTGTCATGGCGGAGGTTCCGGTTGGTGTTCTCGTCGTCGGTATGGCGGTGGCGGCGGCCCGATTTCCGGCTCACCATCCTCGACGACGTCGTCTTCTTCGTGCTGTCCATCATCGAGGCCATCGTCCTAGTCGCCGTCTTCTGCTTCTATTTCTGCCGCTTCGGCTCCCTCATCTGACAGCGCGCCGCCGTCTACGGCGGCGGCGTGGCCGTGGAGATCGTCACCGTTTAGAAGAGGATATGCCACGGCACTGCACGCGTGCGAATGGCGTGCTCTCACGTGCGAGCGAATCACGCAGTCTGCGTGCGGTTCATCAGTGGAAAATGGCCATTTTTTCACTTGTAAATCCTCAAACCTTTTAAATTCGGTTCCATACGAAATCGACGTGGTTTTCGAATCTGGATGGGCGGGAGACGTAAGTCAATGCGCGTGGAAGTTAAGCTACGCGTGTTCGGCACGTGTCATGGCCGCAGGGGTACGACTTTGGAAGTTCTTCATTCTGAGGCAGGTCGGCCAAAGTCAATGTTTGAAAGCCCCACGCGGGGCCCACAAAAAAGACGGAAACAGGAAAGAAAAAGTCCCACAAAAAGGGTACCCCGGGATCAATCAGTCCACAAAGTAAAGTGCCTGCCGCAAGGATCGTGGCGCCAACCGGCAGGTTGCGCCCTCGAAGGAACTTCCCTTTCCCCAAAATCTGTTCTTTTCTTCTCCGGGTAGCGAGAGAGAGAGAGAGAGAGAGAGAGAGAGAGAGAGAGAGAGAGAGAGAGGAGAGAGTCACGTCTCTCGATTCCTTCACAGAGACGGGGTATATGACAAGTATGAGATTTCCCCAGACTATCAACGGGCTCAAGCTACGTAGAGTTGCTGGAGGGTGGCCGATTGAGAGAGGATTTCAGAGTATGCTTGTAAGTGGAGACCACGCAGAAGCCCACACCCACCATACGTCACGAGAGGACGAGGAAGAATGAAGAGAGAGAGAGAGAGAGAGAGACCAAAGCGGGGCCTCGAGTTCCATTAGAGCGAGTCTCCATGAGCTTCGGAGGTGGTGCTTCTTCCTCCACGGCGGCGGCGCTTATTCTGAAGGATCCCCACCATGGCGGTGGGGCGGTCAGTTCTTGAAGTTCTGGAGCTTCTTCACCTCCACTTTGAGGGACTTGAGGTAGCGGACGGCCTCGTCGAGGACAGCGGGGGTGTCCATCTGCTCTCCCCCCGGTATGATGCCCCTCAGCTTCTTCACCATCTTCTTCATCCTCTCCTTCTTCTTTGGCCCGCCGGCGGCGCCGCTCATGGAGCACTCGAATGGGATCCTGTCCGCGGAGGAGACGGAGTCCGGTGAGTTGCCCCCGTAGCTCCCGGGGGTACGCCCCGTGCTGACGACGTCGTCTTCCTCGTCCTCGTCCTCCAAACTGAGCAGCGCGTCGATGTCGTCTGAATCCTCCTTGAGAGAAGACGAGGCCCTGTCCAGGTTGTCGCTCTGCCTGCCATGGTTCCTGCCATAGTCGGGTTCGAAAGCTCTGCCGATGTCGAAGTTCTGGTAGCCGAATTTCTGCGCCAGTGCAGGGTGGAACATGATCCGGCTTCTGTTATCAGTCTGATCCACGATGATGTAGTTCTTCGGGCAGGTGTCCGAAGCTTGAAGCTCAACTCCGTTGAGGGGAGCTGGGTACCCGCTCTGTCCGGCCGCCGGAGAAGTATCAAAGGGCGGCGCCGCCACCTGAGGGTTGTCGTAATAGTAGCCGCCCATGGCTGAACCAGGGTCGTAACCATCCATTGCAGGCCTCCTGAAGAGGAATCGTGGGTACACCGCTAACACAATCAAAAAAAGTTGATGTCTTTCTCCAAAAGAATCAACCCGGAAGTCTGGTTCTGAAGTTGCTACAGTCTCTCTTGTAAGGCTTTGTCTGTTCTCGAGTGCCTATGGTCAATTCATCGCCCCTTCCACCACCACCACCACCGATGTGTGTGGGTCTCGCAGTTCCACGGGTAGCCAAACTACGTGACAGGCTTGAGCAACTGACGGAAGTACTCAGCCTGGCGGGCCAAGCAGAGAAATTCAATAAGAGTTCATTTTTCTCCTGATCAAGCGGAAAGTAACTACAGATGACACTCGACACCAAGACTATCAAAAGAAAATGGAGCAGAGCAGCAAAGGAAATACATCTGTTATGTGATGCTAGCAGCGGAAATGAGGATCAGCGAACCAGATGAGGGTAGTTTCTGCAGGCATTGAAGTACATGTGAACAATGCTTTAATAATTCTTCACGAAAAAAAACAGTGGCTGATATTACTATGATACCCTTTTTAATGTTTCACTTTAACATGCCCCTGTTCGAAAAGCAGCATGACATGCAGATGATACCCTCAAGGTCAACGGTTAGAGAGCATCCCCAAGACACTACCCCCAGGATAACCCCCAATCCCTCCCTCCTGTGGGAGAAGAAATAGTCAACCGAGAGATAAACTGAATTACCTGACAGACTTGCATTATCCGGTAGTAGGAAATGATTCTAAGGTTCATTCTTATCTTCCCAACTCGTTTGACTGCTCGGACCCTCCTCAGATTGAGGTCAACGCGCATTCTCTCTTGCTGAACAACAAAAGCAGATAGGCTGCCGCAAAGTTATTCGAATATAAGAGGATCACCTGTGTAATCCAACAGATGAGACAGGAGAAACATTGAACTCCATTAACTTTAATTATGGGATATAACACAGATAAAATGTGATTGATTGCACCAATTCCTTCATCAAAGGGTAGGCGAGATACGGAGGGGGAGGGAAGAGGAGAGAGTGGCATACACAATGACACGGAAGAATATGACCAAGCGAGCGCACTTTCTGCTGTGGTAGGCAAACGGCATTGGGAATAACGAGGGCATGTTGTCCTGATCTTCGTGCAACCCCCCAGATCCTGCACCATTGCGTAACATAAGAAGAATCCGATTAGGAGAGATTCATACTTGCAATAATCGTAGGCCATAGAATACAAGAAAAAAGAAGAAGAGAGAGCAGTTATAAAACTACAGCAGATCGTTAAGGCCTAGTGCGCTTTGAAATTAATGAGTCGATGGTACGAATAGCTTCCCAGAAAAGCGTACACAGAGTCTCCTCTGGAACTGAGTGCTTTCTCAAACAGAGGTCAGCCGTAACTCCCGTTAGAAGTATAATTCTGGAAGAGATATCACAGGATAGGGTACATAAAGTAGTACTGCTTAGGGGGGGAGAGAGTTTTTGTTTTTTTTTTTTTTTGTCAATTGATACAGCTACATCCATTAACACTGGAACCAGGATAGATCCAGGCAATCGATGAGTACGATAAGTTGATCATCTCTCCAAAACCGCCGAAAATCAGGACTCAATCTGAACCCCGCGATGAGGAACAGAGATACCGGGAAACGAGAAAACCTCCCAATAATCCACATTAACTAGTTGGCAGGAAATGGAGGAACGAAGCACCGTCAACAATCAGACACGCTAGGCACGCCGCGAAATGAATCCAATCAACATGCAACGCCTTCGTAGTTCATTCAAATCGAGAGGGAAGGACCAGCACCAAGAAGAAAATACGAAAGAACCTGCGAATTCTGCTCCTCGATGGAACGCTCGCAGTCCGGCCTCGAACAAGCCGCTACAGGATCGGCATGACCTGAAACGCCAAACAGCAGAGGACACATGAACCAAGAATCCAGAATAGGAACCACGACAGGACGACGACTCGCCAGCGCGCGCCCAGCTCTCCTACCCGAAGCAGAGCAAGGGACGTCAACTGCCGGTGGGCGAGACGAAGCCGAGCAGGGACGAGAGACGAGCAGACCACCGGCGGGAGGTGCAGCACGCAGTAGCAAGGGAGAGGAAGGAGAGGGCAAAGAGGTGGAAGGGGGTGGGGGCGGAGGGGCGGCGGATGCCAGTGGAGGACGCCCAGTTCCTTCCTTGTCGCCTTTTCCGGGCAGCCCATTCCTTCCACGGTGGTATTTATTAACCCCCCGCGCGGGTTGTTGTCATGGAGGCCACCATGAAACCACGGTCAGTTGTCCCCCCTCTCCCCGTTTGCAAATTATTACCTGCACCGTCCCCCCACAATTCCACCCCCCGCTTCTTTCCCTTCTCTCGAATTTCCAAACTGCCCCCAAGCAGCACTAATTAACACGTCAAACCATTCTGCCACCTCGCCCCTCATTTTTCTCTCTCTCTCTCTTCGTTTTTTCTATTTTTTTTTATCGGTGGCGGGCCGCGCCTGGCAGCGAGCGGCGTGCGCGCTCCCCCGGCGGCGCAGTCTCATCATTACCCCGCCTGCTGCTTCCACCTGGACCCCCCGGGGGAAGTTTCCCTAATAATAATAATAATAATAATAATAATAATGATAATTCTCGGAGATATTTCGATTCTTAATTGTTTCGAAGAAAAATGGCAAACAATAATCCATGCGTGGCCCGAACCCGGCCCGAGAAGAGAGCCCGGCTCGGGTCTCTGGGAGTGGGTGTCCCAGATGCTGGGGGAGGGCCCGGGCCGGGGGCGGTGGGCCGGGCCGGGCCTGGCCGTTGAGGCGGCGGCGGCGGCGGAAGGCGGCGGTGGAATCCCAATGGGTGGGGGGAGTTGCGCGCGTGCTGGGGGCCTGCTTGGCCCCGCTACTCCCGACAGCGCGAGCCCAGAACATGGCGGCTGCCGCGGCACGCGTGGGATCAGAGGCGTCTGGTGCGCCGCAGGAGAAACCGAAGAACGCCACTATCCCCCATCCCTCCCCTCTCACGCGCGCACTGGGCGGGTCGACGATGACGCATTGGCGCGCACGCGTGGACGTCACGTGGGGTAATCGAGTGTCGGACGCGCGCGCGTGCGAGTGGAGGTTATTACGGGCCTCGGGAGATGGCGGGCTTCTTTTGTTGGTATCTCCCCTTCTTCGGACCGGCCCCGGGCCGGAGTGGGCCGCCCGGTTCCCCACCACAACTTCGCCGTCCTTTTTCTGGGGTATTCTGCCGCTTCCACTGCCCCTTCTAATGATTTGCCTCCTCTGTGTGCGCCTCTTCCCTCTCCGTGTCAACTCCCCCTTTTTTCGACTTGGCCCAATGGACACCCTCTCTCTCTCTCTCTCTCTCTCTCTAGAGGCCTTGTCTGCGCCACCACGGCCGGTTGTGGTGGTCTTCCAAGAGAACCCACTTGCTGCATGCACCCTCACTACCGCCTCCACCACCAAAAGCAAATACACGACGCTTCTTGTCGTACCAGTACGCAGAGATTAGAGGCGTCATGAGAGAGAATGGTGTGGGGAGAGAGAGAGAGAGCTTAGGTGGAACCCATTAGGTGAGCTTAGATATTTTAGTGTGGACGATTCGGCGCGGGGAAGCCCATATCATCTCTACGGCCCGTTAAAAGGTTTGTTTCGTTGACTGTACTAGTTACCTCCGCTAAATATATTTTTTATTTCATGTACTAAACATTATTATTTATTTATTCCAGTTCGTGCGTAGAAGATGGTGCATTTATGGTAAGGGAGAACCAAAGTGTGGTATTAACATGTGGATTTACTCTATTTTTTAATATTTTTTCCAAAAAATACTTAAATTATTAATTTTGACTCGCGTGTCGGATAGAAGGTGCCTTGGGAGGACTGGAGTGCTTCCTATTTGGGCCTGGAAAGAGAGCAGCGAGGGCCTATCTTCGAAGCAGACAATTTGGGCCAATATGGGCCGGACTTCTCCTTAGCCGGATCCAGCCCATCGGACTTTTTTGTTGGGCGACACTAAGTGGGCTTTTCTAACTCCATCCTGGAAAGCCCATTTTTTCTGAAGGGCCCAGAAGAGGTGGGAGCTGATTGATGCGCCCACGCTGTCGTTGTCAGAGCGGAAAACGACTAAGCGACTTCACGTCGATTCAGGGGATCTTGTCGTTTTCCCCGTTCATCCCTGGTTTTTTCTGTTGGTAGTAGGGAGGGAGAGAGAGGGAGAGAAGGACGAGGAAGATGGCGCCTCTCTGCTGCAGGGGAGTGTGCTGCACTGGGTTGGGTACGGGATGGGGATTCTGCTGCTAGTGTGGGTGGGGATCTTCTTGGCCAAGGCGGTGTGGTGGGTATGGTGGAGGCCGAGGAGACTGGAGAGGTTCTTCCGGCAGCAGGGAATGGAAGGGAATGCCTACCGGTTTCCCTTCGAGGACGTCTTGGAACAGAGGGGGTGGAACATGGAGGCGCACTCCAGACCTATGTCCTTATCTCATGACATCGTTGCCCGCGTCGTTCATTGGATGCGGAAGAAGATTCCAAAACACGGTAAGCGGTGGTATACATTGTAGGAGAAGAGGGTTTCCTAGGCCTCGCCGATGTGATTTCTGGTTCTGTTATCTTCGCTGTCTTTTGGATGAGATGCCTACTAAATGTCCTTCGACAGTATGCTTGGGCTTCTTTTCATCTCAGAGACACAGAGAGAGAGAGAGAGAGAGAGAGAGGCCGACTTCTCTGGCAGCCTGCACTAACCTAGGACAAAAACGGCTATAGTAAAAAAAGAGTCTCCCGTGTGGTTCATTCGTAATTATGGCAAATGTTTTTGGGGCTAATATTCGTCATGTGATATCAGCTCCCATCAGTCCATTCATTCTCGCCCATTTTTCTGTGATTTCGGAGGATAATGCCGCACAATCGGTGCGAAATAATATAAATCTGATTTTTATAATAAAAGCCTTGTGTTGATCGAGCGAGCTTGCGTCAATAGAACTTTCGGTCACCTTAGAAGAGTATATTATCTTTATGGCGTTCATTCCGATTGCCGTGCTTGTATTAATCGAATTCGGCAGGCGTATTTCTGACTGTCAGAATAAGTTCTTTCGTTTTGAGGTTGCAGGTAATTTTTTTTTCACTTGGCTTGGTCCACATTCGCAAGTAGTGATCGAGGATCCTCACGTAATCAGAGACATTCTTGCTCACAAGTCTGGTCACCTTACGAAGATGACACCAGATACTCTCTTGAAACTGCTTGTGACCGGAATTGTGATTTATGATGGCGAGAAATGGGTAAAACAGAAGAATCCTCAATCCGGCCTTCCAGGCGGAGAAATTGAAGGTAACGAAGAAGAAGAAGAAGAAGAAGAAGAAGAAGAAGAAGAAGAATCTGTTGTTTTCTTCCCTCTTCATAGTTCTTACTATACCACTAAGCTATCATGCGAGAGAATTTTTTTTATACCTACTAAGCTTGCTTTATGAACCCCTGAGCCCAGCATTTTTCTATGTGATCTTGTGATCCGGCAGCTCGTGGTGTCACCGTTCTTGGCATGTTGCACGGAGATAATTGATGGATGGGAGAAAATGGTTCCCTTCGAGGGCTCCTGTGAGCTCGATGTGTGGCCCGAGTTTCAAAATTTTAGCGGGGACGTCGTATCTAGGACAGCATTTGGAAGCAGTTACGAAGAAGGAAGGCGCATATTCCAACTCCAAGTAGAGCAAGCTGTCCACCTTATTCAGAGTCTTCCGGGTGTCATCATTCCAGGTTACAGGTGAATAATGGATTATTCCACGAGAGTTTCCAAGAATCTCCATGTATCTACGAACTGTTGGCAGTGCCCAAATGTATCAGATTTTCTTCCTTCCATCTTTCTGCACCGATGTGTCTGTTCTAGGTGCTTCTTTCTCTTTTGGTTGAAGGTATGAATGGTTTTATCATCTTTCAGGTTTCTTCCCACAAAGAGGAACAGAAGAATGAAAGCCATCGACAGGGAGGTGAAAGGCCTCCTTAGGAACATCATCACAAAAAGAGAGAAGGCCATGCAGCTCGGGATGGCCAGAGATGATGACTTGCTGGGCTTGCTCCTCGAATCCAATCAAAGTTACGCCGAAGAAGATGGAAATCAAGAAAAAACAAGGTTGACGACAGAGGACGTGATTGAAGAGTGCCGGCTCTTCTATTTCGCCGGGCAGGAGGCAACCTCAGTTATGCTTACTTGGACAGTGGTGGTGCTGAGCATGCATCAGACTTGGCAGGACCGAGCAAGAGAGGAGGTCTTGCGAGTGTTCGGTAGAAGCAAGCCAGAGCCTGAAGGCCTGAGCCAGCTGAAAGTTGTGAGTAATCAGCCATCTCATTGTCTTGTATCTCCGTTATGCACCCATGATCCCTCTGGATCGCCGTCATCTTTCCAGGTAATTACTATTCTCTAAATCAATAGAAATCTTCCCTGGCAGGTCACAATGGTCCTTCAGGAGGTTCTTAGACTGTCAACTCCTGTCTCTTTTATCTATAGAACTACACAGACGGCCGTGAAGCTGGGTGACTTCCATTTTCCACCTGGGGTGGGCTTGTTGTTACCGTCCGTGTCTGTCCACCAAGATCCAGAAATATGGGGAGAAGATGCCCACGAATTCAAGCCAGAGAGGTTTTCCGAAGGGGTTTCCAAGGCATCGAAGAGCCAAGCTGCCTATTTTCCTTTCGGGTTTGGCCCCCGCATTTGTATGGGGCAGAACTTCTCCATGGTGAAAGTAAAAATCTGTTTGGCCATGATTCTTCAGCACTTCAGCTTTGAGCTCTCACCTTCGTACGTGCATGCTCCCCACACAGTCATAACTCTTCAGCCCCAGTATGGAGCTCAGATCATCCTGCACAAGCTGTGACCTTCATGCTCCGTCGTATCTTGGATATATGGTCGTCAAGAATGATGTTTCCTTTCTTTACATTGCGTTGAGTATTTTTCTTTCTGTTATTATTAATAACCAGACTGGCTCGGTCTAGACCAGTTCATTTCATCTTTGTGCTAATGGGCTGGTATAAATACTGGTCCCATAGAAAACCCCCGACAGGAGAACGTGAATTAGAAATTAGTTCTTTGGCTGTTTCCCCCCCTCTTTTCTCTGTTCCTCCTATCACTGCTGCAGGCAGTAGAAGCATGGTGATGATTGATCGAATTTAGGCTCTCGACAGGGAGTTTGAGCACTCGACATGGTATTAGAGCAAGAACAACATGTGTAATCAACCTTGTGGCATTTCTCTTTCTTTGTCTCTCTCTCTCTCTATTATCTTTCGTAAGCAGTGGCTATCATCAGCTATCACAAACACTTGATTCGTGTTTCTTTCATTGACATCAATCACTAATTCGTGTCTTTTTGCACTAAGTGTGTGCCGCATGTGATATCACTATAAGCTTATTACAAATAGCTAGTATGTGGTTTTTTCTGGATTGGCTTGTGCTGTGATTGAGATTATGGGCAATTCTTTTTGACATTATTTGGTCTTTCTATTGCTCGATTGATAATCTTGGTTACAACATGTTTGGAATTTTACCTCGTACTCTAGAAATATCTGTAATTGAGCGTTTGATCAAAGTCATTTACAATAAGAATTACTTATAACTATAAGTATACGATCTTGATGGTTGGGATAATTCTGGACGGTCCCAACAAGTCATAGTCCTGTTAAAAATTAGATGGCTTATGAGTAATCTATTGAATCCATGGCCACAACAAGGAGATCTTGAGATTGTAGTATGATTTCAAATATATTATAAAATAATGATGTTTTTATAGACCACTATGATTCCTGAAATTATAAGAATTTGTCTGTACCTTCTTATAATGAAAGATATATGAGAGAATCTTCATCAAATTTACTAAGAAATAGGGATGCCACTCAATTCTATGAATAGAAATTGAAAATGATGAATGTGAGACAGAAAAATTAATAACTATGTAAATGGATTGATGCCTTTATTGTAGTAATATCATCAATATCAAATAAGCCACAAGACCAATAGTGCTAGGAGTTATATATAGAGAGGTGATGGAGAGACATAGAATATGAATACTCAGTGTGACTAAACTCATAGTTTGATCAACGAAAAATTTAGATTCTTGATTGAGAAATGGTACCACCCATAAACACCGTAGTATTCTAGATTAGAAGAGAAGAGAGTTTGACATCAAATTAAAGAATTTAATGTTGAGTTCATTTGACATAGATAACACTACCTTTATAGCTAGCTCCAGTCCCACTCCTAGATAGACCAAGAATCAAAGTCTTGACCATAGATATTCTATGGTACACTTATTGTAAAACGTCATATTACACTCAATGATAGGTGTTATAAACTCCACCATAGATTCTTACATCAGGACACAGTTTGAGGATACTAGTCAATTAGGCAGCGATAAGAAGCAACAACAAATCAACACGTTCATTTCAACTAGGAGGAGATTAATAAGGTGGAGTTATCTCCAGCCTCCTACTCTTGTGCATCAAAGTGAATTTCCATTTTTTGGACTAAATGCCCCAAAACTTCCCAATTTTTTTCTTCCTCATATCATCCAGATCAATGTCAATTCATCTCGATTTTTTTTCTATGCATACTCTATGTTCTAATACTCAAATAATTGCCACAACTAAGGGATCCTTAGTCGCAATAACATGCATATTTAATATCCTTCTTACTCCTTCACTCTATGTAATAACCTTCATGTTCCTAGATTGACCACAAAGTTAGCATCCATTAATAAAATTATCATATATTTATATAGTAATGTGTTATTATATAATAATTCATGTGTGTTCTATGACAAGGTATAAGATAGGACTAACAAATGCTGAATAGGATGGACTTTACTTTTTTGAAGCACCCCTCTCTAATAAGACATGACAAAGGGAGTGAGTAGGCTACATATCAAACTCCACACACCAAATTTAGAGAAAATTTATTTCTATCATTAGAGTATAATTATGTTCAACTTCAGTATCCATTCTTGACTCTACATCCATATTGGAGTATAATTATGTTCATTACTCTTCTAAAAAAGAAGTGAGATAAACTAAGGCATATTCTTGTGGGAAGATGGATGTCCCTGAATTGATGTCTAGGAATCTCACTCAGATATGCATGTGAAAATGCCTATCTGAGTGAGATTCTTAGAATAGTTGAATCCTGCCTAGAAAAAATGCCTATCTAAGTAATCTCACTCATTAACTAGAAAGAAAATGCCTAGAAAAAATAGAGGTATTAAATAGCATCCAAAATACTTGTATAAAGAGAAAAACATACATGGTAAGAAATATTGTTAATAGTTGGGGACATTTTTGAAGTATAATAGATGTGAAGATGAGTTTGAAATTATCATCTTGGCCCATTGAAGATATTTAAATATATTTTTATTTAAATAAAATCTAGTCATTAGAATGATTTTGCAAATACTTTATCAAAAAGTAGTGAGGTTTTGTAAATATAATGAACTTCGAAGTCAACACTAAATGATATTAGGAGAACATCAACATCTTTCACATCTGAGTTCATAACAAGAATATCATCAAAATAAATTAGAATGAAAGGTAGTGGCTTTCTCAAATGATGATATAACAAAGATTACAATATTTTCAAGTTAGAGAAACCAAGCCCATAGAGTAATGAACTTAGTAATTTGAACCCTGCTCTAAAATTGTGACCTAAGTCATATAAAATTTATCAAGATGATAAACATGACACAAAAAGAGAAGATGCATAAAGTTCTATGACTATTTTATGCACATTATTTTCTCAAGATGATTGTGAAGAAATAATTATTATCTTGTTGGTCTATATTTGCTGAGGAATGGATGTTCATTGGCATAAGACATGTAGTTTGATACATAGCTGAAAACTTTTATAATTAGAGTGAGATGCAATACCTTAGTCAAAAAATTGAAGACCTTTTTGGATGTTTGGTAAGCAACCACTAATAGCATGAGAGATTCTATCAAGGATGCCAAAAAATAAAATATGGGGTTGATTAGAATTTTTTTCTCTTTCTTTCATCAGTGATAATATTTAAAGATGATGAATTATAACTATTGGCCATGGAGATATTATGAGTTTCTATGTGACAACATGTCACCAAGAGCAAGGTGAATTGATATATCTAACCTGTTTTATATGTTGTAATTTTGTATTATTCTTGAGCTCTTTGATATAGACTATTAATAAGACATTTCAAACACTATTTTTATCTTGGTTAATTTGCAAGACCTACTATACTTCTCATGTTATTTGTGTTTTGCACCCCTTCCTTAGATTCCATTAATATCTCTTATACATGCTGAATTACAGACTTCAAGAACATTACATTGGATTTAACAACTCTAACAAAAGCAAGAAACCATTTAGAAAGCTTCGTCTAGATTCATGGGCCCAAGGGGACATGACATGATAATGTCTTCTTCTAGATTCTGAGCTCTATAGGGCCTAATAAGAGAGAACCACTCTCTTCTAAATTCTGAGCTCTAAGAGGCCTAGTAAAGATTTACTAATTTTAATGTCCTTCTCGATTAAAGATCTAGAAGTATGAACACACTTGAAACAGAATATTGAATGAGTTACCATAGACATTTAGGATATTTGGTAGAAGGTTCTCTCATTCCTCCTCTTTCTCTTCATGTAGAGAGCTTGCTGAACTATGTTTGATTTTAGGTTGATTGTTAACTTCATCACTTGCCTAATGGTCTGAAAAATGTCAAATCTCACTCTTTTATTTCAAACTTGAAAAATACATGATACTATAAACTCTATATCAATTTGATGCCTTCAAACTTTTCTGCATGTATTGTTACATTTGACTCCTTTTTTAGCGAATTTTTGAATAGTTACTCACATGTATATGTTTGTGCTGTCAATTGATACATAACATTATTTTTTTCAAGCTTATGCATAAATCATGACTGTCTTACAATTAATTGAACTCCTTAATTAATTCAAAGCCCTGTCGATGACATTTCTACCCTTGAGTGAGTTGCACTTAGATTATGTGAACTTTACTAAATACTCAATAATTAAGACACCTTTCAAACAACTCTACTGAATGTGAAGTTCTTAAACTAGTCTTCAATGTATGTAGTCATCATCAAAATAGGTTAATTCATCAAATCTTTCAAATATAACCATGTTTCTTGAGCAGATAGATGAATTATGTCTCCTTAGTAGATAAGTGTCGCATGATAACTTCAAAAGAATGAAAGGAATCACATTTAGAGGTGTATCCATATATTTGATATGTTATTGAGTAGGGGAGCTTTGATACTATGTAAAGGAAAATAGAGAAGATAGAGATAAGAGAGAAAGAGATAAGAAAATATAAGAAAGGAGGGAGATAAAAAGAAAGAAGGGAGGAAAAAAGGGATAAGAAGCTCTTTGACTTAATACTATGTTTAGGGTTTCCTTTACATTAGGCTCAAAGGACCTGAAATATGAAAATTATCTTTTACATGATGCGGATGTTTTCTCATAAGTCTTTAATTCTAGCCTATGCCTCATGAAAAGCTTCTCCTGAGTTTTGTGGAAAATCTAAAATAGCCTTCCTCATAGTTTTGATTTTTCCTCTAGAGTAAAATCTATCAAAAAAATCTTGCAATAATGTAGCCCATGTTCTATTGTTTCCATTTAAAGTAGAAAACCAATGACTAGCTTCATCCTTTAAATAAAATAAAAATAAATTTAATATCATAAAATTATTCACTTAATGATAGTGTAAATCTTTGAATCTCTAAGATGAGCATAAGGATCTTCATGTTGACAACTATAAAAAGTAGGTAACATTTGAAAGACACTAGGTTTAATTTGTTTAGTACAAACAGGGCTTTGCAACAAGTCTTTACATGGATA